CCACCATTTCAGTAACTGTAAGTAGTTAAACCACAGTGAATTAAATAGATAAACAAATATAATAGAATGTCAGTCAGCTTGCACAATCAGCCTGATGATAACAATAACAATTTAATTATTGCAGCCCATGCATATGACTGGGTTATCCCAGCTACTCTAGGCAGCTACGAACAAAGTATAAAAGAAAACACCAGAATATCAAACCTTAAAAGCTTCCCAAAACAATGGGTGTCTGGAGGGGTGCCTGTGCTTTGGAGGGGTGGGCTCCTGTTATTTCTTGTGCCTCTTTCCCAGCAACTGCTATTTGCTATCCTTTTAACCCAGTTAAACCCTTTTCCTGCTCTCCTACAGCTAAGCTTTGGCCCCTTCTCCAGAAGCCATTCCTGGTGGATGGTACTCATGCAGTCAGTTTGCTAGAGCTGTCCAGCTCCAGTGGCAGAAATCCAAGCTAAATGGCGCCGGACGATATTTGTGCCCATAAAACCTGGATCAGCATTTTGGCCCTTGATGGTTCAGCCACCTGCATCCTGTAGCCTTTTTATGAATTGACTGGAGCAGTGTTCTATTTTCATTACGCTCCCCGCTGCAGCCCCTCAGCACAGAAGGAAAGGCTGATTAAGAAAAGTGACACGAGATGCTGTCACCTTTCCCGTTTCAAGGTCCTCCGCCGCCGGTTGTTTTTAGAGAACACAACCTAATCACACATGTGAAAAAGCCCCTCTCAGATTCTCTGTGTGCAGGCTTTTGGTTTCTTTTGTCTCACTCTGTGTGTGTGCGTGAGCCAGCCTCATTTATTACATCAGTAGCTTGGGTGGCACTTTAGAGGATCTCATGAAACCGATTCTCCCCCTAAAAGTTTACGGGGCCATTCCAGACTGAAATAAATCGGTGGCGGATCAGACAAGACAGAGAAAAATAGAACGCAGATGAGATGCAATTGCATATTATAACTTGCATGGTGATAGTGAGCAGGAAGAACAAGGGCAGATGAATGTTGGAAGGGCCAGGGGGGAAAAGGGCTGCTTTCTACCCATTCAGCAAAAGTGAAGTGGTAAAGCTTTTTCTAGAGATTGTATCATTTCGGGATGCAGCGGGATGCAGGTGGCCAGCTGCATCTTTAAGGACCCCATCCATCTAAATAGGCAAACAGCTCCCAGCACTTATAACACCAGGGAGTTGAAAACCTGCTGAAAGAGTGGGCAACCTTTTCCAGGCTGAGAGCCACATCCCTGAGCACCCTTCTGGGGGACTGCACACAAGTTGTGGGTGTAGCCAGGGCGTAAAAATGTTTGGTGCAACAAACATAAATGTTACCTTTGTTCAGTAGGCTAGTTTTTACACTACTTCTCTATCCTCCATCCAGGCGTGCAGGAAGCATGTTCAGAGTTCAAGTCAAGCAAAAACACCCAAGGAGGCACAGAGCAAACCTGGAAACAAATCCCTACCTTCTTCTGTGCTGTTGCACTCACATCCCACTTCCCGTAGGCTTCTGGTTTTGTCACTGTGAGAACAGGAGAAGGGGCACTGGCTAGCAGGCTTTATGCTCTTAACTTTCCCCTTGTGGTTGCTGGAAATGCCCACTTTGGGAGCAATCCCTCGGCAGGTACCAAGCCAATTTCCTCCAAGATCAGCCTGCCTCTTCTCTGTGCTGCTGCTGCTGCTGCTGCAGCTGATGAGTGTTGTCATAAGTCTGATGGATACCTAGTTCCATCATGCTCTCCAGGGATGGGGGAAGTGGGGGGAGGGTCACTCCTCAAGTTTAATAAAACGTAGTGTTTTCAAGGGGGGAAAATGACAAAGTCATTTGCTATGTCTAATGCATCAGCGAATGAGCACCTTGGCAGCACAGCTGAAATGGAACTCCGATGAGATGGCTAGAGGCAGCCGCTGGGCCTGATAAAAGGAAGATGAGGGGGTTGGACAGGGATTATGACCAGGCTCACAGGAAAAGGACAGTCCAGACTTTATTCAGAGGTGGACTTTGGGCAACTGACCTTACTTGTCTCACATTTCATTTCATTCAGTTGTTGTTCCAGATTAACGGGACTTCACCCAGCACTGGTAGGTGTACTGCCCTCTGCATATCCTAATTTTCTCACTTGCAAGAACCTGGTTCAAATAATAACTATTTATTTCATTTATGAATTACTTTCTACGAGGCATCTTGGAGTGGTTTCAGCATACAATAAAATCACATGTAAAACAGTTGCCTATAATGAAAAACTATTAAAACAATTACATATCTATAAAAAAATGGAGGCGCAAGTCCAACATTCATCAGGATGTAGTTCAACCATGATATCTACTCCCTTATTTCCAAACCTCCCCTTCCATCATCTGTAGCAAAGACCAAATTGAGGGTATACCCTGCCCTGAGTGTTGAACCGATGACAACTTGAGACAGGCCCGTGGTCGTCATGGAAACCACAAAGGCCCAAGCCAGGACACTAGAGAAATCCTCAGTATGGATAGTGAAATCACCCAGAGCTATCATTCTAGGTTCCTCCAACATTATACTACAGCTCAGTCAGAGAAGCTGCTGGGCAGGAGGGGGGGGGGGTTGAGACTTTAGCTGTCTCAGGAACAGGGGCCAACGGAAACAACCAAAGCACACTGCTGGTCAAGTACTGTCCCATTATGCTGTGGCTGTTCAAATTGTGTTTTTATTTAGTTCCTCTACTGCACAAAACGTAGAACAGGCTTCCTCAACCTCAGCCCTCCAGATGTTTTTGATCCCTAGCTAGCAGGACCAGTGGTCAGGGATGATGGGAATTGTAGTCTCAAAACATCTGGAGGGCCGAGGTTGAGGAAGCCTGGCATAGAACATAGAAACATGAACAAAGGAGGTTTTCCTGCCTTAAGGAGGAGGGAGAGGGAGACAAGGATAAGGACAAGAATGTAGCAAATACACAGGCTCATCCCAAGACATCCTGCTGCCTAAGGAGGAACTGCAAATTGTGTGTGTGTGTGTGTGTGTGTGTGTGTGTGTACACACACAGAGAGAGAGAGAGAGAGAGAGAGACAGCGCCAAGGGGCATAGTATTCAAGACTGGCCAAGGCTTTGTTTTTTTGGTGCCCAAGGCAAAAGAATCTCACAAGTATCTTTCCCTTAAAGCGAAAATACAACAATAACAAATTAAATAGCCAAAATAAATTCTGCCCTTCCATGACAACCCAAAATAAGCTCTGGAGGTGGCCACCTCACTTTGCCTAATGGTAGAGCTGGACCTGTGAATGCGGCCACATAGTTATTATTACTATGGTGTGCATAATGAGAAAAGAGATTTCTAACGCCTAGTAAATGCAGGTCCAATCAGCCCCTGTGAGCAGAAGCCGAAATAACAATCGACAAAGATTCCTATTGTAAAAACCTCTTATGCCGCCCAGCTTGTGATTGCTGCTCAGCTAAGTTACGGCTGGGAATTTTGGAATCTGCTGCCCTTTGAATGACTGATTTCTCGACTGTTAGAGCAGATGCATAGAAGATGCTTCTTTACATTGGCTCTGCTATCCTTTGGGTAGAATTTCCATGGATATTCTAGGAGTCCAGGTGGAACAGGGCTTAGGCCACAATTAAAGGCCAGCATATTGACTGGCATAAACTGGTGCAACTTCCTTGAAACCCAATTTAAAAAATACAGATGCCAAATTTCCCATACATTTGCCTGTTTACTGCTGCTCCCCGCCACACACACACACACACACACACACACACCCCCAGCTCTTTCCTCACCTTAGCAGGCAAGTGCTCTCTGAGGAGCTTTTCTAACATAGAAGATGAGTAAGTTATCACACGAAATCCCTGAAAAGAGCTTCAAGCATTCCAACATCCTCTTTTCCTGTTGGGTCTCTTCAGTGCAGAACCATAGGATTCCTTGGAAGGTTATCAAAGGCTCCACAATTAGCAGGTGGAAAACCTTCCCACCTATCTTCTTTGGAAATATACCACCATTGGGAAATCTTGGACATGCTTTATTTATTAAATTTGTGCCCTAGGTTTCGAGAGGGCAGCAACCAAACATGTAGCAAAACAACAGCTTGTATCCAACGTTGCCCTAAGTAACTGCCCTGTCAGTGCAAGGAATTTCCACTTGCACATTGGAACGGACTCCCTGCACCCCCATGCAACTCCTCAATCTGTTCTAGGGCTCCCGCCCAAAAAAAAACCTGGACAATATTTGGGAAGGGTGCAGGGGGAGTACAGACGGGGGAAAGTCCTGTTGCACAAGCATAACTCCATGTGCTGACAGGACGATTACTTAGCACAACATTGGAAAAAAGCCAACACAATTAAAAAGGAAGCACTCTCAGTCCATGGAGGGCATCAAGAAGCCCCAAATGTCCTTGTGAGCATCCCATATGAGCTGTGGGTAGCATAGGACCCTCCCCAGGAGCCACAGGGTTCCATATTGATTCAGACAGGGGAGGGTCTCCGCAGGCAGAGGATTTGAAAATCACTGCCCTAAGTACCCATCAATGTCCTTTGCCAATGTGTATATTAGGAAATTTCTACCTGGAATCTGCGTTATGAGTATCAACATGCTAAGATTATCCATGTTTCCTTAAATGTGTGTGCTTGCCAATTGCTGCTTCTCACCATGTGTACATGCACTGGAAATCCCATACATACGACTGGCAAATGTTTATGATCTATAAACAGGTTTCCTGCACATCCTGACATGGAAGGGCTTTCCAGGTACGGATTTTGTAATGTGTTAAAGCAAGCAGTGTTTGCTTGCCGGTGATTGTGGATGCGTAGTGTTCTCTGCTTCCAAGTAAGTGCAAAATGTGCAATTTGGGGCTCTATGTGTTTAATTGTACCCTGGCTTTGGTTATTCAAACCTGGGGGTTAGAAGGGGGGCAACAGAAATGAAAATCTATAGCCCTTTATGACAGGAAGCCAGAATTCTGCTTTAAAAGGAACAAAAGCAATAATGACAGAAAGCAAACCCAACTGCACATCTCTATTCAGTAGTAAGTTTTGTTGAGCTGAATAAATTTTCCCCACGGATAAGTGTGCAGAGTGGGAATGGGAAACCACGACACACCAAATGTCAGACTGCAGCTCCCATAATTCCTGATCGGAGGCCAAACTGGCTGGGACTGATGGGGTTTGAAGTCCAAACGTCTGAAGGGAAGAAACCATGTTGGGCAAGGCTGAGAGAGAGAGAGAGAGAGAGAGAGAGAGAGAGAGAGAGAGAGAGAGAGCTGTCTTACTCTTTACTTATCCCTGTCCATAGGATCATGACATTGGGGTGTGGGGAATCACCCACTGAATTTTTTAGCAGAAACCCGTTCCTGGGCCTACATCTGTAGCCAGCTGCTAAATAAAGCTACAGACCAATGTACTGTTTTGCACGAGTATTTATGTTGGCTTTTGTAAATGAGGCCAATTATAGTGAAAACAACTTTTTAAAAAGATAAGCTGTGCAGTTTCACATATTAATCCATCTGTGGCCCTGAGGCTAATGCAACAAACTGTCCAAGTCCAGAAGTCTCAGTGACTTTTAATTAGGAGTGCCATACGTGGAACATTTGCAGAACTAGCCTTCCTTTGATTGTTGATTAAAAGCCCAACTCTGCAAATGTTTCTACATCTGTAGGGGGAAGTCTTTTTAAAAAGAAAGATCTCAAGCAGCTTTTTCCCATCCTGGCCATGTTGTCTCGTGCTGATGGGAGTTGTAGTAGGAAGGCCCCAGTTTGGGGAAGCTGTTCCAGAAGGTTCAGAACTGAGCACCTGCCCAGGATCAGCAGATAGGGAGGTAAATAACTCATGATTAGTCAGGGTTGATAAATGCACATTAAGAAGAAATTCTTTATCTGTTCTTTCCAGTTAAATCCCACATTTTGCTCCAAAGAGCTCAAGATGGCATACACAGATTTCCCCTTCTGCACAACAACCCTGTGAGGAAGCTTAGACTGAGAGAAGGAGACTGGCCCAAGGTCTGCCAGCGAGCTTCATGGCTGAGTGGACTCTGAGCTCCTGCTGTCCCACAAATGGGGAACCTGTGACACCCCCCCCCGGATGCTTCTAGATTAAAACTCCCATCCTCCCTGACCACGGGCCATGCAGAGAAGAGGCTGATGCAACCCGAGTCCAAAAAACACTTGACGGGTCACAGGAATTGCTCCTTTTAGCGCACGTGTGTTGTCACTGTCATTCTAAAGCTGTGGTGTATGAGGAGATCATTGGAGAGCCGCTGGTCAGCCAGGCAGAGAAACGCAAAGCCTCTGCCCCAAGGTGCTGGAGCCACTGAGGAGATTGATAGCATAAGTGAAATGTCTACACTGTAAGCGCTCCGACTCAGAAAACAAATGGCCTGCCACGCATTCCTTGGTGCTGAACGTTTAGCCAGCTTTGGCAAAGCTTTGTGGAGAACAGTGGAGCCACAAAAGGGTCACAGGCTGCCAGCTCTGCAGGCAAGGGGTGGCATAACTGGGCTCCTGAGCCCCACAGGGGTGCTGCAGAAAGCATGTACAATGGTACCTCGGGTTACATACGCTTCAGGTTACATACGCTTCAGGTTACAGACTCTGATAACCCAATAAATAATACCTTGGGTTAAGAACTTTGCTTCAGGATGAGAACAGAAATCGTGCTATGGCGGTGCGGCGGCAGCAGGAGGCCCCATTAGCTAAAGTTGTGCTTCAGGTTAAGAACAGTTTCAGGTTAAGAACGGACCTCCAGAACGAATTAAGTACTTAACCTGAGGTATCACTGTAGTTGGTCAAGGGTGCTGTGGACTCAAAAAGGTTGAAATCCTCTGCAATAAACAAACAAGCAGAGTGAGGCCTACCTGAGTATTTCATGGCTGCTTGACTACTACCAGCTTGTGTGGAAAGTGAGTCAGTCGTAAGTAAAGCTGGGGATGTTACTATTTCTGATTCTGGCATGTTAGACTTGCTAAAAAAACATGTCTTCCAGACAGAGCAATAATGTGTGTTGCTGCTTGAGCTAGTTATGAGCTGGTTGCTGTCTGGCTTCTTTGTAATATTTTCTCTCTCCCCAGGGTTTAACTGAGGCGGCTGTAAATGGCCTATCACCAGCCCATCACTAGTTCTCTTAGTGTAGGCTGTTAGCAGCCAGTCATTTGGGTTACTAATAGACAACTGGCTGAGTCAGGCCAAATGTGTAAGCAGTGATCTCTCTCTCTTGAGAGATCCACCATCAAGATTCGGCAACATCCATTTACATGCTGCCACCACACACTTTGCTTTATCAGTTTTAGCCAGGACAGAATATTTGTAAGCTCCCAGAGATATGAAGGGGTGCCATTTTTATGGACGATGCGAGAGAAGATAAACATATGAGGTTCCATTTATTGCACTTAGATTTTGTCTCCCCACCCTCCAAATTCTGGATGGAAGATGTTCACATTCTACTGCAAAAACAGGGAAGTGCTGCAAGCTGAAACTTTGACTTCTGCAATTCAGACTATGTAGCTAAAAGAAATTTCTCCGCAGAATTTGCCTGAGGCTGCTCTTCCTAGCCAACAAATAGATGCTCCCATGAAATAACGGTAGATTGTTTAAACCAGTGTTTCCCAGGTATGTGGGCCCAAGCTGGGAAAGAAATACAAATATCCTGCAGTGTAGCAGATCTTACCCATAGGTCTTCCTCTTGATCTGAGCAAAGCTCAGGAATCCTTGTGCTTTGACCTGCCGCTGACCCACTGCAGATCCAGATCAGTTGCTCAGCTATCCCACTTCCTGTTGGTATCGACAGGACACCGGTCACCATGCCAGGGACTGGAGTTGTGGTCTACACAGTGCTAAAGATAGGCACCCTTAACAGCCTGAGTTATATTTAGCGTTTTAGCTGTGCTGTAATAGACTCCCTCACTCTCTCCGGCTGAAGCACAAAGTGGAACTCACGACTCTCATTCAGTCCTAGAGTTTCACATGGATGAGCCAACCTCCCTTGTCCCACACACAGGCGCCCAAGATTCTTAGGGATCGACAGTCCAGATCATTGGACTTGATGGCGCAAACTGCTGCACAAGGAGCCGTGTTAGCCGTACCAGGATGTTTCAGTGGATGCTGCTGCTGCTGCTGAAAGAAGTACAAAGTGAATCTTAAGCACTCACCACCTTTGACGCTGCATCTCTGCAGCAGCATATACAGCCAAAAATGACAGGTTAGCTGTAGGTCATGCTCAAGCCTATATCCTGGGGCCGTCTGCAACTTTGGAAATTCCTCCAGAGTTTTGTGGATTGAGCTGGGTCCCAGCTATTTACTTAGGCTTCAATCCTAACTGTGTCTGCTCAGAAGTCAGGCCCATTGAATTCAATAGGGCTTACTCCCCAGGCACGTGGGGCTAGGATTGCAAGTTTTTATCCACTCTTTCCCTATGGAATTCATAGTGGCTTTAATCAAGCACCCCGGTGGCCTCACATTCAGGCACTGCTCAGGACCAAAGACCTTTAGATCTTCAGCAGTTGAGTCTTGTTCAAACTGTTCTACATGCCATACTCATCCTCTTTTTGGGGAGGATGGGGGTCACAACAACTAGCAGATTCCAGTATATCTGTAACTTTGTGGGACAGTTTTTTTTAGCCTTGGCCACTGGTGGGGTTGGTCTACTTTGGCAAATGTGGCACTGCCCTCAACCAGCTCCTGCCTGGCTCCTTTCTTACAACCAGAGGATGCCTTCTGCTGTCATTGACTCTGGTGCCACCTACTGTTGGCCTCCTGCCCTATTATTCCCAGTCATCAGTCCCCTCTTGCCTTGGCCCAGAGATGACCAGGTGGTCATGTGTCAACTGACAGAAGAGAAAGGGGAAGTCTCTCCCCTTTGCGACTCTCTTGGTACTTCTGTAGACCTTCATTGTTGTCATTATTATTATAATTTATGAATTGCTTTGTGTCACGGCAATGCACACACACACACACACACACACACAGACACACACACACAGAGAGAGAGTTTTTAAAACAGTACAAAAGGCCAGGGGGTGGGAGAGGGGTGGTTTCTCTTTTGTTTTATTGCTGAAAATGAACGGGAGAGGTTTTTTTACTGAAGGTAGTTTAAAAAGCAATACAAAATGAACACCAAAAACATAGACCTTTTGATTCAGTTGGACAACTTTCTTGAAACAAGCAAGCAAAATGTATTCAATTGTTTCCAGAAAATACAGAGAGTTATAGCTGGCAGTGTGGTCTGTTACCACTTAACCTGTTTCGCCTTTCTTGTATTTGTAATTCTGACACTGTCTGGAAGGCACACTTGATTTAAACAAAAACTTCTTGCCCCTTATCAGTTTGTGCACCAGTAGCACAAAAGAGGCTCACAAGCGGCACGTCATGCGTCAGGCATTTACAACGCTCCAAGAGAAGGTTATCAGATTGAATTGATCAGCCTGGGAATTTCTGAAATATTGTCCTGTCTGGGGCTGCACTTGCTCACTTGAACTTTATGCAAGTGTTGTGCAAGCCGTGTATAATTAGCATACACTGTCGCGGTGAGGCAAGACTTCGCTGTGGAGAACCTCCGTCTATAAATGAAGGAGCTCTATAGCTTCTTCTGCATCATGTGGCTGCTCTGTAATGATCAGCCAGCACAGGCTGATTGCTCAAGGACGAAGCACACTATTGTTGCTGCTGCTGGTGGGTTTTTTAAAGAGCCGTTCTTCACCAGGTCCTGCGCTTATCTGGGAAGAGCTACCATAACTTTTGGGTTTGTCCCTGCCTGCCCCCAGAACTGTAAGATTTATTAGCCGCTGCAAATGGACAATTCTTCCTAATCAAGATCTCATCCTCACCATCATCATTCCAAAAGTAACTACGTACTTCCCACTTTCTACTTTTTTTATTTAAAAAATTGCATATCAAAAGAATTTGAAATCCAGCATTAGAAAAGCAATCTTGATACGGTATGATGAACATTTCTCTCTCTGAAGTTTTGTACCCTGGTCTGTGACATTTTGGACATTTTGTGTTCAATTTAAGGTATTTTAAAAAATGGGTTTCCTTATTAAATTTCATATTTAAGCTAAAGAGCATGGCGGTGGTGGGAGTTCACTGGGTGATATTAAACAAAGTTTTGTGCAGAGTAGACACACTGAAATTAATGGACCGAAGTTTGCCATGTTCATTCATTTCAGTGGGTCTACTCTGAGTAAAGCTTCGTTGCATGCCAGCCATTGTGTTCCTCTCTCAAGCAAAATTGCTTGGGAGTTCCATTGTAATTTACAGCCATGCCATGCAAATGGATAATTTTAGATTCTGGATGTTAATAAGGCAAAGTGTGGTGACTGACTCGGGTGGCAGAATCTTTATTTCCCCTTGTTCCTGACCTAGTTCTTCACTCACCTCTTTTTCCCTGGGGAAGAGGGGGGGTATGTGCCATTTTGTGGTTTGCTTCAGGTGCCAACACATCTTTGGCTGGCCCTGTGGGGGCCATCCTACTTCTTCTGCTGAATGGGGCCCTGGACTGCCACCCCAGTGTCCCACGTACCACTGGCAATATAAGCTTGGCAGCTTGTGGAGGCCTGGGAGAAATGAATAGCTCAGATGTATGCTTGATAGTTGGTTAGTGTGTGGTGCTGATAATACCAAGGTCGCAGGTTCGATCCCTGCATGGGACTGCTGCATATTCCTGCATTGCAGGGGGTTGAAATAGATGGTCTTCAGCGTCCCTCCCAACCCTACAATTCTATGATTTATGAACATAGGATGCCACGAACTCTACTGCCCCAGCTAAACAGACTGCTTCTCTGTAGTGGGGAAAACAATCGTCTCCTGACGAAGAGTCTCTGGCACAGAAAGCTCATCCTGCACATTTTTTCAGGTCCAAGCTGGTACATAATTGGCCATGTGGTTTTAGAAAAATCAAGAACAAGCTTGTCATCTTGCCCCAGTTTAATTATTTTACATGTCACAAGACCAGCCTCGGGAGTCTTCGTGTTGAGGCAACTGGCCTTCAGTTTTTTGATGTGTTGATTTAAACAATATCTCAGTGTTTTAGCTCACTTCCCATCAGTGTCTCACAAGATTCACCTGTAAAACCCGCAAGGTGTAGAAACATAGCCCCCTCCCCAATAAAACAGAACAAAGGTGGTGTATGATTGGGATGGAGGCTTGCTTACGTTCTGCCAGCCTGCAATGTGACCAGTCTTCTCAGTTGTGGTCACAACATCCATATGCAGACTGATTGAGAAGAGCTCTCTGTGCCAGGTACAACCTGCATCAGAGTTACAGGAATCAGCAAGAGGCCAGGCAACTTCCCCAAGAGCGTGTATATGGCTAAAGAGGCAAGAATTGTCCCTGGCCAGGCTGTTGCGCTCTCAACCCTTAAAAGAGAGATGGGGAAGCCATGGCTTTCCAAAGGTTCCTGGGCTATCCAGTCCCACAATCCCAGACCACACTGGCCATGCCAGCTGGGGCTGGTAGGAGTTGGAGTCTAACAAGGGTGGGTGGGCACCAACTCCTCGCACCCAATGCAGAGAGAGGCGCTGATGGAACCGTTTTACCTTTACCAAAAAGAAGAGCCCATGGCACTAGTCCTGAAGATGCGAATACTGCGACGTGTGTGGGGTGCATGCCATGCAAGCAAGGCTTCATCAGAGTTGGTAAAGGGACCAAAGTCGCCCTGCCTTCTGTCTTTCCTACTAACAAACTAATGGCAAAGCATCTCCCCTGCCCATTGACTCCGTTCGTTTGCCCCCCCCCCACGTTCCAAATTAAAAGCCTCCTGACCACGTGACCCTTAGTCCTGACGGGGTCCAGGCGACAGCTGGAGGCTCCTGACTCCGAAGGCTTCGGCGCTCTCCGCCTCCTCCTCCTCCCTTTTGCGTAGGAGGGGCGGGGGCGGCTCCCCCTCCCTCCAGGCCCCTCCCACGGCGCCCTGCTTAAGGGCCGGGGTCCGAGCGCCCTTAAAGGGACAGGCTGCGGAAGAGGACCTTGGTGGGACGCCAAGCTCTTGGCTGGGGAGCAGGGAAGAGCGTGGGCTCGAGGCGCGGCGGGTAGCAGAGCATGGCAGGAGCGGCGGGAAGAAGGAGGGGAGGTGGGCAGCCGAAGGGCACAGGCGAGCTCCTGCCGGCTGGAGCTTGGGGAGAAGGAGGGAGGCAGCGGCGGCTGAGCGTCGGGGGAGCGCGGGCGGTACGCCGAGCACGCGAGGGCTCCTCCGGCCACTCCGCCGATTAGCTCGCAGGTGTGTTCCGCGCTGGGATCCGTCTGGCTTCTCCCGGTCCAACCTTGGGTGCGTGCTGGGTGCTTTAGAGCCTACGAGGCACCCTCTGCCTCTTCGGGCCGCCTATGGGCGCCGCACGTGGGGACACCTCGGTCTTCCGACGGCGCCGCTTCTTTAAAGGCGAGGTTGCCCCGCGCGTCCTTTCTGGGGAAGGGGGGCGATCGAGAGGCGGACCGAGGCCACCGGGCGAGCGGAGGCCAAGGCCACTCGCCCGCTTCCCGCCCCGAGCGCCCTCCCTCTCCCTAAACTGGGAGCGGTGCCCGCGCAGACGGAGCGAGGCAGCTTTAATCGGAGCCACCTGTCCCCCTCCTGGGACTCGCTGGCCCAGCGCCTAGGCGCCAAGTTGCAGGAGGGTTCAGGCCGGGTTAGAGGGGAGGGGAGGGGATGGCAGCCCGGGCGGCCCCGCGCGCACGGAAGGACATCTGCCCGATCTTTGTGCCAGCGCCCTGCGCAGCCTTGCTGCTGTCTAAGATCCTCTCCGCCGTCCCGCCCGCCTCCTCCTCCTCCTCCTCGGCCGCGGAGATGGAGAAGAGCCGCGGAGGGCGATGAAGCGGGCGGGAAGGAGGCACTTGCTGGCATCCCGGGCGCGCGGCCGTCTCGCCTCCTCCAAGGGCGACCCTCGACGGAGGGCAAGTCCTCCGCCTTGCTAGCCGCCGCCGCCGCCGCCGGCTGCCCAAATTGGATCTCGCCACCTTCCTCGCTCCAAAGCCGTTGGGATCCCTCGGTCCCGTCCCCCCCGTCCCCACTCCTTGCAAGGATACGCTGGTGACCCCCGCCAGGCAGCCACGGAGAGCCCTTCGCGCCACTCGTCTGGCTCCGTGGTGGCGACAGGGAAGGCGGGAGAGGACGCGCGGAAGAAGGAGCCGAGGGTCGCTTATGCCTCGCCCAGCCAGCCGCCAGAGGGTTGGCGAGCGGACAGGGGGGCCGACCCCCGACAGCACCCCCCTCTTCCCGAGACCGCGAGGAGCCCAGACGTGCCCCGGAGACCAGGGGATGCAGCCCTCCGCCGCCGCACTTGCCCTCTAGTAAGTAGCCCCGGTTTGTTTACTTCTCCCTCCGCCGCCGCAGCAGCAACAGCGGCGTCTGGCTAGTAAGTAACCCGAGAGGCGCCCATCCCGCTGCCACCTTGTCAATGTCACGCCTGGAGTTGTTCCTGGAGGGCTTTGCGCAGCGCCAAGTCCGTGGCGCTTTCCCCAAGTTCTGCACCCCCAAGGAAGAACTCGCCCTCCCTTTAAAAAACAACTCCCTTTCCTTGCTATCCCTCTCTCTCGCCTTCACTCTGAAAGCAGCTCCCATCCATCCACCCTCCGGGTTGTGTTGGGAACGTTTCCACGAAACACCAAGGTTGGCTTGGTTGGAAGGCAAGAGAGTTTGGTTGGTGTGTGTGTGTGTTTTGGCGCTCGCTTGTTCTCCCCTCCTAAATCGCCGAGTGTCGGTATTTTTACATCCCCCCCACCCCCCTTCCAGCACCTTGCGTAACATCGCATCAGGCAGGACACTTTGCATTTATTTTTGGTTAATCCATATGCGACCTTTTTAAGCTGCATTTTTTTGCCTCGCTCCCTCCCTTCTTCCTTCTTGCGTGTCTGAGCCGGAGCCCGGGAGGGAGGAAGTCTTGTCCCGGTGACAAATGGTCCTCTCCCCCCCCCCCCATGTTCCTCCTGGGCTTCTGGCATTTGTCTACAAACGATTAGGGTTCTAATTGGTATTGATAACGCTCTTCCACCCTCCCGCCCCGTCTCCAACTGTTGCTGCAGGAGGAGCAAAGGGGAGAAAGGGGGAAATTACATAAGAATGCTATGAATAATACGGTTTCTACTAATAAGGCGGACATACATTAGAGCATCGGGGTCTTAGAGGAAAGGTAGCTGTTGGGAACGAAGGTTTTTTTTTTTGGGTGGGTGTGTGGCGATTATTCATGCGCATCCGGAAGTTTTTTGGGGGGGAGAGAGAGGGAGACCTTTTGGGGGTAGAGGAACAAAAAGTCAGACAGGATAATGGGGCAGAGTGTGGCATGTCATGGAAGTACCTTCCTGAGGGGAAGAATTACATCACCATCATTTTCTCCCCTCCTCAAGTATCCTTGGAAGCGCTACAGAAGTAGATTCTCCTGAATCTCCCTCTGTTCCTTTTTCTCCTTCTGTTCTGTAATCTCAGTTTTCCACTTTGTCCTCTGTATATCAACAACGTGCACTATTCCCTGCTACCCAGTTCTAACTAACTTTCCTCCCTTCCTTTAGTTATATTCTCTTAAACTTGGTTGTTTCCTGGAATGGGATCATTATAATGCAAGTGATCCTTCTAGCCCAGTTAAAAGACATCAGAATCTCAATCATGGAGGAGGGAAACCTGTGCTTCACTCCATCCTCAAATTTAGGATTTTTAAAAGTTTGTAGCTTTGGTTAGTGCAGTGCGGTGGTTAGATTATGGGGCTAGGACCTGGGAGACCAGGGTTCAAATCACAACCCAGCCAAGTTGGGCATCCTTGGGCCAGTCACTGTCTCTCAGCCTAACCTACTTAACAGGGTGGTTGTGAGGATACAATAGAAAGGGGGGGTAACCCCCTTGAGCTTATTTTCAACACATAACAGTAGCAAATAAACAAAATATAACTCTCACACAGATAACAGGTAGATTTAAACGTACAGATATTTTAAGGAATTTTCATCATCCACAAAATTAAGGGGAGTTAAAATAATTTCCACTGACAGTTGTGTGTGTTACCTGGAGATACGTTTTGGGAGGAGAGGAAGGTGATAGTAAAGTGAGGTTTATAAATAAGGCCGTTTTGTTCTCCATAACCACCTGCCATGACTTGATATGAGTGGCGAGAAAGAAACTGAATCTGAAATGAAATATTCTCCAGGTTGGTTGGATATTTATTTTTTTAATGGGGGGGGGGGAATCATACCATTAAAAAGAAAAGAAAAGAACAACAAATCATACCATCAAGTAAAAAACTGAAAACTGAAACCTTAACATGGGAGAAAAAAGCCGAGTTAAAACCTTCTTTCATATATTAAAGATGCATTAAAAGCTATGCAGAATCGGAATGTTTTCACCCGCAGCCTGAGCGCTGTCAGGGATGGGGTTAGTCTCACCGCCTTTGGAATTAGAAACTGGAAACTCTGCTCCTACTGGAGGTGAAGAGGGGGCACCCAGGAGGTTCTCTTCTGCAAGCTCCATGGATATACAAGGGAAGGATCTGTTCAGTTTCCATTCATTTCCACTGGAACTCTTTGCTGCTGTTCTTGGGGTTTTCCTTCTTCTCTTCCACCTTTCTCTGTGTACTCTTTAGCAATCCACAATGTGTGTGTGTGTGTGTGTGTGTGTGTGTGTGTTGGCAAATGCAGCACCAACAAAATTCACTGTTTACGGCAGCACCAACAAAATACGGCTGCGACAGGTTTGCCTATGTATATTATAAAACAATATGCTTGAAAGGTGTTCCCTACAAACGGAGCTTTGCATGCAAAATGTTGGGAGCTGTGATAAGGTAGATGTTCTTCCTCTTCTTCCTCCTCCTGGGAAAGAGAAATACGCAGTACTGGGTTTTGAGGGCTTTCTCAAGAAGCCATCAGCCTTCACTTTCCTTGAGCTCCACAGAGGTGAAAATGTTGCCCTTCCATTGTGTCCAATAGCAAAAAATCTCTCCGACTTCAGGACCAAGGACCAAATCTGCTCCCACATTTCATAAGGTGGCGGTGGGGACATATGCCAAGATTTGCTTCCACCTGAATTTATTCCCTGCACCCACGGCCTCTGCCTTGTTTGAAGAGGGAATGTAGTAGCTCTGAAATGCCTTGGGGCTGACCACCCTCAGCATAGCAGCAGTGACTTCCCAATCCTTTCGGCTCATAATCTCCCTTTTAAATAATTTTCCTAAATAAGTACTTATGTGATGCTTATTTAGAGGGCTTTAGGAAATATGGATTAAAGAGGCTGTTTTTTCCTCCCGCTTTTTAATACATTTTTAAAAAGTACAGTCAGAGCAGGGGGTGGGGGCTGGGAATCTGTAGCATGCAGGGAAACTGGACAAGGAGGCAGGGAAGCAGGATCGAACCATCACCACCGGCTCTTCCTGCTACGTATTTCCTGGGGAAAGAAGAGAGAAGGGCAGCACTGGTGATGTTCTGTGTAGCCACAGCTTGAAATTGACAGAGGGAAAACACAGCACAGGAGTCTATACTTGCTTACAACTCTCATTCTTGAAAGATTTCCTTGGGTCTTTCTCGTTCCCTTGTAGTTTGGCAAGACTTGGATCACTTGACATACCAGTAAAAATAGGAAAAAGGTATATTTGAATTTAGCACATTCGGAGCCTCTTGGTCCCTTTTCCATCCATTCTGTGCTCTGGGTTGAAACAGCATCATCGTGGAGAGTCATCTCTGAGACACAGGGGTGATTGGAACTGCTTGATTCCAGCTGCAGCCTGAGATGGGTGCATCAAGCCTAGATAGTTACTGACTTTATACATTTCCTCAGTAGTTCATCTTTGGGTTCTGTTTTGCCGCATTCCCTCCCCGCACAACAGGGAGGAATATCTTACAATTCTGAATTGCTGGTCCTCTCTCAGCTCTTCATATCTGGTGTTCAAATTTACTGTCCACATTCTCCTGCCCTTGACATTACTGAAATGCTACTAAACATTTCAGGTCTCGGCCTTTGGAAGAGTTAAGCAAACACAATTCTGTTTACGCTCACTAAGTGTCATCCTTGCAACAATCTCCAAATCACTTTAGCTGCAGACACTTGTGACTTCTTCAGCCTTCATCACACTTTGCAGAGCTAGGCAGGGCTTTTCCCCCAGCCAAGACTCAATTTTGGCACCTCTCAGTGGGTGCCATTCCCATTATAAGAGAGGCGTTTGTGGTGAGTTTCGGCACCTCTTCTTCTAGAAAAACAGCAGTGGTCCTGTGTCAGTTACGTGGTTCTGTCCTCAACAGAATGCTTCAGAGAAATTGCTCGTCTCGCAGCTCCTCTGTGAAATGGCTACTTTGCATGTAGGTTGTGTCAAGGGATCCCGATACAAATGCAGGGAGATGGACAAGTGAGTGGAAAGCTGGAGAAAGATCTAATTGGATCTATGGAAAGCAAACTAGTGAACCCTGATCACAACCACCCACCTGCAGCAATATTGTTGTGCTTGTGCTTCCTCCGTACAGTGGTACCTCAGGTTACAGACGCTTCAGGTTACAGACTCCACTAACCCAGAAATAGTACCTTGGGTTAAGAACTTTGCTTCAGGATGAGAACAGAAATCGTGCTCCGGTGGCGCGGCAGCAGCAGGAGGCCCCATTAGCTAAAGTGGTGCTTCAGGTTAAGAACGGTTTCAGGTTAAGAACGGACCTTCGGAACGAATTAAGTACTTAACCCGAGGTACCACTGTAGTTGAATATCGCACAGCTCCATGCAGGCAATTGTGACGGGACAATCTGGAAAAGATGTTGTGTCTATGTGGGCAAGTAGCTTTTTCACGGGTCTCGCAACTTCCTATTGCTGCTGCTGCTGTGCAATGTGTTGCAGCTGCCCACTGTTGTGTCAGTAAAACAGACCGGCACGCTAATGGAAATACCGTTTTTTACATGACCACCCCTTGGAAGATATTAATTCAGTTAATGACTTTTCTCTTTTGCAAACAGTGGAGGCTATCAGTGGGGGTAGTTTTTACTTGTTTTATGGTGTGTTTGTAAATTGCCTTGAGATGTGTGTAAAAGGCAATCGATAAATTAATAAATGATGATGATAGATAAGAATAACAGAAGCCTTAGCTGGCAGTATCTGCAGCTGTTCACAAGTACTGAATATACTTTCCCACAAGTTCCCTCTGCATTTGCTTGATCAGGGATATTAACAGATCAAAACGGTTTTCACGTGAGAGAGGCGCTTCCCGCATGGAAGCTGCTTACATAATTCCTGTGAGTAGTTCATCAGCTGTGATGAATGCTTGGTGGCTATTTTGATACAGGTATGTTCAGCAGGAAGCCACAACTGACGGTGCAGTGGAATAGATGCCTTGTCACATTCATATTTGACAAACTGCACATGGCACCCATAAAGTTTCCTAGGCAGAAGTGATCTCCATGTTAATACCTTTTTTCTGAATTGCCTTCGATCAGGAACCCCCAGCCTTTTGGGGCCTGGGAGACACATCTGAAATCGAAGAAACTGCCATGGGCACCTCAAAATACCCATTTTGCAGAAGGAAAACTGACTAATCAAGACACAAATGCCAAACAACAGGCAAACGCCTATACTCCCAAAATAAAAAAGATAAAAAGCTGCCTCCCAAAAAGCATTCCCCCCAAACAAACAAAATACATATTTTAAAGTAAAAAATAAGAAGGAGCAGTGGAAACCTTGGTGGACACCAAGGGATGTCTGAGGGCACAATGGTGTCTATGAGTGCCATGCTGGGGACTATGGTCTTAAATCTTTATGTCCCATTCTCTTGGTATCTCTGCCAAAAAAATGTGTGGCAGGTGGTTACTGGGGACAGGGCCTTTTCAATGGTGGCACCCTAGCTATGGAATGCTGTCCTCATAGAGGCTTGCCTGGCATTCACTTTGTGGTCTTTTGGGCATCAGGTGAAAACTTCTTTTTATTTCTTTCGCAGGTTTTTTAAATTTTAAAACCTGCTTGGAATATCTTCTGGTGTTGCTTGAGAGTAATTCTCTACTAATTCTAATCTCTGCTGCTGGAGTTTTTATGCTTCAGCATTGTTGTTTTTTATTAGATGTCTTGCCTGCCCTTCACCACAAGTTCCCAGGGCAAGCTGCAACAGTGTAAAACAACAACATTGGAACCAGCTAAATTGCTAAAACAATTTACAATTAGAAGCGTAGAGGGGTGCCCTAAAATACAGGTATATAGTGTGTCAAAGGCCAGGGCAGGAAATATTACTATTATTATTATTATTATTATTATTATTATTACTATTATTATTATTATTACTACTACTACTATTCCACCCACCTGGCTGGGTTTCTCCAGCCACTCTGGGCAGCTTACAGCATATCTAAAAACATCAAGCATTAAAAATCTCACAATACAGGGCTGCCTTCAGATGTCTTCTAAAAGTTGTGTACTTCTTTATCTCCTTGACACCTAAAGGGAGGGCGTTCCACAGGGAGGGCGCCACTACCAAGAAGGTACATGTTTAGTATACAACTGAACTGATTTGCCTTAGTGTGTCATCTCAACCAGGCGTGAGGTCTGTCTCTGCCCCAGACAAGCCAATAATTATAACCAAGGTTTTGCTCACCATTTACAGCTTGTGGTCTGTCTGGAATGAGACAAACCTTGAGCCCAGGTTCAGATAACATTCAAAGCAAAACCATGGCTTTGCTTGCAGGAGTGCAGCAACAGCCGCAGGATCAGAGGAACAGCAAAATAGCCACAATCTCCTCTCCAGCAGCTTGTGCATTTGTGCTAAGCCATGGTTTGGCTTCACATCACTTGTCTCTGACTGAATATGTCGTTGGACCCTGACTCTTAAGCAAATAACATTTTCTTGGCAAAGATGACTTCTCAACAGAATAGAGGCTTCTTTCACCTGTCCAGTTGGAGGAAGTAAAACTTCAGAATATTATCCTTGGCTAACTAGACTGCCTTTTAAGCAGGCAACAATTCTTATTTCAGGGCAGGTCTGTGTATGGAGCAGAATGAAGTGGCAGAGTCCTGCAGTTTTAGAAGTGACTGTACCACTCCAGTTTGCATAGGGTGGTGGTGGGGGACATGATTGGATGCCCGCATTTAGAAAGGAAGAAAGCAAAAGCCCTCGCAAGTTACTTTGCTATTGCCCTAGGAATAATCTGGGCTGTGTAAACTTGATTTTTAAATTGTATATGGCGGGAGGGGCGGGACATTCACAAATGTACTCTGAAACAGTGCAATCACTTATACCATCTTGTTCTGCTGTACTTGTTGATTGAGCCTCATTCACACAACAGCTGTGTGTGCCTGCCTCGCATTTGTCCCCCCCCCCCCCTTGGAATGAAGAACTGAGATTGTATGATTGACTCGCCTGTGGCTGATTTGTGATTTGAGCCCGGGCTGCAGATCCCAAGCCAGCTGCTGCCTTTACGTGATGGGTTTTGGAAATGCTGAGGAAGATGGATGCCCTGTGAAGTTGCGGGGGGGAGGGTTTGGAGTTATTTCCATGAGCTGGGCTAGCCATGAGGACCCAGCGGTATGGATGCAACACTGAGCACAACTGCTTCTCTGTATTAACTGTATCAGTTAGGTTCCCCTTTGTGCTTCTAATCTCAGAGTGACAGGAAGACCTAATATCCCTATTGTATAAGAATCTCTGTGTGAAACTTAAATGGGCTACCACCCCCTGTGCCCACATGAGTGGGAGAGAGGATTATTCCATGCAGCAGGAAAATGTCTCAGCCTTTTCTCACTCCTTACAGAATGCTGTGATGTCACAGCATTCCGTAAGGATTGGGGCGAGGGATGTGACGTTCTCTTGCATGAATTGGTCCCGAGTCTTATCTCCCACTTATGTAAGTGTTTTCTTGAGGGGTAAGACACATCCTACAAGAGAGGATGAATCCTTTTTCAGTTCTACCTCTCTTTCAAATCAGAACCAGTGAAGGCAGTGAAGGTCCTGTGTGAGTGCCTGGAGGCGGTTGGAAGATGGATGGCGGCTAACGGATTGAGGTTGAATCCTGACAAGACAGAAGTACTGTTCTTGGGGGACAGGGGGCGGGCTGGTGTGGAGGACTCCCTGGTCCTGAATGGGGCAACTGGTCCCCTGAAAGACCAGGTGCGCAGCCTGGGAGTCATTCTGGACTCACAGCTGTCCATGGAGGCGCAGGTCAATTCGGTATCCAGGGCGGCTGTGTACCAGCTCCATCTGGTACACAGGCTAAGACCCTACCTGCCCGTGGACTGTCTCGCCAGAGTGGTGCATGCTGTAGTTATCTCCCGCTTGGACTACTGCAACACACTCTACGTGGGGGCTACCTTTGAAGGTGACCCGGAAACTACAATTAATCCAGAATGCAGCAGCTAGACTGATGGGGGCAGCCGCCGAGACCATATAACACCGGTCTTGGAAGACCTTCATTGGCTCCCAGTATGTTTCCGAGCACAATTCAAAGTGTTGCTGTTGACCTTTAAAGCCCTAAACAGCCTTGGCCTAGTATACCTGAAGGAGCGTCTCCACCCCCATCGTTCTGCCCGGATGCTGAGGTCCAATGCCGAGGGCCTTCTGGCGGTTCCCTCACTGCGAGAAGCAAACCTACAGGGAACCAGGCAGAGGGCCTTCTCGGTAGTGTCACCCGCCCTGTGGAACCACCTCCCATCAGATGTCAAGGAAATAAACAATTACCTGACTTTTAGAAGACACCTGAAGGCAGCCCTGTTTAGGGAAGTTTTTACTGTGTGACATTTTAATGTATCTTTAATCTTTGTTGGAAGCCACCCAGAGTGGCGGGGGAAACCCAGCCAGATGGGCGGGGTACAAATAATAAATTATTATAATATCATTATTATTGTTGGTATCTATCTGTCTCAAGAGACCATGGAGAGCACCTCCAGGGATGAAGTCAAATCGCTGCATTAGCACCAAAGTGACCTCCCCTAGGCACAAGCCTGGGCAGTGTGTATGGAGGTCCTGGGCTGCCCAGACAACAAGACCCTCCTCTTGGCCTCACTGATGTGATTCAAAGGAAAGCAGGGCAATATGCTTGGCACCAGCTTGGCTGCAGGAGTTGCCAGAAGAAGGCATACAAGACAACATCAACCATCTTAGGGACTCCCCTCTGGATTTGTGAAGGGTTTTACTCCTTAGCCATTTCTACTCCCAAAGATATCCTGCAAGGCAGCAGAGGTTTAGGATCCTAGATGGGCTACCTTTCCAGGTTGATGAACCCCATCTGTCCCTCACTTCTCTCTACAGCACATTCAGAAACCTCCTTCTTGACTGTTGGGTCCAGTATTGGTCTCATCCGCTCAATCTGCCACATCTTCGCAAGTCCCTAACTCGCTGAGGGTTTGAGACCCATTGGCTACCCTCACCTGGTTTAGCCGGTCAGTTGAAGCCATTTCCAGGGTGTGGCCACTGTCATATACTGACAGCTTCTAGGAGCCACAGGTGAGAGCTGAGTACAGGGTGGGGTCCAAAGATGGACAAACCACCCGAGAAGGAGCACAACATGTCCCCCACTAGCAGTATTACACTTCCCCTAACACCCCCTACACTTTTTCAGTAGGGAGCCAGATTTGACTGGTGCTGTTGCGAGTTGGTTTGGGTTGGTTCGGTTTTGCCCAAACGACTGCAAAAAGAAATGTCCTCGTTTTGTCTGTTGTATGGACTAATCCAGCCTTAAAGGTGGGGCCAAAGTGAGTAAAGGACGATGATTTGACTAGGGTCTGGAGTTTAGGTATGCTTGTTTACTTACACTCAGTGAAAGAATTGTCGTCTCTCTGCTGGTATATCAAAGGGAGAAAAACAGAGGGGGGGGCTTGGTGCTTCTAGTGCTACTTTTGGTCCCATCTTTGTTCGAAAGGGGTTGTTGCTGATCGAAAGAAGTAGATCAGTTTGTGCCTTGCTACTAGTCAAGAGGACATAGGTGGCGCTGTGGGTTAAACCACAGAGCCTAGGGCTTGCCAATCAGAAGGTTGGCGGTTCGAATCTCCGTGATGGGTTGAGCTCCTGTTGCTCGGTCCCAGCTCCTGCCAACCTAGCAGTTCGAAAACACGTCAAAGTACAAGTAGATAAATAGATACCACTCCGGCGGGAAGGTGAATGGCGTTTCCGTGCACTGCTCTGGTTCGCCAGAAGCGGCTTAGTCATGCTGGCCACATGACCTGGAAGCTGTACACTGTCTCCCTCGGCCAATAAAGTGAGATGAGCGCCGCAACTCCAGAGTCGTCCGCGACTGGACCTAATGGTCAGGGGTCCCTTTACCCTTTACCTTTATTAGTCAAGAGGGTAATCGGGTCCTGCAATGAGACATTGCAGTGTGGTACACACCTGTTCAGGGTGCCAGACCACTTGCTCCATTCCATTCCTCCCTCTCCCCCAGCTTTTCATTACTAAGAATCCTGTGGTCGCTGAGCATGTTCTGTTCTCAGTGGTCCATTGGGGAGATTTTTCTCCCCTTTATCTTCCCCTCAGTAGTGGCAGGGTGGAATTTCAGAGCTGCCCTCTTCGCAGTGCTGCAGTTTACCTGGGATTAGGGTGGTGTGGTGGTGAGGTTGAGGCTGCACGGGTGCCCTGGTCTAGCCAAGTCTGTGTTCCTCCTGTCCATGTGCCCACACAATCCTGACCTTGCAGCCACCCTGCCCATCTCCATCTAGGTCAGCTTCATTGATGATGGCAGTGTCGGGAGGGAGGCTCCGCAGTGCAGCCCAGCCACACAAGCTGCTACTGCTTTCCCCTAAATGTATTTCATATTTCTCCAAACCCTGAGGGTTATCCCAGACATGCCGACACCTCTCTTCTGTTTCTCGGCAGTCCCATTTGGGCTGCATAGCTGATGGCGCTCAGCACTAGAGTTTGTTTTTTATGAGATTTATAAACCTGCCCATCACCAAATGGTCCCAGGACAGGGTGCATACATTATTAAAATCAAATTAAATGCAATCTAGGCAGAAACGTACCCGCCATCTAAAACATTAAACCTACTGCAAGTGATGGACAAAGTTTGCCTGCTTTTGCTTGGGATGTCCTTAAACCGTGGAGTGTTGTCAGAACTTCAGGACCTCCCCTGAACTGGCCCCTTTTCCAGGGGTTTATTAGAGCAGGTGAATGTTGTGATCTCCATTATCTGCTTCTCACTTATCTTAACTTATTGATTATTCCATAGTCTATGTTGTCCATGAGCTCCTTATAAGTGTTGTTGCTACAACACTTCAAACTTTTCCTATTCGCAAATTCTGGATGTCCTTCAGAATGTCTGGGTGTCAAGAGAACATTGTGTCAAGCAAGTGTTATCGCCACACTTTCCAGTGCATTTCCCCATCACTTTCTTTATTGCCAAAAAGCCAGTTTAGGGCAGTGGGGTTTGTTACGCAAGAGCAGCAAATCAACTTTGAGTGTGCTTGTCTGGATTTTCTGCAATGTGATTGAATTCCCCTTGAGCCCAGCACCATCAGAACTGAAGAATTCAGAGCCATCAGTTTGTTTGGAGTTCCAAAAACAAACACACAACAAGCTCAAAGTCCTGCTACACAAACCAGGTTACTCTCCCCTTGCCAGCTTTCTTAATTTCAGGGGAAGTCACTTCATTGTTGCCACTGCTAAACATATGTGTATCAGAAATCCTAGCTGATCTACCTCAAATTACCCAGGGATCTACCACTAGATCATGATCTCCCTTCTGCCTACCCCTAGTCTACAGAACAGAAGATATATATACTGGTTAAGCAGTAATTCCTCTCCCTGTGGAATCTTGGGGCTGGTAGTGTTCTGTAGGCGGGTATTTAGAACGTCTAATGGGATTTTTGCACACTGTGAATCCCAGGATTCTTTGGGAGGGGGCAGCTATCACAGTTCAGCTATCAATGGGCAGTTCAGCTAATATAAAGCCAATCTCTGTATGTAATGTAGATGTTGCCCGCAGGCTCGTGAAGGATGTCTCCCCAAGCTTTGCTTTTCATAATGCTCCTGAGGGGGAGAATTGGGGAAGGCACTTTCACAGATCAGGGGTGTCCCCTTTGAATAAGACAATGGGTGCTATTGAGATTCGGAGTGCCTGTGACATTGCGTTGCAAGCTCAAGGTGATCCAACTGGGTGTGAATTATAGAGACTGCATCCCAGTGCATTGTAGAGCCAGTGCTCTTGAATCAGAAAACAAGGCATCAACCCTTGTCTCGGAGGTGCCCTTTCCCCAAGTTCTGACCACTTGTTGTCAGTCATCGCACTCTGGTGCTCTGCAAGCAGAGCTGAAGGGTTCTTCTGGCTGGATTTCCAAAGTCCCAGCAACGTACTGACCTCAATTTAATTCTGTATTTAGAAATGGAGATGGCATCCTCGTTCTCTTTATCCTGTCCTTGGCTGTTTTGTGTGTGTGTGTGTGTGTGTGTGTGTGTGTGTGTGTTGCAACTTGGCACTTAAGGAGATGCCACTGTTTAGCCCTGGAATAGTGTGTATTTTAGAGCTAGTTGAATTGATCTTTGCATTTGCCCTTAAGAAGTCGCCTCTTTTGTATTTTATTTTTTGCAGGTTAAGGGGCTGCTGTGAGATACAGGGGACAGTGAGATGAGGAAAGAGGTGAACAATCTGGCCCCAGCCCAGCAAAGCACTCAAGTATGATTATTAACATTATGCTTGTGAATAATCCCATTGAAGTCTGTGCTTAGTTTAAGCACAAGCGTAAGTGCTTTGCTGGATAGGAACCAGGGTGCACTGTACCTTAGAGCAAGGTCAAAGAGTTATAGCGCACCTTTAGCAAATTTCACAAGGGCGACCCTTTTTGGTCTGTATGAACCAGTCATTTATTATTAGTATTTTATTCGAAGAATTCGATTTATAAAAAGGTAGAGTGACCAAAAAAAGAAAGAAAAAAGTGAGTGAGAATGAAAAAAGAGGGGGGGGGAATACTCCATTACATTTCCATACATTAGTATATAGATGTTTATAATCTTTTTATCCTAATACACACATAGTTATCAATAACCAAATATATTCTGTGTAAACTCATTCCAAATATCATTTATCCAAAGAGAGTCTGCATTTATAAGCTGCCCATTCGTATGTTGCCAATATTGTCATGTTGTCAAGTCATTGATTAAGGGGAATTGTATCTTTATGCTTCCAATTCATCAGTATCTGCCTCTTGGCCACCATTAGGGTGCATAGAATCCATTTTCATTTTTGGGCACACTGCGATATCGCAGCCCCCCCAAAACCACCTTTTTTAGGGCGAGTTCTCAGCATGAAATTGTACACTTAAAATGGCCGCTGTACTCTTGTAGGGGGAAATGGGATGTTCCTTCTTTTTCGGGACACTTGTGGTGTATGCACACACACACAAACACCCGCCCGCCCCCATAGCTCAAATGACATTTCATGTATGATATGTTCAGGGAATCATAACATTACTTTTGTTGTTCATTTCTGGTTTTCAATCTATCTCTCTGGCTCTGGATCTTCATCTTAGCATTGAGTAACGAACTTGATATTATGAAGGAACCATGGAGTTTCCAACCTCCTTTTCACTGTCTAACATTAATATGCTCAAACCACCTTGCTCTGGTGAGCAACCTGGCCGCTGAATTCTGCACTAGCTGAAGTTTATGAACCATCTTCAGAGGCAGCCCTCTTCTTCTTCTTCTTCTGTGATTACTCGTAGCCGAGTAAAGTTGTCTTCCATAAACATGGTTTTAACAATGGGCCGTAAGGGACTATGGAGGCCAATTCTGGATCCACACATCCTCCCCACAGTGTGGACATTGGTTTCCTGGAGGGAGTTGATCACGGTGTGGATTTGCCAAGTGTGCCTTCCTCTTAGCACATTTCTCCCTTGCTTCCTAAGATGCATCCTGAGTGTCTTCAAAGCCCATGACACCTTTGGTAAAGGCTGTTCTCCAGTTGGAGCACTCGCAGGCAAGTGTTTCCCAATTGTTGGTGTTTATAACTACATTTTAAAAAATTTGCCTTGAGACAGTCTTTAAACCTCTTTTGTTGAAAACCAGCATTAAGCTTTCCATTTTTAAGTTTGGAATAGAGAAGTTGCTTTGGAATCAGGCATCCGCACAACATGACCAATCCAACAAAGTTGATATTGAAGAATCATTGCTTTGACACTGGTGATCTTTGCTTCTTCCAGTACACTGGTATTAGTTTGCCTGTCTTCCCAAGTAATGTGTAAAATTTTTCGGAGACACCGTTGATGGAATCTTTTGAGGAGTTGGAGATGGCGTTTATAAGCGGTCCATGTTTCACAAGCATACAGTAAGGTTGGTAGTACAATAGCTTTGTAAACAAGCATTTTGGTTTCCTTGCGAATGTCCCAGTCGTCAAACACTCTGCACTTCAATCGGCAGGAAAGCCACGAAAGACCAAAGTCTGTCCCTGCTTCTGTGATACTTGAACGTTGGCTCTTCTTCTGTTAAAGATTAAGTCCTGGTATCAAGCAGGCTGGTTCCGGTGTGCATAACTCTTCTCACTAGACAGAGGTAGTCTTGAAGCTGAAGATGGAGCCACAAAGCAGCTGAAGCATGATGCAGGAGTTTCTGTAGTGTTAGTGGTGCATCAAATCTGATACAGAAGAAACTTATTAGCCTCTATGGGGAGAAAGTGCTGCCTACAATGTGTTTAAATGTCCTTGAAGTGAAATTAAAATGGGCGAATCTTGGATTTAAGAGACTCTGGGCCTCTTTTTTTTGGTGTGTTTTTTAACTGTTCTCAGGTAGTTGATGCCATAATCACCATGAATTATTGATCACAGGGCTAAAAATACTTGGAAATTCACAGCAATGAATAGAAGAGCCTTTCCTACCAGCCCGGCCCAGCCCAGGCAGGGAGGCTGGAGTGTGTAAACTTGAGTATGTCATGTTACGATGCCTTCACAAATTTGATGCAGTCACAATAACCGCGAATGTCAGCTCTGAGAAGGTATCAGGTGTCTGTTTGTATTGGCTTCAATGCCTTCTCCATTTCCCCATGCTGAGGTTGAGGAGGATCGGGCAGGCACTAGGACCTAGGAACTACCTCCTAGCTTAAGACGCTTGAGAAACTGGCCCAGGATAGTAGCATCATTTAGGTCCCACCTTTTCTCCTTGCGGAGAGCCAAATATTTCTTCCCCTTGCTTCTGCGATCCCAATACAACTCCTATACGTCCCTGTGGCAGGCCCCCTTTTGCCCCATATGTGCTGAGGACTGACATGTCTTATGCTCATGCAATGTGGCAAGAAATATGAAGCCTGCATTGTAATAGCACTGATACGCATCACATTTCCTGCTGGCAGAATGGGAGATCTCTGTTCACATAATCTGGATCCTCCCTTTTCTTAAGTTTGATGCTTCTAATTTGTTATTGCTTAGTCGTTTAGTCGTGTCCGACTGTTCGTGACCCCATGGACCAGAGCACTTCCACTGCCTCCTGCAGTCTGGTCAAACTCATGTTTGTAGCTTCGAGAACACTGTCCAACCATCTCGTCCTCTGGCGTCCCCTTCTCCTTGTGCCCTCCATCTTTCCCAACATCAGGGTCTTTTCCAGGGAGTCTCCTCTTCTCATGAGGTGGCCCAAGTATTGGCGCCTCAGCGTCACGATCTGTCCTCCCAGTGAGAACTCAGGGCTGATTTCCTTAAGAACGGATAGGTTTGATCTTCTTGCAGTCCATGGGACTCTCAATGCTTCTAATAACAAGGGGTTATGTACACAAGGGTAGCTGCGGCTGGAAGCCCTGCAACCCTCGCCAAGGGTAGGAACAGCCTGTGGCCGTTTGGTGCGCAAGCCTAGGCTGTCAGGGCTGGCCCAAAACATTTTGCCGCCTGAGGCGCAAAGGACAAGATGGCGCTCCCCCTCCGCCATTCGTTGTACAAAGGCCAACCAGATGGACAGTTAACTCTTAATTCAATGTCCGTGTTGAGACAGCATCCTTTGCCACACCTGAGGGCAGCAAGTTAACTTATGGAGAACAGGGCAGCCACCTTACATGGCTCAGTCCTGCAACAGAGGGGAATGTCTGGTGGTTCCGAAGGAATAGCTGGGGAGGAGGCAGCTGCTATTGCCACCAAAGCCCTCAGTGGCCTCACTCTGCATCTGAAAGGGTGTGAAGGAGGGTGGCACATCAAACAGGCTACAGTTTACTGTAATTCTAATTCCTGTCCCTAGTGAATTAATAAGGACCTTGATGTACTACTGAATTGTCCTGGCTGTTTTCTCCTTTGGGTTCCCCACTTAGGCCTTAAAAGCCTATCCTCTTTTCTTTCTTTTTTTTCCTGTGCAAAGCTCAGATGCATACTTGAGTACTGAACCTTTTATTATCAAATTTTCATTAAAAGTTTTCTGCGTAAAATACAGGAACATTCAAACTAATCTAAAGAGGGGGTGGGGAATGAAAGAGCAGAAGTAAAGAGAAAAGAATAGAAAGGAGGGGGGATGTTAAAAAGAATACAGAGCCCTCTGTCAACAATACATTTTAACTTTTATTCTATGTCATGAGGGTGGACCCTCCCAGCTCTCACCTGGGATCCTCGCTGTCTTCTGCCTAATCTCCCACCTTGAAATATCTTCTCTTTAAAAGCCTATCCTCAATGCTAGGCCATCCATATTGTTTTCCTTTTAGGAAGCATCCTTATATCATGTTTAAGACTCTTTGGCCATCTAGCCCAATATTGTCTCATCTGACCTACGGGACCTTTCTTAGGAACTCAGACAATGGGGCCTACCCGCTATCTCACCTAATCTCCCTAACTAGAGATACCAGTGACTGAACTGGGTGCCTTCTGCATCCAACACATGTGGTCTACCACCGAGTTATGGCCCTTCCTTGGTGTCAGGTATGAAGGCGGGGGAGACCTACCTGCAATGCTTCAAGGTGCTCTTATTTTCTATTTGGCTGGCTGGTTCCTAAAAAATCAAAATGAGGTGAATGAGGGGAGGGAACAAAAGAGGCAAAGTTGGCCTTACATTAGGGTTGTCCATCTCTTTGCTTTACCTTGGACATTTAACAGCAGCCAGACTGAGGACACCATTTAGGGAGAAGGAGGTTGGGAGCAGACACTTCTGGTCTTCAGGCTGCATGTGATAATTCCTCAGGAATATCCATGTCTCTTGTCACGAAGTAGTCTAATTTATCGCAATTTTATTAAAGCCAAAAAGAGTGAAAGGAAAGGAGGAAGTGTGGAAAAGAAAGAAAATCCCATCAGCTCACATTCGCAATGCAGTAACCACCAGTTCATCCGTCTTAGTTTACACATAAAGCTCGATCTATGTCATCCAAATGTCCAGATAGGTATCCAAGTGAAGTTAGCCTTTATAAAAAGTGGTTTGAAATGCAGCAAGGGCATTGAGGTCTTCTGATAGCAGACATTTAGCCTTCCAGGTTTGAAGTAGAAATCTCTTAGCGGCCCATAATGGTTCTCAACACCCTTTTTCATTGTTATGAAGTATACAAGTAACAAAAACAAATGCTCTTTGACAGATTCCAGATATAGGCTCCAAGAGCAGATCTTCAAACCTTGCTCTGCAGTTTGCACTACCAACCTAAAAATCTACCCGCCCCCCTCAGCGCATGCATTTAAAAGAGTCTGAAGCAGCCCCCCTCCACCTGACATGCAGAAATGAAGGCGCTGAAACATTTCCCCCTTCATTTTGTCTCTGTGCCAGGGGAAATTGATACAGTGGTACCTCGGGTTAAGAACTTAATTCGTTCTGGAGGTCTGTTCTTAACCTGAAACTGTTCTTAACCTGAGGTACCACTTTAGCTAATGGGGCCTCCTGCTGCTGCTGCGCCGCCGGAGCACGATTTCTGTTCGCATCCTGAAGCAAAGTTCTTAACCCGAGGTACTATTTCTGGGTTAGCGGAGTCTGTAACCTGACGCGTCTGTAACCTGAGGTACCACTGTATTTGCTTGGAATGCATGTTTTACATGCATTATATTCAGTGCTCTTTTTCAGGGGGTACACTCAAGGGTACACAGTAATGGCACCTCTTTTTCATTGTTAAAAAGTGTGGTGCTTACTGTAACAACTTCATGGCGAGTATCGGCACCTATTTTTCTAGAGAAAAAAAGCACTGATTATATTAGATGCAAAGTCTACTGCAAGGATAGCCAACCTGTTGCCCTCCAGAGGCTGGGCTAAAACTCCCATCATCCCTAATGAGCCAGGGGTGCAAAGATCCGCCTGGCACGCACCTCCCTGGTTGCCCAGTCCCAGGCACGCAGGAGGGTGGAGCCGTCCGCCTGCCTCGGCGTCTCGCTGGCTCAGTCGCCCCCAAACTCATGGCGCAGAGCCTCCCGCAGCAGAAGAGCCCGCTGTGGCGCTCTGACCGATGGGCAGGCTCTTCCTCGGACTCTCGGGCCCCGGACTCTCGGGCTGGCACCCCCGAGAGCCCGGCGCCCGGGTGCCCCACACCCTTAGTGCCTATGGGTAAGATGGCCCTGCTGTCATGTTTTGAACACGCATATGATTAACAGAATGCACCGGTGGGCGGACGGACAGGTTTGCGCTCCCCTCATTTCCTCCTTCCCAACTTTTGCACATTCATCCATTATATGTACATGGAGCCTATATGCATGCAGGATTGCCTGACTTGGAGACTTAAGCACAAACCAGGCACCCTGATTGCACCTCCTTGTGTATATAACTTGCGGAGATGTAGACTCTGTGCATACAGAGCTGATGAATGCATGAGGTTGGGAGTGTGTGTGTGTGTGTGTGTGTGTGTGTGTGTGTTTGTTTGCAATCCTCCTTCCTCTCATTGTGTTCGTTGCACACTGCTCTAAACCAGTGTTTAAACATGCCACATTTAAGCCAGAGATAAGGATGGAAAATGATCGTCACATTTCAGCAGAGGTGCAAATCTTGAGTATCCAAAGCACCCTACAACTCTTAGGCCAAACATAGCCAACCCTTTACTTGACACACCTGAATGTTTTCTATGGTGTGTGTATGGGGCAGGGGATCAGATATCAAATCCCTAGAGAACTTGAGGGAGACTCTAGTGCCTTCCCCTGTTAGGATTGACCCACTTGCATTGGTGTTATTCCTCCCCCCCCCCCCAGTTGTTTAGTCTGTTCATCAGAACTCCCCTATTCATAATATATATTTGGTCTCTTCTTCTCTTCAAAGTAACATGGAATGGCTGCATTGCTATAATTTGCAACAACACAGAGTGCTTTCCTGATTTGTGCCCCCAGGGATATGCTGAGGATGATACCTTTCTGTGGAGATAGGCAGCCATGTGATTGTCATCATTAATCCCTGCTCTCCAGGCTGCATATGGATGAACATGTTTTGAGAAGAGTTATAACGCCAGTCGCATTGTGATGGATTTATTGGCTCTCGTTACTTTCCAAAGGAGGCCCTGCCATGAGGCGAGGCGAGGCGAGGCGGCTGCCTCAGGCAGATGATTTTGGGAATTGCTATTGGTGGCCGTGTGGGGAGATAGACAGATTGGGCCCATCCAGGACCATAAGGTGGTGCTGTGCAAACCTCATCGAAAGTCATTTCTATGGGACTTGTCCAGAAGAATTTTCTAGTAGAGTGGGTGACATAGTATTTTGTGTGTGTGATGTATTCCTCTCTAGAAAACAACAGAGAAAGCATGCAGGAGGGAAATCTAAGATTGCACTCATTCACTCGCCACACACACCCAACTTAAATGCATTAATTCATGCTCTGTGCATAGAACTTACTGCGCATGTGAAAGAAAAGAATTTACTGCACATGCATTGTGCACAGAACCTGATACTTTGGTTTAGTGCATATGTTTGAATTAACGTGTGGAGGTCAGGGATGGGACCCCATCTAGGGTTGCCGTATTTTGAAGAGCAAAAAAGAGGAGACATTTGCTGACTTAACTATGGATCACTATGGTGACTCTACCCATGAAAAAGAGGACATGTCCTGGAAAAAGAGGACATATAGCAACCCTACCATGGACATGAATCTTACTCTCCTACTTCCACACGTTCCTTCTTCCTTGGTTGTTATTTGAAAAGGGCTTCTACCTTTCTACCATGTTGCATCCTGCTCTGCCTCTAAGAAGCAGCCCAGTTCAGCAGACCTGAGATTATCCCGTTCTCTGCCCCCACCCCAAATATATGAATAGTGAACATTTTCTATAGTGCTTATATAGCAGCCCCATCCATGCAGAAAGGGACAGAATCAACAGGCTTGAAGGCTATACAAACTTAACCAGGAGCAAGTCCCATGAAACTCAATGAGGTATACTTCGGACATGCATAGGGAATGTGCTGTGAGTTCCTTCGTACTGGAAGGAAATGCCATAAGCAGACTCTCTTAATCACCTCTGCTGGAACAGCATCAGAGGTAATTATCTCCAGTACAATCATTACAGTTGGTATTAATAGTCGAAAGAACACTTGGGGTGGGGCAGAGAGCACTTTTTATGCACACCATTACAGATGTGAAGTTGGGTTATATCACCCCATTCATCATTTTTAGCAGTTGCTCACATTTTAGGAGATCTGCCCCGCAATATGAAGCAAATGTACTGTGAAAAGAGTTTATCCAGATTTTTTTTCCTTTTAATTGTCGCAAAGCAATTTCTCCTTCAATTATAATTGAAAATAAGAATTTTAACATGAATACTTGGAGGTGCTGCAATTTGGTGAAAGAACACATGCAGAGAACACAGAATTATCTGGGTTTCCCATCATTCCTGGCATCCCCAAAGATCTCAGATTGCAACGTTGAGAAAGACCTTTGCCTGAGACCTTGCAGAGTAGACAATATCGCAGGGCTGGTGAGCATCTGACCCTCCCGATTTTGCTGGAATCCCTGACTATTGGCTATGCCGGCTGGGCTGATGGGAGATGCTTAGTCCTGCCACACCTGGAGAGCCCACAGGTTAGCTACCCCTGCAATACTGAGTGGTTTGACTCTGTGCAAGGCAGATTTCGTTCATAGGATGAATCACTGACGGTGTATTCTGCACTTTGATTGAATTACTCCATGTGCCACAGCTCTGTACTTAAATAATATAAGAATTAAAAGTGGTATGGTTTGGGTCCCCTAAAGCAGGCATGTCCAAAGTCCGTTTTGGGGGCCTAATCCGGCCCGCTGGTCGATTCAATCCTAAAAAAAAAAAGCTCAACAATTTCAGTCGGTCCTCATGCATGTTCACTTCATCAAATCTGGCCCTCTTTGAAAAAGGTTTGGGTTCCCCTGCCCTAAAGTGTATAACACAGTCACAACAAGTCCTTTGATGTCAATGTTAGCTGTTGTACCTTGACTATGGAATCCGGGCTCCACATCAATGTTGGCAAATTTTGTTTTATTAGTGTTGGACATTCTCTCTCTGTATGTGAGAGAGAATCAATTGTTCCAGAAACAGAGAAGTTGTTTCAGGAATCATCAGAAGGCTGAGATTGTTTTTTCCTATGCAAGGACATTTTCTGTGGGAACTGTTCTTTGGACAGGCACAATGTGACAGGAAGTACTGATAACAACTGTTCTATGTAACTTGTAGCTTGTTGTGAGTCTCTTGCTTGCACCTTGCGGGGAGAGAAGCAGAGAGAGAGAGAGAGTCTTGGACTCTTATTGGACTCAAGTTTGCCTTTACCATGGTAGTGGTGAGTGATTGCATATATTTGCTACCAATACACTTTTATACCTGTCAAGTAAACTTCTGCACTTGACTGAATCTTTATGGCATCCATGAGTGTTTATTGTCTACTGTGTGTACCTTCAACCCGAAGGAAGGAGCTGCGTTGAGATGTAACTCTGCTGAGTATGGATACTGGCACACATGCACAGCGAAAGTGATGCCGGACCCAATCCTACTAAAGCATCCATCAGAGGTTGATGGATTGATCCATCAATTAGTTTACGCAGTTCCCCTGGCAGGGGTCTTAATGCAGACCTGCAGCAGTGTTTCACTTAAGCCAGATGAAGTCTGTGTGGCACTTAAGAAAACAGTGCAAAAGTTAAAGGGACAGTGCACAGTACATGAAGAGTGCAGCGCAGATGACCTAATATGTTTGGCTTCACTAATGCAGGGAATGGCTGGGCAGTTTATAATATGCCAGATTCGAAAGCACCCTGCTTGAGCCCAACCTAGTTCCAGAGAACGATCTTCTGAGTGTGTGAATGACCTTCTAGTATCCATCTTCTGAAAAGAAATTGGGCATGGTGGGCAAGTGCTGAGGATTGTGCTGGGAGGCACCAGGAGTGCAACTACCCTGGGCCCTGCCAATGTCCTGTTTCCTCCAGTTGTTTTTCAGCTAAGTGCTTGCATCTGTCTAAATGGAGCCCAGCAGGCAAAGGTCCGCCCAGCAAGGGATGTTCTCCCCACAAAGCAGCGCCGTATTTGGAAATCCAATTTTTTAATTACAGTTGGTGCGTCCAAGACTCCTGCTGGCAGCTGACATCTTGCAGCAAAAAGAGAGAGGAAGAGGGATGGAGAGGAAACCCGGATTAGTGACGGCAAGAGAGCAGGAGCCCAGGGCAAAACTGATTCCCGCCCTCTTCCAACCCCGTTAATGCTTTGATTATCACTGGCCAAGTTTTTGCCGTTAAATTTTTGCATTTCCTTTTCCAAATGCTAACATTTGCGCTTGGGGCATCAAGCTGGTGTTAGCATTGGGGTGGAATGGAATTTTGCTCAGTGAACGGACTTCCGGGGTGGCGCCATCGGCAATGGCGGACTCCCTCTGAATTGGAGGGACTAGCTCCGCGCGAAACGGGTCTTTTCCGCTATGGCGAAGCGGGGACCCTTTTAAAAATCACAGGCAGATGAAGCCTGTGACCATGGGACTCGGCGGGCACCCTTAGCGCCCCCCCAACCCGCAAAGGAACCCACTAACGGGCTCCGAAGCGAAGAGGGGGAAGTGGCGCGGTGCTGTGAGTCAACTGCTATTTCCGTGGAGCGAAGCCGCACAGCCGTTGCCGGAGAGCGCTGCCTTTTTCGTGGGACAATTTGGCTTCTAAAATAAGCACCCGTGAGTACTCAAACTTTGAACAATTGGACTTTAAATAAGGACTTGCGACCAGAAAGGAATTGGACTTAAAAATTTTATTTCAATTTGGTACTGAAACGGGAAGGTCTAAACAGGAAGTCAGCCTTCCGTTTCTTTGTAGACAGAATAAAGCAAAGACAACGTAAACTAGAGCTCAGAAAATCGCTTTTAAAGGATTGGCTTTCATCATTTAAAATTGTTGAACCCCCCTTCGGCAGCAGGAGAAGAAGGGGGATCTTTTCTGGATTGTTTAAACCTGCAGAAGTGAGTTTAAAGTAAAGTAACTTTCCATCGTCCTGACCCTGGAGCGGGGTGTCAGGACTGACGTTTGAAGCTCATTGACCAAAGACAAACGCTTTTGACAGATAGCTAAAAGAAGAGAAACATAGTGATTCCATTGTTTCCTTTCGCACCTTAAAGGAACAAATATTGACAAAATATCTGGAAAAAGGAAACTCTGTTGCTAGACTTGTCTTTAAAAGAAAGATTAAATAGAAGTTTTCCCCCTAGAGGGAGACTGTGAAACTGTAACCAACTCCTGGGAGCTGGCAGCTGTTACAGATTACAATCATGGGAATAGACATCTGACCTTCAGGACAATGTATTCAGAAGCTCTGTTGTGTGCTTTCTATAAAACAAATGCCCTACTGGAACAGCTACATGAGAAGACGAATTTGATGGCTGATTCGATTAGAAATTTTGAACAGGCAGTGGGAAATTTTGAACAGGCAGTGGGAAAATATGTGGAGCCCACCCAGGAATTAAATCAGGAGTGTGCCCTGACAGAACAGGCCCAACAGGAATATGAACTTTCGGATTTGACAAATGAACTTGGAAAAAGCCAGATTTGGAAAGAAAAAGTTTGGTTTGGTTTGGAAATGGGGGGTTGGATAGACCGTCCTATGCAGGGATGTTTGGACTTTTCAAGTCTGGCAATGGGCCGTGAGATGTTTGGGATTGTGGGGGCTCTCAATTTTAGAGGGATTTTGAAACATGTTTTTAAATACCACATGGAATTTAGTGTCGATTATGGAAAAGGGGCTGATCTGTCGAGAAGGGTCAAAAATATTGCTAAGCTGGAGTTCCCACGAGTGAAACGAGCAGGAGACAAGGGAAAATACAGTTACAAATATGAAGAAGAGCTGCGGAAGGGACATGGAAGAGACTTAAGGGCCTTGGATATTAGGATACCAGGTTAATGTGCCAGATCGATGGGATAACAAGGACTGACAAAACCCGGGACCAGGAGGAAGGGACGCTGGATGAAGATTGGATTTGTTTTTATTTCTCTTTTTCACTACTAGGACTGTTTTACAAAATTGATGAATGTTAGAAAAATGTTGGAATGAAATTACTTGGCTTTAGTAAAAATGTTTAAAGAATTATGCAAGAATATTATGGTTATGAGAAGTTGGTAAAAATAAGATTTAAGTTTTAAGTTTCAAGGTTTTTATAGTAAGATAAGATTAAAATAGTTTAAGGTAATGTAATGACAGAATATTATGAAATATGGAAAGGATTTGCTGTGACAATTAACAACCAGGATACAAGGAAGGGGAGGAGGAGGAGGTCAAGGAAAGAGGGTAATGACAGTTGAGGAGTTGAGAATAATGGATTTGTTTTTAAATGTTTTTAAATGTTTCTGGTGTATTTTTTCCCCCCTCTCTTATTTTGAATTTGTATATGTATGGTTGGAAGTGGCTTGTTTTTCTCTTTTTCTACTTTGTTTTTCTTTTGTAACTTAAAAATTTTTTTTCCCAATAAATATCATTTTTTTTAAAAAAAGGAATTTTGCTCAGTGAACGTTGGGCCTGCCAACTTGCTCACTGGCCCTCTTCCTCCTCCTGCTGCTGCTGTGCCTTTAAACTGTAACCTTGCATGCAGAAATTCAGTCCATGAGGTTTTCCTGGCACAGAGAGGAATTGTTTGGGACAGGTTTTGTTTGCTTGAATTTCTGCATGCATGTCTGTTGTAAAAGACACAGGAACCAGAGACAATAAAATAAATAAAATTCTGCATCTCAGGGATGGGTGTGTGTGTATTACATATGTCTACAACACACACTGCAATGTAGTGTGTGTTTATGTATGTGTGTTGGCAATATTTTCCTGAGATGTTTCCTGTATCTTGATGGGGGAAAGCTTCACCTGTTGATTTTCTACCTGCTATGTCACTTTTGAAGATACAGAAAGCTTCCAAGGTGTGTGTGGGGGGAAATGACAACCCTAATCAACTTGGATGGCTTTGAGAGTGGTTGTGGGAAATAAGGATGAGGAATATGGTTTGGTAGCCTCTCAAAACTTATAGAGATGGATGGAAGAACAATGTTTAATGGCTGAATACAAACTCTGTTCAAAGTAAAAATCTAATCACTCTTATTAGAGTTTTAAAATGGTATGATGTACTACATTCTTAATAATTTTTGTGATTTGCTTTGAATTTATAAAATGTCATTATAGATATGTGTAAATATAATGAATAAAACCTAAATAGCCAGGAATGAAATGGTTGTAATGTGTGTGAGGGTGGTATTCAGCTAACTTTTTTTAATATTTAGAACAGACCCATTAAAGTTAATAAACATGACTACTTTGTCATGCTTATTATGAGTTCATTAGGAGTAAAACCTAGTTGAAAACCACCCAGTTTTTCTCACAGCTGAGTTAAATCACAATGGCAGAAGCTGAGAACAGCCAAATGAGGGAGTTGACGCCTCACCTGTTGGATCTTGTGTGAAGAGCAGGGAGGTTAAAAAGTTTGTCAAGCTTCCCCATTCTGTGGGCTGTATTTTGGGAACACCTGTCTGAGCTACACATAGGATTTCATCCTAAGGACCAAAAAACCCCCCAGGTAATGTAGCACATTTTGGTAAAATCCCTCAGTGGGATGGAAGCCAGCAGAATTCCTCTCAGTCCTTGTAGCTTGGGTAGTATGACCTTGATGCTTAGAAGTAGGTCCTCTCAAATGAGTTTGCAAAGAGGCCACTTTGGCAAATAGGCAAGGTAGTAATTGGATGAGGCAGTAGAGTTCAACCTTTTCAGACCTGGGACCCACCTTTAGCTTAACCATGCATTTGGGAACCTGCTAGCTTGCTTCCTTATTAATTTATTTTACCAAAAATGTGTATGGTGTTAGTGCCACTGTTTGGACTTGCCTTAGTTCAGGCTGCAAACCACGCTTGGTTCCTAATAATAATAATAATAATAATTATTTATTATTTGTACCCCGGCCATCTGTCTGGGTTTCCCTAGCCACTCTGGGCGGCTTCCAACAAGCATTAAAAATACATCAAAATGTCACACATTAAAAACTTCCCAACCTTCTGCTGCACAAAGATCAGTCTTATTAAATGGTTTAGTAACTCACACAGTTTCAGAAAAGTGCAAGGCTCACAGCTGGATTTCATAACTGCTCGTCTTGGGTTTCTGCGGTCTGTTGAAGCAGTTGAATTGGAGCTGGGACACCAAGCTAGAGCGGTTTGATTTGGTTTGGCCATTTCTATGCCGCTCAAAGCCATTTTGGAAAAGGGAACTGAAGGGACCTTTTTGAGGCAGCTGAGAAAGTCGAGCAGAGAGGGCTCTTCAAGCTGCTGGCTGCGACAGGGACCTTGTCCCCATTTGCCGGCAGTAGAGCTGGGGAACCTGTGGCTCTGCAGATGTTGTTGGCCTCCAACTCATATCGGCCCCAGGCAGCATGACACAACTGCCAGGGGCGATGGGAGTCCAGCCATATCTGCAGGGCCATGGGTCCCTCACTATCCTATGCTGACCAATGGGCAACCCTATGGCTTGCAATTATTGCAAGAAACATTGATGTATTATGGCGTGAACGTGTGGCGGTGTGAAATGGATATGCATGCCTGTTGAAGCATCGCTATTCTAATCAAGTTTCCCAGACACTCGTAAAGGTGCTTTTAAAAGATGCATATGCATGCATCTTTTATTTCTGCGCTTTACGCATTTGCAGGGGAAAACACTAGCAAAAGGGCAGGTGTTTCACGCAGCCATCCAAATGAGTAGCCCGGCTCTAAGTGAAGTCAACGGAATCTGAGTGTGATTGTGCTTAGGATTGGGGCATGGGGACAAGGCTAGCTTTAGGGACCGCTCCCAAACCTGTGTGTCTTTTGCCCTGTAGCATTCCTTCCCAAGACCTGCTGTTTTAACTGCTGCCTCATCCAAAGAAGTAGTTAGAGCTAATTTCTTTCCCTTGAAGTGTTTTAAATTTTTTATTATTACCGCTGGTACTTAATCTTTGAGTTGATGGAACTGAAGGTGCCTATCAGGCTGTGAAATAATTTTTTTTAAAAGAAGAAGAAGAAATGAAATGGTGAAGACAGGCTGCGTTGCGGCAGCTCACAGCCAAGGGACAGCAGGAGTCATAAGACCAGGAGGATGGGCAGCAGGGGGAGTGACAATATTGCTCCCCAACATCATTTAAAAGAATAAAAAATTGTTCAAGGACACTAGGAGACTGAACTGCTATGGAACCAAGGGCAACGTGGAAGGAAAGGAGAAGAGGGTTTTTATTAACTGCTCAGGAAACAGAGGCAAAAGAACTGGGGAGTCATGGAGCAGATTTCCTTTGTGGCTGGAGGGGGAAAAACAGAGAGAATGTTTAATTTGCAGGGGCACTTTATAACCCAGTTTTAGAACTCTAGTGGGGCACTCTTTTCTCTCTGGGCACTTCCAGGTGACCTGTCTATCAAGCATTCATCCTGATTTGTTTTTAGAGTGATTAGACAGTGGCAGCCATTATATAATGAGCCTTTGTTCTGATTTGTTTGAGTAATGTTTAGGTAGAATTGCGTCAAAATAAGTGTGGATCCCCCACTTTTCAGTGCATTTCCCCCTCACTTTCCTCATCGGAAAAGTAGATGGGGGGGAAATAGATGGGAAAGACCTCCCAATCAACTGTAATTGTGCAATCTGAATTTACTGGTATGTGACTGGTATTTGCCACCCAGCCCTACCGTTGGGTAAAGTGAGGTAACTGCCTCAGACAGCAGGTGCAGAGAGAAGGGAGCCATTACATCCCCTTGGCTGCTCCTTCCAGACCTTCTATTTTTTTCTCCACAGAGATGGGTCTTTCCATATCAAGTGATCCAACGTTTTTAACTCTTTTGCCTTGGCGAATCATATTCATTTTATTAATCACTTTTTAAAATGTTTTTTAAAATGTTGGGACGTGGGTGGTGCTGTGGGTTAAACCACAGAGCCTAGGACTTGCCGATCAGAAGGTCGGCGGTTCAAATCCCCACGAGGGGGTGAGCTCCCATTGCTCGGTCCCTGCTCTGCCAACCTAGCAGTTCGAAAGCACGTCAAAGTGCAAGTAGATAAATAGGTACCACTCCAGTGGGAAGGTAAACGGTGTTTCCGTGTGCTGCTCTGGTTTGCCAGAAGCGGCTTAGTCATGCTGGCCACATGACCCGGAAGCTGTACGCCGGCTCCCTCGGCCAATAAAGCGAGATGAGCGCCGTAACCCCAGAGTCGGTCATGACTGGACCTAATGGTCAGGGGTCCCTTTACCTTTAAAATGTTAAATTTTGTAACTTAAAAATTACAGTAAGTCGTATCATATTAAAGCCCATGACATTTTGAAGAGATTGGTGTTTTTAGTTTTGACACATCTCCATTTTGGGCTGAGCTTTTAAGGTTTTTGTGTAGCCTGGCAAGGCCAAAATGGTCCTTGTTTTTTTTTTTGGGGGGGGGAAATTTCAAACCCTCCAGAAAGAATTAAGTTCTTAACCCGAGGTACCACCGTATAGGCTCGGGGGGGAGGGGAATGAGAGAGCAATTTCTTAGACTGAGAATCAGAAGAAGGGAAACTGAGAGAGGGTGGAGGGAAAACCTATGTGATGGCAGAGCAGAAAGTTCGTCCTGCTTGCTGCACCGAGGTGGTATTTTCTGTATCAGGGGGTGGCTAATGTGTTGTTGTTGTTTTTAGCCTGAGAGCCACATTCCCTTTTGGCTAACCCTCCAAGGGCCACTTGCTAGGGGACAAAAGTGTGTGTGGCTGGCCACACTCTCTCATGCACAGGGCACACTCGCAGAGAGATGCGTGCTGATCAGTGTTGTGTTATGGCTCCCTCTCCACTCATCAAAAGATCAGTTCATAACTGTTCCACCCTCTTCGTCTCAAAATTCAGGTGCATCCTGGAGGAGTGGAAGGGGTAAATGTATAAATAGTATGTGGGGTGTATGTCTGCTTTGGATGAAGCCCAAATATCACCCTGAAGTGGGCTGCTCTGCAAGTATTCAGACCTCCTCCAAAGCAAAGTAGGTCTTATATGGTAATTTGGGGTGGTTCAAAGTGAAGTGATCAGCTCTCCAAGCATTCAGACCCACCCACTTAGGCTGTTTGGACACTTTTCTGGTCAATGGGATATCTTTCTGAACCTCCCACAAGCTCCCCATAAAACGAGAATGCTAGGGAGGCAGGAAGGAAAGTGGGTTTTGTGTGAGTGAGTCAGTGTCATTTTGTGACTGACAGCTATAGCTTCCAACTAGGGCTTGACTTTACCAGGGTTCTCCAGTTGCAATTGGAGGGGATGATTACTCTTCTAGGAGCCACAAAGTTGAAACAGTTTGAATTGTTGGTGGTAGTGTTTTGCTTGTGTGATCTTATTCCAGTCCAGACCAAAGCTTTCTTGAAATCAATCCTATTCTTGCATCCTAATTCCTCTTGACACTTGCAGTTGTTTGTTTATGCATGAGTGCTAGCAATTAGGCAAGTCACTTCCTTTCCCCCTCCACTTTCCATCCCATTCTGACCCTAGTTGCATTTGGCTGAAGTCAGGGAATTAAACATTGGGATGTCTGTGAATCTTTGGAGAACACCAATCTGAAATTTGGCAGGTTTTCACCCCTTCAGAAGCAGCTACACTACCTGTAAGTTTAATCCAATTCTGGCAAAAAGGTTTTTTTAAAAACCCAATTTTTTTTTAGCCATTTCTTGATTTCTTCATTATAGTCAATGAAGAGACACATGAAGCTTTGGAAAACCAAAGCCACCCTTCACTGTAGATCTGAAGCAAAGCAGGTCTCATCCGAAATGGTCCAAAGCAGAGCAGCCCCTTACCCAAAGCAGATTTGTGAAGCTTAACCCAATTAAATTGCCCTCAATGAAGCATAGACTTGGCTTGAGGAAGGGCAGTTTTCTTCCACTTCTGCTAACAAAGATCTTGCTTTGAGAGTATCCACTGTTAGGGTAAGATGTGCTGATCTTCCAATTCATGCAGCGGAAGGGGGAGAGAGATCCAGAACATTGTGTGACTGGCGGTTGCTGGCAGGGATGCCAATGAGTGTTGAATTTACAGTGATGATTTACAGTGCAGATGACTGATGGAATGGGAGAGTCTTCCCTCTTAAATATTTGATTGTCAGCTATACAAAGCGCCAAGCAATTTAGCCTCGAGCCTTTTGCATTGGAGTTTTTTTGCTGCTTCTTCTTTTTGCCTCTGTCTATCCTGTGTGTTAGAAGAGTCATTATTCTAACCAAAACAGGAACATAGGGAGCTGCCTTAAAGTGAGCCCAGACCATTGGTCAATACCGACTGCACTGGCTGGCAGCAGCTGTCTAGGGTTTCAGGCAGCTTCACATGGAGATTTCAGGGACTGAACCTGGGATGTTTTGTCTACCAAGCCTATGTGCCCTATAAAATATACTAGAGAAGAAGAATAAAAATGGAGATCACTGCAGTGAATGTTTTAAAAAGGGAATATATAATACATGAGCAGAGATTGAATGACGCTAAGAAATCAAAGAGACCCGTTAGGAAAAAGCTAGAACGAGGAAGCATTGGGAAATGGCCACTGGGTGGCAGCAGAGGGAAATTTGGGTTGAGGAAAGTGTAGAAGTGGCTGGGATTAAATCAGGGATGGGGAAATTTGCGGCTTGGCAGAGGCTGCAGGAGTCCATCTCCCATCAGCCCCAGACAGCGTGGCCAGGGGTGATGGGCTTTGTAGTCTTGTTAACTTCTGGAGGGCCACAGATTCCTCACTCCACCCCCCCCGGATGAAAGGGCGTCCAGGATGACGGAAGGAAACTTACCCGAGTGTGGATGTTTGGGAAGAACAGGGTTGTGATTGGAGAGGAGCTTAGTGGCAAGAGAAAAGGTGGAAATAGGTTCAGAAAGGGCAAAGGATTGTGAGAATGGATTGACTGCAAGGCTGGGGGGTGGGGTCTGGGGAAGGAGGGAGAGTGAAAGCTGGGGGCAGGCTGATAAAGAGATGGGGTGGAGGTTAGCTGGAGAGCTGATCTGACAGAGGGAATGGGTGAAGGAGGCGCGGTTGGGTTTGGAGGGAAGAAAGCATGGCACCAAATGTGCCTATATTAAGGGGTGGGAGGAATAGTGTAGTGACTGCTTTGTGGAATAAATCCACCTGTCGCTTTATTGCTCAGGGGCCACTTCACACGGGTCTTCCCCTAAATTGTTCTTTTTTTTTAATGTGCAACTAAAAATGCAAAGCATGCACACAGCAAGCAGGTGTTCAAAAGTGGCACATCGTGCGGACAAGCTTGTCGGAAGGCTGGGATTGGCTCCCTTGTCTCCCATACGCTCGGTGGCTGGCCCACGTTGGCGGCTAAACAGCTGTGTGCGGTTGACTTTAGATCTGCTGGCAAAGCAGCATCTTTTAATGCCTCCCTCCAGCTCTCCTTCTGGATCCTTTGTTGCTGTCCTTTTCCGACCAATGTTTCTTTTGTCCTGGGTTGCAGGCAATCCATGGTGGACATGGGCAGAGCTCTGACAAACACCCTGGTGCTATCCATGGTGCTGGGCTGTTCAGCTGTCCTAATGGATGACTCGCTGCCAAGCTCCGGGGAACCAGTGGTAACGGTGGCAGTGGTTTTCGGGGGCACTTCCTACCCTGTCCACATCCGCAGCCGGCTGACGCACCAAAGCTTCCTGGATATGCCTCTGGAGATCCACCCGGTCACCGTAGTAGTGAACGACACCAACCCCAGGACTCTCTTGACCCAAATCTGCAACATGCTGTCCAGCACGAAAATTCACGGGATCGTCTTTGAGGACAACATCGGCACAGAAGCCGTGGCGCAGATTCTGGACTTCATCTCGTCCCAGACCAACGTCCCCATCATTAGCATCAGTGGAGGTTCTGCTGTGGTCCTAACACCCAAGGTGAAAAAACCTTTTCGTTATTTTGGGAGACTGGGGGTGAATGCAGTGCACCATTCATAAATGTGTCGGGTTATAGCAGTGGATAGCCACTAAGAACCTGACTCCTATCAGCAAAATATATAACTGCCCATGACAGTCGTAGTAAACAAAAAGAAAGTACTCTGAGCACGTGCAGTTAATATTTCGAACTCGCTTCTCATTGCATTTTGCTCGTTTCCTAAATTGAGGCAGGCAACATCTCTCAACCTAACCTACTTTGCATGGCTATTGTGAAGATATAGAAGGAGGAATAAAGCTGGTGCAAAAGGGAACTTAGTGCTTGTATCCTAAGCATCAAAGTTTGCTTCCTTTAACCATAGTGATGTGTCATTGCACTATACAGTTTCGTATTTTTTCCTGGGTACCCCACCCCTGCATTTTAGTACAGTTCTAAGGTTTCAAATAGTCTTAGTCTAGCCTGGTTATTGCTTTTTTTTCACCGATGCATAATCCCTATGTTCAGTTGCACTCCAGAAGGAGTTGCCTTAGGCCTGTAGCCACAGGGGAGTGGGTGAGGTGCTGTGAAAAGAAGAGGGTTGTACATATATATATATATATATGTATATATATGTATATATATGTGTATATGTATATATATATATATATATATATATATATATATACACACACTATTTTAGTTTTATAGGTAAAATACTAAGGAGTCAGTATTTCCCCTAACTGCTCAGTTTAAAACAGCAACAATACTGGCTCCTACTTTATAGTGTTCTGCCCCAACTGCAAAACCACTAAGATCTGCCGGGATTTTTAAATGTTACAGAATAATGTTTATTTTATTAATAACGTGTTAAAATTATTGTTGATTTTATACCGCTCTCTTATAAACTTAGGCTGCCTTTAATATCTGTTTGTTTTGCCTTGATACTGGCCCCATCGCCATCAACCTTTTTGCTCTTTCCTCACAAGACAGACAAGGCTATAATCCTGCACTCACTTACCTGGGTGCAAACCCCATGAAACACAAAGAGACCTACTTTGAGTAGCCATGTAGACCATTGTATTGTTTAGTTAACTATACAGTGAATTCGTCATGACTGCCTGGACTTCAGCTTACCTGCGGTGTGGTAGCATTTGCAGAAAATACCTTGCAAAGAATACCGTATCTCAGGTGAAACCACCAGAGCAAAGAAGCACAAAGTAGCTTCCTGTCCCTCTCTGCTTGCCACCACACCCTTTCTGAACCTGCTCCAAAGGATTGGGGGAACCCCCAAAACAGATTTAGTGGGACTTGCAGGGAGATGAGAGGGAGGGGACATTGCACTGTGCAGCCAGAAGTCCTTGCACTGGCAGTGCTACTTGTCTGGATACCACCCATTCTGTATGGCTGTATGGTCCATCTCTCTCTCTAGGAAAAGTCTAAGGCTAGACTTTTGGGAAAATTATATAATAGAAGAAGTATTTGTGTTCTAAACAGGTTACTCTCATCCACTTGTAATGTGAATATTAATTCCCAGTATGTTGCCAAATGTCTCACACACCATACAAGCAAAGTCAGGCTGTAGCAGTTCCATTACAGTTCCATTTCCCTAAGCCTGTTGCTACTGTTTTTATGGCCAAAGGCTATCAGGGGTCAGCAAACTTTTTCAGCAAGGGGCCCTCAGTCCCTCAGACCTTGTGGGGGGCCGGACTATATTTTTTGGGGGGAAATGAACGAATTCCTGTGCCCCACAAATAAACCAGAGATGCATTTTAAATAAAAGCACACATTCTACTCATGTCAAAACACCAGGCAGGCCCCATAAATAACCCAGAGATGCATTTTAAATAAAAGGACACATTCTACTCATGTAAAAACATGCTGATTCCCGGAGCGTCCTTGGGCCGGATTTAGAAGGTGATTGGGCCGGATCCAGCCCCCGGGCCTTAGTTTGCCTACCCATGGCTATGAGCTAATAGTTACCAGCATGTGGAGGGACAGGGTCCAGGGTCCTGATAATCTGTGTTGTATTCTCCTGGCCCCGAATGGCCAGGAACTACTGTTGTTGCTTTAGAGACCAATGATCCAACCAACCATTTATTTGTTAGCTGCTGCTAAAACTGTCTTGGTCAGGAAATGGAAATCAGATAAACTTCCTTTGATTATGGAGTGCCTACTGAAAACCTTCCGTACTGCTGAAATAGGGGAAAATGGACTGTCTCGCTTCGTAATGAGGGGAGGAAGCTGAGTGGCCAATGACTCTGTCAATATGTGATGTCCGTTTATCGATTTCTGGACCAATTGTTGTAAGCAAGTCCCATCAAGTTATTGTGCAGAGAATGCTAATGTTGAGGAGAGGCTAGTGGGAAGGAAGGCAAAATGCCATCTGTTCTGCATCCGTCCCAAAGCCATTGGGATGTAGTTCAGGTGGGCGAGGGTGGAATCCAGTCCCATGTTTCACCCCAGCATTTACCTCTTAAATCACCAGCTCAGAGCACGTGCAAGTTCAGCACAGTGGTTGCTGTAGGGCACCCTGATTTCTTACAGGTGGGCTGTGCGCTGTGTAATTATTTTTGGCTTGCCTGCCTGTCACAGGATGTCAGTGACGGTTACTGTCACCTGCTCAAATTTCTCTGAGCCTCGTTCAATGGCAGCACAGCTTACGTAAGACCAATATCATGTGTGATACTTACCTTGAGGGGTGGGGGAAAGCCTTTAGGACATGATTAGGAACAATAAGGACCACCTTGGATCAGCCTCCTCACCTTCGCCATGCTCCATTAGTGCTCATTCCCCTGGCAACATGTGCTCCATAAAGCAATTCATGGAAATGTCCATCGCTGGCCACTAACAAGTTCTTGCTCTCCAGTCAAAAAGGGCCTCTGGGTTATTGACAGGAACTTGCTGCTGGGTCTCGCCAAATTAAAGCCATGATTTCTAGAAGAGCTAGTAGGGCGATGTCTCATCATGCGGAAGCTGATCCCTGTGGTGGCTGGAAGCAGTCCCATCCATAGCAGCTTATCTATTACATGATGTAACAGTGGCAGAGGGAGAGCCCTGGTGGATCTTGCCACCACAAACCCACCCAAGCATGAGTCCGTGACAGTGGGGTGATAGCTATCGCCTGCATTTCCAGAGGAGCATCTTGCCACATGGAAGTGAACATCAGAGGAAGGGGCCAGTCTATGGTGCAGTAAGATCATTTTAGTCTCTGAATTTCATGGTCTCAGGGTGGGGTGCTCCTTTAGATGGTAAAATGTATTCCTTCACTTCAACTTGTGGTCAGCCCCACCCTGATGCATTTGGGGATCCTCCTGCTTGTTTTGCTAAATGGGGGGGGGGGTTGAACTTCTGCCCCAAAGGCCTCCCCCAATGGCATCACTGAAAGCCCACTTCCTGGCCAGGTGTTCAATTTTGTTAAACAAGTGCATATTCCTCTCATTTGAAGACCAACGGCAACTCTGTCCCAGGTTGAGTTCAGTCTCCTGCTCCTCATATAATAGAGTGGTGGAAACAGGTGACACATCATTTGCTGACTGTTGTTGCATTGGAGTGAGGAAATAGCACCGTGCAATGAGATTATGGCTATATTTCAATGGCTATAGATTGAAGGGGAAGGAAAGCAAGATCAACACAGGGGCTGCCATTTTGGGAAGCCACCCCCCGCCATGTACTTTTCCACCTCTGTTCCACCCTATCAGCACACACACACACACACACACACACACACACACGGCAGGAGCCCAATCAGATGCAATGGAACCGTTGTTCACATGTCCACTACAAGAAAGCAGGGTGTGTGGGTGGGTGTAAGCAGAGAGGGTCAGTGGGCTGAACCTTCACCCATCCTCTGTGTTTCCTGGTTGCCTTGTTTGCTCCAGCTCCATTTCTCTGTTTCTGTTGGTCCAGGTTCCAGAGGTAAACCTGGAATTGGTGTGTGTGTGAGAGACTGAAACAGTGGACTACAGCCAAGTAAGGCAAAGGAGGCAAAAGGGCTCAATGCTCATGTCCTGCATGATCCTGTTGCTGCTAAAGGCTCCCCGCTCTCAACCCCAAAGTTAAGCGTACATGGGAACAGGCACACGAAAAGAAATATGCCTCCTACCATCAATGGTGGGCTATCATGGCTGAGGGGGCAGTGTGAGCACGACAGCCCTGCCAATGCAGCAACTGAGGTGCTTTCCATGGTGCTGAACATTGTGCTCTATTGGGAAGGCCTTAAAACACACACAGAGAGAGCCATTATTTCCAGTGTTTCTGACAGTAACCCAGATCAGTGCCTCCCAACTTGCTAGCTGTTCACACAAGGCTTTCCAGCACGTTGATCCACACGGTCCCTTTGCTTACCACTGTTCAAAGTAGTGTAAGAGAAAGGCTGTGGTAGTCTTGTCATGTCTGTAGTGAGCAGGAAGAGAAGAGGAAAAGCTCCAGAAGGTGCCCCCTTCCCCCAGAAGAAGCTAATGCTCATAGGGAATGGACGTTGGTTATAACGTTGGTTGAGCTGCCTAATGTGTTTCCACAGTGTTTCCTTGGGGCCAAGAACAACAGGAGAAGTTCATTTAGAGCATTAGCATATTGCATCCCCTCCCTCCTTGCCAACCTCCTTCCATGATGTGCGTCAGCAGCAGGTCACAAGTAAATGCTGCATGGATTACACACACGCGGCGACCTTTCTGAGCACCCAGGGCTTGCACGTTGAAGGAGAGGACGAGAAATGCTTTAATGCATGTGAAAGCATGCTCACCTTTCCCCCCCAATCTAATTTATTTAAAATAAACTAAAATAATGTGAGCACTTCATTCAAAATGACACCCAGGCACAATCAAGCTCTTAAAAAGAGCAGGGGGGGGAATGCTAATCACTGTTCCTCCCCACCCTTTAGCTAAACACCAAGTAATCATTTATATAGTTTCCATTTATAGCAATGCAAAAAAGAGGGTTACGCTGTTTCACCGTTCTCAACTGGATCTGATCAACAATTGAAATTTTGTTTTTCTATAAGCAGAATATTTTCATTTCAAGTGTTTTAATTCACTGATGCAAACACTGATCTCATAGGAATGCTGGCTCATTTTTATATTTTAGCATAGCATTTGAATACATTAAGGCATGATTATGGGGTTGCGTTTTGCAGCACAAATGTTGACTTTCTTGGGGACATTATAAATTGGGGTGGTCCTCCAGATGACCGTGCAGGATGAGGCTGATGGGAGCTGGAGTCCAGCATCATCTAGAGGGCCACAGGCACCCAGTCCCTATCATAAATAATCATCACCAACAGCTTGTTTCAGAATCAGTTCCATGTTTTTGAGCTTTATTGGAGTACTCTTAGGAGAAACTTGTTCGTTTTCACATCATATTGTTGGCGTTCTAGTTTTGCTGTCACATTTGCGGTAATGAAGTAGCACCTTCAGTTTTCATTAGCCGCATTTAGATTTAATGCTAATGTATGGCTTAGCATTACGTGCATGAGTGCCTTGCTTGTTCACTTCTTCCTCCCTGCCATCGTCTCCAGCGTGGCCACAAGGAGATCGGAAGCTTTCGCTTCCATTTTAAATAAACTGGAGCTTTGCATTACAGCTGAACCTTAAGGTAAAGGGACCCCTGACCATTAGGTCCAGTCATGGCCGACTCTGGGGTTGCGGCGCTCATCTCGCTTTACTGGCTGAGGGAGCCAGCGTACAGCTTCCGGGTCATGTGGCCAGCATGACTAAGCCACTTCTGGTGAACCAGAGCAGCGCACGGAAACACCATTTACCTTCTGATTCAGTGTTCCTACCCCACCATTCTGCTGATGTACACCTCTGGATCAAGGAGTCTTCTGTCAGTAGAGGGGGCATGACCCTTTATAACAAGCCAGGGAAGCTTCAAGGAAGAAACCTTTGTTGAAAGCTAGATCTCTCCTTCCCCCATGGCAAGATAGTCTTCAAAATAGCCCCTGTGGTGGTATCTGAGAGATGGAAAGACCACATTCACTGGAGCTCCAGGAGCTAAATGGTGAGCAGCTATCCAGGTTGTTTGGTCTTCTCTCTCTCCCCTCTCCTCAGGGCAAGATGGTATGGTCCTTAGGTAGTGGAAGTTGGGGGAGGGAAAGGCAAGGAGCAGAATGTCACCTACTGCCAAACTAGTGGTTTTAATGTTCTTTAGAGTGCTCATTTTTCAGGGGAGATCTTTCTTCAAGGTCCTAACTGATTTAGGTTTGATCTTGGCAATCTGTTTTCCTCATTTTCATCCAATCTTCGCTGCTGCTGCTGTCCTGGGATTATATACCTCTCTGAAACCCATTTGTTTTCTCCTTGCTCTTTCACTTGACAACCCCTATACCTCTGCTGCAACCTCAGATTCCAAGGCAGGCCAGGTCCTCTTCAATCCACATTGACTATCTCAATTTGCCTACTAAATCTTTCCTATGTAGTTTTGTCTGGAACTGCTTTGCATCCCTTTAGAAAACAATTATTTGGAAACTGCAGCAAAAAAATCTTGCTGAGTTTCCAAGTGAGTTTCTTCCAAAAAAAATAACAGAACACCTCTCCAACTCCAAACTATTTTGTAAATGTTTTAAAGATAAATACCAATCAGTTAATCTTATCCTTAAGAGGGCCAGGCTGAGCCAAAGAGGGAGATTAGACAAATGAAAAATTCAGATGGATATCCAGCAAATACTGACTGAAAAACAGAGTATTCAACAAAGTCAATTCTCCATGTGATTTCCCCCCTCCCCCTTTGTGTTTTAATACTTGAAGGTTTGGTTCGGCTTTTAAAATAGAAACATACACAGAGGGCAAGAATGAACTCACTGACTGTTTAGGCTGATTGACTTGGCTAGGAAAATTTTGACCCTGCCAAATGTTGACTCAAATGAGCTTAAGTTCGCAAATGAAAATACTCTGGACCAGGCACAGGCAAACTCAGCCCTCCAGATGTTTTGGGACTACAACTCCCATCATCCCTAGCTAACAGGACCAGTGGTCAGGGATGATGGGAATTGTAGTCTCAAAACATCTGGAGGGCTGAGTTTGCCTATGCCTGCTCTGGACCATGTTTCATTTGTGGATTGCGACATTCTCCATTGCTTTGTAAAACGGGATGTTCTGGAAATTGTGTTGTAGGTGGCGGAGCAACTGAGTCTTTTGAAAGTTATTGCTCTGTGAGTATGTATGGGTGTGTGCATTTGCCAGATAGCAAGAGAATCAAATGTTCATGTAGGAAACAAGAACAGACCAGGAATAGCCATTAGGAACTGGGGATGAAAGAGACCACTTGTAACAGCTGGCCCAGGCAAAGAGCAGCTGAGGCAGAGCAGGAAATAAGTGCCAGAAGTGATGACACATCTTCTGCCTCTATATATCATCATATAAAGATTGACTAATTGAGTTCCACAATAGACTTGCAGATTTTAATGGTGGGGTGTGTGCTTCCTGTTTTAAAATCGGAGAGCTCTGAGCTACAGAGAGAGTTCTGCTGATGCACCCGGGCTTATGCAGCAAGCAGGTGGCAAATCTGGAAGCAAAAGGAAGGTTTTGCACCTCACAGCTCATATTAAATTGGGAAAGGGTGAGTGTTGAGAACAAGAGTGGCCATCAAGCCTGCTATTCAAGGTCTGTGAAAATAGCTAAGAAGTCAGTAATGACGGACTATTTATTTACTTTATTTTTAAAACTATTCGTGTACACCCTGTTACTAATCCATCTCTCTTCCCCTTTCCTAGGAGGCTGGCTCTGCCTTTCTACAGCTGGGTGTCTCAATTGAGCAGCAAATACAGGTGATCTTCAAAGTCCTGGAGGAATATGACTGGAGCTCCTTTGCCGTTATCACCAGCCTATATCCTGGATACAGTGTCTTCTTGGATGTGATACGGTCCTTCACAGATGCCAGCTACTTTGGCTGGGAAATCCAAGATGTCCTCACCTTTGAGATGTCCCAGGATGGGAGCAACTCCAAGATCCAAAGGTTGCTGCGTCAGCTAGATGCTCAGGTGATGATTGTGTACTGTTCGCGAGAGGAGGCGGAATACCTCTTCCAAGTGGCAGAACAGGCTGGTTTGATTGGACCTGGCTATATCTGGATTGTGCCTAGCCTGACCGTGGGGAACATGGATGTCCCACCTGCCTCTTTCCCAATTGGCCTCATCAGTGTGGTCACGGAGAGCTGGAAAATGAGCCTGAGGCAAAAGGTCCGGGATGGTGTGGCTATCATCGCCCTCGGAGCAGAGAGCTATTTTAGGACCCATGGCTACCTTCCCATAGTGGGTAGAGACTGCAACAACAAGACACCTTCAAGTATACCCACAAACAACACCTTCTACAGGTCAGCCCGGGCAACAGCCTATTAATTAACATGATTTAAACCCTGTTGGCTACTGGTGTGCATCAGAAATTAGAATTTGATTTGCAGCAACCATTTGTAAGGAAGATTTTGTGCCTTGGTAGTTAGAGAGACTTTGGTTTTCATACACTTGAGAATTCTGCCATTTTCTGCAATCATAATCCTGCATTATGGCCCATTTTCTACAAATGCAATTCTCCAGCTTATTTCACATTCCATTCCATTTTAAACAGGCATGGCTCCCCCCAGGTAATTCTGGGAGCTGTAGTTAAGTGTGCTGAGAGTTGTTAGCAGAGTCCTATCCCCGCCACAGAACTACAATTCTCAGAGTGATATAACTAACAGTGTCTCTTCACAGGGAACTCTGGGAATTGTAGCACAACAGTAAAGCTCACCCAAGAGTCATTGCGCTAGCAGACAAAGGATTTTGGATACCACCCCCTTTGATATTTTGAAGCTCTTTGCTATTCTTCTTTCTGTCTTTTGAGCCGATCACCATAGTTTCAAGTGGGTTGTGTGGTCACTGGTACAGCAGTGAAGAATGAGAGAGGGTGGAAGGGAGAAAGAAAGAGAGGCGAGGAAGGCTCAACTGTTGTGAGTCAAGGGATGGCAAAAATCTAAAGTTTGAAGAAAGCTAACTGAGCGAAACATTTTTTAATTTCCCGGTTTTAATGAACAGTTCTGGAGTGTGACACTCAATAATTGAGCAACGGCTTTAACTTGGGAGTTATGTAAATCTTGGGCTTTGCTCCTAATGGGTACTTGCACAACCTTCAAGTCACTCTGTGGGTATAAATAATAGACAAATAAATGGGACTGGTGCTGGTGGAGCAGCCTGAAGATCATAACCTTGGAAGTATTAGATGTGGATGAGGGAGTCGGCTAGAAGGCAGCAGGGCAAGCGCAGGAGCCTTTAAGGAGGGAAGGATGATGAACCTGGATACATCCAATGAAGCTGAATCTTGGAAGATTTGGGGCAGACAAAAGAGCATCACAAAGCAGATCGCTGTGGAATTTGCTCCCACAAGGGGCAGTGATAGCCACCAACTTGGATGGCTAAGAGGATTGGACAAAACCATGGAGGTTTAGTCTGTCAAGGCCACTAGACATAGCATGTTCTGCTTCCACTGTTGGAGGCAGTGATGCAGCGGCGGAGAAAGCCGATCAGGCTCCTGGGGCAGCTCACGTGCCCTGCACCCAGGGGTGGGGCCAGCCACCTGCAGGGGCGGGGCGAGCAGGGGCAGGATGCTCCGCGGGGTCTCTGAGGAGTCTGCCTGCCTCCTCCCACTCAGCCGCCCTACAACTGAGAGGGAGGCAGCAGGCAGGCTGTTTTGGGCAGCGCGGAGCCTGCGGGCGCCCAAGCTACTGCGTCACTCCAGGAGAGATGTCTGGCTCAAGTGCGCTGCAGGCCCCGCGGTGAGTGCCGCCTGGCATTTTGTCACCCCCTTCAGTGGTGACACCCGGGGCGTAGAGCTGGAAGGGGTCCTGAGGGTCATCTAGCCCAATCCTCTGCAGTGTAGGAATCTGAACCCACAACATGAAACCATACCAGATCCTGGTCTGCTTTGCAAATGTGCTCGCATTTTTATTGCTGCCGTGTGCTCTCCCCATAAGACCACCTGCGAGAAGGCTTTTCTACTAAATTCTTTCTAATTCGCCCTTGCATCTCTTGGGGAAAGCAATGTCTGAGCTCATAGGGAGGCGTAGGCATTTTCGGTAAAATGCACTTTAACCATCTTGCTCTGAACTGATGAGGCCTGGGTGGTTCTTGCAAGGTCAGCATGCGAGAGAGACGGAAGGGGAAACGTTTTCTCTCAAAGGAAGACAAATGGAGCACATTGCACTGATGAAATGGGGGGACTTCTCGCTTGCCCTTTCCCTCCTGGCAACATCAAAGTGCTTTTTGTTTCCTCCTGACAGGCATTTGCTCAACGTGACGTGGGAAAACAGGGACTTCTCCTTCAATGACGATGGCTTCCTGGTGAGGCCCACCTTGGTGGTGATCTCATTGAACCGGCATCGGCTCTGGGAGATGGTGAGGGCTCCTTTTTATTTTTCTGGGCAGCCTTCTCTGTGAGTGGAGGCACAGTCTCCCTTCCTGCCAGTGTAGTGTAGTGGTTAAGAGCAGTAGACTCGTAATCTGGTGAACCGGATTCGCGTCTCTGCTCCTCCACATGCAGCTGCTGGGTGACCTTGGGCTAGTCACACTTCTCTGAAGTCTCTCAGCCTCACTCACCTCACAGAGTGTTTGTTGTGGGGAAGGAAGGGAAAGGAGATTGTTAGCCGCTTTGAGACTCCTTCAGGTAGTGATAAAGCAGGATATCAAATCCAAACTCTTCTTCATCTTCTTCTTCTGCAGGAGGGTCTACCCACCATTCAAGCTACAGGCTCTCCTGCTTTAAGAGTTTCAGGGTGACACATACCAGTGCTTGTGGAGGGGAGGAAGGGAAAGAGAAAATCAATGAAAGAGGGGTCTTGGCTTTAAACCAGGAGCCAAAGGCAACCCTCCAAGTCTCTCTATACCTAGACCTCAGAACTCCCCCTAAGCCACAATCCTCACTTTCCCCAAGTGTTTTTACTTGGCTGAAAAGTTCCCTTGAACTCTGATATTGCTTCTTGCTTGTCTGAATGGAGGATCGTGTGTGTGTGTGTGTGTGCGCGCGCAGAAACTGCAAAATTTGCACCCATTGCTCCACCCACTTTTGTCTCTGGCCCCGCTCCCTGCTGGTATGGGACCCTCAGAATCTTGCCCAGAAGGGACTGTGGCCCTTGGGCTGCAAAAAGAGTTCCCTGCCTCTGCTTTAAACCAAAGAATGACTTGGAAGCCCCCAAGTTCTGCTTCCTGTTGCCTTTCCCAGTTGTGCTTTGTGCTCCTCCCGGCTCCTGCCATCGAGGTGATGACTTAACTGAATGATTAAAAGCTGAAAACGACGCTTTCTTCAGGATCTGCATGGCAATCCAATTTCATTTCATAAACAAATGGAAGCACCATGAAATGAAATGAAATTTGGGATTCATTTATTCAGTGTTACACAACTAATTTATTTAATTTGCGGCGCCTTGGTAATGTATCACATGCTACGGGGCGCATAGCTCAGTTGGAGAAAGAGGGCGGCAATGCCCTTGTTTGCGCGAGATTACTTTGTAGTTTCATTCGTGTGGAATTGAATTAAAAAACAGAACTGGCCAAATTATGTGAAGGCAAATTGGCTTAAGTGAGTTACAGATCAGAGATGAGGGCAACTGCGAAGCTTGTCAATCAATTGCGTTCATCAGAAGTTGAAAACAAATTGGAACCCTTGTGGCAGGTGTGACTAACCCACGGCCCTCCAGATGTTAGACTCCAACATCAGTCAGCCCCAGCTAGCATGACATGGGGTTGGGGTGATGGGGGTTACAGTCCAACAGTATCTAGAGGCCCACAGGTTAGCTGGCTTATGGGATGAAACCACTGATATCCAGTGTCCTCCCTCAGGTATACAATAGGAGCTCTCCAAAATGCTGCACAATAGTGAAGGGAAATTTAAGTAACTTGATTCCCGTGAATTCCAGTACAGAGTGACTTGATCCACACCTCCTGGACTGGAACATAATTACCTTCATATTTTGCACTTCTCTCAACTTTTTGATACAGTTCTTGACTCGGTGAAAAGTACCAAAATGCATTAAAACAGAATATTTTAAGATAAAGTGCATTTAGAAATGTGTGTATTGAGATAAAACAGAATTTAAATAGGGTGGGGTGTTTTTTTTGAGAATAGGTATTTTAAATTGAATATTCTTTTTTAAGCCACAGATTAATGTGGAAACAGAATATAGAGCAGAGTTGTGACCGAACACATGCAAAATTGACATGGAGCAGAAATAGACTTATCCATCTCTACCTCAGAGGGAGAAAGGGCAAAAGATAGAACAAAGCTCTGTTTTTAGATGGTTTGATATCCTGCTATGGGCACTGAACAGTATCTACATTTTGTGTGAGACTCTTTATTCTTTTGTCTTGTCCACAGGTCAAGTCCTACCATTAGCCAGAGTGAGGTGGCCACCTCAGGCAGATGATTTTGTGTGTCGGGAAAGGGCAGGAAATTGTTAGTTGTTCCATTTATTATTGGGGCATTTTTACGATCTGGAATAGGGGAAAGGCCCTTGTCAGATTTCCTGCCTCAGGTGTAAAATAACTTAATTGGCCTTGGATACTGTGCTGCTTGGGGTAGAAAGGGCACCATTTTCTGCAAAACGTCACAGGGACATGCAAAGCTACCTTATACTGAGTCAGATCATTGGTCCACCTAGCTCAGTACTGTCAAAACTGACTGGCTGTGGCTTTCCAGATTTCCAGATGAGAACCTGAAGATTCCAGGGTCTTAGATTGGCCCTGTATAGTCAGGATTAATTTTGGGTCGTCCACGGTTATTGGCTTCGTTTATCCTTGCATGGTTTTACTGGTTAGGAATGCTCCAGTAAGTGTAGGCTCTTGAACAGTGCCACAGGCCTAGTTTCGTGTCAGAATGTTCCGGAAGGTGGCGATCTGCCCATTCCCCTGGCCTTATTAGCACGTTCTGGCAGTTAGACTGTGCTGGGGGTCCATACATGCAACCAAATCCTACTGCTGATTGGAGAACTGGCATTGTCTCCCTGCTCCATGGTTGGACGTTTTAAGCATTTGAGACTGGGCCATTATTTTCTCTCTTCAGAAGTGGCAAAACCTAGGGGAGGAAAATAGAGCCAGTTGCTTGTTATGGCCAAGTGTGTGTGTGTGTGTGTGTGTGTGTGTGTGTGTGTGTGTGTGATTATTCTATCCGATAAACATGTGTTACTAAATATTTCTGGTTGGGTTTTCTATTCTTTTTGGAAGAGTGCCATAAGTACTTTGGCCGAGATGAAAGCTACCAGTGGAATAATATTAGTGTTAATTAAGTCAACCCTGCTGTTTGAGTAAATGTTTTCCATTGACACTTTCCCTTTATGATATGACTGGTTTGGGCTGTTAAAATGCTCTCTCGTGTATCATAGCAATTATTACTATTGCTTTGTCAATACTTCTCTTAAGAAACCAAGAGTACAATGCTATAAACACAGTCGATACAACTGCATTTGCAGTGTTAGGATGGACTTGTCCTAATATTCTCTCATTGAAGGTATTGAGGGAACTGCCAAATAGCATAAAAAGAGAACACATCTATCTTTTCGAACAACAATAAGCCTTTATCCCATCCATCCTAGTTTGCTGCATCCCTTTTGTGTTTCTAAGAGCAAAATCAAGTTTGAAAGGTATAGTTTGAATTCACCAAGTCTGCACACATACCATACATTTAAAGTCTGTTCCCCACCCACCGAAAGGAATATTGGGAACTGCAATTTACCCCTTGCGGAGTCACAGTTCATAACAAACTACTGTTTCTAGAATTCTTTTGAGCTGGGGGTGGGAGAATGTGCTAAATGTGCTTTAAATGTATGGTGTGTACACAGCCTTAAACCTGCATGCCTCAGATTAAACATGGCAACTTGAGAATTTAGATAACTACACTCCAGAATTTGACTCTGAAAATTCATTGTTTGGGGAGGGAGGGATAAATAAATAAATAAATAAATAGTTTTCAGTTGATAATGTTCATGTTTCAGTAGTGAAAGTAGCCAAGATTACCACCTAAATGCCAAGTGTGTAAAAATGTACACTATATGATTTTTCAATGAAATTTGGTTTAAATGGGCTGACTTTAAAATGTGGCACATCCGATGAATTGGTTGTTGCTATCTGAACCTACCAGGATGCTGAGATAATCTCTGGAGGTCCTAATTTGGTGCCCCAATTGATATAGATATGGTGAGTTGGTCACTGAGGAGGAAAGGCTTTTATGATGCTTTGCTGGTGTCATTTCAATATCAGTTGAAAAAACTTTTTCATTCCTCCAGACGTTTTAGCTCAAGGATAATTTAGGGGTCAAGTTGCTCCCAATGTACTTGGGGTGAGCTTTGTGAGCCCCAAGATTCATCTTTCTGAGCAGGTCTTGGCAGCATCTCTAATGTCAAGTGATTCATGCTTGACTTGGACCACACTTCGATCTTATCAATTTATTGCAAATCTTTTGTTGTCACAGTATATAAATATACATAAAAATAAATTATAATAAAAATGTAATTTCAGTAAGATCACAAAAACTTGAGTAGATTTTAAAAATTCGGAATCCTATCCACCACCTTTTTTGCATTCGGAATCCTATCCACCACCTTTTTTGCATTTTATGGAAAGCAACAACTCTGTGCCATTGCATCCCTTCCCTTTTTGCAACTTTGATCAAGCAAGGTTTTGACCCATCATCCCTTGAGATACACGCCCCAGGATTGGTTTCTGTAATAATCACCTTTGGGATGATTAAAGAACTATAAAAGAGCAAGAGCTTTTTAGTGGAGTGGTCCTTTTAATCCATGTCATGGGAATCTCCTTGCTCATGGATACAAGGTTTGATTTCTCCAGGGAAGTACAGTTGTACCTTGGTTTTAGAACAGCTTAGTCCCTGAACGTTTTGGTTCTCGAACGCCGCAAACCCTGAAATGACTGTTCCGGTTTACTAACTATTTTTGGAAGCTGAATGTCCGACGGGGCTTCCAGGGCTTCCAGTTGGCTGCAGGAGCTTATTGCAGCCAATGAGAGCCGTGCTTTGGTTTTCAAACATTTTGGAAGTCGAATGGACTTCTGGAACAGATTCTGTTCGACTTCCGATGTACGACTGTAGTTCACATACTAGCCTCCAAGCTTCCTGGGGAGTGTGATATCCAGCTAAGTAACAGGTTGACCACGGAGAGCTCAGATGAGGAGCAGCAGACCTAGAGTTAACAGTGGGGCCATAGAGTGTGCTCTAGCTGGTTACTGGAGCCAGACAACTGTCCCAGAGCAAAATTAAATCTCTCCACTCAATGCTCTGTTTAAAACCCAAGTTCCTCCTGCCTGGGGTTACATCTAGTTTGTGTTCAATCTCTGTAAATAAATAAGAGCCTCTATAGCCAATTGCTGCCGGGCCGTTTCAAAATCTGGCTCATTTGAAACTAATATCACAAATTCTATTTCCAAAATGACTTATCTCCTGAAGTCAGTTGCAGCGGGAGTGTGGTTCCCCCCCCCACAAAAAATCATCTCCATTCAATCAGGGAAACAGAAATAAAACATCTGTCTTCTGTATCCATACAAAACATACTGAATGCTAACTGCCCTGCCAATTGCTCTGTTGGCTTGTCATCAAGTTGCTTGGCAAATTGTTCTAAGTTGGGACTGCCTGGAAGCTGCTAATCTCTGCCGCCTCCCCGGTCAGTGCAGAGGCTGCCAGCAGCATGCATTTCCTGTGCCCCGGGGGCCTGTGTTGACTTCTGGGTCCGTTTCACGCTGTTTGGTTTCCTATGAGCTGCACAGAGACCTGGCTCTGTCCTATGTTCTCCTCCCCTGTCGGTCTTATGGTCATTTGCAGCAGAAATTTCCTGCTGACAACAGGCTATTTAGGACGGCACAGCCGGGGTGTCAAAGGTGTGTACATGGCTGAGGGCCTCGTTTTGCTTGGTTCAAACTGTGTCCCTTGCTTTCTGCCCATTGCACAGGTGGGGAAATGGGAGAAGGGCATCATCCACATGAAATACCCAGTGTGGCCACGTTACGGATCCTTCCTGCAGCCCATGGCCGACAGCCACCACCTCACAGTAGCCACCCTGGAGGAACGGCCCTTTGTCATTGTGGAGAAGACGGACCCAACCACCGGAGTGTGTGTCCGCAACACCGTCCCCTGCCGGGAACAGGCCAACCACACAAAGAGGTAAATAGGAAGGCAGTTAAGGGGTGGGGGACTGCAACAAGGATTTCTGAGACACACTTAGCACAAGCCTATATTTAGGGTTGGTTTGTGGATATGGGGTGCCTTTTGAGCATTGAGCTCCCTGCTGCCTCCCCCCGCTGGCCAACTCCCCAGCATAACCCTGCAGCAGGGTTAACCAACATGGCGCCTTTCCATTGCTGCTAGTCTACAAGCTCCTGACCATCAGCCACAATGTCTAGGACTGATGGGAGTGGATGTCCACCAACCTCTGGAGGAAGCCATGTGGGCCTCCTCTGCCCCATAGGCCTTCCCATTGTAGCTGAAATAGGGCAGTATCCCAACTCCTGCATCTCTATAGCTCAGATATTTCCACTTGTGCAGTGGGACATCCCATGCCCTCCCTAAAATTGCTTTGGAGGGTTGGGGGAACCCCTGGAACAGATTTAAGGGGCACATGGGAGAGTGGGTGGTGGTTTGGAGTGGGAACTTTTGCACTGACAGGACTTATTGCTGCTTTGAGAACAGCCCGCAGGGTTCTTTCTTTCTTAACAAAGGGTTCATGTTGTGGGCCGCTATCATTCACCTTTATGCCTTCTTTCTCATCATAAAGAATATTCAGCAAGGCAGCCATGATCATGTTTGAATTCAGTGGCTTGATCAGATGGCCAGATGTGGAACTCAGATGTCCACATTTTTGGAGAATTCATAAAGGGGTTGATAACCCTTTGCATAATAACCTTTGGGGTTGCTTCTTCAATGGCACGAACATTCCAGCAGGGTCCGTGGTTGAGCTGGTGGCACCTTATGCAACAGACTTAATTCTTGTTGCCCTGGTGTTCTCTGTACCAATCCTCTGCCATGTGCTGACAAGTCCTTCAGCTGCTATGTTCATATTTATTTATTTTCCTCCCTCCCCTCCCTCCCTCCCTCCCTCCCTCCCTCCCTCCCTCCCTCTACCCTCAGGTCTTGGGGCCATAGCTGTCAACTTTTCCCTTTTCTTGCGAGGAATCCTATTCAGAATAAGGGAATTTCCCTTTTAAAAAGGGAAACATTGACAGCTATCCTCAGGGCGCTTTACAGGCTAAAATCAGAATATAAAACCACAAAATACACAACCAAAATAAAAACAACAACCCAATAATCACACACACACACACACACACACACACACCATTTTAAAAGGGCACAGTAGTCTTGGGACGAGGTGCTTGCACTTCAAATAGCTTAGTTGCGAGTAGGGCTTGGCGATATCTGGTTTTCAGCATTGCGATATATCACCAGCTAAACATTGCACTATGCCAATATATCGCAATGTCTATAATAAGAATGGGAACTATGTAGAAGCAAACACGAGTCTACCAACTCAAATAATGCCAGCATCATAAGCCGTAGATGCTGAAAGTTCGGCTTAAGCCTATTCGAAGTTTCTTGGCTCCTCAGTATAAACTGGACAAGCATATCATGTTTGAAGCAGTCTGCCTGGCACTGACTTGCCTGCCCACCCACCACTCCTGCTGACCCAAAACCACAGAAACGACCCTCTGACTTTGTATGGATGTCTGAAATGGGGAAGGGCTGTACCCTTTGCTGGCTCTGTGTGAAGCAAGAAGATCAAACTTGTCATACCCTCTGCAGTCTCCAGAGCAGATCAGAGCCTGTGACTCTCTTTTCTGTATCTGTGGGAAACATAATTAACTTTCCAAGACAAAAGGTGGCTGTGTGAGTCCGAGAGAGGCAAGCCACCTGAAGCATGGAGGGGCAAGAAGATGGACAAATTCACTGGTGTGCTGACTGTCTTTCGATTCAGTTGCAAAGCTGAGAGGAAGCTGCTGGGAGTCTTCTTTTGATATGATGCCTTCCTTCATCCTTCTTGACTCTGAGTGTGTGAGTGATAAAGTTATCCTTCCTGCTGCCTGCCCAAGGAATATGAGAATCTGCCCCAGGCAGGGCCCCAGAGAAGTGTGCTCAATATCCAGAACCACAAAAGAAGCACATCAGGACTTGACATATTTTAATTTACATCACACAATTAATTGAATTTGCATAAAAATTACACAAACATGATGGATGCTGGGCCACTGGCTGGAGGAATCATTGCCGTTAGTTTGAAATGCCATTTGTTTGCTTCCCAGGGTGGCACTAGAAGTGGGAGTCATCTTGATGGATGAAAATGATTATCAGTCAATGGAGATCTCAGAGGTTTTTTTTTTTTTACTTCTGAAAAATTTAGCAGGGAAAACATAGAAGTTACCTTGAGTGTTCCTGGCTGGCTGAGTCTTGGGAATCAGAGCATTCTTATTGTTTCTTTTCTTTCTCCATTGTTTTTTTTTAAATTTACTGTTATATTTTTAAATAAATATAGAAATAACAAAAAAGAGAAAACAACTTGTATGCAAATCTCAATGCATCATAGTTACATCTGCTATGTATCATATCCTTACAATGAGTAAGGCAATTTTAAGAACCAGGTAGTCAGAAATTAAGATAAACCTCCCTTTTGCTAAATGATAGCAAGATTATCAAATGAGATTATTTTTGTGTTTAGTTTAAATTATCTTCTCCTTCCATAATAAGGGTCACTGTGTTTTTAATAGTTGCATAAGATAGTCGAATTCAGTTCAGCGCAGCTTTTCCTATCATTGCATTGGAAAATCTTCACTTGCTGACTTTCTCTTGGACTTGCAGCTTTGAAAGACAAAGAAAAATGCTGGCAACTGTAGTGTAGCAAGGATCCCAGTGAGAAATGCTGCTTCCTCTAAACCAGTATTTCCCAAACTTGGGTCTCCTGCTGTTTTTGGACTACAGCTCCCATCAACCCTAGCTATCAAGACCAGTGGTCAGGGATGATGGGAGTTGTAGTCCCAAAATCATCTGGAGGGACGAGTTTGCCTATGCCTGCACTAGGTGATACTTTAAATTGTAGTCCAAAAACCGTGGGAGACCCAAGTTAGGGAAACACTGCTCCAAACAGAGGTGGGGAACGTGTGTCCTGCTCCCAGCTGCTGCTAGACTCCAGTTCCCATGTACCCTGACCATTGGACATGACTCCTGCAGCTGATGGGAGCTCAACTACACCTGGAGGGCTATAGGCTTCCCACCCTTGCTGCAAAACATTGAATGAATTTGAAGTAGCGTTTTCTTAATGCGGGAAGGACTCCTGTCCCAACACCGATAGCTTGGTTTCTCTAGGCAAGATGGGGTGGAGGCTCTGGATGAGGTGTCTCTGGCTTGCAGGTAGATTTGAAACCCCAGCAGCAGCAGAAACCCCTCCACTTCTATGTCTATAAAGGTAGCATTTTCCCAGCAGGCTACCTGGTGAGCTGGCCCATCAATTACACTTCCAGGACTGCATACATGTGGTGACCCAGCAAGCAGACTCTCAAGGCTGTGGCTGCTCCTTGGAGGCAACTAGCTGGAAAGGTGGTCATGGCAGTCGGTCTGCCGCGCGCCCCCACCGAGACCTAACCTGAAAAGTCTGCCCATAGTTATTAATCACCTGCCTGTTGCCGACCTCTGCAGTCCTCTGATCAAAGTTGTGTCAGCCAACCTGCTGGGTGAAGAAGCAAGCTACTTTCCCCAGCTCAGTAAATGTAGGTTAAAAACTATCGGAAGGCTTTTGCAGAAACACAGATTCTGAAACTAACTTCCAATGGGCAGTATATTCACAAGCACCCTGGGGAAAAATGTGGTTTGGCAAGCCAGTTTTGAACATATGAAGCTGCCTTGTAGTGTGTCCATCCATATTGTCATCTGTTTATTTATTGGAAACATTTCTATGCAATATTTAAAGGTAAAGACCTTCTCTGTGAAATGAAACAAAAAAATGCAATTAAGGAAAATGACAGCATTCAAATATTTCAAATTTCAATAAAGAGTAACTTAGTTTTTTTCTACTCTGACCGGCAATAACTAAGGCTGTCTTCTTCAATCTGGTGCCCTCCAGCTGGTGCTGGACTCCACCTCCCATCAGCCCCAGAGAGTGTGGGCAGTGGTCAGGGATGATGGAGCTAGAGTGCCACAACATCTGGAAGGCCCCAGAGTTGGGGAAGGCCAAGGCCTCTCCTGGCCTGATTACTTGTTACCTTTTAGCTGGAGACGGTTAGGATTTGGACCTGAAACCTTCAGGGAAACCCCATTCTCTCCCAGTGAGCATTGCCCACTATGTGTTGTTGGCTGAATTGTCCTACCAGGCAGAAAAGTGTTGTCCCCATGCTTGCTTTTCTGGGGTTTGTAACCAGGTGCAGAAATGTGGCGAGATTCTATTTCCCTGTCACCAGTTGGAATTAAGCAGATGGCCTGTGCGCCAAGTTGCCATGTGGGGAATGCTCACCTGGATCCACGGCCTGAGATCAAGTGATGTTGCTGGTGGTGGCAGCAGCCACAGCAGTGGAGCACCCCCTTCCTTCCCTGTCCTTTTGAGCAGAGAGGAGGCGAGGACAATTCCCTTGGAGATCAGATCAGTACAAAAGGAACGAGTGAGGTGCCGACAAACTGATGTGTCTGGCTCTGACATGCAAACTGGCTGTGAGCAAGTGAGACTTCAGCTATCATTTCCAACAACAACAAGTACAATCTTTTAAGCAAGTCTAGTTTTAAGGTGGAACCTAAGGGTTGTTGTTTTTTGTTTTACCAGGCCTGTATCAAATGCTTTGTTGTCAGAGCCAGAACTCCTAATCTTTCCTCTCTTTTCCTGGAGTGGTCTCTGACTAGATGTTTTTTCCAGACTGTTTAGAAGACTGCTCATCTCCCCGCATCCCACTGTGGTGTGCAGAGTTTCCCAGACGTGATTAGCATTTTTCCTAGTGCTAAGGATAGCATGTCCCCTTCCTTAGGAGTTGAGCAAAGATTGCCAGACACTCTATTTCCCCCTCTGCCCACTTCCTCTTGAGCTAGGAGGCATCCCCTCCATGAAGCTTCTTGTAATCAGTTACTCCTCCCTGCCTGCTGTCACCTCTCCCTCTTGCATGCATGTGACCCCCTCAACCTTTAAGAAGGAAAAGGATTGCACATACTCAAAGGTGAAGGAACATTTCTGCAGACGGGACTTCAGCAAATTTGCAAAAAACTGTCTGTTGTTTTTTCTTTGGGGCAGTAAGTGGAAATGAGCAGGGCTAGTAGCCCTCATTTGTTGTTGTTGTTTAGTCATGTACGACTTTTCATGACCCCGTGGACCAGAGCACGCCAGGCACTCCTGTCTTCCACTCCCTCCCGCAGTCTGGTCAGACTCATGCTGGTAGTTTTGAGAACACTGTCCAACCATCTCGTCCTCTGTCGTCCCCTTCTCCTTGTGCCCTTCATCTTTCCCAACATCAGGGTCTTTTCCAGGGAGTCTTCTCCTCATGAGGTGGCCAAAGTATTGGAGCCTCAGCCCTCATAGAGATGGGTATTTTGGAATCTGCTTTCTATAACTATCAAACCTAGTTGCGTGCCTCTTATCACTCATTCTACCTAGACACCTTGACTATGTGTGCAGCCCAGCTAGGCTGCGTGGGGCTCCAGAATGCCAGAACCTCACAGGTGCTTAGAGGGCAATGGCATGGGACAGAACATGCTGACAGCTGTGTACTTCGTGAGAGCATTTGCGTGCAAAGTTGACTTCAGTAATGGCCATCACACACAGAGAGAGGAAGAGAGAGAGAGAGAGAGAGAGTTCACCTTTGGTGGACGTGCCCAAGGATTAAGGCTTTCTGGGAGATGATATATAATGAATTGAAAAAGGTATTTAAATATACCTTCTTGAAGAAACCAGAGGCCTTTCTCCTAGGCATAGTCGGCCAATTGGTGCCAAAGAAGGACAGAACTTTTTTTATGTACGCCACAACAGCAGCAAGAATACGCATTGCAAAGTATTGGAAGACACAAGATCTACCCACTCTGGAAGAATGGCAGATGAAGCTGATGGACTATATGGAACTGGCAGAAATGACTGGCAGAATCCGAGACCAGGGAGAAGAGTCGGTGGAAGAAGATTGGAAGAAATTCAAAGACTACCTACAGAAATATTGTAAAATTAATGAATGTTAGAATGATGTTGGATAGAAATTAAGTGGTTTCCAGCTGTAATGCTTTAAGGGAATATGAAAAATGGGTTGTTAATAGGTAAAAATCTAATGTTACTATTTTAAGACCAAAGATTAGGATAAACAAAGAGGGTAAGGATTTGCTGAACCAACAAATTGAACTGGAATACAAAAAAGGGAGGTATGAGGAGGTCCGGGAAACAAGCTAAGGAAAAATAAGTAATGGAAAAATTGAGTGGTTTTTAATCATTTTTATTTTGTATTCTGTATTTTTTCTTTCTTTTCTTTTTTTTTCTTTTTTGTCATTTTTATATTGTAACATTTGGAAAATCTCAATAAATATATTATAAAAAAAAGAGAGAGAGAGAGAGAGAGAGAGAGATGTTTGTGAGATAGGAAAGGTGGGAGCATCAGCCTCTCTTGCCACTGATAAAGTTATATTGCAAAAATTGTATGATTGGGATGTGGCTGGCTGCCACCTCCAAATGACTGGGTTCTAGCCCCTCTGAGAAAAGAGTGATGGAGCCAGTCGCTATAGTGTTGCTCTGAGTAAACAGGGAAGGGGCCAGGGAGTTAGGCGGAGATCACCCTCACGCTTAAGAGATCATTGGAGAGCCCCAGCATGGCCACAATGCAGGAGGCAAAGGACTACTAAGCATGTCCTATGTGTGTGTTTTTAATATATCCTTCTTTCAGTGGAGAAGAACCAATGGATCCCTATACCAAGCTCTGCTGCAAAGGCTTTTGCATTGATATTCTAAAGAAGCTGGCCAAGACAGTGAAGTTCTCCTATGACCTCTACCTGGTGACAAATGGGAAACATGGGAAAATAGTTGATGGCTTCTGGAATGGCATGATCGGAGAGGTAAGGAAATACGCGAAGGTTGCATTTTCCTAGGAAAGTCTTTGCAACACCTGTATAGCGAGTAACAGAGAAGTCATCGGATGTGCAAGATCTGGGACTCTCCTGATGCCTCTGTTAGAGTACTGTTTCCCAGACTCATTTTTGGACAACAACTCCCATCATCCCTAGCTAGTAAGACCAGTAGTCAGGGAAGATGGGAATTGTAGTCCGAAAACAGCTGGAGACCCAAGTTTGAGGAAAAACTGTGTTAAAATGAGAATGGATATAGAGTTGGATCAATCCTTCTTCCCAGAGAATTTTAGGAATTGTAGCTGTTGGAGGGGAATAGGGGTCTCCTAGCAGCTCCCAGCATGCTTAACAAATTACGGCTCCCAGAAGGACTGTTTCAAGTGGTATCATAGTGCTGTAATGTCTGGTGTGAATGTGGCCTCTGTACATCATTTGTTAGAAAAGTTTGTTCCATGGGTTCAGTTTACATTTCTCTAGCTGTTGATCATACATTTTAAACCCCGTCCGTATTTAGATGCCATTTGCAGCATGGATGTAACAGCCACATTCAGAAAAATCACATGGTGGAGTCCTCCCAGGACTGTTCCTATTCCCAATACAAACTGGGGTGGGGAGAGCTATAAGACAGAGCTATTCCGCCTGGCTTTCAATTTGAATTTAGCCTGATCTTTTATTCCCCTTCCTTTCCTCCCCCTCCCCTTTTTATGAAGATTACCCGTTCTGGGATCCCACAGCTAATTCTCCCCCGGTCTCCTCGCTGGCCCAAATAGGTTTAATTTAGCCAGCTAGCCCTGGTGATCATCTAATGTTTATTGGATAGATTTCCCCCCTAAATTGATTTTTGAATTCTGAATTTATTGTCATTCACGTTTTATACTGTATTTCATGCTGTTTTTTCTTGCATCAATTAAGTGTTTTAAATTTGTTGTTAGCCGCCCTGAGCCCGGTTTTCTGAACTGGGAAGGGCGGGGTATAAATAAGAAAATATTTATTTATTTGTATTATATGTAGGAACACTTATGTCACAAATGTCCTGTGAAACAGGAAGGAAGGTTCTAGCCTCCTCTTCTTCCTTATGCCCTTTGTGTGCGGCAGGAGATCTCCAGGTAGAGCAGAAATCAAACATACAGCTTGGCCAGTGCTGTCATGTCAGAATTTGCAACCAGGGGAGAGTCAGTTTTATCTGACCTGTTAGAAAAGGGATGGAAAAATATTGACACATTACACCAGGCACAGCTTTGGTGTGCTCCAGCTGCTTTGGATCAGCCCGGTAAGGAGCCATAAATCCATCTGAACTGGCTGAGTCACCAGAGCAGCACTAAGTGGCCACTGTGTGTGCTGGCAAATACAGCTAAGCAGCCCTGAGAGGGGGAAAAGGCGGTCATTGGCAGCAATGAAATTGGGAGTGGGGTATTAGGCATGCAGCCCCGAATTCTAGCTTGAACGCTCGCTGTTTCTCCATAAGTAGACACTATTCTCACTCCAGGATTCCATCTATTAAAATTTTCCACTAGAGAAAATGGGACAAGACTTCAGAAGAACCGGGAAGCGCCTGTGATCTGAAGCTGCCTCAGAAACACATGGCGGGAACAGTTTTTCAAGCGAATCTTTCTGAACTTTCAGTATTGCTAGCTATGGGTATTGTTAGACTTGAGGGGTTTAAGATGCAGTGGGAAAAACGAAACAAAACAAACAATTACAGATTGGCAGATACTCATGTTAGAATATTTACAACTAGCAAAACTGATGGGAAGAGTTAGAGGAGTATTGAACCAGAAAATATTTGGAGAATATTTAAGGATTATATAAGATCATATTGTACCAACCACACCATATTAGCAGAACTTGAATGATACTTGTAAACACAACAAATACTGTTTGTGGAGTTGTTGTTTAGTCGTTTAGTCGTGTCCGACTCTTCGTGACCCCATGGACCAGAGAACGCCAGGCACTTCTGTCTTTCACTGCCTCCCGCAGTTTGGTCAAACTCATGCTGGTAGCTTCGAGAACACTATCCAACCATCTCGTCCTCTGTCGTCCCCTTCTCCTTGTGCCCTCCATCTTTCCCAACATCAGAGTCTTTTCCAGGGAGTCTTCTCTTCTCATGAGGTGGCCAAAGTATTGGAGCCTCAGCTTCACGATCTGTCCTTCCAGGGAGCACTCAGGGCTGATTTCTTTAAGAATGGATAGGTTTGATCTTCTTGCAGTCCATGGGACTCTCAAGAGTCTCCTCCAGCACCATAATTCAAAAGCATCAATTCTTCGGCGATCAGCCTTCTTTATGGTCCAGCTCTCACTTCCATTTGTGGAGTAGATGGGAACAATATTAAAGAATATAAAACTGTGCAGAAAAAACGACAGTATAAACAGTACAATGAGAATGATTGGAAGACTCGTTTTGTCAGAAGTCTTTTTTATTTAAGTGTTTATTTAAGTATTAGGAAGGTTTTTTATGCACGTAAATCTGCTTTTTCTGCTTGCTTTTTTCTGTATTTTCTTTTTTCTGTATTTTCTTTAATTTTCTTTTTGTAGTATGAGATTGTAAATTCTTCTAAATTCTTTGTATATGTGTGTAATTTAAATTAATAAAGATTTTTTTTAAAAAAAAAAGATGCAGTGGGGTAGGGAGGAACCTCCACAAGGTATTGAATTTAGCAAGTTGTGGCATAATGTTGCTGGCCCTATTCAGCCTCTTCTCAACCCTTGCCTTTTGGGGTGGGGCCAAGAAGGAAGGAGGATCGGCGGCAGCAGCATCACCAGCACGGACCGTGTGCAAAAGGGGGAGGAGCCAGTTGAGGCAGAGCCGGCCCTACCATGCCACAAGGGGAAGTGGCCCTGCTTAAGGTGTCCCCCCATGGGAGGATATATGAAGGCAGGAAGTGGTGTGCAAACGATACAGTGAGGCTTTCTTATTGGCTGCAGTTGTGGAGGGTCTCCATTTGAACTCCAGACTGAGAAATGTCTTGGGCTGCCACTGTCTTTTGCTGAGGGAGGAAAGGATTACTGCTCAGACAAGTTGCAGATTATAGCAGGGTCCACACTTGAGATTGAACTGAAGGTTGAAGGTTCGATTGTTGTAGATCCTGAACTTTTGAATTGGTACGAATTTTCATCCCGCCTTAATTACCCCAGTCCTGCATTTACAGCCTCATTTCCTCACTGCCACTATTTGGCTCTAATGCTTTCTTTGCCTTAGGTCTTTCTCAACATCAACATCATCGTCTGTTGCAGGCATAGTGTGTGCTGTGAATGTGAGTCTCTGTGCTGCGAGAGTTTGGGGTCATGTCATTCATTCATTCACAGGGCTATTACTGACTCACCCGCAGTTAGCTGCCCTCTCTGACCTGCCTCCCCACCAGCTCCCCTGGTTCTGGGGAGAAGCATCTTAGCCTGGTCGAAAGGATCCCTACACTAAGTGGTCTCGAGAGCGGAGGCTGTGCAGGCGGGGAGTACAAAGAACCTTTATATAGCCACGGCAATGTCATTTCTTCTGCCTAGGTCGCAAGAGTGGAACAAAGCATAATCAGATGTTCCCAAGGCAGACAGAGCAATATTAAAGACAAGATGATATTTCTGACAGGAAGGGGAGAAGGACAGTGCACCTGACATCAATATAAAAATGCTGTGCAAATAGAAGATTGGTGTCTTGGGAGGGAGGGTGCACACTGCCACCTTACCATGGGCCATGAGGACAAGGAGCCAACGCAGACAATGCTAGTCATTTTGCACATGGAAATCTGCCATATTTGGGAGGCATCTATGTTAGAACCATTTTCCCTTATTATTTAGTTTCCTATAGTGTATTTGTGTGATCTGTCCGTTGCCCTATCCTAGCTCCTGCCAACCTAGAAGTTCGAAAGCACACCAGTGCAAGTAGTTGAATAGGTACCACTATGGTGGGAAGGTAAATGACATTTTCGTGCGCTCTGGCTTCCGTCACGGTGTTCCTTTGCGCCAAAAGCAGTTTAGTCATGCTGGGCCTAATGACCCGGAAAGCTCTCTGTGGACAAACGCCGGCTCCCTTGGCCTGAAAGCGAGATGAGCGCCACAACCCCATAGTCACCTTTGACTGGACTTAACCGTGCAGGGGTCCTTTACCTTTACCACTAGTACATTCATGCAGATAGGTTGTCCAGGGAGCAATTCTATATACATTTCCTTAGGGCAGTGGTTCTAACCTGTGAGTCCCCAGATATTGTTGGACTACAACTCCCATCTTTCCTAGCCAGCATGACCAGTGGTCAGGGATGATGGGAGTTGTAGTCCAACAACATCTGGGGACCCACAGGTTGAGAACCACTGCCTTAGGGTAAGTCCCACTGTGTTCAGTGAGACTTACTCGTATAGGAAGCTTCCTTATCTGTGTCAGACCAATGGTCCATCTAGTTCAGTGACTGACAGTGGCTCTCCAAGGTGATTTCAGGCAGGCTTCTTTGCCAGCCCTACTTGGAGAGCCAATGGAGATTTAACCTGGGATATTTTGCATGCAAAGCTGATGATACCACTGAGCTATGGCCCTTGCCAGACGTGTGTGTATAAGGTTGCAGCCTCTTCCGCTTGTTAGAGATGCAGCACAAGATAGGGAAGGGATCAATGAGTGCAAGATGCTCTGCTCAGTTTGTGTGCAGCTGGCTCTGCTGTGGTGTTTTGTGTGTGCGTGGGGGGGGGATTTATTCCTGTCGTTTCATTCTTTTCTAGGTGTATTACAAGCGAGCAGACATGGCCATTGGGTCCCTCACCATCAATGAGGAGCGCTCGCAAATTGTGGATTTCTCTGTGCCCTTTGTGGAGACCGGCATCAGCGTCATGGTAGCAAGAAGCAATGGGACCGTCTCGCCTTCTGCTTTTCTAGGTATGAGCACTGAAAAAGAGGGACTTGCTATAAGTTGTTGCTGCAGAATGGGGTTCCCTTGTTCACTGTTTCAGCCAGCCATGCCTTTTGCCATGATATTCTGTTCCTTTCTCTCCCCCCCCCCCCGCAAGTGTCCTGTAGCCACTGAACATATTCGTTCTTCATTTGGCTTTGAGGTGCTGGTGGTGGTGGAGTCCCATCCCATCCTGTCCCCATCCCCTCCAATTTTATTTTTAAAGATGTCTTGTACTTCTATAAACCTCAGTGCCCCCCGCTCCAGGCTGCTGATGCCTCCTCCTTGTGTGCAGATGATGCTGTTTTGGCTATAGAGTAGAACCTCTACTTACGACTGCCTCTACTTGAGCCCAATCCAAGTTGCAACCGCGGCAAACCCAGAAGTAAATACAGTGGTACCTCTGGTTGCAAATGGGATCCATTCCAGAGGCCCATTTGCAACATGAAAAGAGCGCAACCCGCAGCGGCGCATCTGCACACACACAGATTGCGATTCACTGCTTCTGCGCATGCGCATGACGTCATTTTGCACTTCTGCGCATGCACAAGCGGTGAAACCCGGAAGTAACCCTTTCCAGTACTTCTGGGTCGCCGTGGGACGTAACCTGAAAGCACGTAACATGAAGTGGACGTAACATGAGGTGTGACTGTACCGGGTTTGCCCCAATTCGCACATGCGCAGAAGCGGCTGCCGTCGTCTGCACATGCACAGGAGCACGCTGCCGCCGAATGCGCCTGTGCACAACGGTGCTTCTACCAGCGCCCTGGATTGACTTACGGACGGACCTCCGGAACTGATTACGTCCGTAAGTAGAGGTTCCACTGTATAAGGATTGGCCCTCACCTCTGATTGTCACAAATAGAGGAGAGGGTTTGCTGATGCCAGATCCAAATCATGTGTGCTAGAGAGAATTGAGCACTTTTATAACTGCCTAGATATTTGGGGTGCTAACATTCAGTTGTGGCTGTACATAATGCTTCCCTGATTTCAGTTTTCAAGCTGAAAACTACGATTTGTGGGAGAATAGAAATACTTCCAAAAGGAACACTTAGCACGACCGGTCGATTTCATAACATTGTTTGGTGTTGTTTCCCTTGGTTAATGTTGAGTCTAAGCCGTTTTTTCGTTGGCTGATTGTGGAAGCGGTGATATGGGTGATTCCCAACAGTTGGGGAGCATGTAATGAACATGTAATGAGTGACATCAAATGCTAAATTGCTAATGAGATGATGCAACTGAGGGCAGGTAAAGGTCGTTGAGGGAGTGGAGAAGAAGAGAGGACAATGTAAATTGTAAAAGAATGGAGCATCAACTTGAAAAAGGGAGGTGTCTATCCTTTCAAAAGTTCTTATAAAATGCTGTGCCGCTTTGCCTTGAACCAGAAAATTGGGCAACCAATTAAGAGATTAATGAATTGGGCTGATACAAACAGGAAGGAACTGGCTGAGAGAACAGAGGCTGTAGGTGACCTGGGTAGATCTTGTCATGAAGTGATAGCTTGAGAAGTTAAGGTGAGCAGTAGGTAAAAGAACAATGAGCATGAAATAAGGTGTTGCTTTGGGAACTGACAGGAAAAGTCACACGTTTGGAAATGCTAAAGGGAAAGGGTATCAAGGAAGGTTGGCAGCAAGGAGATACCATCAGATGTACAGTTGCCAGCGATTCCCCTTCCAACACCAAGGAAATATAGCAGGGCTCGGAAGAGGCTGAGCTGTCAAGATATATGATATTAATTACACCCCCTTATCTATTAACATGAGTTTATTCCATCAGTGGAGGAAACTAGCTTAGCCTGGCATGATTTGTTCTTAACAAATTCATGCTGATCTCTGGTAATCACCCTGTGTTGTCCTAGAGTCTTAGAGATGTATTGCTTCATTATCTGTTCTGATATTGTAATGGTTCTAGGGGTTGCTTGTGCGTAAGCCGGTGCTTATCTCCCCGGCTGGGTGCAAACACCTGGCTGGGTTGCCTAAGTGAACCTTTTCTGTCCGGACAGCCACTCACCCGTGGCTGACTCAACCGTTGGCAGAATCCGTCAGTGGGCGTTTCTTAAACTTCTTCCAGCAAAGAAGCTCTTTGACGCCTAGTCTCCTCCTACTCTCTCTGGGCGAAAGCCTTCTGCGCAAGGAGGGCGTGGGCAGCGGAGGACCCCTACTCTCCCCGCTGGTCCCAGGCAAGGAGTCATGGGACCGCCTCGCCGCTTCCCCCATCTGCCCCCCTTCTCCACTGGTGCTACGCTGATTCTCTTCCCCAGAAGATGGGCTGCTTCTCCCGATCCCTGGACGCTCTCTGGAATCCCTCTGGCTTTTGCTCTCTCCCTCCGGCACTGATGGCAGTTCCCTGACAGATATGTTTCCAGAGACTTAAAGCGCCAATACATTCTCTCGTGTCCCTTTCATTTCTTTTGGAAAAATTTAACCTTTCCCCAGTGGAGTCTCATTCACCTCTCAAAATCTGCCGATAGACCAGAGTTCTCCAGAAAGAGTGTAGAAACTTCATTGTGAGCTTCTCAAAGGCCCTCAGCAACATTTGACACACACACCCCAGCTCCCACACTGCCTTCCCAAAGCCAGGCAAACAAGGCGCTGGGCTTTGGGAAGAAGGCATGAGGGCTCTGACATGGTCCTGGAGTTCTCCCACCAACCTCCCAAAGCCTAGTTAGTGATCTCCCAGCTTTGAGAAGGAGGTGGGAGGGCTCTAGGATCCTGTCAGAGCCTTGCGACCCCTTCCCAAAGCCTGGTGCCTCACTCAGTCAGCTTTAGAAAGGCAGTGCAAGGGCGTGTGTCAAATTTGGGCCTTGTGTGTGTGGCCTGCAGGTTCTGTGTCGAAGTATTCTTGCGGCTCACTTGATATGAAAAGTTGGGCTGCCCAGCTGCAGAGCAAAGCAGTAAAAAGCAAGTTCATCAACGGTTTTATAGTGTACTCAGTGCTTCTTGGATGAAATGTACTGTAGGATAAAAATTTATTGCTCTAATGATGTCTCCTGACTGATGGGCGCTCCGTTGATGCATTGCTACCAAATGCATCAATTACTTGGCGGCGTCCATAGAGTAGTTTGGGACAGATACAGTGTGGGAGGCGGCACTTAAGTTTTAAACTTGCGTGTTGGATTATCAGCGTTAAGAGTTCATTTCCCACTTAAAGTATTGGTTTTTTTATCATGGGCCAATTAGCTTGCTAGCACTCCCCTCTGGCAAGCTCTTTCATCTGTTTAGTGCTGGATAGCTTGAGAATTGTGCTGAAGCCAGCCATATAGCTTCAGTTTATACTGCACCCGTGGTTCCCAGAATCTCCCGTGTCCTTCCTTTTGTTTATTGTGGTCTAAATTCCTTACATCATCCCCACAGTGTAGAAAGTCTAGCATAATACGGTCTCTGCATATTAAACATAGCAGCCCTTGGCGGTGGTGACTCTTTTATTGGGTAATTTGCTTGCAACCCCTGTTTACAAGGATGTTGGATGTATTGTTATGGCTGCTAGCCAGCCATTCCTTTGTCGGGGAGATGGCTGGTTAATAGCCTAGGATAGCTGGTAGTTTACTTTTAATGGGAGCTAATCATTAGACAGACTCTTGATGTAGAGATCTCTCCAAAAAAGTTTCAAATAGAGGATAGCTTGGAAAGTGAAGTTATCTCCCTTCCTGCAGCCAGAGGGAGAGAGCTGGTGTAAGGTGCATGCGTGTAGCAAGGTAGAGTCAGTATGCATGAAATTGCAATTGTCTTTCCATATGCCAGGCAGTGGGACTATGTGCTGTGATCTAAACCACTGAGCCTTTTGGGCTTGCCGATTGGAAGGTCGGTGGTTCAAATCCCCACGATGGAGTGAGCTCCCGTTGTTCTGTCCCAGCTCCTGCCAACCTAGCAGTTCGAAAGCATGCCAGTGCAAGTAGATAAACAGGTACCACTGTGGCAGGGAGTTAAACAATGTCTCCGTGCGCTCTGGTTTCCATCATGGTGTTCCGTTGTGCCAGAAGCGGTTTAGTCATGCTGGCCACATGACCCGGAAAGTTGTCTGTGGACCAATGCTGGCTCCCTTGGCCTGAAAGCGAGATGAGCACTGCATCCCATAGTTGCCTTTGACTGGACTTAACCGTCCAGGGGTCCTTTACCTTTTACCTTTTGACTATGTGCCTGCGTCTGTCTAGATTACACTGTGTTCCCCCCATGTTAGCAGCCGCAGTGTAGCTCAGTGGGCAGGGAAGGACCGGAGCACACCATTTGTTTACTTTTCCTCCCGATCAGATTTTTGTTTGTTTGTTTGTGTGTGTGTGTGTGTGTGTTTAATCGCACTTTTAAAAAATGCTCCTGCACAATTACTTCAGTAATATCAAATAATCTTCAGAAGCGTTTAAAAGCCAAATAGAGGGAGAGAGGCGTAAAAATGGTAGCAGTAGAGCAGCAATAGAGTTGTGATTGCACAAAAGGATGGGTACCTTTGTAGGTGCGCTTGAACACATCATAGGCTCATTTGAAACAGCGGCTGCACATACACAATGATGAAGGTGATAATTTTACTATTTGTATTCCGCCCATCTGACTGGGTTGCCACTCTGGGCAACTTCTAGCATATACAGAAACATAATAAAACAAAGAGATATTAAAAACTCCCTATACAGTGGTACCTCGGGTTAAGAACTTAATTAGTTCCGGAGGTCCGTTCTTAACCTGAAACTGTTCTTAACCTGAGGTACCACTTTAGCTAATGGGGCCTGCCACTGCGCCGCCGGAGCACGATTTCTGTTCTCATCCTGAAGCAAAGTTCTTAGCCCAAGGTACTATTTCTGGGTTAGTGGAGTCTGTAACCTGAAGCGTCTGTAACCTGAGGTACCGCTGTACCATACATCTAAAACAGGTGACTTCCTTGAAGAATGATGGGAAATGGTAGCTTACACTTCACAGAGCTACAGTCCCCCAGCACCCTTAACAAACTATAGTCCCAGGGTCCTTTGGGGAATGTCATGTGCCTTAAATGTATGGTGTGTGTGCAGCCAATGAAGTGCAGGCCCCTTGGGCAGGGGCGGAGCCTGCTGCTACATGGTCACCTCTGTGAGTTGTGTTGTTTATCCATGGGTGTATCATAGCTGAAAAGGGCTTTCTCCTTTTCCCACTTGGGAGCTGAGAGATATGGACAAAACCAGACGCTTTGGTTCTAGCTTGTTATATCGCGGAATTTATTGTTTGCCCTCGAAGGAAGGGATGCATTTCCTTCCACTCCACGGAGCTCCCTTGGAAATGAATTGCTCAGTGCCAGGTGAGGACACTGGCTTCTCATAGGCTCCCATTAAAGCCCCTCTGAGGCAGGCAGGGCTTCCTGAGAGCTGCCCCTCCTCCTTCCTGTTGTGAAACAAAAGCTGTCACTTCCTTTCTTGTGTTTCTCTGGCACCAACCGTCATCTATGCCGAAAGCTGAAGGCACTAAAATAAACAACAAAATAAACAACAGGGAGGCAGAATTATCGCTGCAATCAGTCGAGGGGGGTCATATCAGGCTCTCTCTTGGAACGGCAAACACATAATTACGGAAACAAAAGGGAATCTTTGTTGGAGATTAGTGAAAACAATATCCATTGGGAAGATAAATTAATGTAGCTATGCATCTGCAAGAGCCTTGCGTGAAATATTAGCTTTTTAGCTATGTTGAGTGAGCGCTGGCAAATGTTTAGGTGCAAGAAAGGTGGTAGCCTGTCTTCCGTCAGTTGCTGGTTCCGAAAAAGAGGCACACGTATTACGTTACACGAGTTAGCACCTCGCAGTATGGTGCTGAGCAAGTGAGCTGCATCTTCCGGGGGTGGGGTGGGGGGGATCCAACGTCATGCTGTTGTACTTTGGAAAGCTTTGAAATGCCATCCTCGATGCACAACAGCTGTGTTTTGCCTTTTGACACGGCAAGTGATTGATTGGTCTAGTATTTCAAATAGAAGCTTGTTTAACAGTCGGGGGGAATCTATTACACCTCATGAGAGGATCTGTTTTGCAGAAAGGCAGGCAGTGGCTGATTCCCGGGGAAGTGGAGATTTGTTGAGTCCACTAGAGGATCAAGTGCAAGTTCAGTTTAAAGGAGCATCCAGTACTCCTAGGGAGAAAAGCAGTAGCACACCGATGGCATACGCTTAGCAGGGAGTAAGTGCATTCGGAAATCAAGAGGGTACCATTTTGCCTACTGTTTTACAGGTGGGGATCGCTGCCCAAAGGCACAAGTACTATCAAAACCCCATCTGGCAGGGATTTGGAAAGTTGATAGTATTGACCAACAGATGTGCATTTGCTCAGTGAACCAGCATCATCCCATGGCTCTGAGCTGAGTTCCCTTGTGCCTTCAGTGTGGGTGGAAGCAGCCCATTGCATGCCTGGTCCACAGCCAGAATATTAAAATGGAATAGAGGCAGGAAGCTGTTTTTTAAGGGCAGTAGTGGCTGGCAGAATGGAGCAGCATTGCTTACCACTGCAGAGGGTGCCGCTGGTAACTGAGATGGGGGAGGCAGTGGGGAGGCTGGCATGATGTGGGTGCAGCGCTGGAGTCTGCCCATTTGCTCCCACTTTGTGCCAGCCTCCATGCCAGCTCCCCTCTGGTAGTGACCTCTGCCAGCCTTTACTGGTTAAGGGTAAGCGTGGCATGTAGAAGTGTACAGTGGTACCTCGGGTTAAGTACTTAATTCATTCCGGAGGTCCGTTCTTAACCTGAAACTGTTCTTAACCTGAAGCACCACTTTAGCTAATGGGGCCTCCCGCTGCTGCCGCACTGCCGAAGCACGATTTCTGTTCTCATCCTGAAGCAAAGTTCTTAACCTGAGGTACTATTTCTGGGTTAGCGGAGTCTGTAACCTGAAGCATATGTAACCTGAAGCGTATGTAACCTGAGGTACCACTGTACCCCCCCCTTTAGAGGAATATGTACTTTATTTTATTTTTTTAAAAAAAGAGGAGAGGGCTTGTCAGAAACCTCTCTCGGAACCTTTTACTTACCGTTCAGAAAAATAAAAGAATCAGACATTTAAAAAATTCCTCTAGGACAAAGACACTTCTCTGATCTGGATTTAAAAAAACACACATGCACAAAAACCAGGGAGATTCTACATGCCAGATCCTCTTAACATCACAGAAAAGAGTGGCTGCCTCTTGCATTCACGGTCCCCCTGGTACACAGTAATTACCTGTACTATAGTTATCATATAACACACTCTGTGTGTGTGTGTGTGTGTGTGTGTGTGTGTGTGTATGTGTGTACCCCCACACATTTTGGACTGGGAACCTGAAGTGATCATCTCTAAAGCCTTTCGGAAGCCATAGAAATACTGGAGCAACTCAAAACAAAAAAGGCTCTTAAGAATGGGGGGAACATAAAGGCAAGAAGAGGGAGCTACCTGCCCCCATCTAACCATCTGGATGCAGGGCAGGGGGGGGGGCAAAACTAAGCCCAGAGAAAATTAGGGGCCATTCCTGCTGTTGTTCTTGGATTCCCACCCAGCGCTGCTTGCTTTTCTGGATCTCTTCTCTTTCTCATCTGCCTCAACATGCTAATGAAGTGCATCTGATGCCATCAGATAAAGTTTTTGTCCTCCTTGACAGGGAAGGACAAGCTGACAAATGGGCCTCTGTTGCTGTATTTTGAGGGCCTGAATTAATCCCATCCTTCAGTCTGCCCTTTAACGCTGGAGCTCTATCTCTCAGTCTGCTGCTGTCATCAGACAACTGCTTGGGCTCTCTGTTTGCTCCTCTTCCCCTCCTCTCCCCCCTGTGTTGCTCTCTTCCTCAGTTTGATCACGTCCGCACGGCTCCTGCTTAGAGGAAGAGATGTGGTGTCTCAGCACAAGCCAGTCCTCGCAGTATACGCAAGCAGGGGAACCTCGGCCTCAGCTGGCATTCCCCCAACCTCAGCCCACACTGAGTGATAACCAAAAGAGCAGCAGAGTATGTGCAGCTGGCTTCCTCCACCTCCGGCCCTTTAAAAGCAGATTTGCGGGCACCTAGGGCCCGACAGAGGGACGCGGGTGGCACTGTGGGTTAAACCACAGAGCCTAGGACTTGCCGATCAGAAGGTCGGTGGTTCGAATCCCTGTGTCAGGGTGAGCTCCCGTTGCTCAGCCCCTGCTCCTGCCAACCTAGCAGTTCAAAAGCACGTCAAAGTGCAAGTAGATAAATAGGTACTGCTCCGGTGGGAAGGTAAACGGCGTTTCCGTGCGCTGCTCTGGTTCGCCAGAAGCGGCTTAGTCATGCTGGCCACATGACCCGGAAGCTGTACGCCGGCTCCCTTGGCCAATAAAGCAAGATGAGCGCCGCAACCCCAGAGTCAGCCACGACTGGACCTACGGGTAATGGTCAGGGGTCCCTTTACCTTTACTAGGGCCCTACAGATGTTGTTGGACCGTAGCTGCCATCCTCCCTGACCACTGGTCATGCTTGTTGGGGCTGAAGGGAACTTGTTTATTTGCAAATATTTCTATCCTCCAACATTAAGGGTGGGGGGAATGGTGGCGAAGAGCATAAAATAAACAAGGAAGTTACATTAATAAAAGTTCAAAATGCATCACAGATTAATACATCAGCACAGCTGGATCACCCATCAGAGGAATTCTGAGTGAACAGAGGAGTTTTAAGCAGGTGCCTAAATGTCAGGAGGTGCCTGCCTGGTGTTCATTTGAGAGCACACACCAAAGGGGAGGTGCCGCCATTTCAAAGACCTTGGATCTTTGTGGACTTAAGACAAACCTCAGGAGCAAATGGCACTACAGTGGTACCTCGGGTTAAGAGCTTAATTCGTTCTGGAGGTCCGTTCTTAACCTGAAACTGTTCTTAACCTGAAGCACCACTTTAGCTAATGGGGCCTCCCGCTGCTGCCGCGCCACCGCCGTGTGATTTCTGTTCTCATCCTGAAACAAAGTTCTTAACCTGAAGTACTATTTCTGGGTTAGCAGAGTCTGTAACCTGAAGCGCCTGTAACCCGAGGTACCACTGTACTAAGGAGTGTCTCTCTCGAGAATTGAGGTGTCCAGGCAGGATTACAAGGTAACTTGATCCCAAGCTGTTCAGGGCTATATGGTAATAATAAGACCTTAATGACGGCACATTCTGAGGAATCTCTACAGAGACTTGTCAGCCATTTTGCCCAAGCCTGCAGGCAGTTCAGTCTTACCATCCGGCTGACGAACTCCAACATCCTGGCTCCGGACATTGCCAGTACTCCACGCATCAGCATTGCTGACCACACACTCGAGGTGGTAGATGAGTTTGTCTACTTGGGTTCCACCCTAAGCAGCATCCTCTCCATTGACACTGAGCTGGACAAGCGTATTGGCAGTGCAGCTACGGCAATGGCTCACCTCTCAAAGGGTATGGGTGAATGTGATGCTAACGTCTCATACCGTGATGAAGGTCTGCCAGGCTTGAGTGCTGAACACGCTGTTTCATGGAAGTGAGTTGTGGGCAGCTTACAACTTCCAGGAACAATGCCTCAGTGTGCTGCATCAGGAGGATTTGGGGAAGAATAATAATTTTTGTCACTACACCACCTGTGTGCAGTGAAATTAAATGACCCCCCCCCAATACACTCAGTCTTGTTCGCGCTCTGTGTGCTTGTCGGAAGTCAATTGCACCACTATTTTTTTCCATTCAGCAGCCCAACAGCCCACGGATAAAAACTGTTCTTTAACCTGTTAGTGCGGCTGACTATATTTCTGTATCTCCTGCCCGAAGAGGTGCTGGCCAGGGTGTGAGTTGTTCCTAAGAATTTTCCTCGCTCTCCTGAGACAGTGGTCTCCGACAGTGTCATCTAGTGAACTCCGGGGACAGCCCATGATATCATGTGCTGTATTCACCACCATATCAAATGGCAGGACAGAATTCCAAACAAATACCGTATTTTTCGCTCTATAACACGCGCCTGACCATAACACGCACATCATTTTTAGAGGAGGAAAACAAGGGGGGGGGTGAATTCTGAATGAAACAGTGGATGTATCATTTTTGTGCTTCATGCTGTGGCCACAGACATGTGATCTGATGGTGAATTTGGGGTGACCCAATGCAAAAATCGTGAGAATCCCTGTGGATTCATGCTTTGTAACCACGTTTTTGCACCATTGCAGCCCCAAGCAACAGTGGGTGCGTGATTTTTGGGGGGCAGGCTGTAGCCATGGACATGCTATGTTATCTGATGGTGAATTTGGGGTGACCCAATGCAAAGATCCTGAGGATCCATGTGGATCCATGCTTTGTAACCACGTTTTTGCACCATTGCAGCCCCAAGCAACAGTGGGTGCGTGATTTTTGGGGGGCAGGCTGTAGCCATGGACATGCTATGTTATCTGATGGTGAATTTGGGGTGACCCAATGCAAAGATCCTGAGGATCCATGTGGATCCATGCTTTGTAACCACGTTTTTGCACCATTGCAGCCCCAAGCAACAGTGGGTGCGTGATTTTTGGGGGGCAGGCTATAGCCATGGACATGCTATGTGATCTGATGGTGAATTTGGGGTGACCCAATGCAAAGATCCTGAGGATCCATGTAGATCCATGCTTTGTAACTGCCTTTTAAGTGGGGAGGGAAGGAAAAACACAGAAGGGACAAGGAGCATAAGAATGCAGGAGAGGGATTTAACGGGAGGGAGGAAAGAAAGGCAAAAGTCCCCCCACCCCACCCAAGCCAGCCCTCTCTCTCCCTCTCTCTCTCCCTCTCTCCCACCTGCATGTTTTCTGGCTGCCTGCGAGGAGCAGGGAGAGGAATTAGAAGGAAGGACGCTCTGCTTTCCCCTCTGCTTGCCTGGAGGGGAGGGGATTTGCCTGCTCTTTGTTCCATTTGAGCAAACACAGCAACGAAACACAAGCGGGTGGGCAGTAAGACCCTGAGGCAGAATGCAGGAAAGCAGCAACTTCCTCTTTTCAGGTTTCCCTTCTCCGACACGCGATTTGATTTTTGACTGATTTTTGTTCCTGCGCTTGCCCTAGTCGGCTCCAGGGACCACACATTCGCTCAATAACACGCACAGACATTTCCCCTTCCTTTTTAGGAGAAAAAATCTGCGTGTTATAGAGAGAAAAATACGGTATGTGCTCTCCCGAGCCCAGCATGTTCGCACTCCTGTCCCAATGACATCTACATTGGCTTGGTCATGTCCACAGAATGGAAGATAGCGGGATCCCCAAAGACATGCTCTACGGGGAGCTGGCTTCAGGCACCAAGCCCGTTGGCAGACCAACGCTGTGTTACAAAGATGTCTGCAAACGCGGCATGAAGGCTGGCAAAGTCAACCATGGGAATCCCAATCGCAGTGCCTGGAGACGGCCAGTCAGGTCGTGCATCCTTACCAGTGACCAGAGGAGGAATGTTTGGTGGGTGGAGCGCAGACAGAAGAAACGGCATGGTGCATCTGCAGCAGCACAACTGGATGCCTTCACTTGCCCCAGCTGCAACAAAACATGTCTCTCCTCTATCGGTCTCTACAGCCACAGCAGGCGCTGTAACCTTCCAACGAACGGTTGGACTTCACCCCCAAAGGAGCACTCCTCCATTGTCTCCCGAGACAGACAGACGCCAGCAACTTAGTGTTTTTTACCTTGGTGTTTTTGCATCCAGTCACGAGTCCAGTTGCTGCATCGCTATGCCTAATGGGGAGCCTGTGTCTCTCCATATGCTGCTGGACTTTGACTCCCATTGGCAGGGCCAACAGTCGGGGTTGATGGGAGTTGTAGTCCGGTAATCTCTGGAAGGCCACAGCTCCCTCACTGCTGACCAAGCACTGATGAAAAAGACATTGAGAACACCGGTTAGCCCTGTGGCAAAGACACAGGAAAACCATTAATCAAGCCACCTGCATGCACTCACTTCTCTTTTGACTCTCCTGGTGCGCAGAAACAGGTTCTCACCCAGGGGCAGAAACTGCTTCTTTCTCCCACTGCAGCTATCAGGCAAAAGTGTTCATTAAACCCATTTTCTAATAACCAGAGCCTGAAAAGCAGGGCAGGGGAAGATCCGAATTCTACAAAACTTACACGTACGACCCAGGGATGTTGTAGTCCACTAACATCTGGGAGACTACAGGTTCTCCACGCCTGATTTAGAACTAGGTGGAGAATGTAGCAGCTACGGCTTCATCTGTTTCTTCTCTGCCATGTACATCCTTTTCATGCCCCCTTTCCATGCTGGACCTGCAGGGCGGGGGGCTTCCGATGCAACTTTTTCAGTCCTTAAAGAGGTAGAGCAAATCACCAGGTTGTAACCTTGCAACTGATCCTCTTGTAATATGTCCGTGGGTATCCAAATTACATAAACAAAAGTGTTACATCAGAGTAATTACTAACAGAATGAGATGCCTTTATAATATGTTTTTCCTCTTTCTGTGTAATTAAGCACATCTGTAAGATGCCCCGGAAGCTTGGAGATTTCCTGTATACTTCATCATTGTATTACGATTTGTACTTATAATTTCCTTCCCACTATCTTCATAAGGAATTTGATAAATATTGCTGCCCCAAAATTACCTTTAAAGTCATTGTGGTGGGTTTTGTTTTCTTTCTTTCTTTGCTCACAAAATACCAGCCCTGGACGGGAAAATATTTCATACGCTGAAGCAACTGGTCACGGGGTTGGTATTTCCCATTATTCTCTGCCTCAGCCCGGCAAAGCACATTCTGTTCATACACCTTGGTGTGCAAAACCGCATTTGACAGGTGAAGGGAAAACCATATTAATTTTTCTCTTCTGATAAAGGCAGACAAGTAGCTTTGGGGTGTGTTGTGTTGAAAAATATCCCGTTGACTTGAGAGCCTGTTCATTCTTACAGCTTTAAAATGTGGCTTAGGGTTCCTAAATGCTCCTGAAAATGCTTCAGCCTTAGTTTTGGGAATAGTAATATTTACTGACAGTCCTGCACAGTGGGCCCATCTTCCTAACACCCCCCCCTTCACAGAAAAGGAGAGAGATTTTCTCACCAAGAGGTTACCTTGCAGAGAAACATTGAAGCTTTTGGTTCAATAGAGATTTTCAAGTAAAGACTTCCATTCCATTATGCTTCAGAGGGGGAAATAAATAAAGATCTGGCCTAATTTGGAACTATTATTATTATTATTACTATTTTGTATTAAATTTGTATTCTGCCCTTAATCAAAGTTCCCAGGGTGGTTCACAACAGAAAAATACTGAATGAGAATACAAAATGCACAATAAAACAAAGACAGAAACAAACCCCAAACTCACCTTCCACAAACACATTTAAAAAACCATCGAATGTTAATCAGCCGAATACCTGGTTGAAGAGAAACATTTTCACCTGGTGCCTAAAGGTATGTAATGAAGGCGCCAGGTTAGCCTCCTTGGGGAGAGCATTTCACACAGAGGAAGCCACTGTAGAAAAGGCCTGTTCTTTTTTTTGCCACTCTCCAGACCTCTCTTGGAGGTGGCGCACAAAGAAGGGCCTTAGATGATGATCGCAGGGTCTGGGTCCGTTCATATGGGGAGAGGATTCCTGCTGACTCTCTAGGACATACCTGATGGACATTAGTTGCACACTCTATGGTATCTGCTGCAACCAATGAATGCAGCAAATGGGTGCTTTAGTTGAGATTCCAGCATTGCAGGGGGTTGGACTAGATGACCCTCGGGATCCCTTCCAACACTATGATTCTATAATAGGCACACACAACCACCAAATTTCTTACTCATGTCTGTCTACTGACAGCACTGGGGGAGAGAAAATAAATGTCCTGTAGAGATGGGAATGAACAGCCTTTTCCAGCTTGATAAGGACATCTTCCAAGGTCTTGGGTGTCACCTTAATTTCCTTTGCTTTGTTGTCAAAACCATCGCTGTGGATGATGCAAGTGTTTGTGTGGTGTGGTGCTATGGAAAGGTTATGTACATAAATTTTAGTGAAGTTGACTCTTTAAGCACCTATCACCAAGGGGGATTGTACTACTCTAACTCTTTCCATACCTGATGCTTCTCTCCCTGCTAAATGAAGGGGCCTCCAGTAGCAGACTGTCTGCTACTGTCTCCCTGTCTGCCTGTCTCCCTGTCTTCATTCAGATATTTAATGAACTCGCATAGATCGGGGACAGAGTTTCCCCCTGCCCCCATTGAGTACCCAGGGCAACAGCAGCAGCATATTGCCTTAAAATGGCTCCTGTGTCTCTTGGGCTGTAATTGGGCGCAGGGGAATGGTGGGAGGAACCAGCTGGGGGACCCTCAAGGGAAGAAGACTCAGTGCCAGGGGATTAGTGGTGGGATGATGATAGTGGTCAAAAGGAGAAGACTGGGAGGAGGAGGTTTCGGAAGCTAAAGAAGCAACAAGGCTAAGTGAGCTGGGAGAATCTGTGTCAGAGGGAAGTCCAGAATCAGAGGCAGAAGCTGAAGCAGGCGAGGGGGGTGAGGGAGGACAAGAGGCAGAGAGATGAGTCAAGCTGATGAAGAGTCGCAAGTGTCTTGTTCTCCTGCTGTGAAAAGCTCCCCTCCCTCCTTATCTGCAAGAACCAGAAGGGGCATGAAAAGGGTGGAGGAAAGGTTGGCTTCACACCAGCGCAGTCTCTGATTGCTTGGAGAAAGCCCTGGAGAGGAGGGAACTTTGATGACTGTGGGTAGACGGGGACTTTCAGTCTCAGCACATGATCCATGGGGCTGAGCTGCTGTGCTCATTAGGCCTGACACTGCACCAAGTCTGTGCGGACTGTGTTCTGACTAATGAAGACTCAACTCCAGCTTGAGCAGTGTGATTTACTGCTGGCCTGCTCATAATATGGGTGTTTGATATTGGTGCTGGGGTGCACTTCAACAGTGCCACCACAGCAGCCAATATGCACCCATACCTGTTATCAGCATCGCTACACACACAATCACCGTTCTGTCCATTTTCAGTGCTCAGACTGACAGAGAGGGAGGTCCATCAGGAAGCTCAGGGGAATCCCACTTCACAGAAGTATTTAGAGAAAAACGAGAGAAGAGTGGGGAGCCCCACAAAACAGCCCAAGGGGGACCAAGCATGTTCAGTGGCCACTGGATGCTGACCCACTGTTTGGTTTGGGGAGAGGATGAAAATTAGTCCTCCACTCTATAATGTTTTATTGCAGGTCTCACTGGGTGTTTACGTAGCCATAGCAGAATCAAACCATGGAGAAGAGGGTGCCAATATTGGGGAGGGTGTGGCTGATTGTCTGGTGCAGTGAATGGAAGCACTCCCTGCTGCAACAATTCATTGCAAATCACACTCGCAACTCCTATTGTCACACGCAAAGAATGAGCACAATAGAGGTGCATTTCACAGCACATGTTGTTGACTTCAGCAGGCATTGAATGCAGGTCTCCCGCTGTCTATCGGACCATCTTTTCTCTCTATCAATGGGCAGGGAGGGGGTGTTGCAGCATCAATGGGTGACTCTTAACCTGTCACTTGCCCTGGGTTGACTGGCTTCCTCTTGTCTTCTAGAACCCTACAGTCCAGCCGTGTGGGTGATGATGTTTGTGATGTGTCTCACTGTCGTTGCCATCACAGTCTTCATGTTTGAATATTTCAGCCCTGTTGGATACAACCAGAATTTAACCAGTGGCAAAAGTAAGTAAGTTTCCAAAATTGCACACAGCAAGTGAGCCTTAATTTTTTGGTGGGGGCAAAGACAAAAAGCAGGATGTAATAAGCATGAGCCACCCTGCTATTATACACTCCACATTTAAACAGTTGCAAAAGATAAACAATTCTCAGCATCTCATCGAAAGCATTGACCTTTGGAAAGAGAGCCCGTGGCAATCTCCAGCAGGTGGGATTTCTCTGCCTCCCCACCACAAGAGTCCCATGGTATTCCAGTTTCTGGTGTAAGGATTCCTCCATTTATTTACTTACTTTAGTTATGGCATTTCCAGACATCTCCTTTACCCAGCAAAACCAGGGTGTAGTACAGCACTCTGTGGCGACCCAACGATATTTATTTCTTTATGGTCGCCATCTTTTTCACACCACCAGCACCGATAACCTTTCCATGTGCACACATAAACCCCAAACAAGAGAACGGAAATGTGGCAAATGAGACTGGTAAAGATCTCTGTCAAAATATGTGCCGTTGTTAAATATTTAAGACCTGCCAGACATTTTCTGCAGTTCGTGACAAAATCTGGAAAAACAACCCTTTAGATTTTAGGAGAGCAAACTGAAAAGCACCCAAAATGCCCATTTTGAGTCCCCTGCTGTGGGAAGAGAGACCCAGTAGCCTTTCAAGCAAACTATATGAACACTGGCAGGGCTCCCTGTCCTGTTCATTTACATGTGCATAGATGGACCAGGTGTAAAAGCAAACAGGGCTCCTGTGCCTTTAAAACAGATGCACGGAAGGGAACATGTCAATGCAGATTTTCTCACCTCTGCATGACAAAGCTGCAGAAATTCTGGCTTCTTTGCGGCTATGGAAGGCACCAGATTGCATCTGGTAGTCAGCACATGCGAAGGCTGTTTAGAGACAGTGCCCTGCCTTGACTCCTTCCTGTAGGATATAGTGCCTTTGGATCTCTTCCGAATCAGTCTAGAGGGTACCAAGGAAGCCCTCCTGATCACCCAGGAGCTGGTCCTTAAGTGTTCCTCCTGCAAGGGCAGCAGCCTGGGCTCCTGTGCAAAGAAACAAATGCATCCATTGCAGGCTGATCCGATCCACCTCTGAGTCATGTCAGCATCTTTTGTGTCTGAACTGTCAACAGCTAGCCGGATCAGCCAGCCTGATTTGTAGGCTCGCCTGTAAACTCCGTGAGCGGCTCCTCCTGTTAACAGCTTCCGCGTCTTAAGTGAGCTGGGCAGAAGATTTCTCACAGCTGCTTGGAGAAGCTGTCAGCCCCAGGCCAATCCTACCATCCCTGCCCTTGATAAATGCTCATTAAAACTTACACATCCTGACATGTGGGGAATGAAAAGGCTCCTCGGGTGCTGAGAGATAGGTCCCACACACCCCCCACACCCTCCAGCCACCTTTGGCTAGCCTTTTCCCCGGGAGAGCTCCCCAAATGCCACCGTCCCACTTGACCTCTGAGAATTTGCTGCTGAAGGTGGATCAAACAAAGGTAAAAGATGCTGGAAGTCAGGAGGAGACTGGTAGCTACAAGGAGAGAATAGCCTGGAATAAAAATATACAACCTATTTTTAGCTTTCATCATCCAACTCTGTAAAAAAAACACCAAACCTCTGGCAGAGTGTGAGTGGCTGGTACCCTGCTGCTTCCTTCCTTCCTCTTACTGGAAGCTGCCTTTGAACCATTCTAAATATTCTGGGTTTCTGATTTTAGGGTGGGGTTTTTTTTTTGTTCTTTGGCTTGTTCGTTCAGTATTGTTGCATTCTTAATTTAGAAATGGCAGCAGAATCTCATAACTGCAAACAGGAGGGAAATGGAAATGTGAAGAACTCGCAAACATTCCTAACTGTGCCACCGTCCCTCCTTTGGCCTCATTATTACCATGACAAGGGGCTGATGTCAATGTCCCCCACCTTCAAATCACCTTCTTCCTGCCGGGTCAAGAAAACAAGGTCCAGAGTGTGGCCTGCCATGTGCGTCGGACTGGTGACATGTTGGGACAGCTCCATGGGTGCCAGCTGCCTTGGCATGGATGTTGAAGTCTCCCAGAACCAGCAGTCTGGGACTCCTCAGCACTGCCCCTGAGACCAGCTCTGTCAGCTCAGGCATGGAGACTGCTGGGCAGCGAGGCGGGCGGTAAACCAGCAGAATCCCTAATCTGTCCTGATTGCCCAATGCCAGGAACACACACTCTAGAACCCTATAACTGGACAGAGAGCCTGGAGATAGAGAATCTCTCTAGACCACAGCAACTCCCTCTCCGACCCTTGAGTCTGGCCTGATGCTGTACTGAGTACCCAGGTGGGCACAGCTGGGTGAGACCAACTCCACCCTGTTCACCCACCCAGGTTTTTCAGTGATACATTCCAGATCAGCCTCCTCATCCATAATCAGATCATGGATGAGGGAGATTTTATTCTGGCATTCAACAGCAGCAGTCGCATACCCGAGGGCTGACTGATATGACAATCACAATTCCCCAGGTTGGAGGGGGGACGGGTACACGGCAGTCACTAACTGCCTGTGCTGTGTGCCCCTCACGCAGCTTGCCCCTCCTCCCACGCCATACCTCCCCCTGCTCTCCCCCGCTCCTCTCCTCCCAGGCACATCGCAAAAAATGCCCTTTAAAACAGTTAAAAAAACAATTTAAAAGGATATAAAAGAAGAAGCCCTTTCTGCTGAGCAGCAGCAGCAGCAGCCCTTATAAAACCTATCAAGCCCTGCCCTGGGCCAGGTGGAGAGAGGCAGGAGCAGGGCCCTCTGGCTCTCAGCAGGGTGGTCCTAGAAAGTCTGAGATCTGCTTAAGTGAAGCCCCACATTAATTGTTTGGGTTTTGAAGCTTTCCCCTGTAGTCATAGGGTCTAGAAACTTACAAACAATAAATGATGAAGATTCTCAGAATTCTCAATAGATTATACTGGAAAGGCACTCCAAGTAAGATCGTGGTGCTTATTTGGGTCTTCTTCAATGTCGTCTCCCAGGCAAGCTCTGCTGCTAATCTGCCAGCATTCTCAATACTGTGTCTGAGTTGAGCAATAAAAAGGTTGCAGCAATTGTTGCAATCCAACAAAGGTCAAACAGATTATGAGGTCTCTTAAGTACATTGTTGGGTTCTGGGTTGCCCTGGTTCTCTTCTTCTTGACCTTCGGCTTCTCAAACGCTGCTGTGCCTACATCTTTAAATACAAGTGCATGTCTTTGCTTAACAAATGGAAGAAGCAATCCCTTCCCAAAGCAAATCCTGCTCACGTGTTGAGCCTTAGCAGAAATGGCGGCCAGAAATATTTTAGCAGAGATCTCCAAAGTAACTAAAATGGCACGTGTTTTACTTCCAAAAGCTTACAATGAACGAAAAAGGCTTCTTATTTCTAGCAGGAAAAACCTGCTGCCTACAAATCGCTTTCCCTTTCATCTTTTCTAGAATCTGGGGGGCCTTCCTTCACTATTGGCAAGTCCGTCTGGCTGCTCTGGGCTCTGGTTTTCAACAACTCCGTTCCCATTGAAAACCCCAAAGGGACTACAAGTAAAATCATGGTGCTTATCTGGGCTTTCTTCGCCGTCATCTTCCTGGCCAGCTACACTGCTAATCTGGCAGCTTTCATGATCCAAGAGCAATACATTGATACTGTCTCTGGGCTCAGCGATAAGAAGGTGAGGAATGCTTGAGCAATGGTGGCAAAGGGAATGAATGTTGAGTGCTTAGGCCAGGGGTGCAACGTTTTGTAGCTTGGAATATCCCAGAAGGAAGATATGCTAGTGCTGACTGAATGGCAGGACATAAACTCAAGTTGGTTTCATTTGCTGGCTTTGATAAGCAGCTAGAGGAAACCAAAAGATAGCTTTTGGTTACCAAGGAAAGTTAAGCCCACACAAAAGTTTCCCTTTCTGTGCCCACCTTTGCATCTGTAAGGCTGAAGATAACTCAATGGAGCTGCTTTTTCACTCCCAAAGTTTCTGACCTCTGTATTACTGACTCCCAAGACACTGTTGCAACATGGGCTATAAACTGAAATAAGTAAATGTAGAAAATTATGTAGAAAATTATGCTAAAATGGTGGTACTGAAGTACACACTCAGGTTGTCTCCAGACTGTCAGTTTTATACAGTGGTTAGAGTGTTGGACCAGGACTTTGGAGACCAGGGTTCAAATCCCCACTCTGCCATGAAGGTCACTCAGAGACCTTGGTCAAGTCACTCCTTCTCGGCCTAACCTGCCTCACAGGATTGTTCGTGAGGGTAATATAGGGGAGGAGGAGAACAACTATGTATGCTATCTTGAGTGTTTTTGAGCAAAGATGGGTTACAATGCAATACATTAAATAAAAACTATTTTGTAGGAGAGATTTAAGCACATACCTAAAATTTAGGTTTGCAGCCATTCAAGTGGATTAAAGGGCTCTGTCACCCTGGTGCAACAAACCTGTTTTGTTTTTTAAAGGATCAGTTTTTTTGTGGTTTGGAAAGTGGCAAGGAAATGCATTGAAAACTGTGGGATGAACAGTTGATTTAATGGGAAGACATATAACCACTGCACAAACAAATCAGGATGAATCCATGATGAAGGCTGATGGTTGTATAACCTCCCCACTACCAAATTGGAACAAGTGCCCAGTAAGGGCCAGGTCTAACCTCCAACTAAGCTTTGTGCAAGCAACTCAGGGCTGAACGCTCAATAGTTAGGTTGGAGGAGCCCAGAGTCCTTTCTGAAATGCGCATCCTCAAGTCTGAATAGAGGGATGCTGTTTCCATTCTGGATCTGGCAACAGACTTGTCTTTGTGGTGTCCTTCCCAGTTTCAAAGGCCTCAGGAGCAGTACCCCCCATTCCGGTTTGGAACAGTTCCCAATGGCAGCACCGAGAGGAACATTCGGAGCAACTACCATGACATGCACTCGCACATGGTGAAGTACAACCAGCGCTCGGTGGAGGATGCCCTGGTCAGCCTCAAAATGGGGTAGGTTGCAGCATTTCCCCATAAGAAAGAGCAGCGTGCAAGAAGGCCTCAAGGTATCTGTGCCACATTGAGTTCATTCATGGCCAGCCCTAGCAAATATAACAGGAGAAGTAAATATACTGGCATATACTTCAATAATGACGTTGAAGTTGGTTGTTGGAACTGGCCCATTTCAGCTTCTGGTTCTTGTTTTCTGTTTGCTTGTGAGCTTCTGCTTCAGTGATGACAGACTCAGGCAAACCTTCTGATCAGTTTTGTGAATGTTCCTGTATGCCTCTCACACAGATTGGCACTATGGCATGCTGCATTTCTGACCACTTCCTTGGGGCATTCGCAGGACTGGCCACCATGTCAAAAATGGGCAGCCCATAGCAACCTGATCAAGTCACCATCCTATGAACAGGATCTTTATTGACTGAAGTTTCTCTGCACGCTTGATGCTGTGTGAGATTAAACCATAAAGAAGCTCTCTGCTAATGATGACTACGTTTCAGTATTCTGTCACATAGCTGGCTTACTCTCTGTGAGAGTGTTGACTTAAGTTCCTGGTTCTCACTGTGAATCCCTTCTCTCAGTCAGACTCCACAAATATGTGAACTATATTCTGTCCAAACATGATTATGTTTATTCTGGGTGGAAGTTTGCTTGCTGCTGTTGTGAGGTAAATGTCACAGACCGAGTGCTGGCCATGAGATGCCCAAATATCTTGTTTTCAGACTTTTCTAACAATCTGGATGTTTTGGAATATGTGTGTATCACATGTAAGGTTCCTGTCTTTACATGTGATGCAAAATTTAACAATTTTGATAGCCCTGCAAGCTGCTAGATCAATCAAAACAATGGTTCTCAAGCATCTTTATAGAGGTTTCCTTTGGTGCGTGATGGGTGCGTTCCACAGTGAATGCTGGTTTCACTCCTGTAGCTAACAAGCCTCGAAATATTTAGTGCTTCCTAATTTTAGCAACAGAAGTCTCCACGTTTCCAGTTTCTGGAAGTTCAGATTTTGAATGTATTACTCATTAGTAGGAGAGTCTTCTCTCTGCTACCAGCCTCTAATTCACCCTCTAATTTCATTTGCTCCATTTCTTTCTTTCATCCCTCTGTTGCTATCCTTTGATCTGTTGACCTCTTGTTGTCCTTTTTAAAAGGCAACTTGCACAGCACAATGAAGCTTGAGTGTGATGTGGTATTCTAAAACCAAGGGAGTGAAAGCTCTCAAGCCAGTTCTTGTACTCACCTGCCCTAGGCTGCAGCATGCATGTATGTCACATTCTGCCTAAGCATTTCAAGGTGGGGCTGCAGGAGCTGCAAAGCTGCAGCTGTGCGTGCACAGGCCCAAGCCAAGCAGTCCTTGCTGCTTTCCAGAGTTCAATGGAATTTGCTCTCAGGAAAGGGAGCACACGACTGCAGCCACAGCCTGATAGTTAGTTTCTAAGCGTGTTTCTGTGAAATTGTTTTTATGGACAGTGACTGCCCTGTTGTTTATGACAGTGGGGTAATGCTTGCTTTCCCCCAAGGCCATACTTTTGATATGGAGAAAGTGATTGCCCCCCCAATCACTCAAACTGTGAGATTTTGCAGCTGGGGAAAATGTGATTTATCTTCCAAACTATTACAGTTGTGGCTGCCCTGGAGAATATGCTAGATATCACCATTTTGTGAACTGGTTTTTTTACATGAATTGTTTGAACAGTGTGCAGTCCCCATCTTCAGTGTTAAGAGAGGCACGAGTTGTTTCCGAAAAATTGCAAGCAAGACGATGACATATGCTGTCTTCTCCTGCCCCTTGATTGCACTGCAAGACTAGGTTACTCTCAGCGTAGCACTTTTTCTATTGGATTGAAGCTTCTGGGACTGTCCTACAAATATGGTCAAGCCCACAGATGAGAACAGCTTTGCTTGCTTTCTTGCATCATTTTATAGCCTGGCACTTGGCACTGTGTGACCTTCTAGCTTACCAAACCCCCCCCACCATGTGGCTTTTGTAGTTGCTGTCCCTTAATTTTTTCCCCTCTCTCTCCATCTCTCTCTCTCTGCTTGATTCCAGAAAGCTGGATGCATTTATATATGATGCCGCAGTGCTCAACTACATGGCGGGCAAGGATGAGGGTTGCAAACTGGTGACCATTGGCAGCGGGAAAGTCTTTGCCACCACCGGCTATGGCATTGCCCTCCAGAAGGACTCCAAGTGGAAGAGGCCAATTGATTTAGCCCTCCTACAATTCCTGGGAGATGGTAAGTAGTTCTCTGTCTCCTCCCCGCAAACACACTTTGCTTCCTCATCCTCAGGGGTAGTTACCAGTAGTCTCCTACGTATTTTTCTCCAAGGGGTCACAGAACAAGAAAACCTCTGTCTTAACAGGTTGCGGGGGGGACGGGACACACCTGGCCACAACTGCCTCACAAACACAAAGCTGAACCCTACTTAATCTTTATTCCCTCTCTCCTCTTTCCACTTTCTCATCCACCCCTCCATGTTCCCTGGCACAATCACAACAGTCCTGTGTTTATTTAAAATTGTATTTATTTTTAAATATGAAGGCGTTATACCCGTCCCCCCCCCAAAAAAAAACTTCCAACAGCCTGTCAGAACCTCAGACCCTGAGGGGCAAAAGAGGCAAAAGGATGGCCACCCCCTCACAAGTCCCTCACCCTCCCTCCCTCCCTCCCTCCCTCCATTATAGCGGTTGCTTTAAAAGGCATTTTCACATGCAAATAATAACTGGAGGATAAACTGGAATTTAAATTGAAGCTGCAATTTTAAACATGTTTACTTGAAAGCTAAGGCTGCATTCCTAAATATGTCTACTGACTTCATTAGGGCTTGCTCCCAATTAAATGGGGTTAGGAGTTCAGCCCTACACCATCAAAATTAGTACAATTATACAGTGGTACCTCGGGTTACATACCCTTCAGGTTACAGACTCTGCTAACCCAGAAATAGTACCTCGGGTTAAGATCTTTGCTTCAGGATGAGAACAGAAATTGTGCTCCGGCGGCGCGGCAGCAGCAGGAGGCCCCATTAGCTAAAGTGGTGCTTCAGGTTAAGAGCGGACCTCCGGAATGAATTAAGTTCTTAACCTGAGGTACCACTGTATGATGTTTGTGGGTGGGATCATTTATCCCATGTGGGACAAACTTTGCCCCCACCCCCATGCATTTTGCTCCTATTATGCCTCCTCCAATATATATTTTTTCCTCGTGTTGCTGCTGGCCAGGGCTCCCGTTTGTGTTACAGTTGCTGCATGTATTTAGGCCTCGGTTGTCTCCTTGACCCAATTTCCTGACCACCATGTGGCAGTGCCTCCCGTCGGTTCTGTCTTGCTGACTGCTTCGCCCCAGGGTGCTAGGACAACTGTATGCTCGGATTCTGGCTCTCTCCACTGAGCCGCCAGCCTGTGACCAAAGTTCCTTTCTGGCCGTTAGGGAGAATTCTGAGAAGGTTTCAGAGCGCTGTTCCTCCCTGCCACACCGTTTGGTAGTCCACATTAAATCAAGCACAACGTCTCCTTGTCAGGTGTCTGGGAAGTTATCTCGCCCTGAAATCACTCTCTCTTCCCTTCAGTAGGAAATAAAGCTCTCTTGTCACTCTGGAGACCTTAACAAGTGATCTGTGTGCAAAAAATGTTTTGTTTTTTTAAAAAATGTGTGCAGGGTTGGGGGAGTTCAGATGGAAGTGTTTTAAGGAAATGTCGAACATAATGGGGGATCAGAGAGCCAGAAAAGGAGACAGGCTATGAGAAAAGGAGAGGAAAAGGGAAGGTCTGTACACTTATACGTATGATCAATGACAAATATGCTGTTATATGAACAAAAGCAAATAAGGTGAAAGCACACATCAGAGAGTCCCTTTAATGAGTTCCTGTCACACAGTCTTGACTTGTTGTCTCTTCTCTGAACACTGCTTCTTGTGTTTTAAAGCAGAGAGGTGTTCAGTGGTGGGGCGACGAGGAGGAGCACGGGGTGAACATCCCACATGTGGACAGCTGCTCCCAGGACTCTGGCCTGGGTGGAGACCATACCTTCTGGCCTGATTAAGGAAATGCACTCTGCACTTGTACACAGGAGCTTTATATAATGGGGTGACCCACATGGTCCCTTCCAACTCTACAGTTCTAGGATTATACTATAAAGCCCATGAAGCTGGTAATCTTAAATTTAAGCTCTGCTGTCTGGGGAAAGGTTTTTCCATGGTGTAGACCTCCAGAAATGCTTAGTCCTATGGAAGATCATGGGAACACAGGAAATTTTACTTGAGTAGCCATGGGTATCTTGACTGAGGTGGACAATGAATACTACAAGCCAAAAATAATCTAAATTTCTTCAGGTTCAGCTATCTGTGATGTCAATCAGAGGAGATCCATTTGCTAGGATTTGACTGTCTTCCCTTCTTGTTATTTGTTTCCCAGGTGAAACACAGAAGCTAGAGACTGTGTGGTTGTCAGGGATCTGCCAAAATGAGAAGAACGAGGTGATGAGCAGCAAGCTGGACATTGACAACATGGCAGGCGTCTTCTACATGCTGCTGGTGGCTATGGGGCTGAGCCTGCTCGTCTTTGCCTGGGAACACCTGGTCTATTGGAAGCTGAGACATTCTGTACCCAAGTCTCACAAGCTGGATTTCCTTCTGGCTATAAGCAGGGTAAGGATGCCATGTAGATATGTACATACCCCTTCTATGTCCCCTTTGAGATTATTCCTAATGTGACACATAGACAGTTTATTCTTCCAAGCCGCTGGTCATATTTGAACAGAGGGCTTAAACCACAGTGTTGCCCTGCATGCATAAGCAAAAAAGAAGGAACCAGTGCAAAGTGATAGCTCAAGCATTCCCCTTCTCCTCTCCTGTAGTTGGGAGGTGGAATAAGCCAATAATTCCGTTTCACTTTGTCTGATTCCTGGTCTGTCCCCCACATTCATACCAGGAATGGTTAAAAACAATCTATTATTCACTTTCAAAACAAGGGGTATGCAGGTGGCTTAAATGAATTAGTTTTTATTTATTATATTTCTTTGCTGCTTTTCATTCAAATAAATCCCAAAGCAGCTTCAAACAAAAAATAACACTAACATTACAGATCATCACAAATACAACATAAATCTCATAGAATAATTAACAAATCATCCGTAGAACATTTGCAATCTATAAAATTTACAAATCAACAACTAATAAGCTAAACATCACAATTCAAGCCAGTCACATTATATGATTAACAAACCAATACAGCATTTATAATCCATAAAACAATGTTAACAACATTAACAAAATAGCAACCAAAAGATAAGCTGAATATATTCTCCACACATACAGGTTCCATGGACAGCTTCCAGTCCTCCTCATGCGAACCTGAAATTTTAAATTTGAAAATGTATTTTATGGAAATTAGTTTTTCCATACATGGTTCTGGAGGAATGATATCAACCAGTTTTAGCAGTAATGATACCCATGGTGGCTACAGCTAACAAAGGAGGCAGAGTGTAAAAACAGAAGCCACCTCTGCCCTGCGCCGTTTTTCTTTTGGGCCTTGTTAACAAAGAGTGCTCCAACCAGCCACAACCTTCTGCTAGGAACTCATCTTTGGATAATGAACAACGCTGCCCACAGCTGCCTGACCCTGCTCCTTCTGAGCAGCTCTTAGGCAGCCACAATTCTTTCAGGTCAAAAATGCAACATGTGGACAGGGCAGGCTCAAGAAAGCCTTCCGTAGTCAACCTGCCTGCGGATAAAGCAACAAGTGTGCTGCTCCTCATGTACACTGAAGGAGCCGCCTTATCAGTATTTGTAGCCCAGTCATGACCCACTTCCCTAGTACTGGTAAGACAGAGCAAGGCTTTCTGTGACAGGTTCGTGAAGCAATTTGTAGAGGACTGCATCACTGCTGCTTAATTTGTGTGAAATGTATTTGAAATTAAACCAATCAAAAACCAATCTTTTCCCAATTAGAAATTTACTGGAGAAAAGACCAGGAAATTGATTTGCCTGTTCCTGGTTCTACTGCATTTACATTTCGAGGCTGCACTGTCTGCTCCAACATAAAATGCCTTAACTGTTTCCTGCCAGTGCCTCACCTGATCAAAGTAATAGGTGTTTGAAACTATTTAATGTTGAACAGAAGCAAGAGAGAGATTTGTTTCTACATAATCTGGATTGATATCTAGTATCAGAATAGGCCTCTTTCTCATTACAGGGCCTTTTATTGTCACCTCTGTCCTCAATCTGTTCTTAACTTTAAAATGTTAGTTACTGTATATACTTGAGTATAAGCTGACTTTTTCAGCACATTTTTTATGCTGAAAGAGCCCCCCTCGGCTTATACTCGAGTGAGAAAGGAGCCCTTTCTCACCGCTGGTCCCACCGCCGCTGCTGCCCGTCTCTCGCAAGGGCAGGCACAGGAGCCGCGGTTGGGAGACGTGCTGCCCTGTGCTGCGCCTCTCCCAACCGTGGCTCCTACGCCTGCTCCTGCGAGCGGCAGAGGGATGAGCGGCCCGAAAGCAGTCTTTTGGGCTGCTCCTTCCTCTGCCGCCACCACCAGGTTTGTGGTGTGGTGAACCAGCTTATACTTGAGTCAATAAGTTTTCCCATTTTTTTCTGCTAAAATTAGGTGCCTCGGCTTATATTCGGGTTGGCTTATACCCAAGTATATACGGTATTTAATCTTGTCGAATGCCATCACCTTGAGGGCCCTTAAGAGTAATGGGACATAATAAATTATTATTATTACTCAAATTCATTATTTATATGCCACCCATCTGACTGGCTCCCGACAAAAAACAATAAAAACACAATACAACATCTGCTGGGAGGGGTATCCCACAGGGTAGGCGCCACTACTGAAAAGACCTTCTGCCCGGTTCCCTATAACCTCACCTCTCGCAATGAGGGAAACACCAGAAGGCCCTCAGAGCTGGACCTCAGTGTCCAGGCTGGATGATGGGGGTGGAGACACTCCTCCAGGTGTACCGGGCTGAAGTTCAGATAACGAGGATTCAGAAAGTGTAGGCTCTTTAAACCTGAGGGATGGAAAGCAGGAGATAAACATATGAAATAAAATTAATCTAGTACAGTGATTCTCAAATGTGTAAGCTTGATACATTTTAACAGAATTACTTCACCTCCAAGAAACGAAACAGGAAACCTGCACTATTTCATAGAAAACAGTACATGGCAATTGGAGACTGGAATGCCAGAAGTAGCGAGAGGGAGTTGGATCTGTGAATGCTAGAGTGCCTGGGGGGTCAGACATGAACAACCTCCTGGACAACCTGACTTGGTCAGCAGAAAAGGAGGAAACGTGTTTCTTATCAACCCTGTTTGGTGATCCAGCCAAGCTTATAATGGAATCCTGATCTTTCACCCAAGTTCTGAAACTACCTCGGGTTAAGAACTTTGCTTCAGGATGAGAACAGAAATCGTGCTCCGGTGGCATGGCAGCAGCAGGAGGCCCCATTAGCTAAAGTGGTGCTTCAGGTTAAGAACAGTTTCAAGTTAAGAATGGGCCTCCGGAACAAATTATGTTCTTAACCTGAGGTACCACTGTATTTCCTTTGAATGACTGAAGCACTTGGTTTGCAACAGGGTAAGTAGGACTGTCAATATAGCTAGCTTACCCAAGTATCTTGTTGCTCAAACATTTTCCCAGTTCACTCAGAAAAATGTGGTCATTCAGTATTTGTAATGTCTGTCCTGCATGAGCTTGAACATTAAGCCAACCTGCCCTCTCCACCCTCCAGCTCATCCCCTTTCCAATACATGCCTACTTAGCCACTGCCTTCCCTCTTCTCTTTCTTTCCAGGGCATTTACAGCTGTTTCAATGGAGTCCAGAATCTGGAGAGCCCTGCCCGCGTCCACAAACCAGACGTCACTGCTAACTCTGCTCAAGCCAACGTGTTGAAGATGCTACAGGCCGCCAAGAACATGGTGTCGACAGCCAGTGTGGGGAACTCCCTGGAGAACGCCACACGCACCATTGAGAACTGGTCAAACAGGAGCGAAAACCTCCAAACCACCTTCTCCCTAAGGACTCCTCAGCTTGTTGTGCAGAACACCAGTGGGCCTACCAGGCCAGCTCATGCCTCTGATGCAGCAGCAGCTGAGAGGCTTGGGAGGTCTCTCCCACAATCCCTCTCTCCGCTCCAGCAGTCTTTGGTGCCAGCCAGTGAAAACTGGAGAGGGACACTAGAGCAGCCGCAGATTCTTCATCCGCTGAAGTTCCGAGGCAGCTATTCTGAGGACAAGGTGCTCCCCGGTTCCACTGTGAACAGCTCCCCCCACTACATGGTAAGACCCACACCTCAGACCCATGTCAGAAACCACGTGCCACTTGGAAACCACCTTAGTGCTGCTCCCCACTCCCCAGTAGGAACTGCTAGGGAGCTTCCTCTACCTGAGCATAAGCATAAGCTGGCCTTGGCCAGAGGGCACACCAAGGAGAAATTCCACCACCAGAACGTTCACCTGGTGTACGGAGAAGGTGGTGACGACAGCTCAGCCCAGGTGGAGCGGCTGGCTTCCACTTCCGAGAAGCGAAAGGAGTTGGAGAGCCACTTTCCGCCTCATGCCTGTGTCCACAATTCCTTCCCCAAAGCTAACAGGACTTGCAGACCCTTTCTGTACAAAGAATCTGACTCAATAGAGCTAAGGAGAGAGAAGCCGAGCCACAGAGCTAATCTCTCGAGGTCCGGCTGGGAGCAGGAGAGACCCCAGTCTCTAGGCCTGTGGAAACATCATGGGAAGTCCTCAGCCTATGGGGATGTGCCAGACCTCTTCCCCAAAGCTGGCCGGGCTCCAAAAACAATGTCAGTGCCTGGAACGCATTCCTACCCTCCCGGTGCCCTTAGGCCGAGTTATACATGCAATAGGAAATGTGTGGAGGCCAACGGCTTACCTTGGAAGGACCAGCGGCTGCTGCATTCGCAGTCCACGAGGCTCCCCTCGTACCGGGAGGCCTGCCTACACAACAGCTCAGGCGTGCACAAGGCTTCTTCCACGGTGGTGCACAAGCAGTATGCCTACATGAACTCGTACACAAACCTGCCTATCTACTGGGGGCGCCTTTACCCAGGCTCCCCGCAGCTGTGCGAACAGTCCAGTGCCACCCAGCACAGCTTCAGCCGAGCTCCCTGGTCGCCTTGCAGCAGGGACTTCCTGGTCCACCAGGATGGCCAGAGGACCATGTACTTTGGTAGCACCTACAGAGACTACAGGGACCGCAGCAGGGTGGACCCAACGTTTCTTCAGATGGTCAATACCGAGCGGAGAGACTTCCTGAGCACCCAGAGGATGCACAGCCCTTACGCAGGAAGATCGTGGAGGCGAATCTCTAGCCTAGAGTCTGAAGTCTGATAGAGGGAAGATGCTGGGGCTCTTGATGCTCGATTGGAGACTGCAGAGAAGAAGCTCATCCAGGAGGGCAAGAGACAAGGCCTTCCAAGCCAGCGTTCTGCGTCTCCCTGTTAAGCTGGTATCAGCAGAAAGTTCTTTGTCTCTTCACTACTACCACCCCGGATCAACGTAAGAGCAAGTGACCTTTCTCCATCCTCTAATGGACCAAAACGCAAAGCGGGAGCAGCTGAAGGCACTTTATTGACTGATTCCAAAGTCTTCCATTGCTGGGCACTGAGATGCCCTCACTCGCGTACAAGACGACTCTCTCATGGTGGTGATTCACAGTCATGCTGCCTCTGTGGATAGCTTATGAAGCATCAGTTGCAGTGTCAACCATCTACATTTCAGTGCCAGTTTATCGTTCAGAGCATGGCTGTCCGTGACACAGTGGGAAATGCCCAACAGCCTCCTATTAAACAAATAAACAAAATGATTAGGACTATCTTGCTTTCCCATAATGCACTGATATAAATGGAGACTGTATAGAGGACTGAACAGGGGGCATAGTATGATATTTTTAGTGTTTTACATTACTTTCTGGATCTTCGTAAAGAGCCCAAAATGCCAAATGGAGGTTATTAAATACACACTTCTTAAAATGTATTCACACACCCTTCCTTTCTCATTCTTTCTTTTTGGCCACATTGACAAAGGCTGCCGCCTTCAACCTCCCTTGAGTCAAATGCACCAGGACATGAGACATCCCTAGATGTTGCCTTCATAGCTCTCTCTCCCCCCCCCCCAAGCCCCACCAGGAGAAGAAGGGTGTGTGAGGTGGGGCGGGGTTGCATTTGCCACCTTTAGTTCAAGGCAGAGGATCCTTGGCTAGGATCCTTGGCTAGATAAGGCGGCAACAGTAGATGAGTGTGGGGGCATGCACCAAACTCTCCTCTCCTTGCCATCGCTGCTTAATTCACATTAGACTGGGACTAACCTGCCACTGTTTTTAACCTAGGTCCTAAAACACACCTTTAGCAATAGACTACCATCACTGCACCAAGGCCTCATCTGCACTATGAATTAAAAGCAGTAGCATACCACTTTAAACAGACATTACAACTGGGACTTGGCAAATCTTGTGATTAGAATGAGACTAGACAGAATTACTTAGAGCTCTTATCCATCTTCACAGAGTTTTTGAAATCTTTTTGGTCCAACTTACAATTAGAGAAAGGGACCCCAAGGTCACTCATAGAACACAGGAAGCTTCCTTATACAGAGTCAGTTCCTTATTGTCTACACCAGTGGTTCCCCCTGGGGGTCTGCGGCCCCGTCCCTTGCCTCCCCCCAACTATTTTTTGTCATTTTTGCATGGTAATATCACAAATTTTATGGTCTGGGTTTTTTTAGTATACCTAAAATCCTTTGCTTATTAGGGGCTACCCCAAATTTTGTTCAAAAAATTGCTTTGCAGAGGCAACTACAATATAATTATTAAATTTTCAAAAGTAGGGGGTCCTCAGTCATTAGCTAATTGGGAACCACTGGTCTGCACTGCTTGGCAGCAACTGTCTAGGGTTTCAGACAAGAAGTGTCCTTCTCCCTACTTGGGGACTTAACGTGGCTCCTTCTGCATGCCAAGCAGATGCTCTGCCCTTAGCTACTGCTTTTCCTGTTCAAAAATTCTGAACCTCATGCTAATAATCCTTGAAAATGAGTGACGCAACTTAATTGGGACTAGCATCCGTGAAAGTATGCAGGACTGTGAGTGAATTTAAATTTGTTGGGTGGGGTTATCAATAGTTAGGTTTTCAGTTCTGCACAATAACCTGGTCTCCCAGATCCATTAAATGAAGACTGGCCAGCCTGCCCTGGGTAGCCTTTCATGCCTGTTGGAAGTGCTCTCAAGTTATACATTCCGTATGTAATTCGGGCAATTTGTAAACCTATTGCCTATGTCTGCTCCATGTTGTCTTGAATTGTAGTGAGTTCCCTTCCCAGGCAAGGTCCTGCGGGTGCACTCAAGAGCTGAGGATCAAAATATAACCTTACATTGAGCCGGCTCAAAGATATGCCTTGTAGTCCCTATCCTAGCCAACTATAAAGCTTCAAGTACCTGAAGTGCTGATTACTGAATCCAAGTTTACTCTGGTCCTTTTTCAGGCAACTGATAACAACGAGGCTCAGACAGCCATCTAGTCAGCCTACACTGCCAGTTGTGTAATTCAGGCTTTCGTGTGCCTCCCCAACCCCAAATGATAGGTGCACAGGGACTGGTTTATAGCATTGTTTTGATTTCTGCTTGTAGCAAGCTTTGCAAACCATAAAGCCAACTATTAAAAGCATCATAGTCAAGGAAAAGGCAGCATGTTCCCTTCTGAGCAGTTCCTTTGATCAAGTGGGGACCATCAGAAACGATGCCTGTAGCATCCTGCTTCTCATTTAGAGATAGTTTGTTTGCAACCCCCTGGGATTCTACTGTCATGGATAGATCTCATAAATTGGCCATTTTCCATAGGAAAATATGACATGCAGATCTTGGAGATAGTAGGGCTGAGCAACATCTGGCTTTCAACACTGCAATATATCACCAAATAAACATCGTGATATATTGATATATCACAATGTCTGAAATAAGGATGGTGCTGGTTATCAACTCCATGATTATCAGTATAATACAGTGTTTAGCTGGTGATATATCACAATGTTTGATATAAGGATGAAGCAATGTAGAGGCATTACCCAGTTTCACAGTTCCCCCCCCCCCCCAATGTGATTTTTGCACAGCACACGTGCCCACACACACATCATGATTTGCAATATCTTGCCAGGTCAAAAAATATGAAACTGAAATCATGATATGGACTTGAAACTGGTTTTGGACAATATATTGATATACTGTCAGGAGAACAGGAGAAGCAGCGCAAACATGCACTAGCAATGGGCAAGTCAGGTCTCGACCAGAGCTTGTCAATTATATATTCATAAGCAGAGCAACCCCACCAGCTTCCTATGAGTCTTACAATATTCACCTTGAGGCTACATGAGATGATAATCACTTCTGTAGATAATGAAATATATATACTTTTTTTTTTAAAAAAAAGTTCAATTTCTTTTGAAAATGGGCTACTAGCCTAATATTTGGAAAATATCACAGCTCAGCAATGCCCCTGCCTAGCCTTCCCCGCCCTCAGCAAACTTGACAGCATGAAAGTTGAGCTGTTTTAACAGAAACCGGAGGAAATGCATTTAATTTAGCTTCAGTCTGTTTTAAGGAGAGAGAGAGAGAAAAGACCTTTGATATTTTGCCTGTTCATTTCTACAAGGCTCTTTTTTTTGAGATTCATTCACTTTGTCTCATTACAGTCACAGTAGGATCAAAGGCCTCCTGAGGAGCCATCACCTAACTGCTAATTTTTCACTTAACACCACAAGATAGCTAGGGGTTGGTGTGACTAATGCACTGCCTTCATTTGACTTCACTCTCAGAGTTGCCTCCTTTCCAAACTGGAGTGCACAACGCCTGCTAAATACCTGGGACAAAGTGCCATGGAGGGTGCAATGAAGTTCATTAAGGCTGAAGAGCTGAACTGCTTTTCTTTCTGCTGGAGGAGAGTCATTTCAGGTTTGGTTTGGGGGGAGAACTCCCCCTCCCTAATGAAGCACAATGACCATAACTCACAATACCTAGGTGCCATAGCAAGGCATATTATTATTATTATTATTAGATAATAATAACAATAATATTTCATTTATACCCAGCCCTCCCAGGCCAAGGCCAGGCTCAGGGCGGCTAACACCGAATATAAATTACAATAAAACGCAATAAAAAAAGAAGAAAAAACAATTAAAATGCAGCTTAAAATGCAGCCTCATTTTAGTAGTAGCTCATCAATCAAGACCATAAAGGGAGGAAACATCAGATATTCACCCGAGCCAGCTGTCCATGCTGGTCCTACACGAGCCAGCAAAAAAGCCAAGGGAAAATTTATATACCAAATCCCACATAAGGGGTCCGAGTGAGTCCAAGCCAAAGGCCAGGCGGCACAGCTCCATCTTGCAGGCCCTGTGGAAAGATGTCAAATCCCGCAGGGCCCTGGTCTCTTGCGACAGAGCGTTCCATCAATTCAGGGCCAGTACTGAAAAGGCCCTGGCCCTAGTTGAGACCAATTGAACCTCCTTGAGGCTCAGGATCTCCAAAGTGTTATTATGTCGCACCCCATACGGAAAAAGCAAGACACCCATATAAAGCAAGACATCCATATTTTCTAAGCTGGCATGGACAGTGGGTAAACACTGGGCATCTAAGTTTGAAACATAAGAAATAAAATCCTACCAGATGATATAGAAGTATTCTGGGTCCTCCACATCTCTCGAGACCCGCAATTTAGGTGTGCCCCCCCCACCATAGCCAAAGTCAGTAAGTTCTTATTCCACAAAGATTTTCAAAATGGCACCCTGCACAGAAGAGTGGGTATGACAGATGACAGCAGAGGAGGAGGCCAACAGGGGTAGGAGGCAGATCTGCTGCCTCTGTCAGGTACTTTTTAGAACGCAGCAGCAATTTGCTTCTGAGCCACTAGGTGATACTTTAAATCGGGGATGTCCAACAGGTCCTGAACCCCTTCAAAACGGGACGTTCATCCCTAAAAAAGCTTAACAACTTTGACCTGAAACCCCCCCCCCAAAAGGGGTAGAACACTGCCAGTTTTTAATTGTGTGGGTAGATCGCAGTCTCTGGGAAGTTGGCCGTCCCTGCTTTAAATCATTCAAGTGAGAATTTTCTGTGTGCAAGAGGACGGGCAGAACCTTTGCATCCATGTCACACTATTTGTTTGTTTGTTTAGTTATTTATTTCTACGACTACTATTATTCCTGGTCTTTTTGTATCGACTGAAACAAGTGCACAGCTGAAAACAATTTAGAGCTGCTTCTGGCATGATGCTTCCTAACTTGCACAATATAATGGCTAATCCCTAACACTAGGGAAGGAGCTATACTTAAGGAATATCCAGATGGGAATCTGACACTGGCACCCACCCACACATGGTGGCAAAACATCTAGAGCTTCCCTGCTGTTTCATGCACCAAGGCACCCCATATTTAAAAGTTAAAGATTTGAAAGTTGCCTGTAAATATGCAGTGCTACAAAACCTGAAGTGGCCATGAGCTCAGATCTGACCACCTCCTTTTCCCCCCAAGTTGCAAACTTCCTCAGCTGGGGGTGGGGAGGCTCACTAAGCACTTCTGACCATCCAGCCAATTCCTCTGCTGCGCTTGAGAGAGCCCGGGCAGTGCTTGTTGTTATCCCAACCAGTGCCACAGTCCATGAATTACAGTAAAATGAAATTAGCCTGGACAATTAACTTACAGAAACAGACACTGAAATACTGTCAAGGGAATACCAGGCTTCCAGGGTTGATGGAATTATCCCCACCAAAATCAAGCACACTCTTAATAATAATAGTAATAGCTACAGTGTGCTGCAAATAGACTTCAATATGTCATTCTTCTGCCTCACCTAGGGATGCTTAGGTTCCACGTCCGTCCTGGCTCCACTTCCACTGAAACATTAATTCCATCTGCGTCAGCATCCATTGCAGGCACCAAGACGTCCAAACCTGAGAAGAAAACACAAATACAAATAGCACCCAATTAAACCAGCCTCTGGAATAATTGCTCAAAAGCTGCCCAGCTGCAGCCATAAAACACAGAAGCCAAATAATGGAATAAAGGGGAAATATCTTGGGGGCTAAAAGTGGGAAGGCAGCAGAGGAGTTTACACTGGAGCAGTAAATCTGTGCTTGGTCTATGCCACTTCAGGCTACAAGCAGGGACTACCCTTAGTGAATGCTGCTCTGGACAAAAAATTCCTGCACATGGAAAAGTAGCATGTCAGGGAAACAAGCTAGACAAGAACTCTTCTCACTGGTATCAAGTTTTCTATATGGAGGATGTTGTTGTTGTTGTTGTTGTTGTTGTTGTTGTTGTTGTTGTTGTTGTTAACAGAACAGAATGAACCCCACCTAAAATGGTACAGCTCAGACCCAAGCGTACCGCTTCAGAACTTGCTAGGCTAGAGACAAGAAAAGGTGAGAGGATAAAATGTAGTATTTCAGACACCCTAGACAGAATTTAATACAGCAAAATACTCTGGTGCATTAGCAGTGCCAACCAAGTCAGATTATAGCTCATTGCTTCCCTGGAATACAAATGGGAAACAGTTTAAAAAACAAACATTTAGAGGGTTTTCTTACACTGCCCCCCTCCCCAAAATTGCACTGGAAATGTTTGCAAGCATTTTATACCTTGTTCAAGAAGATCCTTTGTTCAAACCATGAGCACCCGGGGTCTAAATAACTTTTAAGGCTCAAATAAAAGGATTGCCCTAGCCTGGGGCTTTTGTTTCTTTGGGTAGCTAACCCCCATGACCAGGTCACAAGCTGCTTTTGACCCCCCCCCCCCCATTGCAAAAGTTTGCTGATTGGCATTGGCATTCCTCGTGCTTCTCACGAGGAACAGGTCTTCAGTCTCCTTCAGGTTCCTGGCTCTTTGGGTCCTAGCAGGGTAGGGCAAGTTGCCCAGGACTGCATGCACCCTTGAATTTGGTTGCCAAATTCAAATGCTACAAATACACAAAGCTACAAGTTACATGTTGGCTAACATGGCTGTACATTCGTATTTTCCTTTTCTGTTAAGCAGTCCTCCAGCCACATCTCTTTGGTATGAACGTGTGTGTGTGTGTGTGTGTGTGTGTGTGTGAGAGAGAGAGAGAGAGAGAGAGAGAGACACACACACACACACACACACACACACACACACACACACCATTTCCCTAAATTAGTTTGCTTACCTTCTGAGTAGTCAAAGACAAGTTTTTGTTAAGATGAGAGAATAAAATGTAATATTTCTGGTATTTCCTAGACAGAATTTAAAACAGCAAACCTGGACGTCACAGACTGCTTGGGTACAGAGGAATGGTGGGAGGAACCAGCTAGGGAACCTCCAGGGGAAGAAGGCTAAGAGCCAGGGGAGTGGTAGTGGGGCAACGATGAGTGGCCAGAAGGAGAAAACGGAGGAAGTGTCAAAAGCTGAAGAGGTAACAGGGCTTAGTGAGCTGGAAGAGTCTGTGACAGAGAGAAGTCCAGAAATCAGAGGCAGAAGCTGAAGCAGGAAAGGAGGGAGGCCAAGAGGCAGAGATGAGTCCGGCTGTTGAAGAGGCACAAGTGTCTCCCTCTCCCACTGCGACAAGCTCTCCTCCTCTCTGGACTCCCAGGCCTAGAAGAGGCATAAAGAGGCAGAGGAGAAGTCAGCTTCACGCAGGCACAGATTGCTTGGGAAAAACCCTGGAGAGGAGGGGACTTAGGCAGCTGTGGGGAGCCAGGGACCTACAGTCTCAGCAACTGCTTCATGGGGGCAAGACCTGCCAGAGATGTGTTGCTATGCAAATTAGGCCTGGCACTCCTGTGCAGATCCTGGTTTTGGTAATAAATAGTTAACTCCAACTTGCTTGGTTGATTTCCTGCTGGCTTGTTCCTGTCACTGGAGATGCTAGGGACTGACCCTGGGAACATCTGCCTGGAAAGCAGATACTCTACCATGGTACCACTCTACCTTTTCTATAGCCTAGCCTGTGACATCTTCTTTAATCAGTACTAGCATCCATAGCTGCAGGAAGCCAAACCACTTTTATGTTCCCCCCACCTTAAAAGAAAACACACACATAATGCACAGGTGCACACCTGAGTCATGGAGCCCGGGGCATGCTGTAGTAAAACAGGACAGAAGACCTTTAAAATCCCAGAGCCAACACCACAAAGGGCTTAATGGTGCGACAGGGCAACGTCCAGTTTGCCACATGCCGCGCTCTCAGCAGCGTTGCCAATCGCTCCTGGGGAAGGAGGGGCATGTGGGGAGGTGAGATAACAGGATCAGGGCTGCCCATGATGCCGTTGTCTTCTGAACAAGCAGCTTTGGCAGAGAGAGCAAGAGGGGCTGCTGGTCTGGACAGCCGGCTCAGAGGGTATTACAATAATCAATCCTGGTGGTCACAAGGGCAGGACTTGCTGTCACAGTGTCGTCATGGGATAAATGAGGGCACAGCTGGAGCAGATTGCAGGGCCTGGCAAGGAAAGCTCGCGGCCACGTGTGACACGTTGTGGGCTCTGCCTGCAAAAGGGCACAGGGAAATGTGATGCTGAGAGGAACTGATTCTCCCACGAGTCAAAATACCAATAGACAGCGCGGGGATACCGTCAGCTAAAAAGGAAGGAAGGAAGGAAGGAAGGAAGGAAGGAAGGAAGGAAGGAAGGAAGGAAGGGTGCTGGGCAGCTCTGGGCAGTGGAGGGGAATTTGGGACATTATCTTTACTACAGATTGCATGACGACATCCAGAATCTTGCACACACATGCATGCACACATGCACCCACTTATCTAGCATAAGATGGATTTTATTTCTGGAAGTGCAGGAACGTGTTACTACGGTGTGTAAAATACGTCAGCACTGCACTCTAATCCTGCCCAAACGTGCTTTCTGTGCTTTGCCATGCTGCAATCATAAACATATTTCCTCAGGATAAGTCCTCCTGAAATGAACTACATTAAATTATTGTTGGTGGGGTGGGGGGGGGGGGCAGGCGGGTTAGACTTGCTTGTTTGTTTATGCCAGGCATAAACACTCCTCGTTTTCCTGTCCCTCTTGCTTCCCACTTCCTTCCTCTGTCAAACACAACAGTGTGTCAGAGCTTGTGTAAGCATGGAGGAGCTCCAAACAGAAGTGGCAGCCCAAAGATTTAAATGTGCAAGGATGTTTGCATGATAAATCAGAGGAGAAGGTTAAGGCTGCTTCGTTCTTCGCAGAGTACATCTATAACATTTTCTTCCTCTGCGGATGCTACAGGAGTGCTCCCTTGGTTAGGTGACAAGGGGGAAGTGAATAATAAAAGTGACAGAAATAGAAATGCAGAGGGAAGAGATCTCAGAGGCTGAAATTTATTATGTATTTATTTAAAGCATTTTTACCCTGTTCTTCAGCTGAAAAGTCTCCCAGAGTGGTTGACATAAGATCAATAAAAACAAAACAGAAAAATAAATAAGGCAGCTGCTGCCCACAGATTTCCAACCTAAAAACACAGCAATGAAGGGAAAAGGGAAGAGGAGGGAAGAGGAAAACAAGCAAACTCAGAAACCTGTTCTTGAAACTATCAATAATCAGCTGGAATGGAGAGTTCAGGGAGAGGAAAAACAAAAGGAGTCAGTCTTCAGCCCTGCTTCTCTTCCCTGCCTTTGCTCTGCAGCTTGTTGTTTTGGGTGCTAATAGATGACAGTTGAAGGAGGCAGGAGCCAATGGAGCTGATCTGTCAGCAGAATGAATGGACACAAACCTACCCTCTTTTTGTAAACTGCTTTGAGGTTTTCCTTTACAATCACATGGTATATAAATGTTATGAAATAAGTAAAACAGCTCTGGAAGTATATTCAAGACAATGTCTTGAATCCTTACATTTCTTCCGTGCACAGGACAGAGTTTAAAATTACCCTCTCCTTTATGTGGCTGGAGGAAAGACGGCACTTTTGGCAGACGCCTTCTAAAGAGGCATTTCTGTGCCTGCCCATCACTCACAGGCTCCCGTCATCTTACCGACATGTGCACTCCTGCTACCTTGTTTCACTTTTCACTTTTGTCACTTTATGCCATTCTCGCAGTACTATAAATATTCAGATACTGTGGTAAATAAAGCAAGCATATGGGCTGAATTCATTCATCCAAATCAAGGAACCCAATATGCACCATTTAGGGTATGAACAGGAGTTGTTGCATATTTTGTCTAAGGAAATCAAACCTGAATGACACCCCCTCACGTATGCACACCTCACAAGGCATTTAACAGATGTACTGGCCAGTGCACTGAATGCTAATTCAGTCATCTGTCTTGCCCTCCCCCTCTGTGTTATTATGCAATGGGCAAGCAGTGTGGATTTTTTTTTTTTTAAAGATCAACATGAATGTTAATTCAACTTAAAGTCTTGTTCCTCACTGTAGTTTTGTTTTAAGGACTCAACTAATAGCTTTTAAAAGTTGAAAACCTGGAAGGGTAGTCTTGTGATGTCACCCAAAGGCCACAAATCGGTACCACTCACAGCCCCATCAACTGCAAATGGAAAGAGCAGGTTCTCTAAACTTATGAAAGCATGGCACTTCCGACCCAAATTTGGTGGTTGTGCTGCCACAGTGGAACTTGCAGACAGTAACAGCTGCTCAACAGTGGAGCAGACTCCCTTGGGAGGCGGGGCACGCTCCTTCCTTGGAGGTGTTTAGACAGAGGTTGGATGGCCAGCAGTCATGTATGATCCAGTTCAAATTCCTGCACTGAAGGGGGCTGGACTAGATGACCCTTGGGGTCCCTTCCAACTGGACAATTCTGATTTTGAAATCTTGTTGGCAACCTGATTTTGTGCATAGCAGGATGCAGATGATAAAACTGGAACAGAGTTTCCTAAGAAACAAAAAAAATACATAAAATAAAAATAGTAGATTGTAGCAGCGCAGCCAGCTTTCTGAAATGCTAATAAACACTGAGCAGGGCAGATCAACAGGCTTGGCTGCAAATTAAACCATGTGGAAGTGTCATTTCATTGGGAAATAGCTTATTCCCTTGTGCCACTCAAAAGCTCTACCCAGGGATAATATTGAGAGCAAGGGTGCCTTGGGGGAATAAGAGTTGAGGATGACAGAGTGGGAGGCATTTGATCTCTTTGTAATGGGGGAAAGTAGCTTTCAGAGAGCTGTCTTCTGAAAGAAGTTGAAACGTGGGAACCACCTACTCTTAACAAGGCACTTCTGGGTCTGTGTATATCACATGTTTTGGTCCCTGGCTCCCATAATATTCAGTACAGTAATTATCTCGTGTGTTTATCCTGAAGGGGATCAAGGTATTTCCTCCGCCAGCCTAGAAGCATTTGATCCACTGAGAAGTCAGGCAGCATCAAGTGCTTCTGAGGCAGAATCCGCATCCCAGTCAGAGGCAGAATCAGACTGTCCACCCATTGCCAGAATTACAGCGTGATCCTGTACATGCCTAGCACTCTGAAGGAAGAAGCCCCTTTGTAGTCCCATTTAAACACCCGGGTCAGTGGGAGTAGAGCACTTCAGCCTTGGTTGTTCAGATGATATACCTCACAGGCAAGAGGAACACTAGGCATAGGTGCCAACTCCCTGGGTGACTGACCACCCACCAAATTCCCCATGAAGAGGCCGGGCACCTACAAATTTTGGTGCCAGGGCCATGCATGCTGCATGTACCTATGGCCCTGGGCAATCACAGTTGTGGGGCCAAGCTGGCACTCCTGCAACTAGGGTAGGGGTACTTCCTTCTCCTTTCTTAAAGTTGGCTACCTGTATCTTGTCATAACTGTCTATGACTCAGAGACACAGTAGGGAGGCTTCTGTCTGTGTCACAGTTATTTGTCAGTAATAGCCCACCCGCAATCTGAAAAGTGAAGGAGGCTTAGGATGGTAACCGTTTCTTAATAAAAGAAATAATCTGAATGTATTCAAAAACCAGCAACAACAAACCCTTCATAGTATTACTGCTACAACACTCATTTTCTTTCTCATAATCTTTATGCATCTTCTACTATAGTAACATGCTAGGGAACTGAAAATAAAATCTAATCTGCTGGTGAAAACACTTATAAATGTCCACTATATTTTTGGTTTGTGCTCTAATCCATCATTCTGTCACAGACAAAGAAAATCATTACCCAAAAAGGGTGGGGGAAGCACACAAACTCATGGCCCTTGCATTTTTATTTTTTATTTAAAAAAAACCCAAATTCCAAATATAAAGCAAACAAAGGCCCAAATCCTGCCATGCAGCTCAGGAAGGACTGCAAAGTCTGGAATACAAAATCCAGCTTGCTGTAAGGTACGGTCCAAAAAGGGAGAAACAAGTCCTGCTTGCACCTCTATTGATGCTACTAACTCACCAAGATCCCTTCCCAGAATGCAAAAGGAGCTCAAGGAATGGAACAAACAGCTTTGGACAAGCTTTGGTCTCTCAGTGACCTGGTTTGCATGTAACACTATGGCATAGTGTGAACGAACAAGTGCACAGTGCTCAGCAAAAAACATCATGGCTGCTTTGCTCTTCCTCTCCCCTGCTGCCACCACATTGTTTTGGTGAAGTGTTAACATCCGAACTCGGGCTCATGGTTTGTCTCACTCCAAACAAACCGTGAGCCATAACCAAGAACTGTTCTTGGCTCACCACTCATGGTTTGTAGCCCAGTAGCCTGGCAGCAGCCACAGGGGGAGAAGAGAAAAGCAGCTTTCTCACTGTGGACTGGCAGGTGTGCTCATTCCTGCTAAACCATTGTTTGGTTACATGCTGGTGAGGGCACTCTGAAAGGAGCCTATGGGAAGCTTGTCCATGCACAAGCTTCCTCTGTGGCTGGTTTCACAATGTGGGTGGTGGAAGTGGAATAGATTCCCGTAGAAAGAGGCACTGCAGGGCTGTTTGATTATGCCTTCTGCATTGATCCTCCTTGCTAGGTCCAAAGACGATAGCAGCAATTAGTCACAGCACCTGTCTGGTTGTTGTGTTGTTGTTTAGTCGTTTAGTCATCTCCGACTCTTCGTGACCCCATGGACCAGAGCACGCCAGGCACTCCTGTCTTCCACTGCCTCCCGCAGCTTGGTCAAACTCATGTTGGTAGCTTCGAGAACACTGTCTAACCATCTCGTCCTCTGTCGTTCCCTTCTCCTTGTGCCCTCAATCTTTCCCAACATCAGGATCTTTTCCAGGGAGCCTTCTCTTATCATGAGGCGGCCAAAGTATTGGAGTCTCAGCTTCAGGATCTGTCCTTCCAGTGAGCGCTCAGGGCTGATTCAAAAGCATCAATTCTTTGGCGATCAGCCTTCTTTATGGTCCAGCTCTCGCTTCCATACATCGCTACGGGGAAAACCATAGCTTTAACTATACGGACCTTTGTCGGCAAGGTGATGTCTCTGCTTTTTAGGATGCTGTCTAGGTTTGTCATTGCTTTTCTCCCAAGAAGCAGGCGTCTTTTAATTTCATGACTGCTGTCACCATCTGCAGTGATCATGTAGCCCAAGAAAGTAAAATCTCTCACTGCCTCCTGGTATAATGGCTAAATCAGGGCTTCATGCATGCACTCCACACCTTTTATCTACCATAAGAGATGTTCTGGGTTTGATGAAGCCAGCAGAGACGAGGAAAAGCACTGGAGGAAGGAGGCCAGCAGCTGTTCCAAACAGGGTGACCAACTGTCAAGGACAACAGGGTTCCACTGCCTTTATGAGCTGTGCAGAAGCAGAAATTTTAGCAGGTGCAGCCTCTCTCATTTTTGCACAATAAGCCACACGTGCTGAAATTCTGGTCCTACGACACCTATTCAGGTTAGAGGAGCCCTAGCTGCTTCTTCTTTTTGCACTTGGCAACCTTCAGCCTGCTTCAGATATTGAGATTAAGCCCCATTATATTCCAATCTAGGGATCAAGCAGAGTTGCCAAATCAAAACCTACTGTTTGTGAATGCTTTATTGACACTGCATTTTCACATAAGGGTCTGCTTCCTTAATGTTGCCAGACCAACACCCACCCACCCCTGGGAGGCTCCACTGCTTTAAAAAAGTGGCAGCAGACTTGTGTTTCCCCTTCTCTGCCTCTCTTAAAAGGAGCCCTCTCGAGATCTGTTCTTGGCAATCTTATTCTTCCAAGGAGCCCAGCCCTGGATAAGCTTGGGCAGCCTGCTGTCACTCCTTGCACTGGCTGCTCAGAGCAGGAGTTCATCTCTCCCAACGCAATGCACTCTCCTCTGCCATCTCCTCCTCTCCCCATCCCCCCTCCCAAAGCCAAATATCTCAAAAGGCACTTCCGCCATCATGGTGACATTTGGCTTCGCAGCCTGATGGCTTAATTGTTCTTTATTCATCAGTGCAATTTTGTTTTAATTGCTCGTATGCCACCTTCCAGAGCATCGCAGAGAGGGTGAGGCAGATGGGGGCTTTATAAATAAAGCAGGCAAATAATATGCAATGCCATCTTCCAGTTTTTGAAAAGCCAGGGAGGGCTGGATGTTTTCTAGGCCAGAGAAGATGACTGACTCAGGAACTTAGGAGGTGGCCCTGATGGCGGAGATGAAGGACAGCATCATCAACTCAATACCGGTGTCCTTGATCTAGTATTAGCACTTGAAAGTACGTTGCAGGCATGAGATTCCCTTGCTCTGATGCTGCAAAGCACTTAAATTCATGCTCAAATCCTCTAGATGAAAAAGAGTTCCAATCATGTGCTTAAAGTTAAGTACTTGCTTGGCTGAAGTGCTTCTTAATGCATCTTCTATCGCAGATTCTGTCCTGGCCTGGCAGGGGGCAGATTGGCTGAGCTGATAACTCAGTATCTCTACCTAGTTACCAGCACGGCAAAGCTGGATAGATATCTACACCAAGGACCTCAAAGAGCAGGGTGGGATGATATTCAGCTCCAAAGACACAATGTGCGAGCGTTCAGAGAAGCAAGTATGTTCAATAATCAAAGCAAATATGCTGTAAGACGGCAATGGGGTGGGGGGAGAGTCTGCAGTATCATCGAGAGTCTGCAGATGGTAACTGACATCCACTCACTGAAACTGACATGACGACTGAGTACAGATGGCACAAAATTGGTCGTACATTAGGCCAATTGGTAGCCAGTGTCAAATATGTGATAATATCATAAATATCATAAACTCGGGAGAATATAATCAGCAGAGAGGTGATCAATAGAACTGTTTCTGAATCACCCCTGCATTTTCTTTTACTCCAAAAGACATGGGGGGGGGGGGAGAAGAGAAAGAGCAGGAAGATCTACAAACCACACATGCTGCTTGCTGCCCTTCACAATCAAAGCCAGAAACTGACCTGTCAGGATAGTGAAATTAAAGGGAAACAATGCATTTCATAGAATCATAGACCTGGAAGGGACCTCAAGAGTCATCTAGCTCAACCCCCTGCAATGCAGGAGTTCTCTAATTCCTCTTCTCAGCTCAAAGCAAAGACCCTGGATAGCTCAGTTGGATAGTGTGAGGTACCAATAATACCAAGGTTGCAGGTTTGATCCATATTCCTGCACTGCAGGGGGTTGGACTAACTGATCCTCAGGGTCCCTTCCAACTCTACAATTCCGTGATTCTATGAATCAACAGGACTTCTTGTTGTTGCATCTGTAGGCTACTTCCAAATGAGTCTCGAAAGTATGTTTTATGTCTCCCGGGCTTAGATGCTGTGAGGATCAGTTTTGCCACCAGCTCAGTGCAAGTGACCACCTGCAGCATACGGGCGCTGTTCAGCTCAGAAACGGCAGCAGTGCAAAACAGAACAGCATTTAATTCCTGGGCATCAGCCCAGAGTCAGGGGCTGAGAGCCTGAACACTAGAGATAGCAATTCACTGCTGCCCCTAGCTGCAACCCAATGGCTGCGCATTCTGGCAGGGAGTGGGGAAATGGTCCTTTGCATCACACAGCCTCCTCTCAAATGGAGCAGGGGGAGGGCTGCATATTGCTCATTATGTTCTTGGGGGCTCCCCCACCTTTTGCATTTAGGAAGACAACAGGCCCGCTGTGGCAGCAAGGGCGTGAAGACCCCAAAACGGGGGGCTGGGCTCCTTTGCATACCTTGTTTATATGTTGCTGGAGGCTGCTGTAGAAACTTATTTTCCATTCCTCCTGTCTTTGCCGGTGTGTGATAATGGTAATATTTATTTGAGCATATCTGTCAGGCAGTTATTTGAGCCAAGGGCCACTTTCCCAGAGCTGGAGTGAGATCTACAGCCAACAGACCAGGATGTAGGGAAACAGAGCAAGATGAGTGGAAGGTTTGACCCAGACTGGATGCACCATACACTTAGAAGCACAGGGCTTTCCCTGAAGAATCCTGGGAACTGTAGTCTACCTCCACAGAGCTAACAGCAATCTGCACACTGCTTCTTAGAATATTTTAAAGAACACTTGCAATCAAAACCTTATAGAGGTATATATTACTTCCTTTTTAAAGTGCCACAAGTTTACCATCATGCTACCCCTGCTGGAATTTATCATCTTCTGCCAAAGCAGTTTAACTCCCAGGGAAGCCGCAATTCACATCCAGGCATTTTAAGTGGACAACTCTGGAGAGATATATTGAACATATAGTACAAGATTTCTAATTTTCAGAAAGCTGATAACCAGCTGGTAACCAGACTGGTTATTTCCTATTCTTCATTAACAAGGGATCTGCTAAAGCAAACCCCTCTTGCAGCTGCAGTATCAAAAATACTCATTTCCTTCCACTTTCATAATATATTCTAGTATGCACAATTTGGCTTTCCTTGTTGCAAGATTGTGTTGCGGAATTTGCAGAGCAGAATTTGCCACCAGTTTGCGCATGCACCTGTAGTGGAAGCTCTCCAACATATGAGACACACAGGGAGGAGGAGGAGGAGGAGGAGGAGGAGGAGGAGGAGGAGGAGGAGAAGGAGAAGAAGGAGAAGAAGAAGAAGAAGAAGAAGAAGAAGAAGAAGAAGAAGAAGAAGAAGAAGAAGAGTTTGGATTTGATATCCCGCCTTTCACTCCCCTTCAGGAGTCTCAAAGCGGCTAACATTCTCCTTTCCCTTCCTCCCCCACAACAAACACTCTGTGAGGTGAGTGGGGCTGAGAGACTTCAAAGAAGTGTGACTGGCCCAAGGTCACCCAGCAGCTGCATGTGGAGGAGCGGAGACGCGAACCCGGTTCCCCAGATTACGTGACTACCGCTCTTAACCACTACACCACACTGGCTTTCTAAGCTCATTTGCTACAAGGCTTCTCTGCTACCACCCTCTGGCACCAGCAAGTTTTAGATGCAATAGTCTGCCGTGGCTGGTCTGAACCTGCCGTGTCAAACCAGACTTTCAGGAGAATCTCTCCAAGGAGCCCCGAAGCACAGCTGCCATTGTCATTATAACCCCGGCAGAAAAGCAAATGGAAGTCAATCTTCACTTGTACGTGTTTGAGTGAAATAGATGAGAGTTTGGGGGATGGCGAGAGGGGGGTGGAGATGGTACTCTCCAGCTCTGCCAATAAACATGCAAGTTGTTGCAGCGCTTTCCTCTCTCCCCCCTCACTCCTGCAGTTGGGGAAGGTGGTGGAAGAACATCTCATAACCTCAATTATTATAAACTGGCCTGTCACAAGGAATGGGGGGAGAAAGACGTATTTGAAAAATGAAATTGGGCCAGAGACATTCATCACAATCAAATTAAAGAAATGTGGTGCTGGAAACAAAATGCTTGTCATAAGGCAGGCACCAGTTTTGCTCACTTCGGAAAGTGAGCTTGGGAATGTAAAACCAAGCAAACTGCAGCAGAAAATGCCTTGATTAAAGAAAGCTCACCTGCCCATAACCACCTCCCCAGCTGTAACCTTTTCTGGTTTCCATAATGGGTTTCCTGCACATATAATCATGCAGTTAATTTGGTCTGTCGAAATGCCACCAAGCATTCGCTACCAACAAGCAATCATCATAAATCTATCAGCCCGTGGTGGGGTGGGGGGAACACCCTCGCAACATCAGGGTCCCTTATGTGGGTGGACTCACCCCACCACTGCAGCAGTTTCCCCACAAGTAGGGCTTAAATCACCTTTGTACTTTCACACACCACTGATAAGAGAGTGTTGTCCTATCGCCATTTTGCAAACCTGAAATTTTACCACTTGAAAACTCAGATCTGCTGCAGGAATATAGTGGTACATCAGGTTAAGAACTTAATTTGTTCCGGAGGTCTGTTCTTAACCTGAAACTGTTCTTAACCTGAGGTACCACTTTAGCTAATGGGGCCTCCTGCTGCCGCTGCGCTGCACCACCGGAGCATGATTTCTGTTCTCATCCTGAAGCAAAGTTTTTAACCTGAGGTACTATTTCTGGGTTAGCGGAGTCTGTAACCTGAAGCGTCTGTAACCCAAGGTACCACTGTATCTTATACAAATTGATGAATCAGTAACTAAGGTGAAAACCAAAATCTTGACCTTCTGGTCCAATTTCAGTGTGCTGCCCCCTCACCACACTGGCTACCTCTGTGTGCATTAACATGCAGCCTGTCATTTAATTGTTGTAGTAATAATTCAGTTCTAGAAGATGCAGGCAGCTTTGTAGAAGTGAGTCATAGAGACGGATAGCCTGGTGTTCAAAGGGCTCTGCTATTTCTGAGAGCAGCGTTGTTTGATGAGGAAGGTGCTGGGATGTTGCTTTTTGAAAAAAAGAATGGGTGCACCTGCACCTGCACTTGCAGAAGCGATTGCAGAAGTAAAGAGGCTGCAAAAACGTAAGGCAGCTTTTGAGTACTCTTGCCATTTGCACAAGAACAGAAAGACCCACTCGACTAGAAGCACTAACAATGTCATTAGCACAGTGAAGCAACTTTGCATCACTCACATTTACCAGATGTCATCATGTACAGAAAGTGCTTCAGGATATGCCTTCCCATTTCGTTTCCCTGTATCTCCTGGGTAATGCATCATTCTCCTCCCTCTCACTGCACCAGTGGAAGGCAGTTTGCGTTCTTATCCCTTCACTCGCCTGAGCACTCAAACCTACATCCTATCTAAGGCTTCTGGGTCCCTCTTGGATGCCAGCTCTCCCTCCCTCCCTCCTATTTCCATCCCTTTGGAGCCCTCCTGCTTCAACATGCTTTTTGCTACCTCCCCCCCCCCCACCCCTTTGTCTTCTTTCCAGCTCCTGCTAAAACCCTCTCTTCCTCTCCTGGCTCCTACCCTGCCTTTGCAGATGAAGATGAGCTGGGTAAATATTAGGATGGGAGGAGCTGCCAGTTTCAGTTTTCTCAGTTTCTCATTTTTCCAATGGTAAATTCAGTTCTCCACATTCCTCCAGCAATTTGAAATTGTGTGGGTTTAAAAAAAATCCTCCTTTCAGTGTGAATTTCTCCTAAGGAACAAATGTTTGCATGCAGCTTTGACTAACGTACACATTTTAACAAGCAACACAATCCAATCTTAATGCATTTTTATATGTTTGTTTTTATGCACCCTTTCCCCTAAGATATGCATTTTTGTGAACACTGGCTGGAGAACTGCATCACAGAATTTGGGAAAGTGTAAATTTTGAAGGATTCCTGTGTTTCGGTTCTTGTGGTGTTTCAGAAAGTGCAAATTTGATAGATTTGGCTTTAAATGTGGATTGAATTTAATTTATCCCCCATCCCTAGTTAGTATGGCATAACAGAAACACTCATCTATGGACACCGGGGGGGGGGGGGGAGTGAGGAAGGGAAAGAGACTGACTGACTGGCTTACTATGGGTGCATTTTAAGTATCTTGCATGGGGCAGATATGATGGATTATTTCACCTGGTATATTTTCCCCTACCTGCATTTTAAGATTTGAGTAAGAAAAGAGACAAAATCTAGGGGTGTGTGAACACCCCCTGCCTCCAATGTTAGGCTCAAAACTATCACTTTTTCCAGTGAATGTTCATTTTAAATACTTGTAAAAGCTCTTCAGCTTTTAAAAGGTGATCAAACAACTCTGCCCCACAAAAAGTACAATGGGGTGGATATTCCAGTCTGCAAGTATAAGGATCCCCCATGTGAGTTGACTCCTCCTTTCGCCCCCCCCCCCAGCAGTTTCCCCAGCAGCAGCAGCACTTAAATCATCCCTTATGTACACTGATGGAGATGTCCTCTCCACTGATTTGCAGCACAGGGTAACTGAAAGGCTGTGGAACGTGAACAGAATTGAGGCATGGCTCTGCTCAAGATGGGCAACGTGCCCACTTCAAATTCTGCTTGGAACAACTGAAGCAGGCGAGAGGACAGTCACAGAGTTATAGACCCTGCTTTGAATTCTTGCCCCATACCTAGAATCAAAACACACACACATCTTCACAATACCCGAGGGTGAGTTTGATCAAGTCAGAGCTAAGCTAATGAGACCAGTTTGGGGATTAGGTTAGGGATTAGTCTATATGAGCTTTGTGACCTCTTTGTTTCTATTAAGAGAGCCAGATGAGTCTGTTGGTAGTGTTTCCTTGCAGGAAAGCTCCCTGCGCCGCAAAAATCTTCTGTTCTAGAACTAAAAACACCAGCACTGAAAGCGACTGAAGAGTTAAATTAAAAAACGAGAGTATTGCAGAATGAGATATGCAGAAATGACAGCCTCCCTCCTATGGCTGATAGTCCCAAGAGTCAAGAGGGCAAACCCAGACAATTTAACTTCAAAAGGTCTTCTGATATCTCCTCTGCTTGAATTTCTAAGCTAATCAGCCAGACGGCAGAATAAGGCAAAGTCGGCACCTCTTTCCCCTGCTGCAAATATATTCACACACAACCCAGTGCCTTGCTCAGCCCAACCGTAGCACCATTCTGTTCTGGATGAGCACCCCACCTGCACCCTACAGCGCTTGCAATCAGCCAACCTGGAGAAATGCTTGCTTAATACCAGTCCATTGCATCATTGCATCAGTCCTGCTAAGAGCTTCTGATTGGCCAGGCCCATAACACTGACAGATTGGGGGCATGTGACCTTAGCATTGATAAGGAGCAAGCAATTTTCTGTCCCAGCTAAGAAAATAATGAAGAGGGAGGGAAGGAGGGAAGTGCACAAGGATCTGGTGCGGAATTTTCTCCAGAGATAGATCTCTCTTTCATGCTTAAGAAAAAAGACTCCCTAATCTGGAAATGTTAACCTAGGTAAGGTTGCGGTGTACTATTGAACCAGCTCCCTTGATACCGCATTCTGGCTCCTCTGAGACCTCTTTCAAATTATGCTCAAATGACATCAGCTCTTTTTTAGATAAAGAGAAAGGGATCGTCCATATGTTTCTGGGAGAAACGCTGTTCAGGATCAACATACAGCTGCCAACAGGGATCCCTGGAACTTCAGAGGTCCCAGGGAGTTTAGGAAAATGCGAACACGCTGAAAAGCCTTCTGTGACTTTAGAATCACAGAAGTCCAAAGCAGGACTCTGTTCTAGATTTGATTTTCCCCCTTCTAGTTTCCTGTTTCTAAGAAGAAACAAGGGGCTCAAATTGTCTCATGCAAATTCCAACTATCACCCCCAAACCACTGCGGAAGAAGCTCAGAGTCCAAGCGGCACATAAGGAGGTTTTCCCGTTTTAAGCCACACTCGCTGGGTGACACATTCCAGCAGTCACTCTTAAACAGGGGAGCATTGGACACCATGACATATGCTATCCTTTTACTGACAATCACTTGCTGCCCTTCCACAGAGCTTCTTAAAAAATAAACGCTCACATGCCATGCTCTGAAAACATTAATTAAGCCTCTCAGCACCCCTGCATGGAAGGTATTATTATCAGACACCTCACAGATGGCATGAAGAGGGTAAATGAGTTTCCCAAAGTCAAACAGCAAGGCAGATGTATCAAGGAAGAACAAAAACAGGAGCCACTGCGAAATGTGATAAATATTGCAACCCTAACCAGCTCTCTTCTAAAAGGAGCAGCATCAGAAATGCAGCAGCCGTGCCTGTCATGGAAGAACTCCTGCTACCCTCTGTCATACTGAATCAAGAACTGCTGGAAAAGTTCCTTTAAAAAAAAAACTCCACACACAACAACTTTACTTACACTTTGACATCCAGCACTACTGGGAAAAGACAGACTTGAAAAGCAAGCTTGGAACTCTGTTAATTAGGAAACTGAGCGCACACATTTATAAAAGGATCTTCGAAGACGGGCTTTTATCTGATGCCTGAGATACAGCCTGCTTGGTCTGTGCTTGGGATTTTTGTCCTCCTCTGAGGCTAGGGGAGAGACAGCTGTAGTCGCTGACTAAGGACAATCCACATATTCACAAATGTAGGGGTTTGAGAAGCATTTAGCTACCTAACACAAATCCTATTTGGGATGCAAAACCAGGTTTGACTCTCAAGCAAATCTTGCTTCAAAGCTCCTCAATCACTTAAGGCAGCAATGGGGAAGCAGTGGTACTCCAGATGTTGTTGTCTCCCAGAATCTTTTGACCACAGTCAATCCAGCAACATCTGGATGCCCACTGATTCCCCATCCCTGCCTTAAGGAGGAAGGGGATTATCCTGTTCCACACACACCCCTCTCCCAAGCAGTGAGGGAATTCAAGGCAATCTTTTTTAAAATGAGGTTTATTTTGTTGGTGCGGAGGAGGGAGAAAGAACTCAGAGACATGCTATATTTATTACAACCTGCTTAACAATGGCTCAGCTGAGTCAGGCATTAAAGGCTAGAAGCAAAGAACCCACAGGTGGCTGATGCTTAGGGTACTTTCAAAGGAAAACACACACTTCATAGGACACCAGGTGCCGTAACACAGTGCTTCCGTTTATGCAGTGCAGAAAACATGCAGCTTTTAAGGGAGCAGAGTCCACCCTATCTTTCTGCCAAATTATCAAAAGGAAATAAGGCAAAGAGAATAGTGTGTTATAATGGTGTCAATTAAAAATAAATTAAACAAATAAAAGAGAAAATGCTTCTGGCTATGCTGACAGTGCATCAAAAAAGCAAAGAACAGGTGGTTTGGGAAGCGAGTAAAGTGGTAACGCGGGGCTTTTTTATACAGTAAGGTGTGTACCAAAGAAAGATAAAGAGAGCTGAAAAAACAAGAAATCAAAAGAAAAGAAAAAGAATTAATAAATTCCCCACGAAAAGAGATAGTGAAATAGGACATTAAGTTATTGCAAACGCAATATTCAATGATAATAAATCAGGAAACATAATGGAAAATTAAATATTTGGAACAGAAGCAATTTGAACAGGCTAACAAGCCAGGGAAACTAATAGCTTGGCAAATAAAGAAAAAAACAGAAAAAAACCTGAATTAATAAAATAAATATTAAAACACTTGGTTTCTTGACCACAAGAATGTGGCTCCTAACATTCAAACCACATTTTATTTTAGGTGGGGAAAGACAGGTCTATCTGAAGAACCATCTTGCCCTGGGGAGAAGGGAGAAGAAGCAAGGACAGCTTTTCCTAAGAAAACATGTTGTCTTTTCTCTTCTTTTCTAAGGGTGCTTATTGTTGTAATGACCTAATGCAAGCAGTTTTGTAAGGTCCTCCTGAAAAGTGGTATAAAAATACTCTTAATAAACAAATAAATCTGGATTTGTTTCACCAAGCACATATTCCTAGAGCTGTTGCTAGAGATCCGTAAGTGTTCTTCCTCTTAGCAAACTGGCCAGAAAGTAAATATTTGAAATTTTAGTACCCTGGCTCAGAACATCTTCAACTGGTCTCCACCCTGCAGGTTGATGGGAAGAACCAGGCTGGCTAGGACTATGAAGAGCAAGTTGTCGCTCAAAAGAAGAGTCTGACAGGATTAGACCAAAGAGCTATCTAGACTAGAATCCTGTTTTCTACAGTGGTCATCCAAATGCCTTTGGAAAGCCCACAAGCAGGATGTGAGAGCAACAGCCCTCTCCCATGTAGTTTCTCAGGAACTGGTATTCAGAAGTCTGGAGATAGCATATAGCAGTGGTGGCGAACCTTTTGGAGACCGAGTGCCCAAACTGCAACCCCAAACCTACTAATTTATCACAAAGTGCAAACATGGCAATTAAATATGGGATAATAATTAATATATAGTGGTACCTCAGGTTACGTACGCTTCAGGTTACACACTCCGCTAACCCAGAAATAGTGCTTCAGGTTAAGAACTTTGCCTCAGGATAAGAACAGAAATCGTGCTCCAGTGGCAGCAGCAGGAGGCCCCATTAGCTAAAGTGGTGCTTCAGGTTAAGAACAGTTTCAGGTTAAGAACAGACCTCCGGAACGAATTAAATACTTAACCTGAGGTACCACTGTACCGTAATAAAATGAGCTGGGGTGGGGCTGCCCCAAGTTCTCGAGCTTTTTGGGGGGCACATTGCCCAGAGTTTTTGGGGGGAGGATTGCCAAGACTTGCAGATCTTGGGGGGGGGGGGGCTTGGATCACAGTTTTTTTTGGGGGGGGGCGGAGAAAAACACTCGCATGAATTATAAACGCTTCTTATGGCATGCGGAGCAGAAACAACACATAGAGCTTTTGTGGGGGCATTGCCCAGAGTTTTTGGGGGGATTACCAAGACTACCAGAGCTTTTTTGAGGGGCTTGGATCACAGGTGTTTTTTTTTGGGGGGGGGAGAAAAACACTCACAAGCATTATAAACGCTTTCTCTGGCGTGCGGAGCAGAAACAACACATAGTCTCAAGAATCGCAGGCACCAACCAATCAAAGAAAACCCTTGACAAACCCACCAATCACACAAACTACAACCTGCTGGCTGCAAAAAAATCCCACCAATCTCGGGGGGGGGGGGAGGCAGGAATACAGCTGCTTTGGGGAGATAAACTGCCTCTAAGCTGCTGCCAGCGGGGAGCGAGCAGTTTACTCACGAGGTGGCATGGGGGGAAGCGGCTGCCCAATTTGAAAACCCCAAACAACAGTGCTGCTGGCGTGATGGTGCGTCCCAACAGAGAGGGCTCTGCGTGCCCACTCTGGCACCTGTGTCATAGGTTCGCCACCACTGGCATATTGCCATCATATATAATGCCAGTGGTAACCGAGCCCTCCATGAATTTGTTTAATCACTTTTGAAGACATCTAAACTGGTGGCCCTTGCAAAATCCTGCTGTAGCCAATTCCATCTTTTAAGTATGTACAGCACTTATTCCACCATCTACAAGAGACAGAGCCATCTAGGGTAAGGAACGTCACAAAACTTACTCACTGCAGGTTGCCTAGCTCTGAACAGCCAAAGGGTTAACAGCAGGAGACGCTAATATTGTGAACTGTTTTCTTGTGGGAAACTATTTCCTTTTTTAATATTGGTTTCCATGTGTCTAAAATCTGTAATCATCACTCTTCCCTTGCCATTGACCCTGAGGCCAATTCATAAAACCCATTTTCAAATTCATTTGATTGAGACTCCAGTACCTGAGAAAATGAACTCTCCCCTCCCCACCAGTTGGTCTTTGTAATAATTCATTAACAATAAAGAAACTGGAAAAATATTTTTTCAGGGGGTGGGGGAAGCTATGCTACCCCGCAGATTCAATGAACAGAAAGATCAGAATGTTTGCTGGGTAATGAAACCCTCAGCTCCCCTGAGACACTGATTTTTATAGCTAGAACATAATCATCTTGTGGAGATCGAAAAGGGTAGTTTAGAGTAATGATGACTAATGCCCAAGGATCTATGGATTTAAGGGCAGAGATTTTAAGCTAGCCACAGATACAAAATCCCTAGATGGAGCAAGAAACAGATACCCATATTGCTTAGGTTTCCACTGCTCTATGTATGTTCAGCAGGGCACGTTCAGTGGGTCTATCTCCAAAATGAGGGTACCTAGGATTGCAACTCTGGACCAGTACCTTTTTGTGTACCCTCTAAAGCCTTGATGTTCCCCTGCTGCCTCCCTTTTGTGCAGAAATGGGGCTGTTTGTGGTGACCAAAGAATCCGTACTTGAGCAGTGAATTCACTCATTATAATATTATAATTATTTCAATATAACAATAATTAATAGTGATTAGACCAGAGAGCCTTTAAGCTGCCACAAGTCTGTTGTTTTTGCTGCAACAGACTAACAGGGCTACACTGCTGGAAATTTGTTTTTGTGGAAAAAGAGCAAAACCCAAGATTTCCAAACAGCCTGCAAATGGTTGCAAAGCAGCAAGAGAAGAATAAAAGGAATGATGAGAATCAGCACGGAAGTCAAAGATGAGCCGAGATGAAAACAAGTTATGCAGGGGCCTCAAGGGGCACACAGGGAAAGTTTAATTTGATGTGCAAGGAGATTGCTTTAGAAATTATTCACTGTATTTTGCTTTCACAGGATATTACACATTGCAAGCAACTTTGGATTAAACCTAAAGTGGAGACTAATTCAATTTTTGAACTTCAAAAATCAAAACCTAAACCTCCTATAGGATGAGTCAACCTCTCATTTTCATCATGCAAAAATGCTGATGATGGTCACAATATTTTTGAATGATTTTGCTATATTTTAATAACCGGTAATTTGCACGTTTTAAACTTTTAATTCAGGAATTCCCAGCACTAAAATCTTGCTGACTGCATTTGAGCTGCTGCTAGGCACTAGAGAAATCCTTTAATCAATGGAAATTTTTCAGAGACCTCGGAGAATCCAAGTAAGTAGATGCAAAAACAGACTGCAAAATTCTGACTGACTTTCATGAAGCCCTTTAACACCTTGTTTGCATCTGCTTAATAACACTGTATCCCACAGTTCTTTGAATCAGGGACTGGTTTGAACTCATCACAAGCTAGGAATAAAAGAAGCAAAATACATTCCCACTAGAAGCAAAAATCCTCACTGCAAATTTGGCAACACCTTTGAGTTTTGCACCAGATAAATTCATTAGGTGTATATTTTTCTAAACTCAAATCAGATAGTACCAGAGGTGGGAAAACAAATAAGCCTGGATATGCAGATGGACACACCAGAAAGCAGTTGCATGATTTAGCAACTGATGGTCAGCAGGGCATCTCTTCCAGCTGGTCACTCCTTCCCTCCTTCTGTGCTTGTTGAAGCTCTTACCCTGATTCCAAAACTACAACGTACACTAGAAAGCACTTCTGAGTTACTCTCAAACTGGCAATAGCGAAAGTGTCTGCAACATTTTCTGCAACACTCCTAATGTTGTCTCGGCAACAATCCTAATGACTCTATTGCTCAAGGCAATCATATAGCACACATGAAATGAAAAGAAAGGGGAAATTACAAAAAAAAAGTTCTTTCATTTTAGTTGAACAGTTTCCCAAGCACTTACCATTGGGCGATGGCATCATGTCTTTGGCAATTTGGGCTTGCTACTGAAGGCAAGGACTTAAATTGGTTTAATGGTCCATGGTCAGGCCTCTTGCCTCCTTGAAAGAAGCTCACCGCAAGGGGAAGGTCAGACAGGCAGCAGATACAAGGCACTAGCTTGCCCTCTCCCTACCAGAAAAGGACAATCATCTCCAGCTGAAGTTGAAGCATATTCTGTCCTCTGCATCAGCCAGGGGACTAAGGGCAGCTGGGTTGTGGGTGTGTATTTCTACTTAAAGACAGGAAGGCCCACCTGTCCACATCAGGTGATACTGCTGAGGCTAAGTAACTTGCAAGAACTGGTAACTGAATTAGCTTCCTTTGCTTTCCCCTTTCCCTTTTAAATCATGGCTGTTAGATTGCAAGCCTTTAAATTTTGTATTCATTTAGCAAAATTATTATGGCATAAACTTTCATGGACTGGAATCCACTTTATCAGATGTATGAACACAGATTAGCCTTTAAGGTGCTAAAAGACACTTTGCAAGATGACAACAACAGCCATAGCCATTCCCCGTTCCCAGGGAACTGTAGTTTTGCAAGCGTGAGGGCCATCTAACACTGAATTATCAGCACCCTCACCAAACTAATTCCCAGGATTCCTTAGGTGAAGCCATGATACTTAACACTGGTACAAAAAACCAGATATGTTTACAGCAGAGCTAGGATGAGCTTACTGCGCATATGTAGGGCAGCCAAAACAACATGAGGTGACTATTTCAGGATTAGAAACAACAGGCAAAGGTCTTATTAAAAAATAAGGACAATAATTTTAAACAAAATGTTTCCATGAGCCAAATATTCTTTCAATAAGGTCTCTCTGACAGTCTCTCTTAGCAGCTTAGAGTCTACTTAGAACAATTGCCTAAAGCTAACTTTAATTGGAGGAATATCATGGGGCGGGGGTGAATGTTTGCATTATAATCAGGAGTCACTGGACAATTGGAAGGTACCAGCTGACCTTGTTCAAAAATGGAAATTTCTATCAAGTATGCTGCTTAAGTGACTTAGAACCTATTTGCATATGCAAAGAACTAATTAAAGCATGGCTTGAAAAAAGGAGACTCCCTACCCATGAATATAGATACCACTGGAGCCAAAAGCTGTTTGGCTTGGAAATAGTTCGATGAACTCAGAGGACCATAGATCCTGGGTCAGCGCTCTGAAATGAGATCAAAGTCACTATTATTAGACAGCACTTAAGAGATTTCTAGAGAAAGCCACTTTTCCTTTCCAAGACATTGGCTCTCATCAGACCCTACCTACCCCAAATCACACTTCCCACCTGACCACTGGTGCTTAGGAAACTAAGAAGAATGATTCCCATGGTGGGAATGGCAATTTTTGCTAATCCTAATTCCTAATACATTGGGAGAAATTTCTACAAAACTTTCAGATGGATAAAGTGATACCAGTTTGTAACGGAAAATCTGACCTACAAGCCCAAGATAGGAACTGTTCAATTGGATCTGCCCCCACCGCCTAGCACTGCCCTTGTCAACCAATGTGTTGAAAAAGGATTGGGATTATAAAGGTTATCCATTACGCAGTCAGCGGCAGGCGATTTGGTACCAGGAGTGATAGTCATTTTCAGAAATGCATGTGTCTGAATGTGCAAAGCAGCACTTTAAGAGTTGCAAACTTTCTCTACTGCCAAGGTGGCTGCGACTGATGATCATACAGCCTTGACCTAGTTTTTAGGCCACCACCTTCACGGCTTCTCTCCCTGCCCCCCACTGCATAGATTTGCTCCTCGTCCCCAGAAGCAGGTGTTATAAGGTAAAAGGTGGCATCACGCCAGGACTACCCTCTACCACTTGGCAGTACATCCTAGACTTCCATCCATCTTCTACTTTAACTGGCACTGTGTAATTAACTTTCAACCCACCTCTTTTCCCTTAGTAAGAGAGGCTGCCATAGTCACATCTAGGGTACAGAAGAGGAAGCTCTGATGGTGGCAGCTTAAAGTTTTCACTGCTGTTCATTATTAACCAAAAGTTGAAAGGTTTATAAAGCGGCTCAACAGACAGCAATGTGACTGTAACCACAACTTGCTTTGGACATTATTAAAATGTGATTAAAAGCTTGTCAGATTAATATTATTGATTAACAATTAGAGATCTGCAGAAGATCTATAAATGATCTGCCACAGGGGAAGATGGCAAACCTAGAGAAGTTAAATCTCTGGTTTCCAGAGGGCACTGAGGGCAGATCCATACCATATATTTAAAACACATCCAACACACATTTAGCACACATGACTCCCCCCCCAAAGAATTCTGGGAACTGTAGTTTTCACTCAGAGCTCCAATTCTCAGCATCTGCACAAAACTAGAGTTCTCAGGATTCTTTCACATCTGACTGCATAATGCTTTGATTTCCTTTTTTGTTTTCTGATGTTGTCAACACTATTCCTCCAATGAGGTTTGTCCCCATGAACATTTTTCCCTTGTAACTGATGCTGGCAGCATGGAAACACTGCATGTAAATACAGAACCAGATCCTAAGTTCCTGTTGCCTAGGACTGCCATTTGTCCGGAATTTCCCAGACATGTCTGGGATTCATTTGTCAGAAATAGCGTCTGGGCGGAATTTCTGAAGATTGGGAAAACCCTGGTGTATAGCAACCCATGTTGGAAGTGCTGATTTTTTGGTGAATTTCCTTAATTTTTTTTTTTTTAAATAGCTAAGCAACTATGGAAAAAAGAGAAAAGGTTCAACAACTTTTGTGTCTGGATTTTCACTTTTTGAAATATGGCAATCCTATTGTTTCCAGAATTTTACTGGGAGATTTCAGGAGTAAATACATAAGCAGCCTTTCACTGAGTCACATTGAAATGTTACCTTAATATGGGAGAGTTAACCATTAGCTTCTCATGAGGCTGCATTCTAAATGGTAACAATGAGGATTCCCAACTCTGTTAGCCATGAGAAATGAAGCAGGGAGTTCTTCCTCCCCAGAATAACTAATTGAAAATAAGAGTGCGAATCTGCAAATCGCCTGGATGAAAGTGACAAAAGTTGCTGCCATCTGGAGTCTGGTCAGTGGGCTGTGCTCAATGACTTTGAGATGTCATTCAGGTTCTTACTGGAGCATCAACATTCCAAAACCTCACAGCTGGTATCCTCAGTAGAAATGAGGAGAAAATAAATAGGATAGGGATGAAGCTAATTTCCCTCCTCCTTTGACTCCAGCTCTCATAAATACATACAGCTAGAGACACAGTGCTAACTGCAGAACACAATGGCAGGGATTCAGAGTTGAAAATGCGTAATGGGGTTGGCACAAACTGACTCCCATGTCCTCTTCTCCCCACGGGAGTCTTCCAGCCTCCCAAAAAAGGCTTGCAAAGTTGCCTTCACCCAATTTTCAGGGATACACCTTTCCCGTGACATAGCCTACTCCATTAAGCAAGGGGAGAGCAGGGAGGTCTACTTGTGCCAGCACCATTCTAACCCTGATAGTATGTGTCAAAACTCTCTTTTTCCTTGCAAGAAAAGCCTACCTACACACCTGTCATGTGGCAGAAGGGAATAGCGGCACACATGTCAAAAGGGGTGGGGGGTACATGCAGTGGGAGCCAACTGATTCTGTTCATTCTATCTTTGTTATCTGGATTAGGACCTGTGCTGGCAGGATGAATTGGGCTCCTTCCTGAAGCAGATGGACTAGTCGGAGTTTGTGGCAGGGACTTGTCCAAAAGAACACTGCACATATATACACAGATCTTCCCACCTCACACCAAGTGTTGGGCACAGCCTCTTGATTAGTCAGGCCATTTTTCTTCTAAGCATCTGGGCACCAGCAAATCTTATTGCTGTGTCAGAAGAGATTTTGCCACACACGAATGCATCATTGACACACCAAGGCAGACTCCAGTCATTAGCCGCTGAAAGAAAGAAGCTGCCCTGCATTCAGGGTCCTTGTCACATGGAAATAAGAAATGAGCTGCTTGTTCAAAGGTAATGGTTCTATAGGGGCAGAGAAAATGAGGGCCGCCTAGGAAGAGGAGATAAATACAAATGCCTTGCCTCAAACTGTGGCACTTTACAGTATGACCCTGGTCTGCGAGTAAGTTGTTTTAAAAAAACGCTTCTCTAAGATCTGGTCTATACAGTGGTACCTATACTTAAGTACTTAATTCGTTCTGGAGGTCCGTTCTTAACCTGAAACTGTTCTTAACCTGAAGCTCCACTTTAGCTAATGGGGACTCCTGCTGCTGCTGCGCCGCAGGCGTGCGATTCCTGTTCTCATCCTGAAGCAAAGTTCTTAACCCGAGGTACTATTTCTGGGTTAGCAGGGTCTGTAACCTGAAGCGTATGTAACCTGAAGCGTATGTAACCCGAGGTACCACTGTACAAACATCAGCTAGAAGCGGTGAGGTGAGCTGCACCATGCCAGGCTACACATAGGGGGCATTCACACACTATTTTGGGGGGAGATTTTTCAAATGCAAAGCCACCCTGTAAATTCTCTGACACCCTCAACACATTACAAACTTCTATCCCAGCCTTCTCTTCACTATTGCCAGTGATGTGGTTTTTCAACTTGCAGGAAGCTTTTTAAATATTCAAACTTGTGACCCCACTCTGCAATGATGCAGTCCATTATACTAGATGCTGCTCAATTGGTGCTAACCCATGACAGGGCCTCTTTGGTGGCAGTTCCCCATTACGGAAGACCCTCTTTGGTGAGGTGCTCCATCTCCCACATTATTGACATTCAGGAGGGGTTTTAAAACATTCTTGTTCAAGCAGGCATTTAGTGGCTGAGAGGTATTATTCCTGGCAATTTTAAATTATTAGCTCTGAGGGTATGTGACTGCTTTCAAATGTTTTTAGATGTTCTTGTCATTATAAATGTGATATAATTAAGTTTTGAACTGTACTGCTTTACTACATTGTTTGCTGCCCTTGGCTCCTTTGGGAAAAGGGCCGGATATTTAAAAAACAACAACAAAAATCCAGTAAGACAGACTAGTATTCTATCACTTGCTTAGTTAGACCATTTGGTTTGAGCCATCTAGTTCACTAGATAGGATTGTACAAGGCTTATCTACATGCTGTGGTGGGTGGTTTTCAAAATATGCAATATACTGGGCACTTTATCTTATGAATTCCCAATCCAAATGAGACGTGTATTTTTCAACTAGACACAGAGAACTGGGCCGAAAGAGCAGTCTGGTCTCTTGTGTATAACCACTGAACATAGTCTGATGCTTTAAGTAAAAGTTCAACTCTTGGCTGTATTAACTTTTTAAGCAGATCAAATCGAGCAGTCAGGGACCTCTTCAGGGCTATTTACACGGGACTTTAATCAATTTGCTAAGTGTTTTACAATCCTTATATTATTATTTTAAAAAGAAAATCCTATGAGAAAGAGTTATTCATCCAATTTTACAGATAGGGATCCAAAATATGAGAGTGAATGGTTTGTCCTAAGCTACCTAGGGATTTTTTTTTTTAAAGAACTGACTAGAGACTGGACTCACTGAGCCATGCTGACATTTGACATTTTTCTACTTCCAGAAGCTTCACTGCAACTAGTATAACACTACAGGTGAAGCTCATGATTCCCCCCAAAGGCCTCTTCTCAAAGTCTGTTTCTCAAACCTGATGCCCCTTTTCCAACTGTCTCACTTTTAAGGGTGGCTCTTTCTCCTCATGGTCTTTGAAGTGTAGAAAGACAAGGGATTTAAGCTCCAGTGGCACTTTGATTTCAGATTTACAGTCCACTTCCCTAATAAATCCCATGCCACACTTTAATTCCTCAGAGGGAAAGAACATGTGAGCCACAGAAGGAGAAAGTAGAAACTGTTTATTTCCATCATAAAGATGCCTTTTAATATTTTAACATAAATCAAGCTGTGCTTTATGATGATAATAAATTTACCAGAAGAAACTTCATTTGCTGCCTGAGGCAGCAAAATGATTCAATTTGTTTAGTTTTTAAGCACAAGGAAATGTAATTGAGTCAGGTAAGGTACAGCTGTTTTAATTGACTTTTCGGAGAACACCTAGTGCTACAGGAAGCAGGAGGCTAATACGGAGGGACAAGAGAAGACAAGGATTACTCCATGAGCTGCTGCCAGCATGGATGCCCCCCTGGATGCCCCCCTCCCCTTTGCTACTTCTGCCAACTGATCCGTCGACAGAAACTAATTCAAGATACACTGCCTTAATGTATGCAGGAAAAGGCCAAACCACAACAGATGCATAATCTGCATTTATTTCTTTATGCCTTTCTGAAAAATAATTACATACAGAGACAAGCTGAGGACACAGAGCAGCAAAGTGCCATAGTGAAGAATTGTTACATTTTAATAGGCAATTAAAAATATTGTCTCACGTTAAACCAGATGGGAGAAGGTATCAGCCACTGCATCATATTCAGCCAGGTTGAGCCCTGGATTCATAGAATCATAGTGTTGGAAGGGATCCCAAGGGTCCTCTAGCCTAACCCCGAGATGCAGAAATATCAGCTAAAGCATACATGACAGATGGCCATGCAACCTCTGCTTAAAAACCTCCAAGGAATGAGAGATTCTACCACCACCCCATCCCTTGGGGTTCTTGTAATGGTGCCAGTAAAATAAACACACACACACAAACATACATTTTATCCATCTTGGTCAACCTCAATCTCTCTCATGTTTTAAGGCATATTGTGATACTAGCATCAAACTTTTCCTCCTCTTGTAGGGCTTTCACCATTAATTGAGGTAGACACCTCCACTGCTCACATACTGAAGGCACCTGGGAAGGTACATCAATACAAATCCATCAGAAAACAGGAAAGGAAGTTCTTCAAGGTGAGAGAGGAATGGAAGGTACTACTGCCAAGCCATTTCAAAAGTGCTCTTCCTATTCATGCAGAGAGAAAAGTCATCCCTGACTGTCAAGTTTCTTTTGAAATCAAAGAGGAAATTTCACATTTTATAACCTTTGGAGCAACATAAAAGGAGAAAAGATATAATCTAAGCCAAAAGGGCACATAATGCCACATGGGATTTAGATAAAAGGGGAAGGGAGAAATCCCAAACGACAACGTATAGCTGAGGTGGTGGGGATGGGGAGGCTGTCCAAAGGACACATTTCTTGTGCAATACAGGCAATTAGCATAATTGTGCTTTGTAGTACACTTTTGACAAGATGGAAAACAGAACTGCTAAAGTAGCAGAAGTCCCAGACTAGGCTTGCTGTTTGGCTGTAACCTTAGCAATTTGTCCAGCTTCAGCTTTCTGTGAAACCCAGTGCTTTCTGTTCTTCTGAGATGGCTCGTGGAGAAACCGAAAAGGTGTGTCAGAAGAGAAGAAACCTCTTTGAAGATTGCCGGTGAAGATGTGCATTAAGTGACCCATATTATCTTGAGAGTCAAAAGCACAGAAAAATTCAGTGACCGCTCCATGGGGCTGAAGTAGACACAGTGCTTGCGTTATTCAGCACCTTCTGTATTGTTGGCATCCGTCTATCTCAAGAGGCAATGGGTCTCTCTTGGGGTGAAATCAAACTGTTAAGAGAATTAAACCACCTGCTGCTGCTGCAGAGAACCATAACTCATAACTGCTGCCTCCCATATTGTTTTAGCTTCAGTAACAGCACCAGTGTCCTCCCGGGGGTGGGGTGGGGCAAGCCTGGGCAGTGTGTATGAAGGTCCCAGGCTGCCCCCGCTCGGCCTCACTGATGTGGTCCAAAGGAAAGCAGAGCAATACGTTTGGCACCAGCTTGGCTGCAGGGGTTGCTGGAGGGAGGCATACAAGATGTCACCCAACAGCCTTAGGGACTCCACTTCAGATTTGTGTAGGGTTTCCTCTTTAGGCTTGTCTTCTCCCGAAGATGTCCTGCACTGCAGCAGCTAAGCACATTCTACAGCCAGCCAAAGATGAGATTGCCACAATGCAATTTCCATACATTTATAGGTCATTTCTCAGGTACATCTATTCTGCTGCTAAAATGCCAGCAGTGATACTATCCTTGCCTGTCTCATATTGCACAAGGGCAGGCTTGGGCCTCCATGTGACAGCTCTGTTTTCTCACTTCCAGTCTGACAAGAGTCTTATAACAGTGATGGGAAAGAGTGACAGAAGGAAGCAGTTGTTAAACTTCTGAACCAATTGTGGCAGGATGGTTCCCATTTCAAATGGATTGTGCACATAGAATCTTAAAATCTGTAATTTTGTTTCCCCTCAACCTGGGCACTGTGTAATTCCTTACCAATTCACTCAGAGACAGTTCTCAGAAACCTGGTGTCAAAGGAGCAGCATCAGCTATCTGCAAGCTTTCAGGTTGTATAGGTGACTCTGATGCACCAGCAAGGACTGCCAAGTACAGCTTGAGATGAAGAAGAGAGGGATGTCATCAGGTTTTATTGAGCCTGGAGCAAACTCCCCCTAGTCGGCAAACATAGCTTTATGCAACATATCAAGGACTTTTGTTATCTATGAATAGAGTTGCGTTACAAAATTTGCTGTGTTTGTTTTTAACACACCTTCCAACAATCTGGTTTTCTGCAGTAAAACCAATTTGATTTTGATAATTATACTTGATAGTAATTTTGATTTATTTTTTAAAAAACCACTGAATTTCTTAACTCACTTTGATGAAATGTCAAATTTAATATCACAGCTACACCAGGATGGAAAAGGCAAGTATAATCCGGGGGTTTGGAAGATGAAATTTAATAATAGAAAAAGCAGTTTAAACATATTTGAAGTGAAAAGAGTTGAATTTCCCTCATATTAAAACCTTTGTGACCCATGACCCCTCCTAAGCTCTGCAATCTCCTAAATGCTTTTTGTGATTTCATCACAGAATGATGGTCAGTACTCCTTGTCGGCAAAGATCCTACAGTCCGAACTACATGCAATTAGGAGCAGACCTGTGTCTTTAAATCCAGACCTTTCCCCATCATGTATAAAGCAGGGAGGTGGAGGATGAGGATAATTTAAAGAGCAAAAGGGATGTGCGGGTGAAGAGAGAAGCTTCCCTGCAGATTTCCCTACCAGGAGTCTCTCACACTGATTTACTTCTGATATAGCAGCCTGGCCAAGGGAAAAGTGACATTAGGGGACAGAGTACAGGGAAATAAGGCACAGGCAAGGAAGGAGTTAATAGCCCCCCTTCCAATCTGCATTTCTTTTATGTTTAACATAAGACCCCCTCACACACATCTCTTAGATTTACCTGTGGCAGACCCAGGTTTCAAAGCACAGTACTAGTCAGATGTAGCTTAAATTTACATAAACTGAAAAAGAGGTCATGTTGTAGGCAAAGTAGTGGGAACCTTAAAAAACAACAACCATGAACCTGGGATGAGGTGGGAGATTAATTTTTAGTGAGCGGGAGTGAATTCTCTTGGCAATTTAGTGTGCTTTGGGAAGTAATGATTGCCTTTATATTCAAACAGAAAACAATGGCTGCATGAATGTCTCTTGCTTTAGCTTCCACTCATGATTTTATTCTCTCTGGTAACACTTACTCATACAATTTCTTCATAAAGACGCTGTTAGGTGCTGCCCTCCACATCTGGCAACACGCAGGTGAGGTGCTAGGAAATGAGAACTGTGCTTCTTTTACATGTTACTCATCCAGCAAGTAATTAGCACCTTCGTGCCTGCGATGGAGAGTGCTGCAGTCAGGGCCTGCCCTGCTGCCTCAGGACTGGTATGAAACAGAGGACCACGGTAATGCTGAAGCGACTTAGCAGCAAAAAAGAACTGTGGAAACAGGCTTTCCCTTCAATGCTTCATGAAATAAGGCTTTGGTGGTACCCACCCAGACTTAACCGCAACCTCCTTTTCACCCTCTGCATAGAATCAAGTATGGAGGGGATTGGGCATTACATACAGAAAACACAAAAGCGAACAGAAGCAAAATGCTCACCAGATGAAAAGTATTCATTTAAATCCACAGTAACATCTATGCATCTGATCCCACATTACATGCAGCAAGGCAGATGTGTGCTGGAAAGACTGTAACAGAAATGGAGGAAACAACAGTAGTGCTGGAGTGGGAAGAATCTACCCCTGGGCATTTTCTCCCTCATTTTTTTCAGTGTAGGCTGACCCTACGCCATTGAACATTTCAATGAAATCTGATTCAACTAGTTGTGTCCATCTTTCTCTTGATTCTTCCCTGTTAGTTGAGGAAAAAAGGAGAGTCACCTCAGGGGACATGAGAATGATAAGGAATCATTGCTTGCTTTCATTGGCTGCTTGCTTGACTGGTTTCAGCAAGGCTCACCTCTCCATCACTCTTGAGGGAGAGATGCATATCTGACAGCCTCTGACATATCATAGGACAAGAGAGGAAGACAGTTTGTATGGGAATCTGTGATCAAGGCAAATATAGAGAGATGCTGTGCGGCCACAGCAGCCTGGTAGAGTGACCACACTCTAAGTTTTATACTTTGAAGGGGAAAATCTGAATTAAGAATGGAACCCGACAAGCAGCACTGCACCCAAAATTGATAAAGTGAGCATCAAGCTCAAGACGGTATTAGCAGGTTCTTAGGAGGTGCAAGATCAGAAGAAGTCTCAGAAGTCAACTCCAGTTTCTTTGATAACAAACGGCATCGTTCCATCATTAGAGCTTAGTTTCACTCAATATGATATTTGCAGTCACAAACAGAAAGCAAAAAAGACCCCAGAGTAGGACAAATCCAATCCAGAATGTGTGCCGGAAAGGGGACAAATGTTTATTGAGCGTGCCATTTCCAAAGATCAGCTGAGTGTCTTTTCGGCTGCAATATGCTAAGAAAGCAGGGATGATATACTGGATCCCATTCCCAGCATAGGCTCCAGTAATGCCCACCAAGGACTCCAAATCGTGGGTGCAGAAAGCCACGATAATGGGGGGAATGAGTGTGATGACTGGGAAAAAAATCCTATCTACTACCCATGGGTAGGTTCCCCCTTCCCGGTGGAAGAGCGTCTTCCAATTGTTCCTCAGAGTCACAGCAATTATAGGAAAGTTGGTGCTGATGGTGAAGACAGGAAAGAGGCCCAGGAAGTAGCGGATAACGGCGATATTGACAATGTCACAGCTGGTGAAGTTGAGCGTATACATATCCATGAGAGTCCCATTCTTGAAGCAGTAGATAGCAGTGAAGGACAAGAGGCTGTAGAAACCCAGGATTAAGGTGTAATCCAGCAGGACCAACTTGTTAACGTGTTTCTTCTTGGAGATGGGAGTGATGAGAGATGGCAGCGAGTGCTGGCACATGAAGGAATAAACGCACACCCCAAAGAGATTGCGGATCCCTGAGAGTTGCGCTAAAGGAGGGTGGCCTTCCCCTTTCCCTTTGGAAATCCGGAGAAGGGCTATAATTATCATGACGACAAATGCTGGAAGACAAGGGGTGGGGAAGGAGAGAGAAAAGGAACATGTTGAAGTCAGAGCAGAAGCTATGCACACAAAAATATATATTTCCTCCTCTAATCTCTGTGCTGAAATCACTACAGTCTATAGTGCAAGTGATAAGGGGACGACGACACATGCTTCCCTGGAGAAAGCGGTGCTGCATACAAAGAAAAGATCTACAAGGAGATAAATACGTGTGTTCAGCACCAGGCTGTACACTGTGGGTGGGGACTCCAATACAAAAGTACAGTTGGCTATCTTTGAAACAGGGTTATCCAGCAATCACACTTTCTCTCAGGGGCATCTGCCTCATAGGAAATGGGTTTGACCCATCACAGCTGCTGCTTGAGTCCTCAAAGAAATATAAAATAAAACTGTTGTCTTTGAACTCAACACCTTCTCTTTACCCCAGGGTCCCCAGTCTCATTCATGTTAGTAAAAGTGCACTGAAGACATTTCCTAGCATGAGCATGTACCACTTTGGCGGAAAGGGCATTTGAAAGATTGCTTCTGGGCAGCACAGGAGCGCACAAGAGACAATGCTCATGCCCTTTGGTTTTCACAGCATTTGTTTGAGGAGAGTGGAACTGTATTTTACATAAATGACACAGACAGGAATATTTGCAACTGGCTTATATTTAAATTTAGGGTATTTGTAAAGAACACACTGACATTGCTCTGAATAAGAAACAGCCAAACAAGCTGCCTGGGACTAATCTCAATTGGGAGAAGGTCTAACAGGGACTGAAAAGAGAGCACTGAAAATTGGAGTTGAAATGCAGGCATAAAGCACACACTTACTTGACATTTACTACAACAGCAACATATAATGCTGTTTATTTGCTTGCCGAAAGAAGATTTGCTGGGGCAAGGCAAAGCAGGTCTAATGTCATATATTAAACGTTAGTGATAGTAACAAAAATAGTTTTACTGAGCTAAAATAAAGAATAAATAGGGCCCTCATATGTGCTTGAACAGGAAGTTGAGCAGTATGATGAAGGGCACAAGGACCTTCAGTTTGAAGATTTGTTCCTTGACCACTGGGCACTCCATTCAGCTCCATTATGTTTTCTAAAATTCTAATGAATTAGCTAATAGGAGTGTGGGATCTTCTTCTCAATCAACTTGGTCCAAATACGCCCCACCCCTTCTCAGTGACATTGTGATTGATCCATCAGAGCAATTAGTGTGCTGCCCACCAATTTCAGTCTGCCCTTAGCCACCACCACCTTAAGCCTGTCTTCTTTCTTGGCTCCAGTCTAGTGGGTGGCCCTAGCTGCTGGCTGCCTCCTCCATCTCAGAGTTGCCTTTGCAGAACTTTGTAGGAAGGAGGTTAGGGACAAATCTTAGTTGGCTTTACCTGTCTTTGGCTCTGCTATACCTACTGTTGTTCTCCCTGACTTCCACCCTACCAATCTTAATGGGCACCAGCAGCCACTGCTGTTTAGTAAATTTCTGCTTAAGTTTCATTTCTGTTAAATTATTTTTCCTCTCCAATCTCGATTTCTTATGCTGACCTTTTGAGCCTTGCAATCATAACAGCCTCTAAAACAGAAAGCAACCATTTTACAAACCCAAACCTGAAGTGGCTGAAAAAAATTAGTTCATTCCTTAGGCCCTCATCATTTTGATTGCGAACTTTCTTCTTGTGTAGGTTACAGCCCTTTATGATAGTGTTCCAGAGGAGGGGCACCATTGGAGGGGGCAGGGGGCCAAGTCCCCCCCCCCCAATTTTCAAGGAGGGGGCCAGGCAACCTCTAAATTCCATGGTGACCATGTGCACACCATGTACATATGCTGCACGACATGCTGACATCACTTGCACACGCTGCTCACAACATGTCAGCATGTCGCGCAGCATGTGGAAATGACTCAGCAAGTTGCACGGAAGATGCACATGGTGGGCAGCACCAGCCCCCTCAATCACGGGGGCAAGCTGGCATGCTTGTTCCAGAGACTGGCCATTTTGTGCTTGAAAGGGGAACGTCTCCTGCTCCCTGCCTCAACTTGGTGTATTCAGTGGGGAGAGTGGCTGCTTAGGATAACAAATGGGCCAAGATGGGCTGTTTTGGCATTTGTACAAACTGTCTTTAGCTGTGGCTGAGAAACAGAAGCCCCAAACCAATTAATCAGATACTGTAACACACAGAATGCTAATGCACACTTCCACTGCACAGAACATTTAAAGCCATTTAAAAAGACGGACTTTGACAGCACAGCAACCAAGAGAGGAGACACAGGGACTAAAAACTAGGGTGACTACCAGAAAACACCCAATTAACTAGCCACTCACAAGAACCCAGCTACATCCAGATTTTACAGCAATGCTTGGGCTTATGGGACAAATGCTAGGGGGCTCTTAATTAAATCGACAAGCTGCACATTCTGAAAGGCCCTATAACAGTAGATACAAAAAGGAAGACAGTCCCCCTGTAAATTGAGTAGCGACTTATATTGCCTATGAGTATTATGGAATCAAACCTAAGATACAATATTTAGTAAATTCAAGTGCACTTTTAGTCATGTGCTCCCTCCATTGTAGCTGCCTATGCAGAACCACAAGATCACTCATTGTACCAGGGGCACATATGCTTCCCAGCATCCAGCATAACTCTATCTATATAAAAGGGGTCAACTGTCATGAAAAGCAGGCCTAACATGTCAAAGCCTATTTTGTTTTCCAGTTCATCATTTGAATACTGACATGCTCACAGAAAAATCTTATAGACAATATATTTCAAGGACTCCACTTTTTTATACCCAAAGCAACAAGAACTGAGCAATTTATACAGGTTGCTATCATCCTACCATCATTTCTTGTACTGCTTGGTGACCACCATTAAGCGTCTGGAGAGTCCTCATAAAGAGAACCTTCTCTGCGGCAAAGCATCACCAGATTGCCACAATTTTTCAAGGATCTGCTTTCATCAGACCACACTTTGAATATTATGTCCAGTTCTAGGCACCACAAATTAAAAAGGATATTGACAAGTTGGAATGTGTGCAGAGGAGAGCAACCAAGTTTATTTTTTTTTAAAAAAAATGATATTTATTAAAAGTTTAAGAATTACAGAAAAAAGAAAAAAAGAAAACAACAAAAAATTGACAAAGCATACATTACAATACATAAAAAGAAAAGCATAAAAAACGATACAACAATACAGCAAAAAAGAAAAACACAATAACATTAAAACACACATCCAATGTTCCATATCTTTATCTTTCATTTACTTGTTTCATCGACCTCCTCACACCTCCCTTTTTGTATTCTAATTTAATTAATTGTTTCAGCAAATTCTTTCCATCTTTCTCAATTTTTGTTATATAATTTATCTTAACGATCTAACCTTTTAATTAACTCAACAAATCCTTTCCATCTTTCACTATATTCTGTCATTCAATTTACCTTAATTTATTTAACCTTATGTTACCATAAAAAAAAGAAAAACCTTAAAACTTAAAGTACATAACTCCTTATATCATTTCTACTAAAGCCAAATAGTTTCATTCCAACATTTTTCCTAATACTCGTTAATTTTACATTAATTCTCAAAATAAATTTTTTAAAAACTTTCTTCCAATCTTCATCCAACGTCTCTTCTTCCTGGTCTCGGGTTTTGTCAGTCCTTCTTGTCCATTCCATCTAGTCCATCAACCTGGTGATCTTATGTCCGAGGCTCTTAAGTCTTTTCCATGTCCCTTCTGCAGATCTTCTTCTTGTTTATACCTGCACTTTACTTTGTCTTTTGTTGATCTTTTCTTAATTTCTTTCCTTTCTCATTGGGGGTAGGTCTCGGGAGGACTCCAATCCAAAAATATCTCCATCTCTCCTCAGCAGATCAGCACATTCCCCACAGTCCCATTCCCCACAGTCAACACTGTAATCCAGAAAGTATTTAAAAGCATGTTTCAAAGTCCTTCCAAAATTAAGAGCCCTCACAACTCCAGACCCCCCCTGGTCCACTCCAGATTCAAACTTCAAGAACAGCGGCTTATGCTCCTGCAAGGCCTCGGATCTCTCCATTTGTGTTACTTGAGGTTCAACAGCAACCTCCTCCATTATCTTCTGCACTTGCGCTTGCCCTGTCAAAACAAGTTCCTGGGCTGGTTCCTGAATGGTTTCTATATGGGTATTCGCCGTTTGTCCAAAGTTTTTAACTGCAACAGTCATCAAATCCATCTTCTCATGCATCTGCTCCAGCAAAGCGCTTGTCTTGCAAAAAGCAAGCACCAAAACTTCTTCTAAACACATTTTTATTCAAGGTCAGAGTCTGGTCTCACGATCCTAATCTTACAGCTGTGAAATCCCCAGATCGACTCCGGCAACAAATTAACAAGCTCCCTCTAGAGGAGACAATTTCTATTTGTATCCATCTTTTGAAAGCAGGACCAACAAAAGAAAATTACTTTCATTTTTCAAATACTTTGTTTCTTTTGAATGCAAGAAGCAACATTGGAGTCAATTTGTTTCTCTTTTACTATCTGTCAAAAGACGTTCCATTCACAGTCGATGAACTTCCCCATAAATTTCTGTCTCTGACACCCCGTTCCCAGGTTTGAGACGGTGGAAATTTATCTTTCTTTACTCTCTCTCCTGCAGGCTTAAACAGACAAAAATTCCCCCTCTTTTCTCCTGCTTCCAAGAGGGGTTTTGGTGGTAATAGCTGAAGGAAATTTAGACCTTTATATACAACTTTCCAGACTTTAGCTTACAAAGTTTTTGCTTCAATCTATTTACAAAAAACGGGAGGCGGACTTCCTGTTTAGAGCCTTCCCGCTTCAGTGCCAAATTAAAATGTTTCTTAATCCAATTTTCCGTTCTACTCACGAGTACTTGTTTAGAGTCCAATTGTCCACAGGAAAAAGTCAGCGCTCTCCGACAACGGCTGTGCGGCTTCACTCCGTGAAAGTAGCGGTTGATTCAAAACACCGCGCCACTCACCCCACGTCGCTTCGGATCCCCGAAAAGGGTTTCCCTGCGAGTAGGGGAGGCGCTCCTGGTGTCAGCCGAATCCCACGTTCCCAGGCTTCCTCCGCCTGGGATTTTTAGAGGGTCTCCGCCTTCGCCGCGGCGGCAAGACCCGATTTTCACGGAGCGGGTTCCTCTCGGTCAGAGGAACTCCGCCATTGCCGATGGCACTAACCCGGAAGTCCTGAGAGCAACCAAGATGATCAAGGGTCTGGAAACCAAGCCTTATGAGGAACGGTCGATGGAGCTGGGTATATTTAACATGGAAAAGAGGAGACTGAGAAGACATATGCTAGCCATCTTCAAATATCTTAAGGTCCATCACATGGAAGACTGAAAAGAAGTTGAGATTGAGATTATCAATACCATAAAGAGAAATTAGGAACCTTGAATAAATAGTGTTTTACATATATAATAAAAGATAGCTCAAAGGGTGGAATTTTAAGGCATGCGGGCCTTCCAGTTACAAGTCTATCTCTATCCACTGGACCAGACAGGCTTTCAGTGTATATTACTATCATGATGAGGTGGAGGAGGAGGATTCATTAAATTTCTATACTGCCCTTCCTCCAAGGATGACGAAGCAATTTAAAATATAAAAACACATAACATAGTAACAATCAAAAATAACCACCATGAGATGCTCTGTACAGCATCTGTTAGATGTTCTGTTAGAAACCATTTGCCACCTCTTTGTTTACTGGAGAATTTCCTTTAATCATCTGTCTTGAAGACACAAAAAAAGGGAAAAAAAGGGGGGGAACCAAAGATTCATTATAAAGCAGCTGGAACTGCCCCTTATAAGTCTCTTCTATCAATGACAAATACAGAAAAACTACAAACCACCACAGCAAAGGTACAAAGCCCTTCAAGTCATCTAGAACCTGCCCAAGGACACCAAATATTCTCAACAGAGTTTAAGAGAATTGTGAGCTCGGACATTCTGACAGGAACAAAGGAACAAGAGAGCAGGAGTGACATGGAAGAGACAGCTCTCAAGAAAGAACAAGCAAGGCAGGTTATTCTTCTCAGAAAAAGCAAGCGGAAGATATCCAGATCTTTCTCTTTGGGGAAAATAATTTGACTTGTGGTGTCCAGTCCTGTATCTCTGCCGTAGCTTAACTATATTTAACTGCAAGACCTCTGCACCTCTTCCCCTGCAGAGAGAGAAGCAGTAAATCTCTACTATCTCTGCTCAATCAAGGGTGAAGATCTGACCTATTTCCTTGCCAAGTTCCCTTATCAGGTACAGGCTGCTCATTTAACCCATTCTTTTCCACACCAGAAGCAGCATGTACTTTAAGGAATGCAAGCCACTCTTAGTATTTATTCATTCATGTGTGTCCTGCTCTTCAGCCCAGTGTCTCAGAGAGCAGCTCATACAAAACCAATCTGCAACAAAACAGTCCTTGCCCACAAGCTAACAAAACAGTGCTCGCCAACCGGGGGGGCATATGCCTCCCTGGGGGCCCCCATGATATTCCAGAAATTGGATAAATGGGGGGCCACGGCATGAGACTAGGGAGCTACAGAGGGAAGTGAGAAGTGATAAAAACAGAGAAGTGACTGAGAAAAGAAAACAAAGATGTAGAGTGAACAGAGAAGTGACTGTGCTTCCCAATGGATGGAGCACCACGCACACTCTGCGGCAACATTGCTTCCGTTTCCTTTTCCCTCCCACTTCCGCACACCAATGCTGCGCGGCTGCAGCAGTGCTAAGTGTGCGGGGTGCTGTCTCTTCATGCAAGTATTACTGCACAAAGAGATACGTTGCTGAATGCAAGAGTTACATAGCCTCACGCAAAACCACCTTCATATAATGGTCAGAGGTGATCTTTGGGTTATTCCTCACAGCAATAGAGCCTGATATAAAAAACCTTGTTTCTGGTCATCAAGCACAAGGGTAACACTGATCGAGAAATACTTATATTTTTTAATGTAATTCTTTTTGTATAAATGATAAGAATTATAAATAAAATACATTCTATTTACAAACAAAACACTTAAATAGGAAGGAGCTGACCTTTCAGCAAAGCTATCGGCATGAACCCCATAGACTTTCCCACACCCACACTTTCCAGACTCTTGAACTTAATGCCTTTTATGTCACCTGGTATGTCTCTGCATGCTCCACTAATGAAAACAGGTAGCTGCTTGCTAGTCAGGGTGACCCTGCAAGGGCACATTTTTCATTCCAAACCTGCTTCAGGAGTCAGTCCAACATGCCATCCCTGTGCCGCACGGGATGTGGTGCTTTTCCAAGTCAGAGACCAACAGGTCCACAAACATCAAGTCATGGTGGAATAAGAGCTTGTCTATTTCTCCTTTCTGAACCAGCAGGTGCTTTAAGGGTAGCCTACACTGCAAAAAGCTGACCTGATTTTGCCTTCCTGTAGAGAACTAATCCTGTGAATTGGTCGATTTCTCTCACCCTTTTTAAAAAAGCAAGTTATTTTTGTGACAAAAGTGCAAGGCCTGGTCTGCTGACTACTGAATTCAGTGAAATGACCTCTTCTTCCCATCCCACACTGGATATTTAAGGAGTATCATCTTACTTTCTGGGTAAAATGATGGGTACTTTTGAAATTCAGGCACCTTCTCCATTATGGAAGATTGTAACATTGCAAACTATCAATAGTTATGCAACACTTACGTATACAGATTGTCCTTTATGAGAACTGTACCAGCACTTGCAATAATAGGTTCTTTTTCCTTTTTCAGCAGAGATCTGATCTGCCTTCCTAAATCATATCCTTTCAGCCAAATTTCTTATTTTGAAGTACATGGAATCTTTTCAACGCACATTGTACAAAGATCTGGTAAAGTTCAACACTCCAAAGCTATCCTGGCAGATCTATTTTCCTAGTCAAGGGGATATAGGAGGACATCCCTTTCCCTTGTGCTGCTGGAACTGTACAGCTAAACATTCACAGGCTAGATTTATCTTCCTGTCCCTATGTGGCAGCAAGATGAAGACAAAGCTCCAAAACCCAGTTATGTCCAGCGATAAATCAAAACGAAGAGAGGGTGATAGTCTGTAACAGATAGCTCCTGATAGACCAGGAGGGAAGCTGGGTTTTGTGGGCATATGTGAAGCTTCACGCATCTGTATTCATGTAACAAAGGCAATGAGGATAAATACAACAACTCAAATGCTCTGGTAGTCTAAAGCAGAAGGGGAACCTCAGACCTGGAAGCCCTCCAGTTCTCTCTTATCTGGCTTCTGGGTTTCTCAAGGCCACACCTCACCAGCCCTGTTTTATACCTTCCTTGAGTGTTTTCCTGGTTGAAATCCTGAAACTTTGATAATGTCTCTTGCCTGCCTGGATAGAGATGGTGTGTGCGCTTACCATTAATGTTCAAATTAATTGCTCCATCCACTTCTGTCTCTGGTCATTATCTGCCACTGCGGCTCCTAGAAGGGAATATGGCCCGCAGGCTGAAAGGGGTTCCACATTCCTATTCTGTGCCACATGGAAAAGTGTTGAGGGGGTCTCAAACCAAGGTTTCCAACAGCCAGTGTTCCAATGCCTTTTACTCCTTTATCCTCAACAATTCTGCAGTGTCAAAGCTAGTGTCTTACTGCCTGAGCCAGCTCCCACTCCTGCCTTGGGTTCTGAATTTTTGTTAATGGAAATGTTTGTAAGCTGGAGTCATGAAGGATCTGGTATATGCTGGCAAGCAGCTTTGTCTTGCTTGCTTGCAACCTACCCAGTCACAGAGAAAGGGAGGGTGAAAAGCAGCACCACTGCTGCTGATACCTATACCTAAAAAACAAAAAATAGACAGGCCAAAGAGAAGAGTGAAGAACCAGGAGCGGAAATGGAGTGACCGGGGGGGGGGAGGCATTGGAAGACCCTCTCAGAACTGGTGGTGCCTCCAATAATGTCAACTGTCTCTCCAAGTCAATTAGGTCCCACCAAGCCCCCAAAAGCCCTTGCAGACTTGTCAGTACAAGCTGCCTGTCTAGGCCTCTGGTCTCCTGATCATAACTTGTTTGCCTTTGGCCCTTCAACCCCTGGAATTCTTCTTTCTGCCTGGCTCAAACTCCACATTTGCCTCAGACCCTACTATCCTTGATCTGATGCCTGAGACAAAGCCCATCTGCAGCCCACCTCAGAGTCAGGGAAAGGCCCGACACATACTATTATTAAATATGACGTCTTCATGTAGTTGTTTTTTAAAAAAGGAGCTACAAAGAAGTCACAGTCTAAGGTAGTAGTCAGGAAAAGAAAGCCATTGTTTCCTGCTCAAGGTGCTCTAAAAGCATGTTCTAAAAGAAGATATGCCTGCACAATATGACCAGGCTTGTAACACATGAGAGCAGCAAAGAAGGCACATAATGTCTTTTTCTTCCCTGCCCCTCTCCTAGAACAAAGAGAAAATCTGAAGGGGAACTCAAGAGTGATGAGACTCCCTCTTGCAAGACCTGCTGTGAGGAAAACAAATGCTGTCTGCCCAACTTGACCCAGAAGATGTTGATTTTAGAGAAGTGGACAACTCTGCTACAGGGAACTGTTCTTCTGGCCAGATGTGGAATGAATATGTATGAGCCTATATCTAAACATTGGTACTTAGGGAAAGCCTGGAAGCCTGGGGATATTAAAAATTCCATTTGTGGCAGAAAGATAAGGACACGGATCTCCACAGGGAACACGGAAAAGTTAGTTTAGCCTTCCCAAGCTCATCAGGTATTGTTTGACAGAAAGTGTGAAGTTTTTCGGAATGAGTGCTCCTGTCACACATAAAGCAAGTGTAGGCCAACAGAGGCTTCAGACCACCAAGAAGAACTCAACAGGGACTGAAACGTTAAGTTTTTCTATGGAGTCTTGCACTGGTCACTACTAGATCATTCTGCCTTCAGGCTAATTGTTTGTTCTTATGCTGACAATTGTTGGAGGATGTTTATACTTTTGGGTTATCTGTCCTGGTTTGTGAAACCTCATTCAAAGCTATACCTAAATATCATCAAATGGCATTCCTATACAATTATGTTCCATTTTCATAAAAGTAATGTTCATGTTACTTGCGGAGCTAAAATGTGTTGGCTCTTGTTCTGCTGATCTGGAATCTAGCAGTTATTCTGGGCAATGTGACGATATCTAATTGTTTCAAAGCTGACTTTCAATTCTAAGCATTATTGGTCAAGCACATCAAGCAACGTTTCAGCAACTGTGGATAACTATGCTAGGTTATCCGCAAGGCAACAAAGTCAAGAGCAATTTTATATGACTGTATCTGCGACTGGACTTAACTGTCAGGGGTCCTTTACCTTTACCTTTTTATATACACTCTCAGACAGAAATGGAAAAGGATCTTGTGGCACTTTAAGGACTAACACATTTGGTCCAGACTACAGTTCACATCATCAAGAGTTATCCTGACTTCCACACATGGTTGGTGAGGGAATTACCAACATTGAGGTCAGAGGGAAAAGAAATGCAGAAAAGGACAGTGATAATTACATAATTTACTATGAACACCCACAAACCAGTTATTGATAACATAAACATATTGACACTACTAAGCCTTAATACGTGTACTGTGATAAAAATCATTTGTCTCAATTCAATTCATAATAAATCTCTTAATATGCTATAATTCACCTATGGACTGAATCAAGATAAAGGATATTTAACTTGCTGACAAAAGCAAAGATTTTATATTGTGATATGTTAAGGTCTACAGTTAATTAAACACGGTAGAATTCAACATCCTGCTTTTACAATCTTTCTGTATATGCAAGCATTACAGTTTGCCAGATACCACTACTTCTCCCCCATATGTGCTGTTCTGAGGGTTCTCTCAACCCCCACAGAGCCAATTTTGGGGGTTGCATGAAAGGAGGAAAAGAAGTACTGTTGCACAAGTGGAAGAATCCTGTCCATAATCATTACTATTTATTTCCCTCCATCCTCACTGTTAACACTTCCCACCATCACCATGTGTATAAGTACCTCTAACTCTTTTCATGTGCCACAAAGCTCTTAGTTGGTTCTGCTGCAACAGAGTAATAAAAGACTACTACTCTGGAAATTCTTGGCCAGAACAGCTCTCTAATTGCATGCAACAGGAGGTATACACAGAACAGGAGGTGTAAATTGAGGTCTCCCATTTCCCAGCAACTCAGTTATTCTACCTTCCCCAGAACCATACATATTCTTTAAGCTCAAAGCCTTGAGCAACACTGATCAAATGCCACTAGAAGGCATGAATGACACTTTCAGTTTTCACTTCTCCAAGTAATGCAGAGCAGATGAGAGCATGAAATTCCACCGCACCATCTTGACAGAATAGGAGGTGCCCATAGTCCATGCCTACCCTAAATCCACTTAGAACTATTTGTTTAAGCAAGCACTGTGTCAAGAGTTTTGACACATTTCTGGCAGAGCTATCCATCAGTCCTAGCTGATGGCGTGACAGAACTTTCCTCCCAAAGCGGAGAATCAATACGCCAGCGCATAATGATAATGAATCACCCTCTTGCAGTACATGCCTCTTGCTTTGTTCCTCATCGAAAAAGTATCAGGATAGACTCTTAGGAGGAGGAAGCACCAGGAGGAAAACAGGAGGAGGAAGAGGAGAGGATATTGCAGTCCCTCTGAAGGTGGGAAATGCCCTTAGGAGAGGGTTCAGGGGCAGATTCTTCCTCTCACAGTTGCACATGCTCCTAGACAGTTGTTGTCAAGATCCCTTAGTACAGTAGTACCTCGGGTTAAGTACTTAATTCGTTCCAGAGGTCCGTTCGTAACCTGAAACAGTTCTTAACCTGAAGCACCACTTTAGCTAATGGGGCCTCCTGTTGCCGCAGCGCCGCCAGAGCACGATTTCTGTTCTCATCCTGAAGCAAAGTTCTTAACCCAAGGTACTATTTCTAGGTTAGCGGAGTCTGTAACCTGAAGCGTATGTAACCTGAGGTACCACTGTATAAGCAAAGGCTTGCAAAATGTTAGGGTGATGGCCTAGAGACCCAGCAAAACACTGGCACTGAGAGGTTCTGAGGTAAGATTCAAGAGAAAAGCAAACAGAGGGTAAATGATGGACAATACTGAAACACTAGTATTAGTCTAACACCAAGATTAAAAAAGAAGTATCTTGTAAGCCACATTGACTTCTGTTCCCCTTAATTTCAAGTAATCATGTCTTTGATCAACTTTTTTAAAGTTTCCAGAAGGAACAGGAAAAACAATAGTCTTGTGGCACCTTAAAGACTAACAAATTCATTATGGTGCAACTTTCATGGAGTAGAGTTCACTTAATTTGATGCATGATTATGTTTTTTGTTTTAAGTTATTTAACAATTCTCCTGCAGGTGGCATCATCTTCTTCACATTTATTTGAGCCATAGGCTTCATTCTATGCAAGCTTTCATAAAATTTATTACATATTCCAGTACACAACAGTGGCAAGAATAACAAACTATAAGAACTGCAATGTCTGAAATACATCATTAATATATCACTCTTAGGAACAAGAACTCAACAGAAATGACAAAGAAGTTCAGAATGTGAGCAGGCTCTGGAAAAAAAGTGTCCCCAAAAGAGGACACAGGAGCAATGTGGAGGGTCAGCCTGTAAGGAGATAGAAGACCAAGCAAGATATAGGGAGGCATTATAGTCTTATAAAAAAAAGACTGCAGGCACCTAGTCAGCAAAATGGGAATGCTGTTTTGCCTAATTTATTCTCATCTAGTAGACAGCAAAACTTCACAATCTGGGGGCACTAGCACAACTATGTACTTGCTACGCTGCTCAATTTCAACTAAATGTACTTTATGAAATTCACTTATGTCACCCCATGAGAAAAAGGATGATATCCCTCAAACTGAGTATGACAGAATACTGTGCATTTAGGTGGTAAAGATGTGAAAGTACTGGGAAAGGTCCCACACTGCTGTAGCAGCTAGAAATGTTTTTTAAGCTTAAGAACAAGGTGAAAGTTACTTTAAACAGCATAACTTTAAACTTTTTCCTACATTTATGCACCGTTTTGAGCTATGGCAGTGCAGGTGCCCTGCCTCATTGTTGTTGCTTTAGTTTTCTGGCTCAGAGGTATTTTTATAAGTACACTTCACAATGCCTTGCTCTGAGAAAGGCTCCTTGGGCCTTTCCTCAGGTGCTAGAGCAAGAGAGGAGGAGGGTGCAGGTGTTGGAGAGGCTCAGTGTGCAGCTGGGTGAATGGTAGTGGCAGAGGCAGCAATAATGAGAGTGGAGAAATATGAGAGTGGAGCAACAATGAGGCATGGGAGCAACAGTCCATGCTTGTTAACCTAACCACATGTGCCTGCTGCCTGAGACAATGGTTTCAATGTGCCTCATTATAGCACCAGCTCTGCCAATGTATATTTGGACAGAACTTGGGCATGTCATGAACAAGATGTAAATCTTACATATCAAGAAAACTTCTCGAATTTGGTGGGTCTAGTATCCAATGAAGCACCACAATTTCCTAGAACTGCCTGGGCAACGAAATACTCTACTACAGATATTAAGGCATGTTGGGTTACTCCTCCTTTAAAAATAAAAAATAAAAAAAAATATTACTTTTCCAAAAATTTAAACACTAAAAAGACAATACAATGCAATACATTAAACTAGCAAAACAAAACAATAAAATAAATCAAACAATTTCATTATCCCATCTTTCATTCACTTATTTCCACGACCTCCTCACACCTCCCTTTTTGTATTCCACTTCTGTTAATTATTTCAGCAATTCCTTTCCATCTTCCTCTGTTTTCTATCCTATAATTATCTTAACTCATTCTAACCTTATTTTTTCCTTAATACTCTATTAATCTATTTGTACTTAATTCCTTATAACGTTTCTACTAAAGCCATATAAGTTCATTCCAACGTTTTTCTAACATTCATTAATTTTACAGTATTTCTGTAAATAGTCTTTAAATTTTTTCCAGTCTTCTTCCACCGACTCTTCTCCCTGGTCTCGGATTCTGCCAGTCATTTCCGCCAGTTCCATAGGGTTACTCCTCCTTTCTACCCTGGATGTAGCACGAAACTGAAATAAACAGTTGCTCTGAATGCCACAGCTAAACATAACTGAAGTGGCCTATGCAAATGGCACAACTTTCTCTTCCAGTCTGGGGGGGGGGGGGAACGCTCTTCTTAAACACTCATTTTATCTAGCAAGATCTTCAACAGCCAGATAAAGCACTCTATATCATTCTTGATTTTTTATCTGAAACTAACAAGGGACTAAGACTCAAAATGGCACCACTTTACCTCACCCCTCACCCCCAACAGACGGTGCTGAAAACTAGTTCTTCAGCAGATGTTTCACAAAGAGATGAGATTGTGGAGAAGCATGGTATTTCAACTTTGTCGTTGTAAATATATTTTCTTCTCCCTTCTAAGTGCATTATTTATCCACTATACAGCTGTTCTTGTCCTCCCTCAAAAGAAACAAAGAAAATGCACACGTACAAACTTGGTGAGATAAGGACGTCACTTGAATACCCTTAAAACAAACATGAAATGGCTTGTGGCTCAGAATTTTACCCATCCTACCTGTACAGTGTGTAAAACAGACTCGAAAGAGCAAGAAGTCTGAATGAGCCTATCATAAACTGTCACAGTAAGCTCAGCCTTTTATCAGAAGAAGAGTGCCTGTCTAGAGGGGAAGGATGCTGACATACTAATCTCACTGCAGGAGACTGGAAATAGCAAGAGTTTTTAAACCTCTGTACAAGCCGTGGCTCTAAAAAATTGAAGTATTCCCCCAGTCCCCTTTCCCAATTAGCAATTATCAAATTTTAGGAGTGGGAACAAAACTAGTTCAGAGATGGAATCTCTGGATGAATTTACATTTTAATTTAAAAACAGCAGCAGGACAGCCATACTACTGTATGGAATTATGAATCTATGCAGCAGCTCAGAAAAAGAGGGTTCTTTTGTTTTGTTTTGGCTAATTGCTCATCTTAGAGAAGGCAAATGGTAACAGATGAACCACCACAGAAGAAAATCACATGCATTTTAGGTATTTATTCTAAGTAAGAATTGAGCAACACTAGAGAGAGGCTCTCTGGAAATGGAGAACTAATTTCTTTCACTTGTGTAGCAAACTAATGCATCATATGCTTTACCATATTTTTCGCTCTATAGGACGCACTTTTTCCCCTCCAAAAATGAAGGGGAAATGTGTGTGCATGCTATGGAGCGAATGCAGGCTTCAGGCAGCTATCCGCAAGCCTTCGGAGCACAGCTGCGCTCGGAAGGCTTGCGGATAGCTGCCTGTTCTGGGGGCTGGGGTCGGGGGAAGCTTGGGCTTCCCCCGTCCCCAGCCCCGCGGCTAAAAACGAAGACAAGGATCCCGCTCGCTGCCTTGGCTTCTTTGCTCTTTGGGGCTGGGGAGGGGAATACATTTTTTTTCTTTATTTCCCCCCCTAAAAACTAGGTGCGCCCTATGGTCCGGTGTGCCTTATGGAGCGAAAAATACGGTAAATAAAACAAAAAAAGGAGCAGCTCACTGGATCTTCTCAAGATCAGGGGAAATGAACACATCATTAAGTGACTATCCAAAGTTCAAACCTAGAAGCATCACACTCAGTGTTGCTTGGGAATTCTAAGAAAACAAAAAATCAGTACAGTTTTGAAACCAGTGGTTAAAATCAGGACAGTCCTGCTCGGCGGGCACCCTTAGCGCCCCCCCAACCCGCAAAGGGACCCACTAACGGGCTCCGAAGCGAAGAGGGGGAAGAGGCGCGGTGCTGTGAGTCAATTGCTTTTTCTGTGGAGCGAAGCCGCATAGCCGTTGCCGGAGAGCGCTGCCTTTTTCCTGGGACAATTTGGCATCTAAAATAACGAACCGTGAGTACTGGAACATTGAACATTTGGACTTTAAATAAGAACTGGCGAAATAGAAAGGAATTTGGACTTAAAAATTCACCTTAATTTGGTATTGAAATGGGAAGGTTTAAACAGGAAGTCAGCCTTCCGTTTCCTTGTAACCAGAATAAAGCAAAGACAACGCAAACTAGAGCTTTAAAAATCACTTTCAAAGGATTGGCTTTCATCATTTAAAATCGCTGAACCCCCCTTCGGTAGCAGGAGAAGAAGGGGGATCTTCTTTTTTTGGGGTTGTTTAAACCCGCAGAAGTGAGTTTAAAGCAAAGTAATTTTCCACCGTCCTGATCCTGGAGCGGGGTGTCAGAATGGACGTTTGAAGCTCACTGACCAGAAACAAATGTCTTTGACACATAGTTAGAAGAAGAGAAACATAGTGATTCCATTGTTTCCTTTCGCATTTTAAAAGAACAAATATGGACAAAATATCTTAAAAAAGCAACTTTGTTGCTATTGTTTTTAAAAGAAAGAACAACCAGAAGTTTTTCCCCCTACAGGGGGACTGTGAAATTGTAACTAATCCCTGGGAGCTTACAGCTGTCACTGATTACAACCGTGGGAAAGGATCTGTGACCTTGCAGGACAATGTCTTCAGAAGCACTGTTGGGTGCTCTCTGCAAAATAAATGCCCTATTGGATCAGTTAAGCCAGAAGACGGATTTGATGACTAATGCGGCCAGAACCTTTGAACAGGTAGTGGGAAATTATATGGAGCCCACCCAGGAACTAAAACAGGAGCGCGCCATGACAGAACAGTTGAGAGAAGAGGATGCTGCTGAATCTTGGGCGCCAGAGACGGAGGGAGCTGCGGCCCAGCAGGAATATAAATTTTTGGATTTGACAAATGAACTTGGAAAAAACCAGACTTGGAAAGATAAAGTCTGGTTTGGTTTGGAAATGGGGGGTTGGACAGACCCCCCTATACAGGGAGATTTGGACTTTTCGAGTCTGGAAATGGGCCGTCAGATGTCTGGAGCTGTGGGGGCTCTCAATTTTGGAGGGAATCTGGAACATGTTTTTAAATACCACATGGAGTCTAGTCTGGACTATGGAAAAGGGGCTGTTTTGTTGAAAAGGGTCAAAAACATTATCAAGCTGGAGTTCCCACGAATGAAAGGAAAATATGAAGAAGAGTTGCGGAAGGGACATGGAAGAGACTTGAGGGCCTCGGATATAAGATTACCAGGTTAATGTGCCAGATTAATAGGATAAAAAGGACTGACAAAACCCGGGACCAGGAGGAAGGGACGCTGGATGAAGATTTGATTATCTCTTTTATTTTTATTATTAGGATTGTTCTATAAAATTGATGAATGTTAGGAAAATGTTGAAATGAAATTATTTGGCTCTTGTAAAAATGTCTACAGAATTAAGTAAGAATGTTATGGTTAGGAGAAGTTGGTAAAAATAAGATTTAAGTTTTTAACTTTAAGGTTTTTCATAAGATAAGATGAAAATAGATTAAGGTAATGTAATGACAGAATACTATGAATTATGGAAAGGATTTGCTGCGATTATTATAAATCAGGATACAAGAAAAGGGAGGAGGAGGAGGTCAAAGAAAGACGGTATTGAAAGTGGAGAATTTGAGAATGATGGTTTTATTTTATTTTTTTTCTGTCTTGTCTTTTCTTTTGTGTAATCTTAAAATTTCCCCCCCCAATAAATATCATTAAAAAAAATAAAAAATAAAATCAGGACAGTCCTGAAAGGTTTATTCTACCATCTTATTTCAAAATGGTGTTCAACTGTATCCATAAAGACAAAAACCTCTTGATGTCAGGAACCACCATGCAAAATTGGGTTATAATACCCAGTTTTCATTCTTATCCCAAGTTCAAGCACCACTACTGTCTAAAACATTTATCAACAGATTATATAAATTGTTAAATGTGTACAAATAATGGGAACCGTACTGCAGAAAGGGCCTCTTTTGAAAACCATTCCACATGCTACTTCTCCATCAGAGGCACCGCTTAATCTGAGCATTTTTTCCAGTTGTGTGTATGTAGGGAACCTGCCACTAGTATTGATTTCCTAATCTATCCACTAGTGAAGCAAGGCATACTGTATCGACACAACCATTTTCTTAAAAATAACTTTCCAAAATTTAATGGAAAGCAATTGAATGAGAGTTCAAAGGATGAAAAGAAAAAACATGCATAGATGTGCAAAGCAGAACTCTCCAGTTTTATTGTCAGTTTTTCTGCAGTGTTTCTATAGGACCTAGATGCACCTACCTTTGAATAAATATACCGTATTTTTCGCCCTATAGGACGCACCAGCCCATAGGATGCACCTAGATTTTGGGGGGGAAATAAAGGGGGGAAAATTATTTCCCCCCCCCCAGGCGCGGGGCTGGGGTGGGGGAAGCCCGAGCTTCCCCCGCCCCCAGCCCCCAGAACAGGTCAGAGAGCGATGGTGATGGTGCGCACACGTTCGCCATCGCTCTGGGAGCTTGCACGGCTGGGGGTGGGGGAAGCCCGAGCTTCCCCCGATCCCAGCCCCCAGAACGGGTCCCAGAGCGATGGCGAAGCTGCGCGCAGCTTTGGCATCGCTCTGGGAGCTTGCCGGGCTGGGGGGATAGCTTCCTGAAGCCTGGAGAGCAAGAGGGGTCGGTGCGCGCCGACCCCTCTTGCTCTCCAGGCTTCAGCGAAAGCCTGCATTCGCCCCATAGGACGCACACACATTTCCCCTTCATTTTTGGAGGGGAAAAAGTGCGTCCTATAGGGCGAAAAATACGGTACCTACAATTGTTCAAAGGGACTTACTCCCAAGTAAGTGGGCAAAAGATTTCAGCCTCCATCTTCTGTGTGGTCTTATCAGTTAGAAGAGCAGAAATCCAGGCACTACCTTTCCAAAGTGTTTGTGACAGTCCATGGAAGAAGACTGCACAAAGGACTAACATGCTAATTTTCCTGAAATGAGTAAATTTGAGGGCACCACTGAAAGAAAACATAGACTGAGAAACTGAAAGCAAGCACTCTGGGGAATTTGCAGAAGGTATAATTATTAAAATATAACAACATTCAATAATAGCAGATATAGCATCTGTAACAAACTGAACAAAACCTGCTCCTGACTGAGGGCTAGCTGGGTAAACTCTTCAGCATTGGCTCTGCAGCCTGCTAGGAGTCTCATACTGTAACAAGTTGCAATTAAATGCCTTAGCTGCTAACAAAGTCAATGTTTAATGATGAATTCTTCCACACTGTTGTGTTTTTCCCATGATCTCTAGCCCTTAATATATGCTTCTCAACACATGCAGTACAAACTAATTGATTAACCAATTAAACATTCTACAACGCTGCATGGAAAAAATGAGGCACTGCATGCCGGGCTCTAGGCCAAGGGTGGCTAAACTATGGCCCCCCAATGTTGCTGAACCATAATTCCTGGTCATAAACTGACTGGGGTTGCTGTGAGTTGCAGCTCAACCACATCTGGAAAGCCACAGCTTTGCCACCAGTGTGTAAGATGACCTATCCATTGTATTTGTTGTGAAGATCAGAAAAGTATGTGCCATGATATCCTATCATCATGTATACCTGAAGTTGCTCTGAGCATCAAAGAAGGATTTGTGTGATGGTGGCAGCCTGAAAAGTATGTTTCAGATAACTACTTTTAGAATACCATTATACATAGTTCACAGTAGATCTAGGCGGCATGTCGTTTACACAAAAAACAGGATGAGCAACAGATCATACTCTGCCCTCTCAATATGATTTTTGAAAGGAAGGGGTTGTAAAAGAACTAATATAAGCTACTGCCTGTCAGCTATTTTTCAGCATGTCAGTTCATCACAAAATTAACATGAAGCCTCAGACAGAGGATTGTTGTTAAGTTAAAACTGAACAGAGGCAAGATCCACTGCTTTCCAGGTGCATTTGAAGCAACTGGTTTTACCTACAAAGCCCTAAATGGTTTGGGGCTAGGATATCTCAAGAACTGCTTCCTCCCATAATAACTCACTTGTCACCTGCGGCCATCATCGGAAGCCCTATTGCTTGATCTGTTGAGAGAGACATGTCTTGCAGTGATAGGAGACAGAGCTTCTTCAGTGGCAGCACTGTGGTTATGAAACTCTGAGACAGGTTTACTTGTCCCCATCTTTACTGGTTTGTAGGGAGGTGGTGGTTATTTTTATCCAAACAAGCTGTGGGAGTTTGTTGTTGTTGTTATATCTTCCTCTCTTGAGGCTGCTTTTTAAATAAGTGGTGGGGCTAAAATTTTCCTGTTCACAGTTTTAGAAGGCCGCTTGAAGGCTAAAAAATAGTATATATATTTTTTGTAAATACATAAATCCCCAGTCATACAGGAAGTATTGTTATCCAACTACCCACTGAGAAATCTACACAGAGAGCAATTTGGCAATAATTTCCATGTAACATTTGTTCTTACAGTAAGCAACAGTATATCTTATTGCCAAATCTGTCTACACCATTGCAACCTACACACATTACTTTCCGACCTTCCTTCTTTGACACAGCCTTCTTTTTTAATGAAAGCCCTTTAAGCATTAATTTTGGGAAAAACACACTACCAGCAAGAATATACAACCTTCATAAGAAAAATAAAAATTGTGCTGTTGTCTGGCAAAAAGGAATAAAATCACACTGCATAAGTAGTTCCCTCCAGCTTATGAAGCAGAAATGAAACAGAATAATAGACAAGCACAGAAGACCAAGCTCAATATAGGCAAAATACAACTTCACCTTTATGTGTTCCAGGTCTTAAGAATGGCTTTATTAAGATCTGATCAAGAGTTGATCTATCCAGTCTAAAAATGCAGTCGGCTCAGGTTGGTGGATGATAGCACAGGCAATGAATAGAAAACTCCCGTGCGATCATTCATTCACAGATATTCCTGGGAGCAGATGTTACCCCAAACCAAACCAGTTTACTGAGGCTGCATGCAGCCTCCATGGCTGTTTGTCATGCACATGTGCACACACAAAGAGGCAACACTGGAACTAGTTTAGACCAGCCATGTGGTCAGGTTCATCTGGGAGCAGATTCATAATTGGGACATCTTGGCTCTGAGACCAGATAATATCCAGCAATCCAACCAAGACTCTGTCCTATTGTCTGGGCCATATTAGCTTAAAATAACTGTGCGCGTACACACACACACACAACCCCATCAAGGTCCAACAGAAAGGTTCAGGTACCTCACTTAGCTTCCCAAGGCAGTTGCGGAGATGGGAGGGAAAGTTGAACTGAAGGAGTAGAAGAGCAACAGGGAAGTTAGAGAGGTAAGAGACCATTTAAATAAGTTTTAGCAGTAACAAGCACACACTGAATGAATTGGTGGACTAGATATTTGGGAATCTTAACTATGGCCATTTGTGGGCATTGGAGCTGACAATGGGATTCAACTAAAAGGAAACAAATTTGGAGGACAATGAAGTTATTTTGGAGGACAAGCACTATACAATAAGGATGCGTGAATTAATCTGGATGTGTGGTAAAGCAGCTGGAGAGACAAAGAGCAAAAGGACCTCATTGATTACTCAATGAACAGTGGGTTAGAAATTCTTTCAATAAAATAAACAATAATTATTAAAGTGGGAAACAGATTAACAGAGAAGTGCTAGAAGAACTTTTTAATGAATATTAAGTACAAGTTATATCTTTTATCAATGTTTATGGTCAGATTATTTAATAATTAACTAGGCATGTTAATAAATGTGTTCAGTTTGTATTTTAATGCAAACCTACCTGATTTGCACTTCTTGAACCAATGCATGAGGTGAAACACAACTATTTATTGAATTCTGTGATCCAGTAATACATTCATCACTGCTGCCTTGGGATCATCTCTGAGCAAAAAGCTACATTAGCTTATCTGAAACTCTTTAAGATCTTGACACCATTTTCTGTGCTAAGAAGAGCCAATTTACATAACATTATTTCAGTTTTATGAAGTGACACAAATTCTATTACGTATATATAGTTGAATGACACATTTGCTTCTTATACACAGATCTGCTTCTGCTAGTAATGGAGCAAAGTAAGGCATTGATTTAGCGTTCGACCGCTGGTAATCTTATGCAACCACTCCTTCCGACTTCTAACACATCGCCAGGCATTGTCTGCAAGCTTTCGCACATACTGCTTTAGCTAACAGCAATATAACAGGGCCATAGCTAGGCTTATTTTCAATAATTCTATTAACGCACTTGCCAGAGTGGCAGAATTACTGAGGCTAGAATGTGTTTTAATATGAAAACAAGATAAGCATTTTGAAAATCTTTTTTAAATGAATGCATGAAGAGGGATCCCTAGAGGAGTCAATATGGATCCAGGCATCTGCATTGAGAGGCGCTTTTATCTGGAGCTTGCTCCACTTCAGGTAATGTGTCCCAGTGCCCTTCTTCCTCTTATTTGTTATGACAAGGAGTTTGCTACATCATGCCAGCCTTTGTTTCCAGACCATGCCCAAAAGGCTAACAGATTCTACCCCAGCTGTCGGGAGATGCTGACTTTATCACACTTGTATTCTGAAGCCCTAGGTGATTTCAAATATTTCTTATGCCATATTGTTGGCCTGATGTTTCAGTAGCTGGCTGTCTTCAAAACAAAGGGACTGTGTTCACTACCACTGAAAAACGCAGGTCCCCAAGATGATCTTCATATGTAGAATTGTTGTCAAGATCACTCTGCTCTATGGTCATCTTAATTTAGCATACACCTGAAGCAGAACAGACTAATGTCCGCCAGCCTGAATGAAACCACTGAGCACAGCAAGGCAACTCCTGTGCCAGGCATACTGTGTGTCAGATTTTAAAAATCATAGTTTACTAAGGTGAGTCGGCTCCCTCAAATTTATTGCTCCATTATAAAGAGATTCTGGTCTCTGATTTGCCAAGTTCATTGTGCCACAAAGAGAATTAACCAAACTAAGTAGAGAGAGAAGGCTACAGTGTAATGTACTCCTGTAAGTAGCAGAAACAAAAAAACAGATGCATGCCTGTTAACAGTACAAAATACTAATTAGGATCTGTCTGCCTAACACAAAGAGTTTGGCATGAAAGCTCAAGGGTGCTTCCAGAAACACCTTTGGCACCACTGCCTTGTAATGAGCCAGGAAATGCTATCTGTGCTCTTGAGTCCAAGTGGATGGAGTCTGCAAAACAGGGGTGGGGAGGCGAGTTCATTTGCTTCAGTTAAGGCCAGTGAGAGAGTTGTTAACAGCAAATAACTCTGTTTCCAAGCTGAGAAAGGATTGCTCTTCAAACTCATATTACCACTTAATAAGATCGCCATTTGCTCCAATGAGCATGGAATTCGCAACGCTTGTGTGTGCTCAGACAATAACAGGAAGATATTAGGTGCTGGTAAGAATCTGAACCCACTGCTGCCCTGCATAAACAGATACTGCCCTGGATGACAACAGCTCTGACTTTTCAATAAGATCACTAAGCTCTTATTTTCCTTCTTCTCTCGAAAAAAATTCACTGAAAATCATATGCACTGAATAGTCAGTAAGGCATTGCCATAGTCATTAAATTTTACCTGGGGGCAGCTTATCTTCCACTGGCCCTGAACAGGAATTAAACTAATGAACAGGTTTCTCCCTACATTGTGCCCAAACTGTTCTCACCTTTCTCATCTTCACCAAGCACTCAGAGGCAAAGCCTGGCTTGTGTACTAAGGTTTCATTATCTTACAACTTCAGGAAAGACAGTTGTCAGGTTTTCAAAGAGACAGGATGAGATCAGCATGATATATTTACACACTACACAGAGTGAAAGTTGAGTGATCAGCCCTGGATCAGTGACATGAGAAGGAATTACGTTTTCATTCCTAATACCACTTAATGAGATCACCATTTCCAGCAAGGAAGCCAGAGCCTACAAAGATTTTATATGGTCAGGATAAAAATGGTGTGATAAGGACAGTGAAGGCTGGTTCATTAGGGCTACTGGGGCACAGCCCTCCCACTGAGTATGTCAAGGAGTTTTAAAACATTTCCTCCCCCAAATCTCAAATCCACACACACTTTCCTGTTCCCCACACATTTTATGCCTCCTTGGACTTAGAGGCATTTCTGCCAATCTCCTGTTCTCTGGCCAATCAGCTTTCTGCATCACTCAGCCAATCCTAAACCCGAATACAGCTATGGCAAAGAGGTCCCTCCCATGGATCTCTAAGCAACAAAACCAGGGGTCAGCAAACTTTTTCAGCAGGGGGCCAGTCCACTGTCCTTCAGACTATATTTTGAAAAAAAAAATATGAACGAGTTCCTACGCCCCACAAATAACCCAGAGATGCATTTTAAATAAAAGCACACATTCTGCTCATGTAAAAACATGCTGATTCCTCGACCGTCCGTGGGCCAGATTTATAAGGTGATTGGGCCGAATCCGGCCCCTAGTTTGCCTACTCATGAACAAAACCATGTGATTGTTGTTTCAAACATTACAAATTTTGGATAAGATGGATTGTTTTAAGAAGTGGCAGAAAGATATTTCCAGATTTGTCTGGCAGGGCAAGAAGCCTCGAATAAAATTTAAGATATTAACTGATGCTAAAGAGAGAGGTGGATTTGCCCTGCCAGACCTAAAACTCTATTATGAATCAGCTGCTTTTTGTTGGCTGAGAGAATGGCTGCTACTTGAAGACACTGATGTGTTGGACCTAGAAGGTTTTAACAACATATTTGGTTGGCATGCATATTTGTGGTATGATAAGGTAAAAGCACATAAAGCGTTTAAAAATCATATTGTTAGAAAAGCATTGTTTAATGTATGGATAAGATATAAAGATTTGTTAGAAAAGAAAACCCCAAGATGGTTGTCACCAATGGAAGCGAAGGCACAGAAAAAACTCAATATGGAGGCCAAATGGCTGAAATATTGGGAAATTCTGGAACAAGAGGGAGACAGACTAAAATTGCAGAGCTTTGAAAAATTGAAAAATAAAGTGCAAGATTGGCTCCATTATTATCAAATAATGGAGGCATATAATTTGGACAAAAAAGTTGGTTTCCAGGTGGAAAAATCAAAATTGGAAACAGAACTGTTAGACTCTAAAATTAAGAATTTGTCAAAAATGTATAACTTGCTGTTGAAATGGAACACCCAGGATGAAACGGTGAAATCAGCTATGATTAAATGGGCACAAGATGTTGGACATAATATAATGATGGCTGACTGGGAACAGTTATGGACCACAGGTATGAAATTTACGGCATGTAATGCCTTAAGAGAAAACTTAATGAAAATGATTTATAGGTGGTACATGACACCAGTCAAGCTTGCAAAAATTTACCATTTGCCCGAAAATAAATGTTGGAAATGTAATGAGACTGAAGGTACATTCTTTCACCTTTGGTGGACATGCCCAAGGATTAAGACATTCTGGGAGATGATTTATAATGAAATGAAAAAGGTATTCATATATACCTTTCTGAAGAAACCAGAGGCCTTTCTCCTGGGCATGGTCGGCCAATTGGTGCCAAAGAAGGATAGAACTTTTTTTATGTATGCTACAACAGCAGCAAGAATACTCATCGCGAAGTATTGGAAGACACCAGTTTTACCCACCCGGGAAGAATGGCAGATGAAGTTGATGGACTATATGGAATTGGCGGAAATGACTGGCAGAATCCGAGACCAGGGAGAAGAGTCGGTGGAAGAAGATTGGAAAAAGTTTAAAGACTATTTACAGAAATATTGTAAAATCAATGAATGTTAGAAAAATGTTGGAATGAAGTTATATGGCTTCAGCAGAAATGTTATAAGGAATTAAGTATAAATAGATTAATAGAGAATTAAAGGGAAAAATAAGGTTAAAATGTGTTAAGATAATTATAGGATAGAAAGCAGAGGAAGATGGAAAGGAATTGCTGAAACAACTAATAGAAGTGGAATACAAAAGGGAGGTGTGAGGAGGTCATGGAAATAAGTGAATGAAAGATTGAAACTATTTGATGTGTTTTAAATTGTTTTTGTTTTGTTTTCTTAGTTTAAATTGTTTTTGTTAGTTTAGTGTTAGGTATTGTTTTTGTATTGTATTGTATTGTATTGTTTATTTTCTTTTTCTATGTAATGTCTAATTTGTTGGAAAGTAATAAATATTATTTAAAAAAAACAAAAAAAAACCATGTGATTGATTGGCATGCCTGATCAGACAACCCACTTTGAAGGCTTCTACTTCATCTATTGTTATGAGAACTATATAGCACAGCCACTATAGCAGATATGGAAGGAGTCAAAACTGCTTCAGACACAGCCCCATGTGGTAGCTTTAACTTATATCACAATCATTCATCTGTTCTGAGCATACACAGAGCTGAAGACTCTTCATTACTTGTTGACTGAGCGCTCTTGCTTTTTGCATTTGTCTTTGATTGCCTTTTTGTGTAAAGTGAGCACCACTGGATACAAAATGAATCTCTTGTTTGTAAAACAAATGCTGTTCTTGCTTACTCATACCATTTTTGTTTCATGAATACGGACATTGGGGGGACTTGATCCATGATCCATCCATAACAATGGGATTAGAATCTCACCACCACTCCAGCCACCTACTCTGCAGTGAAAACTAAAGGTAAAGGTAAAGGGACCCCTGACAATTAGGTCCAGTCGTGACCGACTCTGGGGTTGCGGCACTCATCTCGCTTTATTGGCGGAGGGAGCCGACGTCCAGCTTCCGGGTCATGTGGCCAGCATGACTAAGCCGCTTCTGGCGAACCAGAGCAGCACACGGAAATTCTCTTTTAAAAGGTAATGTAGCTGCCAAATAGGTGATGATTTCTCTTTAAATTCCCAATAAAGAGTTAATGGTGCATGATCAGGATTAAACATCGTATCTATTTCTGCTTTCACAACAGACTTGAAAAATGATGTTATAAAAGTGTAATAAAAAGACCTATGAACGCTACAATAATAAGTGCAGTCCCTTTTGTTAGGGTGATAATATCACCAAATACCCAGCCAACCATTTTTAAAAGATAACTGGGATATTATTAGCATGTCCTGTGTTTGTTGATCTGTCTAATCTTGGGCTCAATACCTCATTAAAGTCTTCTTCCTATATGTATGCTGCCTGCAACAAATGTATCCCAAACCTTAATTAGATTCATGAAAAACTGCTTTCGGCCGTGTGAGGCGCATAAACACATACAAATGTAGCTTCAAATTCAATTACACCTTTAAATAAAATGCATCTATCTTTGTATACTGCTGTTCCCTCTTTACTCATGAAGTTTATTATTCTCTCTAGGTTTCCAAGATGTCTAGCAATTGCAGCAACAAACCCTAGTCTCCTGGCTAAGAATCAGAGAGGTTCATGACATACAAACTAACCATTGCAGCCTGGCCAAGGGAGATACAAAGGCTAGCAATGCAGCAATTTTTGCACTGTTGGCAGTCTTGCCTATCAGCTACCATCTCACTTGCATGAAAAACTACTCATTGAAAGCAGTCTAATGACATGACTATTGTAAGATCAGAGGAGGAACTCACAATGATATCATGATTTGTAATGTGTGTGCAGCACAGCAGTTGTTCATGGACTTACCTATCCACCTCATGAGTGATGTCAGGATCTGAAGATACTTTGTTTTCTGCACATTAAAAAAGGTGAATGGGCCCAAGAGGATGGTAAATGCTGCCTGAAATAAGGAACAAACAAAAAGTCAAGAAAATAATGGCATTAAAAGCAAACTCACTATGTACAACTCACATAAATTGTCTCTATTACTGATAATCATTCTTTTGTTTTAAAATGAAAACAAACCTTTTTCACAGTCAAACCATTTGACTGACATATGACTAGGGCAGAATTAGAACATTTGTGAAATTTTGGTTCATAAATATTTGCTATGACTGCTACGTAGCTCTACAAAATATTTATTTTCCATTCTTTGCCCATATTCTGTTTAGGCTTGCATACTTGTTCTTGCTAACCTATTTAGCAGTAGTACTCTCTAGATTTTAATAAAAGATACTGTAATGTCAATATTAAATACCCCATACAAAGAATACATCATGGGGGGGGGAGAATTAGCATATAATTAACAAAAAATGATGAGCAAATCAGTATAAATTTAGGGAAGGTGCTAAAACATCCAAAATTATTCCTGGTTGACCCCTCTACAGGTATCAAAAGTGAACAGAAGATTCCCACTTCTAAATGGTTGTTCATTCTTCTTCAATTTGTAACAGAGACCAGACTTGTTAAGTCGAACATTATACACACACACACAGTTTTCCCCCCCATCTCTTCACATCCCCATTTTTGCCAACACAACTATGCTTTACATCACTTCAACTTCCTCTTCTTGTGGACTCTCTTCAAATAACCCAACAGAAGAGCCAGTATATTGAATGCTATCAGATTCTCTACCATTATAGTTGTTGTTATGTTACTGAAAAAAAGTTGTAGTGGCTACCAGGCCCCTGGGTTGGGGGAGAGAGAGGCTGTATCCAATCATGACCACAATATTGAACGGGAACATTGGCCACAACAAAAAATCACCCCAAGCTAGTCTTTGCCCTATAATACTAGTACGTGGTGCCCCCTGAGGCAAATAATCAGCTAGGGAGGGGAGGAGAAGGCAATGAGGCAATGATTTCTCATTCAGAAAGATGTCCCAGTAAGATTCTAGTCTCCCCTCACCTGTTACTGAACTTTTATTTTAAAAAACAGCTGGAGACCCAATTTCAGATCCCCCTAACACAAGTCTCTTCACTGAAAAGATTTATCCAGACCATTTTAATTTTTCAGTGTGACAAACAAAAGGGCATCATGTCAGCCCTCAAACTGTCAGATTTTCAATATTTCACATTACTAATATAGATTCTCTTCAATTTTATGGGTGTCAAGGACAATTTTTTATATTAAAGGTTACAAATTGAGACACACTTTGTCTTAATAGATATTGCAATTTATTTTGTGTAATTATATCAATGTTCTGTTCCCTTTTTTTTTTTTAAGGAACAGTAAAGCTGATTCTGCAAAGCAGTTTGTTAAAAGCACATAATAAAACTGCTGGGAAAAGTCCTATAGATCCATTACACTGATAGTCTAATAACTCAAATAGTTAGAGCACTATTAAATGTCAACCTTTCTTTAAAATGTCTAATTTGTAAATATTGATAAAATATTGGAAGATTAATTTTAGACCCAATTTCCATTTATTTCTACTGTCTAGACAAGCAATAGTTTTTTCTTCTCTTGTTCATTCAAAATTTATAAATAAAACACCAAAACAAGGAAAGTTAGTATTATTGTAATCACCTATAATGGCAAGATAAAGAGACTAAGAAAGTGGCAGAATTTATCCTACAGTTAAAGGGCAAGTTAACCTTAGCTGCAATCCTGATTCTACATGTCAGTTCTTTATTAATTCCTATATAAAGCTGGTAGTCAGTGAGCCTGTTTAGTCTCATTCCAATGAAAGCCATAAATATTCTTCAAAGCTCTCAATAGTTCCCAATGGTGCAACAATACCGCAGCTTTGTAATACAGTTCAATATTTCAAAATCTTAGCTCTCCATTTATTTTGTGAGAAACTCATTATTTGCCATATGAGATGCTTTTATTAATCACAGTCCATCAGTCAGTAGTGCTGACTGCTTAATGAAATGAAAATTGGGGATAACATTTTTATATATGCAAATTTTGCTGTCCATAAAATACCCCCTATGTTCTTACAACAAACATCCACTTATCAAAATTCAAAACATTTTGTATAAGTAAAGTTACTAATTTATAAAGTTCTGGGGGAGAAAGCCATTTGGACCATTGAATTTGCATTGTTCTGCACTTCTGACGGTTATATACACATAATATAATAGACTTCAATCTACTGGACTAGATTTTGTCAGTGGTATGATTTGAAACTTCCTGCAACTTTATTCCACCAATCATAATTTGATGAGTTATGCTTTGTTGAAGCAAGTATGTTGTCCATGGGAGAATATGAAAAATGTGGTCCAAAGTAAAATGTTAAAATATTTAATGGTTCCATCTTTAAACTACTTTATGAATATCTGATAGTTTTCCCTTTACTGAAGTCACCTATTCAAATACATAGCCATTACCTAACTCAGATGAGTTAGGTTATTACTATTACTATTCTTAATTTTTAAACACTTGCAAAAACAAAACAAAACAAAACAAAACAAAACAAAAAAACAGCAACACCAGGGTATGGTACAGTATGCCAGAGAATGACAGAATACAACTTTCAGGTTTTAAATTTCAATATATTTTAATTAATATATAACACACACACATCATATAATCAAGTCACCTTCTTGAAAAGCATCTATTTCTGTAATATGCTTTCCAAAGAAAGGTTTATGAGAGTAATTTCATAGACATTCTAAAATATATATTTTTATATCTGGGATAACATCTGAGGTAAATTGTATCTTCCCTAGGGATTCAAACTATAAAAAATATTTTTTCTAATCTCTCGTGCATCCTTTTCTCTCTCTGGGACTGCTTCCATATGTTCCTGATTTATCTAATAATCTCACACCTGTAATTCTAATGCATCTCTTGGATGAATATTTTGTTTGTCTTCATTTTCTTTATTTAGTTAAGATATTTTCGCCTTTCAAATTAGAGCAGCAAGTCCATCAACAGTAAAACAATTATTATTCAGTTTCCTAATTATTTTAATCCACTAATTCATTAAAGGGATTCTTCATTATAATAAATCAGCTAATTCGTTAAAAATTGAGCCTCATATTACAAATGAAATAACAATCATTTGCATGAAATCAATAATTAACCAGTTCATTAAGCCCAATTACTTAATTCAGTTCCTTCTGCACATTTAAGTTTTATCAAATTTTAATCTCATTTTTCTTCAGAGTCATAGTTGATCATAATAGCAAATGTTTCACTATTTCACTGATTTATCCAATTATATGTTCTTCTATATGCTAATTTTTGCATGTTCTGATTGCAGGATAGTTCACAAAGCTAAAAAGAACAATGACATCATAACATCTAATTTAATACTCCTGCCTTGATTGAGAATCCTTAAAAATAAAATAAAGAATTAGCAGTATGTCTCTATAATGGCACCCCAGCTTCCCTGGGTCCTGTGCTGGGCCGGGTGAAGGAGTTCCAGCCAAGTCATCATGTATAACCCTCTGCTTATCCACCCTTCCTGTTAAACTCTCAGTACCACCAAGCAAAAGTATTTTTCTATAAGGCTTCCTTTTACCAATCAACCTAAAAATTCCCTTGTGTCTCCTTGAGAACACCTGCAAGTAGCATGGAACTTAGCTTAGACATGGGGTGGTTTTCAAATAACATAGACGTTTTATGAATTAAGACTTAAGGTTTGCGAAAATAGTTCTTAAGGAAAACAAGCTTATAAGCATTTCTGTTTTGACGCACCAGTTATACAATTTCTTATGTGGCTGCACTAGAACGTTTCCTGTGACTGGTTTGTGTATTTCAACAGTATCAACTGATACTATTGATACAAAATGACTGATAATTTTGTATCAACTTAAAAATGTTATAAAAGTGACACTGAAAAGAGCGGGTTGTTTGGAATGCAATATTTACTATTATTTTACATTATTTATATCGTAATGCCACCCGGTCTGGTGAGGGGACCCTTCCCCTCTGTACTGTATTTAAGCCATGATACTGAGGGCTTTTGAAGGGCAATAAGACCTGCATCAGCAGCTGACATGTGCAAGATGCTGAGGAAGAGACTTACCATCATCACCCTCTCTGACATTTGCCTTTCGATGCTGTCAGTCTCCCCCGGAGGAGAGATATGGGAGCCAGCTGTATGTCATCTACCCCTCTTCTCTGAATTGTATTTAAGTCAGGCTCCTTGGAGTGCAGCAAGACCAGTACCAAAAACTTTATTGTTAACTCTTGTTTTTCTTTGAATTTACATCTTTAAGCCTAGATAATTACTGTTGAACTTGTTCTGTGTTTGCCAAATAGTTGATTTTTATCATTTTTTAATTTACTGGCATGTTTTGTATTTTGTATATTTGTATTTCCAATGCTCTGTATTTCGATGTTTGGACATTTGCTGTAAGCCGCTTTAGGCACAACTCATTGTGGAAAAGCGGCATTTAATCAATGATGTTTTGAGATGTATTACTCTTATTGTGTTGTGAGCCACTAAGGGCACATTTATGCAAGAAAATAGCCTGCTAATTAAAACAACCAACCAGACAGCTATGACCTACTGCTGACAGTAAAGTTCTCCATTTGCTGCTTCAGAAAATAGCTCCTCCTCTACGCCAGCCCTCTTTCTGCAGATCCCAGTGGGAGGCAATGGGACCAGTGGCTGAAAACTACTGGTCTAAAAGCAATGTGAGGATGTGAACAGGCTCAGATAAGCATCCTGAAGCTGTCTTTTGAAAACCTGCCCATTCAGAGACCCTTGACAAAATGCAGCATTAGTAGCCAAGAATAACATTTCATCTATGCAATTTTCCTTCACCGCCCAGGCAATACAACAGGATCAGAGAAAATGCACAACATGCGAAGGAGCTGTGACCTCTTTATGCTGATTTGCTATCACTGGGGAATGAAGTACTACTCCACCAAAAGTCTCTAATTAACTAAGCTATATAATAATGAGAAGAGGGCTTTAAAGAACACTCAAAGAATGTCAAGAGGTTTGAAATGTGGGTGAGCGTGGACTGAGCTAAGTGAAATAGACTCCCATCCCAGAGGGATTATTTTTATTGGCAAGGGAAGAGGGTGGGGAAAAGATTACTAATAAAGAGATACATTGATCCATTCAGCTTATGTTTTCTTTTCTGTTCCCTGTATCAAAGTTCTAAATATAAAGAATAAGTGAAAACTTCCGTAACTATGCTTGCACAATTAGAATTAAAGTGGAAAGTGTTATGGGACGAAAGCATACATCTAATGGGCTGTATTTCTGTTTTAATTTGTTTTACCTAGCTGCAGTAGCTGATGGCACAGTATGTATGTCTTATTTACCTGACTTCCCTCTGGCGAAGGCACTGCATATCAGGATGGAGAGATTGGGGGGAGGGGCGAGAATGAGGATGTGATAAGGTCAGCACCAGCTGGATCAAAGGATTGGTTCTACTTGCATGCTAGTACTGCACTGACCTCACCACTGCGTCCTCCTACCCCCATGAAGCAGTGACTCAGCAGGAAGGAGGTCAGGTAAGTGGTACAGCCCCACAATACTGTTCACTACTGCCCAGCAACAATTCAATGTCAAAGCATCCCATGGTAGCTTGGGGAATCAGTGACAAACAGACATGGAGACTGAAGTTAACACTTAGGTTGTCGCAGCAGAAGCACTTTGGTTGTCCCCTCCCATTCATGCCTGGTTTAGAGGCAATCTAGAAGCAATACTAGCACAATATGCTCAACTGCAGTTAAGATTCTCATATGCTTCCATTTCTCACTGTTCTATTAACAATGATTATTTGGTGCACTCCAAAACACATGACCACAGCAAGTAGATCGAAAAGTTGCATCAGTACCAAAAGAAGAGCAGCCATCTTTTAAATCTGGAAGTTATTATTCAGTTCCCAGCCCTTCTTCCTTAGGAACACACAGTCAAACAATTAACACAACCCCCTTCAAAAAGAGATGATTAGCTCATACATCAAAAAGAGCTGAAACAAAGAGACAGACAAGGGATGTGGATAATTAAGGAACAGGTGTTCTCTGCAAATTAGAACACACCAGAACCAACTGGCAAAAACAGCACCTTGGCCCAGCAGAAGGAAGGACGGAGAATCCCCAATGGACGAGGTGACAGGGTTTGAATCCTGTAATTGCCTCAGATCAATTGTTGCTTTAGGGTGCAAAGGCCTGTCTGGAAAGCCTAGTTTACAGACATATTTGCGGCAGCAAACTCAGAGAAAACTGCTGCCTGATCAGTTGCTATGAGGGTAGATGTCAGAAGGGTTTTAAAGTAAACCCTTCTGAGACAGCTTTGTAATCTTACTTGCACATGGTTATAAATTCTCAAACAATCACCACCATATCCTCTCCCACTGATCAGCTTCAGAGTACATCTTCAAATACACCCTCTCCTTCACTCAGTTGATTATCACAGAGAAATAACATATAAATCATTGTACCTGAACTATGGATCTATTTCCCAATCCCTTTGATTAAGAAAATATATATTTTGCTCCTAATGAGTCTCAAATTGAGCCAAAAGGCATGATGAATTTGCTTCTCTAACTGTCCAGTCCCCAAGATAAGGATAATCAGAGAGGAGGTAGAAATGTTTAAACATTTTTTTCAAAAGGGGTTCATGTCACTAACTGCCATTAGCAGGCACAGTGGAGCTATGTCTGTCATAAACCAGCAAAAAGTACAGTCCCAAAATAAAGTTCTCACATGCAGGGAGATTGACGAATGAACCACAGGTAACAATTAAAACCATTTCCTAAGGAATGATTGTTAGTTTTGCAATAAAATACACTGTGAATAGTTCACAAATAGGAAGACCAGCATAATTTTTATTTCAGAAACAGAAATATTCTAAAAGCTAAGACTTTTGCATCCTGCTATCAGGGAAATGAAAAGCAAATGAACTTTAATTATCTCTTGTGTTAAAAAGCAAATCATTAGTGTATGAAAACCTAGGGTTCATCCACACTTTTAATTGTCCTGATGCTTTCTCCCTGGAAAACCCACTGTTTACTGTGGCATCAGAGCAAATTTCAATCAGGTTTTTTCTGGATTGATGTTTGCTCCAATTTAGCACTAAAGAATAGGTTCTCCAGGGGAAAGCAGCAGGGAAAAGGCAAAACTGCTTGGACCCATGCCTAGAAAGCATAGGGCAAGCAGAAAACCACTTGGATCTGTGCTTTGTAGGCACAGGACAAGCAGAAGTATGGACAATAAAAACTAAATAAAAAAGAAGTGTGGATGAGTCCTTATAAAAAGGTAAAGGACCCCTGGATAGTTAAGTCCAGTCAAAGGCGACTATGGGGTTGCGGCGCTCATACAGCAACTCTGATCATGAAAAGAAATAATAATTTACAGGATGTGCATTATACTCATGGACAGAAGTAGGCCACACTCCTATTTAAGGTAGGTTGCAGCAATGACATAACTAGCATCTTGTGTCTAATGATTTAGGCTGCAATCCTAACCCTACTTACCTAGGAGTAAGCCCCACTGAATTCAATAGGACTTCTGAGTTGACGTGGTTAGGACTGGGCTGTAAAAGAGAGAAAACAAAGAAAGGGTGGCCAGATGCAGATATGGGCAGCTCCCCTGCACTTTTACAATTTACATGGAAGAGGGAATTTCAAAAGAAGTGGGTTTTCTCATCTTCTGTACTCCCTTCTGTATTCTTAAGATGCAACTGAGCATCTTAGAGAGAAAAAGAGGAAGACAGCAATATATAATTAAAAATAAAAGTTTATCTCCAAGTAGTAGTCAAAGATGGGTCCAAGGTCTGAAGGGGTTCAAGAATATTGAGGTGGAGTCAAAAGTCAAGGTTCCTGTTCATGGTTGGGTTCCTGACACGACTTAAGGTTTTAACTTCACTTTTTCTTCAGAAAAAGAATATATTTTGTCTGCACTAGCTCAATAAATATTAAGCATCAAACCTTTAAAGCTATAAAGCTGTAGCTAAACTCACAGAATCCTAGTTGGCACTTCAAGAGTTCTGGAATTGGCAGCTTAAATCCCAAGCTACCTATTTTAGAAATATCTAAGGCATTTATCACCCTGCCTGCTAAGCTTTAGCAAATTAACCTGAGGTGGAACAAACAGGCAAATCTTCAAATTGGAGCACATTACTTAACCCTGGTGGTTTACAACTGACAACAATCGATTCAGAAGAAAGGTTCATATCAAACTGAACAAGATAAGAAATTATGCCTGCTTTTCAATCATGAGCCGCATATCCATTTATTACATCCTTTGCTGTTAGCAAGGAGAATATTTTTAAACCAAGATCAAGCAAGGCAGTTATTCTTATCTACAGGAAAACTCCTATAAGCTCTATTCATTGCTCTCTCTCTCTTGAGCAGGAGTGGGGAACTTCTAACCCATGGGCCTACCAGGGCCTCCTATTTGGCCCAAAGCACACCCACACACCCTTCACATGAAATCATATGTCAAGGCACAGGTAAACCAGCAGGCCAATTTAAAAGGAAGACTCAGGAATGTATTCTAAAATGAACTCCTAAATCTTTCTTTCCAGCTGTAGCTTGAATGTAAGCTAAGGCTGCAAAAGAAGAAACTCATAATCTGGAGTGCATGCAGAGTGCACTCCTAATTCTTCTTGTGCATGCCATGGATTCAAAGTCACATCACCTGACACCAGGTAATGGAAGCCCCTTCCCCACTCTAAGTGGCCTGCAGAATGTAGGCCATTTTGAATCCTGCCCACCAAGCAGGATCCAGTTTCTCACCCCTGTTCCGGAATGACAAACATTGATCAAAGGCTACTGAAGTAACCAACTAGAAGCTCTGCACTAAAATGAAGAAGTCAGTTTCCTTATAAGTATCTTGCATATGAAACTAGACCAACCCAGCACACAATAGAGTGAGATGGCAACAGTTTTGTATCTTTTGCTGAATATTTTGTTTCCAATCAGAGTTAGTAGCTAGGTGATCCAGGAGGCAGAGGAGGAGGAGGAAGAAACATAGTTTATCTCTCTAAATTGCCTCCAGGCTAGTGAGAGAATGAGCAGCAGGCCAGCTTACAGAGCTGGAAAAGTGTTGACGTACTAAAGTCTGTTATTACCTCCCAAAGTCAACATTCGTTTATGTGCCTGTACCAGAATTCAGAATCTCACCTTCTGCATCTGTTGCCATCAATATTTTAAATTACATTCTTTTATTAGATAACAATATAATATCTTGGGCTCAGCTGAACCATCTTGCTGCAAACACCAAGACTAGGCAGTTAGTAATAGAATTCCATACATAAAATGTTTAAAGGGTTACATTACAAGTATGTAGCTTACTCATTCTTCCAATCTAAAATTCAGTTCTCAACACTTCCGCAGCAATTAGTGGTTTGTTTTTATTTTTAAAAAAATCTCATGGAAATTCAAGTCTTTTAGTGTGAATTTTTATTAACGCGTTTCTGTATGCAATTTCCCCTAATATGCTGTATTTTTGTATGTTATTTACACTAATACATGCATTTATATGCACACTTAATCTTAGTTTATGTTTTCTGTACACCTTATTTGGCTGCAGAATTGCATTGCAAAATTCAGAGAGGTACAAATTTTGAGTGAAGGCTGTGTTTTAGTTTCACATATGCTTTCAGAGAATGCAGATTTGCTAAGTTTACCTTTAAATACGAACTGAATCAAATTTATCCACCAACCCTACCTACTCTTACCAATGAAATGTGGTTATTTTTAAACAGCCCTTTTCCCATACAAGAGCAGTATAGAGTCTCACATTTTTCCAATGTCACTTAATTGTGTGGGGGTTGGAGAAATACTACTGCCTGCACTGGCAAGGCTACTGCCTGGCCTACAGCTGCGAGGTGTGGGGCAGTAAAAACCAACCGTGTACTTTAAGGAGCAGAAAAACAGAATGTCCTTCAATAGAGGATAAATAACAGCTCTGCTGAAGATCTCTTCGACAAAGGACATTAAAATGTTGTGATAGCTTTGAAGGTTGAATAAGATCCTTGGTAGATGTGTAAGCAATAATAAAGCCAGTAAGCAAAGTTATGTTGCTGACAGAGGCAAGCACCTTAGATGTTTTTAAACTGCCCATTCTGCAAACTGACCCAGAGTTCACAAGGTAGCTAACGGCCTAAGTAACAAGCTCTGGAGTTAGTTGCTGGTAAGCACTATGCCATTTAAGGAGGTACTAACGTGCTTCAAATCACAATAAAAGTGTTTCAATCGCCTTAAAAACAATTTCAAGTATAGCGCTTCTATTTACTGCTCCAAAAACTAGTCGTCATTGCTGGTTTAGTCTATCTGTTTTCAGCCTGTAAGGCCATTAGCAATAGCTGGTGGAGTAATTTTATGACAAAACCCCCAGCAACTACTGTCCTTATGCCCCCATTACAGAAGCTGTGAACACTGCAACGGCATCGCACACATTGATATTACAACCAATCAATTGCAAATATCAGGAGCAGAAAAGGGGCCCAAGTCCCCTCTTGATCTGACGGCCAACACTCCCTTGAACACTCCTTCCTGAACCTTGCATGCCATCTGTCTTGTCTTTGCAGTTTGACAGTTGATATGCTTCTCCCTCTCATATGAATTCTGATCTTCAGCAAAAGCACCAGATGGCTCTTGAGCTAAAATCTAAGCTTTATCCTTCACAGTTTTATGATACAAATCACAGGAAACAGAAGATTCCATCAGCTTGGGCAGCACTCTCCAAAAACCTTTGGAAGGCTTAAATTATAAAAATTAAGAGCTATGATAGCTGTTATGATGCTGATATCTAAGAAAATAGCATGTCAATTTTGTAATTTGCAAGTTATTGAAGATGCTTTTAAAAATGGGGGGGGAAAAGACAGAGAAAGTAAATGTGCTTCACCAAGAAGGCTCAGATGCAAGCTGGATTTTAAATGGCATTTTTGCTGAATGGCGAAATAAATCATCAGAAATCAATTTTCTCAATTCCATTGTACATACTGCATGGTTTATGATACAATTGTCTTATTCCATGCTTAGCCACACTTAAAAACACCTATTCAGCATTATGATGATTATAATTCTTAGGCTCAAAAGTGACAAATGTTTTTATTAACTTTCGAAATAGGTATAAATAGGGCTACCAATTAATTTCTGAACCTTTAGAATATGTATCCTATGCATATAAAGGATTTAAAAGTAATTAAAATTTTGGAATAGAACCCAGTACCAAGAGCTAGGGAAACATACTCCTGCCCTGATTTAAAAAGCTTGTTTTAAGGATTAGATTGCTAATCTAATCAACCTGGCCTCGGCTTCTTCTTTCTTTCCAATGAAAGAAGGGGACAAAAACTGAATCATTTGAAGATAATGAACTGCTGTGCTCATTCACAGTTAAGGAATGCTCACATTAGTGTAATATTATGATGAAAGCATGAATTGTCATTGTCAACTATGTCATCTTTACTATAAATTAAAAGACCAGCTTTTATCAAAGCCTGATATAGTTTAACAAAAATTATTAAACTCAGTGAGTTGCATCCTGTTTCTCCCTTGCTATGTTTAAAGACCCAGAATGTTTTTCAGAAAGCAATTTGACAAAAGGAATGTGGTTCCTAGCACTAATAGAACGAAGTCATAGCAAACAGCAAGCTTGCATCTATACTGCAAATATGCTTCCATTGTCATTTTTTACGTGTGTGTGTGTAGAAATACAGACACTGCCAATTTTCTAAGGTGACTGTTTAATTCTTCAATGCCTGAGTATTTATGGTGCAGTATCTTGTAATCACTTTAGCGCCTCCTTGGCTTCCAACCTTCTCCATTCTGTATCTTCTAATTACATCAACACAGAGGGGGAAGGGAAGAAAAGCAAATGACTACAAGAAAACAGCTGAAATGTGCCAAACTGCTTCTACTGTACAAAGCAACACATGGGGGTGTTTTTGTTTCTTTCTATGTTACATATTTTTGTGTTTTTATATTGTAAGTCGCTCTGAGATCCTCAGATGAAAGGCAGTATGGAAATTTAATGAATAATGACAATATCCTAAGTCTGCTCTGCAAGAGTTGTATTTGCTCTCAAAAGATGACAAAATGTTTCTCTAAAGTTTGCATCAGCAGTGGACTAAAGGTAAAAATTAATTCAATGAATATATGAGTTTGCCCCATAGGTAGTGAAACCACAGGGAAGGATATTGGTTTTGCTATTTAACTGCTATTTCTAGGTTTTTAGGACTGTGTGTGTGTCTTCCAACTTTGTACCTCAGCTTCACACATCCCTATCTCAAATATCAGTATGGCCAATGCTTTATCTGTATTGTTTATTTGGGTTGAGATAATTCCCTGGTTCTTTTGTCTGAACAAGCAGTGGTACATGTGCTAAGGTGGAACTAGCCAGCTACCTTGTGTTGCTGTTACTTACCTAGGCAGGGCTGAGGCAAGGCAGAGAAGGAGTGATGTTGGGGCCACACACTTGTAGTGGCAAGAGCACTGGACTGACATTGATATTCCCCCTGGTGCCCTTATGTGGCCCCAATAGGGCCACTGCCTGCCCAAACAAACACCAGCAATGTCAGTGTCGCTGGTCTGAACTCAAGGTAGACCATGCCACTGGCAGGGATGGAATCCAAATCTGCCACTGCCATTAGAATTGCAAAATTAATTGAATTTGACTTATTGATGCACATGCACACTTGTACAATAAGCATTCAGGAGAAAAAATTAAATTTGTGTCCCCCCCCCAAACAAAATTATGTTATGATTACTAACATACATTGTCAAGTACAGATCTCACAAGTTTAGGTGTCTTGATCTGTTTTCTTCATCACTGAGGGTGCAGTGTATTTACCACAAACACTAAGTTTAGACAACTCAATAAACTCTGCTCCCCAAAAGGACGCCTTCATAGGCTTATCCCATTATTTGGCTGGTGAATAGCTGCTCCCTTAGGACAGAAATTATTTTGTTTGGTAGTTCAGCACTCTCACAGTCCTCAGGGCTGCCTGTATCAGGACCATTTAAGTATTCCTCTATTTTTCATCCTACTCTCCTAGCTCCAACCTCACTTTGAGGGCACAATACGTATGAACTTGGTTCCATATCTTTTAGCATTCCACAAGGAGGTTAAGACAGCACTACCTCAATGTGTCTTTAACTGCTAGCTCTTTTATTTAGTTTGCTGCTTTTATTCTAATTTATTTTTTGCTTTGAGGTTTTATTTTGTTTGCATGATTGTTTTATTCTTCTAACATAATTTAATTGTAGGCTGCTTTGAAATCCCTTTTTTAAACATAGGTGTATGGAAATCCAGTAAAATAAAGCACCTCTGTCGATATAGTTACTGTACTGCAAAAGTTTAAGACAGTGGTTTTCAACCAGTGTGCTACAGCACCCTGGGGTGCCTTGAATGATGGTCAGGGTGCCGTAGGCAACACTGGCCTCTGTCCCTCTTTCCTTCCCTCCCAAAGGCTTGCACAGCTGATTATTGCAGCAGCCCTGGCTATAAGCTCCACAGACGAATGGTGCCTCTGGGAGGCACCAACTCTTTGGGGCAGGGGGGACAGCTCAGAGACTGGGGCTGCCCAGAGGACTCCCAAAGAGGGGAGACTGGAGAGGAGGCTGAGGGAATACTTCACAAGGGAGGGTGTTTGCAAAAGGTTGAGAGGCTGCCAGCTCTGCAGGCAAGGGGTGACATAACTGGGCTCCTGAACCCCACAAGGGTGCCTCAGAAAGAATGTAGTTGGTTAAGGGAGCCATGGACTCAAAAAGGGTGAAAACCTCTGGTTTAAGTGTATAAGCTGTAAGCCTCCAATTCAAATCTCAGCCACGACACCCAAGTAAGAAGGCAAAAGGGATATAAACAGTTATTCTGATTTCCATGAATTCAAAATCCTTGAAGGTTTAACAGCTGAGTACCCTTTTAATGCCAAAATTGTGTCACTTCTTTTCTTTTCAATAAGAAAGGTTTGAAGTCACATAACACAAGCTTTTCAGATTTATTATTACTATAATGTGAAATAGCAACTTAATTTTGGAATGGAAGAAGGATCAATTCCAAGGAACCACGAGGGGCGAATACAATTAGTTGTTAACAGAGAGAACATTAAATTCAAAGACCTGGCAAACCAATGTAATATCAACTAAGAAAAATTTTCAGTGACTGCAGCTTCTTGCCCCGTTTGACATTATTGAATGTACCAAAATTCTCTCATGCACTCAAATATTAAAACCAGAGTAGACCTGTCCTCATTTGCCTCCAGTCACTCAAATGAGATGCCCATGAAGAACTGTAGATATTCTTTAATCTAAAGTGCTGGGAGACAGTACCCACACTTTTTTTATATATAAAAAAAAAGCCCCCCCCCCCCCCAATAAACCTGATCTCAGACATACAGAATATGTGCAGCCCCATCAAAATAGTTAATTTCATCTAAAGCACTTGCTTCATAAGACTCATTGCTATAATACACAATTACCTTCTTTTGGCTAATCTAGATATACTTTGATGTCACCAAATTCTTTTAAGGACGGCAAATCTTTGTTGAAAGGCTGCCACACTGTGGTTTAGCATGGCAAACTTTCAGTATATGTTCCCAACTGCTGCAGCTGAGCTGCAGCTCTTTGGACTGGATTGCCTCTTAAGTAAGTAGTCAAACTATGCCCCTTGGCATAGCAATGCAAGACAAATATTTCTTCTCTGTATAGGCCATGGTTATGGTGTTTGGAACGGGACAACTGATTGCAAAAGCCCTTTCTTAAGACCATTCCTCCAGAAAAGCTCAGAGTCAGAATGAGTGACAGCATAATCCAGGCTTCAATTAAAAAGAATAGAAAAATTTCACATCATGAAGTACAGAGACATCTCTGTACAAAGAACACATTCAGGTCCAGTGTGTTATCAATCTCTCTGTAAAGAGAGACAAGCTAATCCTTTAAAGCCAGCAGTTTCTATTTTCCTGAAGTCTCCCTTCAATGCAGATCCAAGGATCAGTTCCCACCCTGGAGCACTAAGGTACCTGAGCTTTCTGTTGCCCCAACTCAACAGTGTCATCAAGAAGGAAACAAGAAATCAAATTCATCCCCTCAGAAGCCGATTTTAAAGGACCCTGAGGTTTTACTTGCAGAACAGGGAGGAGAGGAAATCTGCCACTATCTCAGCTATGTCAAATTAAGCAAAAGCTCAAACAGGTCATTTATCTGTCTACAACTTTGGGTTCAGGCTGGAAATAATAGGCTGAAAGAAAAAGGCTATAAAATGGTAGGACTGAGTTGTCTTTGAAAAGCAGGCAATTGACAGAATGAATTTACCAAGTTAATGGAAGACTAATGGCCCCGAAAGAAGGGAATGTGATATTAACAGGCCTGCATACTAAGTTCTACACCAAGAAGTAAGGAACTGCATTCTTCTACTATCAGAGGGTGAGAGAATAATAATTACAGAATCACATAGATGGTGATCCCAGGGTTTGGAGCAACCTGGGCTTGCAAAGTGCAATCAAGCAGATTTCTCAAAGCTAATGTCGTTGAAGCAAGTGACAACTCATCAGTTTCTCAAAATTATGGTATGGACAAAGAAAACCAGTTAGTTGTGGGCATTTAGCTCAATACTTACAGTATTTTTCGCTCCATAAGACACACTTTTTTCTTTTCTTTTTTTATAAAATATTTATTAAGGTTTTCAAAATATTACAAAATAAAAATAGAAAAAAGAAAAATACAAAATAAAAATAGTTAAAAACAAGTCAATCTTTCCATTACTTATTTTTCATTAGCTTGTTTCCCGGACCTCCTCACGCCTCCCTTTTTTGTATTCCAGTTCAGTTTGTTGGTTCAGCAAATCCTTCCCCTCTTTGATTATCCTAATCTTTAATCTTAAAGTATTGTAACATTAAATTTTTACCTGTTAGTAATCCATTTTTCATATTCCCTTATAATATTTCAGCTAAAAACCATTTAATTTCTATCCAACATCATTCTAACATTCATTTTCCATATTTCATAATATTCTGTCGTTACATTACCTTAAACTATTTTAATCTTATCTTACTATAAAAAAAAACTTTGAGACTTAAAACTTAAATCTTATTTTTACCAACTTCCCATAACCATGATATTCTTGCATAATTCTTTAAACATTTTTACTAAAGCCAAGTAATTTCATTCCAACATTTTTCTAACATTCATCAATTTTATAAAACAGTCCTAGTAGTGAAAAAAAGAAATAAAAACAAATCCAATCTTCATCCAGCGTCCCTTCCTCCTGGTCCCGGGTTTTGTCAGTCCTTATTATCCCATCAATCTGGCGCATTAACCTGGTAATCTTATATCCGAGGCCCTTAAGTCCCTTCCATGTCCCTTCCGCAGCTCTTCTTCATATTTATAGCTGTATTTTCCTTTGTCTCCTGCTCCTTTCACTCGTGGGAACTCCAACTTAGCAGTATTTTTGACCCTTCTCGACAGATCAGCCCCTTTTCCATAATCGACACTAAATTCCATGTGGTATTTAAAAACATGTTTCAGAATCCCTCCAAAATTAAGAGCCCCCACAATCCCAAACATCTCACGGCCCATTGCCAGACTTGAAAAGTCCAATTTCATAGGAGGGTCTATCCAACCCCCCATTTCCAAACCAAACATGAGATGCACTTTTTTCTTCCTAAAAAGAAAGGGGAAATGTCTGTGCGTCTTATGGAGTGAATGCGTGGTTCCTGGAGCTGAATTGCCCAGCGGCAAAAAGAAGATTATGCTTTTTTTTTTTTTTTTAAAGAGGGAAGCGGGTGTTGAAACAAAGCACGGATCACATGGATCCTCAGGATTTTTGCTTTGGGTCACCCTAAATTCACCAACAGATCACATAGCATGTCCATGGCTACAGCCTGCACCAAAAAAATCATGCACCCACTGTTGCATGGGGCCACAATGGAGCAAAAATGTGGTTACAAAGCACAGATCCACATGGATTCTCAGGATTTTTGCATTGGGCTACCCCAAACTCACCGTCAAATCACATGTCTGTGGCCACAGCATGAACCACAAAAATCATACATCTACTGTTTTGTTCAGAATTTTTTTTTTTCTTGTTTTCCTCCTCTAAAAACTAGGTGCATCTTATGGTCAGGTGCGTCTTATGGAGTGAAAGATATCCTTTCACGCCCAAAGTCCATTTTGGGGGCCGGTCAATTTAATCCTGCCCCCATGGCAGTATATGTCCTGGGTTAAAAAATAAAAAAAGAGCTCAACAATTTTGGGGTGAAATTGTAAAAATAGCTCAACAACTTCAAACCTAAAAAAATCTTAATAATTTTGGTTGGTCCTCATGCATGTTCACTTCATCAAATCTGGCCCTCTTTGAAAAAAGTTTGGGCACCCCTGCCTTACAACATTCATGCCTCTCACACCTGCTCTAGTCAAAATTGTATCAAGATGTGTGCATACACTTCCTCAACTCCACGTTACTTTGTGCAGTTATGATAGAACTTTTATTTCCAAATCTTTTAAACGTAAAGGTTAAAGGTAAAGGTACCCCTGCCCGTACGGGCCAGTCGTGTCCGACTCTAGGGTTGTGTGCCCATCTCACTTAAGAGGCCGGGGGCCAGCGCTGTCCGGAGACGCTTCCGGGTTACGTGGCCAGCGTGACGAAGCTGCTCTGGCGAGCCAGCACCAGCGTAGCACACGGAAACACCGTTTACCTTCCCGCTATAAAGCAGTACCTATTTATCTACTTGCACTTAGGGGTGCTTTAGAACTGCTAGGTGGGCAGGAGCTGGGGCCGAAAGATGGGAGCTCACCCCGCCGCGGGGATTCAAACCGCCGACCATACGATCGGCAAGTCCTAGGCACTGAGGTATGATAGAACTTCTATTTCCAAAACTTTTGTAAATCTGCAATTAAAAGGCAACAAACAAAGAGCACTTTCAAGGCTTAAGCACGCCTAAACTAGAGTCAGTAACCAGTCAAGTGAACTATCAAATACTGTAAACTGACCAGTCAAGTGATGCTTATTTAACTATCACAAAAAATTGTTAAATATTATCTGAAGCCAAGACTACCAACGTGTTACAAAGTGGTTGCTTCTCTGTGTACTTCATTATGGTGTCATTTTGGGGCAAGGGCAGGAATAAGGGCTGCTTGTCACCTAGCCCACAAGCATTTTTTTGGTGGTTTTATTGAAACTGATCAGGTAAAGCTGAAATTTGGCGCAGATGCTCGTCTGGTCCCCTTAACTCAATACATAAATAACAACCACTGGCAGAGTTGCAAGGGCCACACAATTCAAAATGGTGGTTTGCAGGTGTGTTTTTTAAACTGTGATTTTGCAGTTATGAACATTAAACAGGATTCACTACTTTCCAGGCCAAACAGTGCAAATACAAGAGAACACATACTGATGTGTACATGCAAATATCCATATAAATTAACATGAAGCATAACTACCGGCATTATCTTAACTAATTATAAGGCCCTTGCAACTCTGATGATCTCTCGCATTTAATGACATCAGAATGAAAATCTATGCCAACACAATAGAATTGATTATACATACAATTCATTGTTTCAAGATGCATGCTGGCCGCCACCTTGCACTGCAAGACCCATGCAACTCTGACAATACAGTGGTACCTCTGGATGCGAACGGATCCATTCCGGAGCCCCGTTCACATCCTGAAGCGAACATAACACGCAACTGCGCTTCTGGTTTTGCCGCTTCCGCACATGACGTCATTTTGAGCGTCTGCGCATGCGGCGAAACCCAGAAGTAACGTGCTCCGTTACTTCCGGGTCGCCACAGAGCACAACCCAAAAATGCTTAACTTGAAGCGTATTCATCCTGAGGTATGACTGTACACAGAAAAGATTTGCTCAGCGACAAGGACAAATGGACAAGGCTCCCAAAAGAGGGTTTCCTGCATGTTTTCTGTTACAAAAATGCCCATAAGATGTTACTGAGCTGCAGCATAAATATGCTACATCTTTTGCTCTCACTGATCGCTATGGTCTAAACCTATATTTGATACTAGGTGGGTCCCTATCCTGATCATGGTGCTCCAGTGTACAGTGGTGCCTCGCAAGACGAAATTAATCCGTTCCGCAAGAGTCTTCGTCTAGCGGTTTTTTCGTCTTGCGAAGCAAGCCCATTGACGGATTAGCGCTATTAGCGCTATCAGCTGTTTAGCGGCTATTAAAGGCTTAAAGGCTTAGGGGATTAGCTGCTAAAAGGCTATTAAAGGCTATTAAAGGCTTAGCAGATTAGATAAAGGGGGGGAAAAGCGGGAAAAAAATCTCAAGACTCGCAAGGTATTTTCGTCTTGCGAAGCAAGCCCATAGGGGAATTCGTCCTGCGAAGCAACTTCAAAACGGAAAACCCCTTCGTCTAGCGGTTTTTCCGTCTTGCGAGGCATTCGTCTTGCGGGGCACCACTGTATATGAATCCTTTAATTATGTTTTCATACAATGAAAGTACCTGACATATTCAGCTTTGGTATCTCAATAGAGAAGACTCCTTTGAATGTATAAGGCAGCCTCTGTTCTCTTCATATCAAAAAAATTTTTTGTGTGTATGAACTGCTCAGAGCCAGATGGGATAGCTGCTATAAAATCCGTCCCTGTGGACAAGCTTCATTCAACCAGCCTTGCCCTCTGCACAAAGGCCATTTGGGTTAAATAGTGATAATAACCATACCAATTAGTATTAACATGCAAGGAAGACAGACTGCCTTTAGAGGCTTGTACTTGTATAAAGCAAAGAGGGGGAAAGGAAATTTTACAAGTCTGTAAGCAAACAAGGAGAGACCAGACATACAAAAGCAACTAAACTAAACAATGACACCCTGACTAAGGAAGCCTGCTAGAGTCTTCTTTGTCTCTCAGATTGTACCATTTCTAAGTACAGTACCAGTATTTTCATGCATTCCTATGGCCCCATTATTTCCCCCGCCCCTGCAGAAAGCTCTACAGAACCCAATGACCTGGGTGGAGTGAGCACGTTTCTGCAATTCTATCTGTTTTTCTAGAATCCATATAAACCTCCACCATCTCACTTTCACCAGGGCTGGTTTGTGTGAAAGGGTTGGTTGTACTGGCATCAACAGGAGTTGATGAAGGGAAGGACTGGTTGGCTGGGAGATCTTTCACAGCTTTTCATCGCAACCCAGAGATCTTCACACAACTGTTACTGGTTTGCAGGTGTGCACCAGGAGATCTGCACACATCCAGCACACATGGATGTTGCTGGGATGAGGTGACCCAGAAAGAACAACAAGTTTAGAAGGGGGGCTCAAATGTCAGAGACATTTGGGAAACATTTGCCCCCTAAAAAAAATAAATCCGAAAAAACAACAACAACCAAGCACACTTCTTACTCTCTACCAGTCCAGGCATAACGAATGTGATTTCCATAAGTTCAATCAGAGCTTCAGTATAGAAAGCTAGATACACCAACCATAGTGAGAAACTATGTAATCATAGTTTCTCATGTCCAATGCCCAGGTGGTGGCTAGGGCCATGGCACAACCCTCTGGTGACTCTAGGGGAAAGCTTCCAGTTGATTCACATCAACAAGCTCCCCCTACAGGTTGTTAACCCTCGTGTGACTCCCTGCAGAGCGGGCAGGAGTCAAGCATAGTCTGTTCGGATCCAACGCCTAAGCCAATATCAGTCACATTCTGTAAACAATAAAGTTGTGGCCTTTTTTAGCCCATTAACCTAAAATACTTGTGTCCACGTGTCTTCTTTCATCACAAAGAGGGAGCAGGGCATGGACTCGCAACAGAAAAGTTGTGGTAAACTATGGTTGCTCCATGATCCGGGGCAACATCTAAATCCTTGGCAGCCTTACTGCTTGATCTCAAGAAACTATATATTAACAAGCTTGTGATCAAACAGGTGGGTCATAAAATCCGTAGGTCTTCCCAAAGAGTGGGCTGTGTGCATGTTCTAGAAACAGACCTATCTATCGATCTGCAATAAGAATGGGGCCATAAGCCTGGAAGTGTTTGGTCCCACATATTGATGCTCCACAGCGCATCCTGAAGTTTATGGTGCAGAGCACCTGTACCTAGTTGAGGGCTGTACTCCAAATGGTGTGTGTGTGTGTGTGTGAGAGAGAGAGAGATCACTCAGTGACGTGCTGGGAGACAGTCGTGGGAACCATGAAAAAGAAACACATGGTGAAGACACTGATGGCAGTCTGCAGGTGTATTTCTGTGCTGGGAGTGTCAGGCAGGAAGCACCCTACTGAGACGAAAATAATGAGCAAAATGCTTCTCTAATGAATAGTGCATTTCAGCTTTGGTGCTTTCTGATTACATTTTGAATCTAAATGGTTCTTATGGGCCGAGAATTGCCTCTTTATCCCAGACGGGCGGGGCTAAACTTGCTCAGTATTCCAATCAGTTTCAGGTTAGGGTGACATTGTCCCTTTCTGAAGAGAATCAGTAAGTGCTTGCGAGCCCTCATTTTATTCACTGCACTAGCATGTGTCCAACTGGGATAATCTCCATTAAACCATCTGTGCTCCCATCTTCGCTCAGCCTGCACCCGCTGGGCTCCCTGTAACGCTGCAGCATCTGTGAACCTGTATGCACAGATACCAGTTCCTGTCCTGATTAGCTAAACAGTCTCAGCCCAAACCCTAAAAGAACAGATGTACCAGAACGTCTCAAAACAGCACAAAGCCAGGAGGGAGAGAGTGCCTTCTGCAAAGCCTATTTCCAAACCAGTATTATCCTCCCCTGCGTTGGGAGCTTCAGTCATTTTCCGTCTGTGCCCTGAAGGTAGATGAACAGCAGAGGGGGAAAGCAAAGCTGTTTGGGTGGAGAGCAGAGGTGATGCTTGCAATTATTGTGCTGCATCCTGGCTCCAACCCTCTGGATGGCTACTTATTGCTCCAGTTAAAACTGTCTCTATTCTAGCAATATGAGTGCTATTGCACATCTGTAATCCATGGAATGTATAAAATAATGTACAGTACACACATAGTTTCATTATTACAGTGAAAGCACAAATCAAAACCAGCTTATGCAGAATACAAGTGGCTCACTTTATTCAGAAACATGTAGCAAAGATCCGGGTGTGCCATTTCAAAAGATATGATTGAGCTACCAAACAACTAGTCTATATCCTTTTTAGACCCAGAACATGGTTTATGAAAATTCGGGGATCTTTAGATAAGATATCAAAGCATGGCTTTGGCAATACATAAGATAGCCATGCTCTAGCTTTCACCTGAGCAGAACCATTCAGTTACTTCTTCTATGGGGCAAACTTTTGTCAGCATTATATTCAAACTGACAAACTATGGATTGCACCTACAAACCAGGATTGCAAACCAGCTTCTAATCATGTTTCAAACTGTGACTTGCACTAAAAAAGGAATTCAACTGGAACATGCAAAGGGTATGTAAGGAGCAATGAAGCCATGCAAACCTTTCTTGTTACAGGACAATTAAGAGAATCATATCATGTTGGCTTTAGAGGATGAGACTCAGCTACCAGAAAACAATGTGAGACTGTAAGTTATTTGCTTAAACCATGAACATTTCACATTACCATGGTACTGGGTGAAATATAATTGTCACCCAAGCTCCTAGCTGAATTACAAAGAACATATTGATAATGTACCATGAATGAATAGTTCAACTTCAAAACCCTTCTGTTGTCTTCCAAAATAACAGAAACAGAGCAGAGCCTCAAATAACATAATGGGGCTGCGGGGTGGGGTGGCGGAAAGACTGATTTAAGCATTTCAACAACATTTTCCATTGCCTGTTTATTTTGCAAGGCTGTACTTTCAGAGGTAATTTACAAGAGAGATGAGGTAACAGTAAAATTTGTGCAGGACGAAGGTTAATGCAGGCCCCACAGACTGTGTGCAGACAGTGTAGCCACTTAGGTGTGCTGGAGTCTGCAGAGCAATATTAAAAATGCTGCACAGGCAGGCAACTCATCAGAGAGCAACTTAATCTGTCTAAATATTCTCATTACGTACATGGCATTCAACTTCCATTCTTGAAGCACGGGAACAGAGACCATTTCCAGAGGACTTTTGGGACATTAAACCATGAAATAGGACTTTATGTCAGTTATTCACTCCTCCTCTTTCCCAGCTCCGAGATACAGTGTTTGAAAGTTATTACTGCACTGAAAGGGAGGGGAGTAAAGACAAACAGGGACATCGGGAGGGAGACAGAAGGCTTTTCTAGGATGAAAATTGCCCAATTAATCCAGTATCAGTGGATACCACTGATTTGTTTTAAAACTGCAAATAATTCTAAGGATGCAAAGATCTTGTGGCATTTCTTTTCCATTTTGTTGGCTGTATTATTATTAATATTTATTTAATTTATATACTGCCTTTCATCAGATGATCACAGGGTGGTTTACAGTACATAAACAGAAAAATACATAATCCAAACATATGAGGAAAATGCATAAAATGTAAAATTCAAATAATCTATCACAGTGTCATTTGGAATTCTAAAGGTCACAGGGAGCAAAGGAGAGAATACACAGAAAGAGAGAATACAAATTCCACAGTCCTTAATAAACCTGTAATTTCAGATAGAAGTTAAATTTATCTTAGACTACACAGTATACTAGGAAGGAAGGAAATCACATCAGACTCAATGGAATATCAAAGTACTTTAGAATTGGTCTTTCAATATTTCTCTCTCCCCATACTGGAATTATAGAATCATAGAATCATAGAATCATAGAGTTGGAAGAGACCACAAGGGCCATCGAGTCCAACTCCCTGCCAAGCAGGAAACACCATCAGAGCACTCCTGACATATGGTTGTCAAGCCTCTGCTTAAAGACCTCCAAAGAAGGAGACTCCACCACACCCCTGGGCAGCAAATTCCACTGTCGAACAGCTCTTACTGTCAGGAAGTTCTTCCTAATGTTTAGGTGGAATCTTCTTTCTTGTAGTTTGGATCCATTGCTCCTTGTCCGCTTCTCTGGAGCAGCAGAAAACAACCTTTCTCCCTCCTCTATGTGACATCCTTTTAAATATTTGAACATGGCTATCATATCACCCCTTAACCTCCTCTTCTCCAGGCTAAACATGCCCAGCTCCCTTAGCCGTTCCTCATAAGGCATCGTTTCCAGGCCTTTGACCATTTTGGTTGCCCTCCTCTGGACACGTTCCAGTTTGTCAGTGTCCTTCTTGAACTGTGGTGCCCAGAACTGGACACAGTACTCCAGGTGAGGTCTGACCAGAGCAGAATACAGTGGCACTATTACTTCCCTTGATCTAGATGCTATACTCCTATTGATGCAGCCCAGAATTGCATTGGCTTTTTAGCTGCCGCGTCACACTGTTGGTTCATGTCCAGTTTGTGGTCAACCAAGACTCCTAGATCCTTTTCACATGTACTGCTCTCAAGCCAGGTGTCACCCATCTTGTATTTGTGCCTCTCATTTTTTTGCCCAAGTGCAATACTTTACATTTCTCCCTGTTAAAATTCATCTTGTTTGTTTTTGCCCAGTTCTCTAATCTGTCAAGGTCATTTTGAAGTGTGATCCTGTCCTCTGGGGTGTTAGCCACCCCTCCCAGTTTGGTGTCATCTGCAAATTTGATCAGGATGCCCTTGAGTCCATCATCCAAGTCGTTGATAAAGATGTTGAATAAGACCGGGCCCAAGACAGAACCCTGTGGCACCCCACTAGTCACTCTTCTCCAGGATGAAGAGGAACCATTGATGAGCACCCTTTGGGTTCGGTCAGTCAGCCAGTTACAAATCCACTGAGTGGTAGCATAGTCAAGACCGCATTTTACCAGCTTCTTTACAAGAATATCATGAGGCACCTTGTCAAATGCCTTGCTGAAATCAAGGTAGGCTACATCCACTGCGTTCCCTTCATCTACCAGGCTTGTAATTCTGTCAAAAACGAGATCAGGTTAGTCTGACATGACTTATTTTTCAGAAATCCATGCTGACTATTGGTGATCACAGCATTCCTTTCTAGGTGCTCACAGACTGTTTGCTTAATGATCTGCTCCAGAATCTTCCCTGGTATTGATGTCAGACTGACTGGGCGGTAATTATTTGGGTCCTCTCTTTTCCCTTTTTGAAAATAGGGACAACATTTGCCCTCCTCCAGTCTGCCGGGACTTCACCTGTTCTCCAGGAATTCTCAAAGATGACTGCCAGTGGTTCTGAGATCACATCTGCCAGTTCTTTTAATACTCTTGGATGCAGTTCATCTGGCCCTGGAGACTTGAATACATCTAAACTAGCCAAGTATTCTTGTACTATCTCCTTAGTTATTCTGGGCTGTGTTTCCTTTGCTGAATCATTTGCTTCAAATTCTTCAGGTCGGGCATTGTTTTCTTTATCGGAGAAGACTGAGGCAAAGAAGGCATTGAGGAGTTCAGCCCTTTCTGTGTCCCCTGTTTGCATTTCACCATCTTCTCCTCTGAGTGACCCCACTGTTTCTTTGTTCTTCCTTTTGCTACGAACATACCCATAAAAGCCTTTTTTGTTGCTTTTAACCTCTCTAGCAAGCCTGAGTTCATTCTGTGCTTTAGCTTTTCTGACTTTGTGTCTACACGTGCTGGCTATTTGTTTGAATTCCTCTTTGGTGGTTTCCCCCTTTTCCATTTTTGTACACATCCTTTTTAATCTTAACTCAGTTAAAAGTTCTTTAGATAGCCACCCTGGCTTCTTTAGGCACCTTCCATGTTTCCGTCTCATTGGTATTGCCTGATGTTGTGCTTTTAGTATCTCCCTCTTAACAAACTCCCAGCCATCATGAACTCCCTTTCCTTTTAGTATTACTGTCCATGGGATCTCACCCAGCACTTCCTAAGTTTTATGAAGTCGGCTTTCTTAAAGTCAAGAAATTGAGTCCTAGTATGCTTGGCTGCTCCTTTCCGCTGTATAGTAAACTTCAGAAGAGCATGATCACTCGCGCCTAATGATCCTTCCACTTCTACCCCACTAACCAGGTCATCAACATTGGTTAGGACCAGATCTAAAATGGCTGTTCCTCTTGTTGCTTCTCCCACTTTCTGGACAATGAAGTTGTCTGCAAGGCCAGTGAGGAATCTGTTTGACCTTATGCTCTTGGCTGAGTTTGACATCCAACAAATATCCGGGTAATTGAAGTCCCCCATTACTACTATCTCCCTTCCTTTTGCATGCTTGGCCATCTGTTCCAGGAAGGCATCATCTATGTCCTCTGTTTGGCTTGGGGATCTATAGTAAACTCCCACAATTAGCTTGCTTAAAAGGCTCTATTACTTTCTACACAACAGATTCAATGGAAGAAGTTCAGAAAATATGAGACCCGCTGTTGGAAAATGCTTTAGAAAGCAAGTTATCTTCTGCAAATGTTCAGTCCATAAACAAACTTACATGCACAAAAAGGTGAATGGTCAATGCATATACTTTGATGTTTTTCCCTTCTACTTTTGATTTATTTTATCATAGAATCATTGAATTGTAGAGTTTGAAAGGATTCTGGGGATCATCTAGTCTAACCCCCAAAATGCAGGATTCTCCACTAAAGCATCCATGACAGATAGCTATCTAACCTCTGGCACGACTTGTTTTTAAGAAACCCATGATGATTCTTAGTAATCACAGCTCACAGACAGGCCATTTAATTATCTGTTCTAGAAACTTTCCTGGTATCGGTGTCAAGCTGACCAGTCAGTAGTTACCAGAGTCTTCTTTTTCGTTTTGTTTTTTGTAGATGGGGACATTTGCCTGCCTCCAGTCTGCAGGGACCTCACCTGTTTTCCAAGAATTCTCAAACATTGTACAAAGAGGCTCAGAGATTACATCTGCAAGCTCCTTTCGTATCTTTGGCTGCAGCTCATCAAGCCCTGGATATGTGAATTAATTTATAGTAACTAGGTGTTCCCTTACCACCTCGTTTCCTATTTAAATAATCACAGTGATTTTAATTTATGTAAGCTGCCTTGAGTAGAGCAGACATATTATAAAAAAAATGCAGACTGAAAATAATTCAAGAATTTAGCCAAGCTTTGAGGTCCATCCCTACATACTCTCACTTTCTGCATAAACATATCTCAATAGCCTCAATCCAGGGGGCCACATGACAGGGCTTCCAAGTCTGCTATTTTTAGATGTGGTCCTCCATGCCATCCAACAAGCAGTCAACCGAGTCTCCATACAAACATGGATGAAACCTCAGTAACAGCCCACTATAAGCAACTGCTGCCAGTTTAAAAGTGAGTGCGTTTATAAGTCATTTCATGTATCAAAGTGCTTTCTAGATCAGAGCTAACATCTTTCTTTCCTTCTTAGGGTGGGGGGAAGAGAAGTATTGCTGCTCATGCCACTGTTAGTTTAAATTTAAAAAATGTCCAGAGCACCTTCTGTCTCTGTCACTCAGCTGCCTCTTTAACTTCTTCTCCCCATTTCCCTAGCAACCCCACCTTCCAAGCCCCATGTTGTGCTCAGGTCCTGTCTCTGGACTTCTTTTAAGCATCTGGTTGACCACTGCGAGTACTAGATACTGGACCAGATGGACCATTGGCCTGATTCAGCAGGCTCTTCTTAAGTTCCTATGTGTCAGACCCAAGGCACATCTCCAAAGCAGTTGTGGGGTTTGCTGGGGTAGAGTAATCTGAACAGTCTAAGTGACATGGCAGAGACATTGAAAATGACAGAAGAAAGACAAATTCAGAGTAAAGCACCTATTGTTGATCTACAGTTTACCAGCTCTTCTGATTATTCTTCCACATTCATTTAGCGATGTGCTAGACACTACATAGAATACAGAAATGACAACCAGGCTATGTGACACTGGTAAATTTGAACTGACACTTTGATCTACTAAAAAAGAAAGATTCAATGCTGCTAGGGACTGACAAATAATAAAGTATTGTTCAAATCCAAAACAAAGACACCAAAATTGTGTCATAGAATTTGCACACCCAGAGCAATAAACCTTCTGTTTCTACAAAAGTCACAATATTATTATTATTTAAATCTCTGGCTTTATGAATTACAGGTGCAATAAATGGGAGGTACAGGCAGTAATTAATGCATGTCTGCCTTTCCTGATGAGCTCCTTCTGGTGGGTCAGAGTTATTGAAATTCATTGAGAAAATCTTCAATCATGCAGAAATTCTGAAGAAATAGGCCTAGACGCAATTTAATAAAGCAATAATATTTCTTTTAAATAATTAACCAGGCTGTGACATTTGCTAATATTCCTAAGGCCTAACTCCTGCTTCAACATTATTACTGGGTGGTGGCGGGGGGGAGGAGAAGTGTGCTGCTCAGGGAACTGATCCAGTAGGCACTCACAAAAACCCCAACATGTACATGCACAGTCAAATGAAAACTGAATATATTGCTCTGGGTCACTTCCTCATTGCCAGCAGTTATGTTTACCTTCAGCCTTCAACTGCAATATTTATTTTTATCCATAACTCTAGTTCCACAGTACTTTGGTTGGTTTTATTGTTCAGTAAGAGAGAATTCCTTTAATTTACTTGTCCTTGCCCCCCCCCCACTTCCTATCCCAATTATTATTATTTTGTGCTTAGATGCAATCAGCTATCTGCCACTTATGTCAAAGCAGGTTCCTTTGACAAGGATGCTTTAAAACATGCAGTTTCTATCACAGAACAGAGAAAATTCTATTGGAATTTAGTAGTATATTGAAATACTACTAAAAAAAAGGCTAATAAAAAGGTCAATTAAAAAAGACCCATTTCCTGATAAAGAGGCATTTGTGAGGAATCTGCCTACATATAAGACACAGAACTACATAAACGCTTGAAGCATTCACAAGTAAAAGGCATCTAATCTTGTGCACATACACATACCATGAAATTGAAAGAAAACAAGGATTAAGATTCTTCAGAGTGATTTCTGATACAAACTATAAATTCTTGTAAGATTATCATCATTTCACCAGCAATGCAGCTGCTTATTGCAACACACAGAAAAAGCAGCAAAGCAGGAGGAAAACTATTGGGGGGAATCTAAGTGAGCAACTAAACAGGACATCATACTGTAAGTACAGCCAGAATTCACAACGTGGCAGCAATGTCAAATTCATTTTTGTTTCGCAGCACAGTGAACAAGAACCCATTCACTGTTGGATGGACTGCTTTTCAAGATAAGAATGACAAACCTTGAAGGCTACTAAGTCCATCTTCAACATTTGGGGAACAAGTGTCCAGCAGGAAAAGGAGAGGGAAGGGGCTATCAGCAAGAGTAGATGGCTATCACCAATAAAATTTAAATCAAACAAAGTCATATTTAGGGTAGACCCACTGAAACCTATAGGTGGCATTCTATGATGTCTGCTTGTTTGAGCAATGGGACTTCTGGCATGTTTTCAACCCCTACAGCCCCCAACCCTGCAAAGCAGATTTCGGGTGTTAAGAAAGGAAGGAGAAACCCCAATGCATACATGAATGCCTGCTTGTGCTACATTTGATCTCACTCAGCAGTTCACAGATTTCAATGGGTATGACTAATACTGGGTATCACCCTTAGCAGGTAAGCATCCCTTCAGAATCAGTTATTTAATTAAGGATGTAAAATTCCCCCAGGCGCAGGAGATACTCACCAGATAAATTCTATAAGCATCAATCCTTCTGATTGGTCCCCAGCACTTGTCTGTGTCATTATACTTAGTACCATCTTCAACACTGCATGAATGATTGCCCGTCACACTACTGACAAGAGGGAGAAGCAAAAGCAGACCACAGTTAATGCACCTATGCATGGGCATAGCAGCTGCCCCTCATTAAAAACACTTAATTAATTGAGGTTCTCCCCATCCATAAATCCTGGCTACACCCATGCACCTATGCAAACCCCAGCCACCATTCCTCCCCACACTTTTTTAAAGGATGATGGAGAATTTCCCCTTACACAGCACACACCATGTGGAGTCTCGGTCAATCAAGAACTCCACATTCTTCAACACTGTACCTTATAGATTTGGCATGTAAGGTATATGTAGACATTTTTAAAAATAGAAGTGTTTCTTGATTAAAGAAATAGTAGTCATTTAATCATATAACTTGTAATTCATTGATTAAAGCCAGATTAGTTTGTGTATGAATCAACAACAGTATTGAAGAAAAGGCTATTTTTGTATCAGGCTCCTAGTCTTAGAATACCCATTCCCAGCTGTGTGGGATAGAAGGGGGAATGTATGTTCTATAGTGGCACCTGTCATTCATGCTTTTTGTAAATACAGGCACAAAAATTATTTTAGACCATTGTAAAATCTGCTGCCCAATTAGTCAGCAGCACCTTCTGATAATCTAATCTAATCAGAGAATCAATCAAGCAAGCATTGCAGCCCTATAAAGAAGTAACTCACAAATTAGCCCCTAGACCTAGTTTTTGTCAATATGCTAAGCACTGTCAAAGTACATCAGAACAATGTAACCCACTCTGGAAAATTAGTTTGAAGTGTGAGGTAGAAATACTTTAAATTTATTAATTACAACCAGCAAGTCAATCTTCTGCCAGAGCCATCAATGTGAAATGGTTATGCAATCCTCCGACATTTCAGCAAGAAACTGCTGCTTGCAAAATATTGCCACCGAAAGCACACTCACCAGGTCACCTGCATGAGAGAAACTGGGACAGCAGCTGCATATATCGCCAAATCACCATAGAGGTAGATGATTATGCAGAAATAGAACAAGTTGACTCCCACTGTAAATAAAGGGAATAGTAAACATAGGTTTAGACTAGACCAGTCTGTTCCTGTAGTTTCACTTTTTACACCAGGATATTTCTAGGAACCTTTTGTGGATCACCACTTCAACTTGCTGTGCTGCAAAAAGGCTTCTGGGGGAAACATTTCACGACTCTATTGGCAACACCTTGTTCATTTCACCTAGTTGAATGATCTTCATTTGTAAAAAAAATCAGCCCTACCAATTGCTAGGACAGTGTTCCTGAGGGGCAGTCCAGTTGTCTAAGACTAACGTAACTGTATAAGCATGCATTTTCAACATTATTAAAATATTTGTATACTGTATTTTCATAAAAGATAACAAAACCATTTACAACAATTATAATACAATAAAAACCACACAAAAATTAAAACAGTTCTCCATCTCACTATTAGGGGAAATGTTTCTTAACTGTCTTCATAAGCCTAGCAACAGAGAAGTTTTCAGCAAACATTTGAAACATTAGTATAGAAGGTGCCTGCTGAATCTCTAAGGCTCAGTTCTGTGTCTACGTCAAATGCGCCTCACCATCTCACATGATGCTCTTACATATGATCTCAGTGATTGCACTGAAATAAAAGGGTCAAGGTGGTCCCTGAGGCACGCTGGACCTATGGTGTTGAGCCCTTCATCAATTAATTAAAAAAAGGTAAAGGACCCCTGACAGTTAAGTCCAGTCGTGAACGACTCTGGGGTTGCAGCGCTCATCTCGCTTTTCTGGCTGAGGGAGCTGGTGTTTGTATGCAGACAGACTAAGCCACTTCTGGTGAAAATCAGAGCAGTGCATGGAAACGCCATTTACCTTCCCGCCAGAGTGGTACCTATTTATCTACTTGCACTTTGACGTGCTTTCGAACTGCTCGGTTGGCAGGAGCTGGGACCGAGCAACGGGAGCTCACCCCGTTGCGGGGATTCGTACTGCCGACCTTTTGATCGGCAAGCCCTGATGATGAGCAGCCCATGCAGATATTTCTGTACCAGCTAGAGCTTCTGAGCTAGGCCTAGGGGCAAGCTCAGATACAGTGCATTGTGTAATGTAAGAGCACAAGCAAGGTGCTTAAAACCAGCCATTATCACACAGCAAACAATGGTAACCAATATTAGTCAGAAGGAGGGTATTTTGAAAAGATGACTTGGCCTTTCCTGCTTCAGACTTCCTTACCCTGCAGATATGTAATCAAATGCCTGCATTAACCTCACCAGTTCTATAGTAGCTCCATTTAAAAACCAGGTGCAATTCTACTTCCACAAAGTTTGCATCCCATAAAACAGAAGTGCTGAACCTCATACCCAGGGGCCAAGAATGCCTGCCACTATACCTGGCTATTTTCATGTGACACCCCCTCCCCTGCCATGTCCCTCACAGACTCTGCTTTGGCTCCCTCCTTGAGTGCTTTGGCGTGGCTGGAATGTGGCATTTAACAGTGCCTTTTCTGGCCTAGCTGGAGGGCATGCAGGCATGTGAGTGAGCGTAAATTAACCTAATGTATACAAGTAAAATGCGACCCCCAGACTGAAAAATATTCTCCACCCCGCCATAAAATGCTACCTATCCTATATTCCGTTTTATCAAGGAAAATATTCACTGCCACCATACCCTTGCTCTAGAGGACGCAGGTGAGACAGACTTTATAGTTTCACAGACAAAACGAATTACCGGGAGGCAAACAAACTCTGCTTTGATGAGTAGAAATCAATAAGGATAAAGAGATGCCAAAATGCACCAGCTTGACTTAAAAGAAATAGAACTGAATGCCTCAATCTGAACAGATTTCATTTCCAAAGGCCGCTGAGACAAGGAAACAAAACATGCATTGTTTCATATAAAAGGAGAGAAGACAGGAATATTGTAAGAAAGCAAAAAATAAAGGAGCTTGACAGGAATACTAATCTAGTCTAGAATTTTGGTGCACAACTTCTAACTGCACATTACACTAGCAGCTCCACCATACAAAATGCTTCAGCTGTTATGGTGGAGTGTTTTATGATGCAATCTAACACAGGATTTTGAGCTTGGCAACAGAACAGAGCCATATATTGACACCTAAATTGTTGTGGCACCACTGCTACTAAAAAAATAGAAGCTTTAGAGCAATTCACAGCTGTGCTTTATGACAGTACGAGGCCTAGAAGTGAAGAAGAAGAAGAAGAAGAAGAAGAGTTTGGATTTGATATCCCGCCTTTCACTCCCCTTCAGGAGTCTCAAAGCGGCTAACGTTCTCCTTTCCCTTCCTCCCCCACAACAAACACTCTGTGAGGTGAGTGGGGCTGAGAGACTTCAAAGAAGTGTGACTGGCCCAAGGTCACCCAGCAGCTGCATGTGGAGGAACGGAGACGCGAACCCGGTTCCCTATATTACGAGACTACCACTCTTAACCACCACACCACACTGGCTCTCGAGTTTAGGTGTGGCCATCTGTGAGGAGAGCAGAAGTGCCTTGCCATTCCTATTCTGAGTTTCTTTGTGTCATCCAAAGAATTTCCCTGTGACAGATCCCAGATGACCTAAAGGACAGCCCACCTCATGTTTAGCCATTTAAAAGAGAACCAAAGTCTCCAGAAAGATCCATATGATCACCATTTTTTATTTCTTCCCCTACAGTGAGATATATGAACTACAGGTGCAAATATCTGTGGGGGAGATATGAGAATTCTGCTTTGAACACCAGGGAGAACTCACATGTCCTGGAAGTTACAATGTCAAAGCCTTAACACAAATTCATATCTCAAAAAACATGTGAAAAGAAAACAGTGCAAACCAGTTTGCAATAACCTTCTGACCAAGGGAGGAAAATAATTTGTTAAGTAAAGAAAACAATTATTCACTACACCAGAAGTGAGGAACCTGTAGCCCTTCAGATGCTGGCTGACTATAAGTCCCATCAACACTGGCAATAATAGCTCGGGCTGATGGGAGTTGGAGTCCAAAAACACTACATCAATAACTGACTACAAGGAGAGGATCGCAAAAGACTGCAGCCAAAAATATTTTTCCTATATTCAGAAAGACATTAATAGTGCCTTTAATTTATCACAGAGCCTCCGGAAGAGTACACATTTCATATTGGGAAAGATTGAGAAATGAGATCACAGCTATTCCTTACATTTAAATAGGAGTGAGTATCTCAGCATTACTTGGATAAATGGGACAGAAGAAAAAGGGTGAAGAAAGCTTAACAAAATTAGGTGTCCTCCTATCATATCCAATATGTATGTACATCAGTGCAGTGAGTCGTGCCGTCATTTATCCACAGTAGTGACTCCAAAATTAGGTCCACAGCTAGTTTTTCATAATACAAAGTGACACCAAGTCCAACACAGCAATCCTAACCATGTTTTCTCAGAAATAAGATGCAATAGGTTTAATGGAGCTTACTCCCAAATAACTGTGTAAAGGATAGCAGCTTTAAGTGTCACATCCAGAATTTCAAATTTAAGTAAATATCAAACAAAATAAAATATGGAAATTATACTCACTTTACACAACTTTTTATTTACCAACATATATAGGTAAATAAAATAAAATAAAACAGAAAAGATATAGTATCTTTTTTCAGCATCAGTAAAAAGATATATGACATTTGGGCTTCATGGAATACTAGCAAGCAAAGGAAAATTCTGTCTTAAGAGATGCGAGATCTTTCTTTTAAAGTGTTGACATCTATGGAGAAAAAGCTGAAAGGAAGCATGCTTTAACAAATGCTTGAAAAGGTCACCACAACTCAGGAGATTGGTTTCCCCAAATGATTATCAATCAATGCCTAAACAGTACCTTGTAAATGAACATGGTAAAAGGACACAGTGAAGGGGATGGAAGGAAGAATTGCTATTATTCACTGTTGCCATCAGACCAACAGGTACGGTGCCCAAGCTGCTAGGTCACTTGACTACAGCCCTCTTACATCTAATTTACACTAGGAACTCTGCAGAAAACAAAAGTTGAATGTACTGCTTTCATTAGTTTGGCAAAATAAAGGTCTGTGCCTTAGCCACAGTGGCTCAGAGCATTTAAAATATTCAGATAATCTGTATTTTAAATATTTTAAAGCTTCTAACAATTTGAAACCACAACATTTTAACCAATCCTGTTGTCCTCTGCAGAACATCTCAGACCCACTTCTATGTTGTTTATTCAAGGCACAGATCTCAGCTGAGGATTTGGGGTGAAAGCACCACCCAATAGCCTCCACCCTCTCCACCTACAGATAGACGTTAGTGTTGTTTCTGTTTTATAAACTGCCACCAACCTTCATTGATCAATACTTTCATTACTGGACACAAAACAGGAAGATCAATGACTTCCTGCAAGGATGGTACATGATGTATGTGCCTTGAATCCATTATTACAATAAATGACTTCTGGATCCCTGATAAAGAGCACCCAACTATCCTTCAGAATAGATTCCCTTCACAGCCAGAGGCCCTTTTTTCTCCTTAGAGTTAAGACTGCAAATCTATTCCCTACAGAAAGCAGACAAGTCAGAGGTGGAAGATTTATACACAGCTCAACTCTTAAGATTGCAGATCCAGAACATGTCAAATTGTTAAGATAGTCAAGGGAAATGAGCAAAGAATACAGTGAAAACAAGGATTTTGCTTTTAACAGGCCAATAACTCTCAAAAGAAGGTATAACAGAGCCGCAACACATCTTCACCTAGCCATGAAACTCTGAAAGCCTTATTCATTGACTGTACTGCATAAATCTCATGACCCTAATAGCAAACCTGCCAGGTTGCGGTCGGGGTGTAACATTAGCATACAGTCACTGTGCAGACTTGTTTGGGGGTTCAAATAAAACAACATAATACACAGAATGGGGCAGTAAGAAGTTCTCCCTTAAGAGCAAATAATTGCTATAGTTCACTGAAAAATGCATGTGCAAATTCTGATTATGCTTAACTGCAGTAAGCCTGGTTGAGTTCTGAAGGGATGGGATTAGAGAATTAAGACAGTTGAAAAGATCTGGCACTTCAGAGGGGAGGCGAAGACATCCAAACCAACTGGAGGAGAAAGGCTTCTACACAAACCAGACAAGCTGCCCAGAAACAAAGATGAATAGATGAAGCAAGAACAGGAGATGCATGGTAGTAAACAGAAGCCATTAATGTAATAATAATAATAATAATAATAATAATAATAATAATTTATTTATACCCCGCCCATCTGGCTGCGTTTCCCCAGCCACTCTGGGCAGCTTCCAACAGAATATTAAAATACAATAGTCTATTAAACATTAAAAGCTTCCCTAAAAAGGGCTGCCTTCAGATGTCTTCTAAAAGTCTGGTAGTTGTTTTTCTCTTTGACATCTGGTGGGAGGGCGTTCCATAGGGCGGGCGCCACTACCGAGAAGGCCCTTTGCCTGGTTCCCTGTAACTTGGCTTCTCACAGCGAGGAACTGCCAGAAGGCCCTCGGCACCGGACCTCAGTATCTGGGCAGAATGATGGGGCCTACTTGGTGCCTTTAAAATAGGGTTGGGGAACCTGTGGCCCTCCATACATTGCTGAACTCTCAACTGCCATTGGTCCCAGCTAGCATGGCCAGTGATTAGGGATTTGGGGAGTAGTACTAAAACACCATCCAGAGGGCACAGGTTGTCCAACTCTGCTTTAAAATGAAGAGGCTCTTCAAGCCTAGTATCAAAATATCTTGCCTATCAAATGATCTGTGGGATCTGCAACCTCTTAAAATTACCTGAGAAGTTTGGGGAAATGGCTCTCTATGGAAATCCTCATTACCACCTATCTGAAGGAGATCAAGTGACTCGAGCAACTTTTAAAAGGGGCCACAATAGTGTGCTGATTGAAACCCAAGAGAGTCCGGCCAATCTGAATGCCCTGTCTTTCAAAATCACTCTCTAGGATTTAAACACTAAGCTGGTCACTCTAATACAGGCACAGGCAAATTCGGCCCTCCAGATATTTTGGGACTACAACTCCCATCATCCCTAGCTAACAGGACCCGTGGTCAGGGATGATGGGAACTGTAGTCCCAAATTATCTGGAGGGCCGAATTTGCCTATGTCTGCTGTAATACATGTTTAATTAAACATTGGCTTTCAGCTCATCCATAAAAGTTGTGTGTAAAAAAACAGTCTGCCAAAATGCACAGCCAATTTTCTTGACATGTCAAGGATCTGTGATCCATCAAAAAGTTCATCTTCCTGTACTATCCAAATTTGCATAAATTGATGACTTACTGTTGCATTACAGTTATGACAAGGAAAGAGATGCAGCAGAGGTAAGAAAATGAGAATAATATCAGACCTAAAGGGCACAAATGGAGGCTACAGGTTTAACATCACCTCCAAAATCCATTTCAAGATCTTTCACAGACACCATCCACACATTTTAAAACTTTCTGGACAACTTTTCTTGATACAGAAACTAGTTGTTTTATAGAGCTCAGAGATCCTCAGAAAGCTAACTTCCATTACTGTCAAGGTACTTGTGGATCTGTGAAACCTGCATGATGCTTTCAAAACTCTGAGCACCAAGATGTCACTTTAACATATAACATATAAGATGTCACTTAATACATAAGACAGAACAGAAGCAAATATCGTGGAAATACAGGTATCCATGACTTGGGGGGGGGGGCTTCTTTCACCAAACCTCCTGTAATTATTCAATATTCACATTCTCTCATCTAAAAGAAGGAACTTGACAGCATGGTCTACTTATGGCAAAGGGAAAACTAAAGAATGAAGGTTTTGTGTGAATTACAAGTTGAATAATTAAATAATTAAATAATATTCAACTACTACTGTTCTGAATTCACACATGTGACCTGAGCACCCTCTGCTGGGTGAAGTTATCCATCACAGCAATTAAAACAGAATGCTAGCATACCATTCAAGGCAAGCGGTTCATATCTCTAGCAGTTCAATCTGGGCTAAGTATTTAAATGAATCTGTAATTGGGCTGAATCTTTACAACCTACCCACTCACTAGGATGTCACTCACAGGTTTATTTTATCTGTACTGCTCTCAACAAGCCTCATTAACACCAAACCCAAAACCAAGTTCCTTCTGTCATATTGAAATACACCCAACAGTAAAAAATTTTTTATAGTAGCTAGCTCCAGTTCCCAAACCCTAACTCCTATGTCAAGTAGCTCTACCATTGCTCAAGAACTTCAGTGGTTTCTTTGAGAATGAAAGAGTGCAAAAGTGCAAACAGGATGCAATTTAAATTACTATTTGCTTTTATCCAGGATGAGGAGTACAGCACATTAGGGATATGGAAAATGTTCAGCACCTTTAACAGCACTGCAAAAATTGTTACCTGGAGCACAATACATATTAGTAAACATTTTGAGACTATTTAATACGGCATTTATGTACAGCAAAGTTCTTCAGCTGACTAACTTTCTACTGCCAGTCCAGATGTGTTATATTCATTCCTTTAAAAAAATTCAAGCCTTATCAGAGATAATTATTTACACTCTGAGACAGAAAGATAGATTAGTGTCACATGTCAATCTTTTCTTTAAAACTACAAGCACTTAAAACTTTATTTTAAGTGAGACTATGTCTCTCGAAGCCAAAATACATGAACACACAGACAAGATGGTACCTGTTTCTCCACCTCCAGACATAATTAGTAGCCAGGAGAAGTAGGTATTCAGTATCTCAAGCAGATTTGAGACCACAAAAAGCCTTAAATATCCCTATTTAAAAGAAGTTATATATTCACATGGGGTGGGGTGTCAAACTTGACATTTAGGCTTTAGGAACCATTCAGAAACACTCTGGAAAAGTGGGTGATTCCTATTATGGTTCGCACATGTAGTTTTCACTTGAAACTGTCATTCCTCAAGGAAAACACCAACTACTAAGAGATTCTGACAAAAGCTAGGTTAAATAAAAAACAACCAAATATACATAATATGAAATAGAGCCTTCGTGGCTTGGAGGTAGTTACCTTTATTGAAGAACATGGATGCCATCTGACCCATCTCCACCCTTTCAGTGATTTCAAAAACGTTAGGTGCTCCTCGTCTCTCTGCAGGGTTAGAGGGAAGGAAACTCTTAGCCTACATCTCAAAGATGGGTCCCGCTCAAGCCACAACCTGTTCTCTCTCCATCTTGCTCAGACATGTAAATTAACACTTTCCTGTGTTGCTTATAACAATAATTGCCTGCAGGAGACCAGAAAAGGAAACTTTATAACAGTTGAGATTTCCCTCCCCCCTACAAATTAGGTACATGCAAGGCAGAAGGACGAATAAAACTCTGCAAACTATTACATTTGGGATTTTACTTGCAAGGCTATAGGTTGTTGTAAGTTAAGATGCTGGCTCAGAGTTAACATTTTGGTCTGAAAGGAAACTCACAAATGATTTCATATAAAAAAGATTCAGGTGGTTTTCAGTTGTACATTTTGTGTCACTGAAACCCTGTGGAAGCAAGGCTAGGGAGAAAACAGGGTTGCCAGTGGCTTGATACCTTGATAAACTAGTTTTCTTGAATTGTAAAAATGCTAGTATTGTGTTTCTCAGAAAGCTACTACATGTGCATGTGTATACAAGACACAGGGAAAGTAGGCTGTGTCTAACTTTCTCATTTGTTCTCTGCACTGAAGAGCAACTCATAGGAGTGAGAAAAGTTTCTTGCTAGATACTTACGAAGAGATAGGATAGGTCGTGTCTCTGATCGCTCGTAGCCTTCAGGAAGAAGAACATCACTATCAGAAACGCCAGATGAAGAATCCTCATCATCATCCTAGAAGAATAAGAAATAAGCATAAGTGTTCAAAATATAGAATAATTTCAGAATTCTGAAAGGAAACAGAATGTCAAGAGGTAAAAAAGAGGAGTCTTTACTTGCTGGAAAAAAGACTAAACCTCTCCAGCCGAAAGCCTTCTGGCATGCTTATAGCTTCAGCTGGTCCACCAAAAGGCTGAGCATCCATCCCAGTGCCAGGGACAAAATGGCTAAGTTTGTGATGAGTCAAGTTTTGCAACATGGTGCAGAATCTACAGCCAGATTTTAAGGTAAACACGTAACAAATGAAATGAAAACAGATCTGCTCCACTGAGATTTTATAGCAATGAAGAAAAATAATTAGCAACCAAATGAAATGCCATACAAACCTTGTGCTTTTCCATTCTCTTCCAACGAAGCTGGGCATTTGCAGCAGCCATGGCCTCCATTACAAAAGTTGTGGTCATGTAGCTGGCGGAAAAATGGTAAAAGTACCAGTTGGTTAATAACAATGGGTTGCAATATTCCATCCCCACCTCCACAGTCTTTAACCTATATATTCTAAGGTGCAAAGTGTAAACAAAATTGGGGATTAAGGGCATGACTGTACACAGTATGGGCAGTCACACAATTGTTGTTCTTGCATCTGTCCTGTTTATGTATAAAGCATGGAAGAGATTCTAATTTTTGTATCAAAAGAGTCAGATGGGTTTGGAGAGCTGGTCTTATTCTCCCCATGCTGCACTGCTGCAGACACTTCTATTTTCCTGTCCTCCATCATTTCAGGGACTTTTCCACTAGAATCCAGCTCACTTATGGTACTGTGGCTGGGCTGAGTTGGACAAAAAGTGTGTAAAGTGATGGAGTGCAGAAATGTAAGACAAATTAGGAGGGAGGTTCAGCTCCCCTTACTGGAGGACTCATCTAATGTTAAAGAAATGCTCTCTACCCTGTTCTCTGTTCATGAATGGTGTAGACACTTGAAAAAGAAAATTTGCTTGCTCCCCATAATGTCTGGACATTTTCTTAGCAGTACGGCAAAAGAAAATTAACATGAGCAAAGACTCTCACGCATGGCAGCATTGAAGAAAGCAGAAAGACTAGTGCACAAGTGTTGCATCTGCCAGGAGCATATTCTGAACAACCTTAACTGAAATGAAAAAAGCTGCATAAATTCATGTCTCTGTTCTTATGTTACTCCCATTCATTTTAATGGAATTCCTGCTGAACAAATCTTGGTGGATTATATCCCCAAATGTCAAAAATTACAGAACTGAATCTAACTGGAGTAATAAATTATAGGATAAGCACATTTCATAGGACATGTCACTATACATCAATTACACCAGGATGATCATGGGCAGTCATGGGGGACAATTCCGCTATCTATAATAAGGTGCAACATGGTAGCTGTAAGAGATTTAGTGCCTTGGATGGAAGGTGCAGCTAAGGTGCATGGGACTAAAAAGCTTTGGTCGCCATGATGAGTGTGTGGCCCTGCTTCTTCTACTTGATCTCTAGGTGACTTTCAAAACCAGTGACCGTGGTATCCTGCTGGGCCAGTGATGTGGAATGGGTATCAGAAGCACTATGCCACAGTGGTTCCGTTTCTATTTGGGTCATAAGCAGAGACCAGCATCAGAAGAATGTTCCACTGTTATGTTATGAGGTTCCACAGAACACTATTTTATCTCCAACGTTATTTGCCATCTATATGAAGCCATTGGGATCAGTCATTAGACAATTTGAGGCAAGGTGTCATTACCATGCTGATAACCAGTTATATTTTTCTATTGCATCTCAATCAGGAAAGGCAGACCTGGACCAATGCCTGGACACAGTAGTGGGCTGGATGAGGGCCAATAAATAATCTGAACAAGATAAGAACGTAAGAAAAGCCCTGCTGCATCAGACCAATGGCCCACCTAGTCCAGCATCCTGCTCTCCCAGTGCCAACCAGATGCCTTAAGGAAGTCTGCAAGCAGCACTCGCACACAAAAACATTTTCCTCTTCTATGGTTTCCAGCAACTCCACTGACCTTGGAGGCAAATTATAGCCATCATGGCTAGTAGCAACTGATAGCCTTGAATTTGTCTAATTATCTTTTAAAGGCATCCAAGTTGGTGGCCGTAACTGCCCCTTGTTAGAATGAATTCCATATTTAACTATTTTTTTTTATAAGATATTTATTGAGATTTTCCAAAGGTTACAATATAAAAATAAAAAAGGAAAAAAAGAAAAAAATACAAAATACAAAATACAAAATAAAAATGATTAAAAACCACTCAATTTTTCCATTACTTATTTTTCCTTAGCTTGTTTCCCGGACCTCCTCATACCTCCCTTTTTGTATTCCAGTTCAATTTGTTGGTTCAGCAAATCCTTACCCTCTTTGTTTATCCTAATCTTTGGTCTTAAAATAGTAATGTTAGATTTTTACCTATTAACAACCCATTTTTCATATTCCCTTAAAGCATTACAGCTGGAAACCACTTAATTTTTATCCAACATAATTCTAACATTCATTAATTTTACAATATTTCTGTAGACAGTCTTTGAATTTCTTCCAATCTTCTTCCACCGAGAATTCCATATTTAACTATGCACTGTTTGGAGAAATACATTGTTTTGCCTGTCCTGAATAGTCCGACATTCAGCTTCATTGCATAATATATGTTTATTTTTTCTACAAGCTGTTTTGAGATACATAGTGCAAAGTGGGGCAAAATTATTTAAATAAACAAATAAGATACTGACAGAACTATATCAGTCTAAAAGACTGATCACTTGGGTACCCAAATGCACTCAAAGACCTAATGCTAGACAGAGTTAGAGGAACCACTTAAAAGATTTAAAAAGTGAAGGACTGGAAACATTTTCCAAGAGCTGCCAGGAAGATAGCTGAGAGCAAGTGATCAATCAGTTGTCCCCATTCCCCATTACCATTTGCTTTGTTGATCTTATAAATGAATTGCCATTACCCCAGTTAGATGACCATGTTAAGGTTTCTCTCTCATTTTTACTAAAAACTACAATCAATCTTATTTAAACCACAAAAATGGTTTCTTACTGCTTCACCAACTGAACTCATTTATCAAGTTTGAATGAGAAATTAGGTTTGCTAGGATTAGAGCACAGCAGCAACATCCAGAGGCCTGGATAATTTCCCCTATGTTCTTTTACTACACTGAGCATTCTCCAGAGGATATTAGGGAGCCAGAAGTGCAAAACAGAGGAATGGAAGGATCAGGGTAAAAAAATCTCAAACGACTTGGCACCAGTGGGCAGCATTTCAAGGCTGATACAAAATATATACAGTAATTGCAAACCAACCCATATCCCAACAGCATCAAGAAATGAATTGGAAAAGAAATCAAAGCATGAGACAGAGAATGCTACAGGCAGGCTTCAAGGTTCTGAAATAATCTCTTTTACAAAGCCTCAGAAGCAATTCAGTCACTGGTACTGCAAGGATTTATGCTTCCCATCCAACAGAACTTACACTTTTATAATGCCTTTCCTTCCACAGATGTTAAGCAATTTATAAGATTATGTCTCAACATGAAAGCAATCCAGTCTCAACCCAGGGTAAAAGGGCACTGGAAGAGAGCATCCCTGTCCAATGTTGAAAGGCAATACTTTTACAATGGAACAGTAAAATACATAAAATAACTGCAACAAATTAAAGCAGCAGGCACATTCATCGGAAGCCCACAAAATTTAGGCTGGCCTTGGTAGATAACCATTAGTTGTGTCACCAGCAATCCCTCTGCAACAGAGGAGACTGGGTCAGGTTTTTTTACTTCTCATCAAGTTTTAGAGAGCATCTTGCTTCTTCTGTCCATCCCCAAAGCATGCTGCAACAAATATGCAAGATTGACCCCTCCTTATGCAATTTCCTGGGTGTCAGATTTCAAAGGAAGGATACAGTCTGTTTCTCCCAATTGCAGTAAAGGTAAAGGTACCCCTGACCGTTAGGTCCAGTAGCGGATGACTCTGGGCTTGAGTGCTCATCTCGCTCTATAGGCCGAGGGAGTCAGCATTTGTCTGCAGACAGCTTCCGGGTCATATGGCCAGCATGACTAAACTGCTTCTGGAGAACCAGAGCAGCGCATGGAAACATCATTTACCTTCCCGCCAGAGTGGTATCTATTTATCTACTTGCACTTGATGTGATTTTGAACTGCTAGGTGGGCAGGAGCTGGGACCGAACAACAGGAGCTCACCCCGTCGCAGGGATTTGAACTGCCGACCTTCCAATCGGCAAGCCCTAGGCTCTGTGGTTTAGACCACAGTGCCACCCACGTCCCAATTGCAGTAAGTGCACCCCTTTTCCAGTGGAAACACAAGGGGCGGGGGGAAATGGTCTCTCAAATCTTGGACATACAGAAGGAGGTCACCCAAGAGAGACTTGTGGTCCCTACAGATCAGCTGACTTTTGTGGATCCCTGACATTCAGGATAGTAGATTATCAATTAAGATGATACACACACACACTTTTTATTTTATTTTTAAATTTAAAGCAAGGTTTTACCTTTAATCAGAAAAATGACACCTTAGTATTGTGGAGCATATGCTACACACTATCAGCTAATAATCAGCTCTATATATTGGTTCTCAGAAGCTAAAGGGAAAGGACATAGCAAACAAGTTTTCCGCACACCAAGGTAGCTGCTCCTGCCCAGGAGCCTGAATTTAATAACCTAAACCAAACAAACAAACAAACAAAAAAACAAGAAAAGCTTAGCTAGACACAATTCAGCTCACCCAATAGTGGTAAGGAGGCAGAAATACCCTCACAACCACCTCAAAAGTCTGCAACTGGCCTCTATATTGTGCTTGGTCAGATTCACAAATCTTTTTTCCAATTGTGCTCAAGATACCTAGCAACCCATTTCAGATCATCCAGCTACTGAATAAATCATGTTCCTATGAAGCCTGGGAGGAAGATGCCAAGGAGCAAGCCTGGCAGTAGTCCCTGTTAACCTCCTATTCTACAACCAAAGTTGTTTTGATGAGGTTTGACTTTTGCAATGTTAAAGTTTCATCAGCTTTTCACTACTATTAACAAACATAATTCCTCTAAGGAGCAAAAGACAATCCTAATCCATGAGAGATAACAACATCAAGTGTGAGGAAATGTAAAAGAGCAAAGTCCTTTTGACTTGGCCACAGACAGAAAACTCAGAAATGGGATAGAAGAGAGAACTCTCTTTCCTACCATCTTAAATGGGCAGGTATCCAGTAATTTCTGGTATCTGTGAGACAGATGCTAGGCCTCACTGGATAAAATTCAGACTGTACCCAGATTCCTAATCTACACATGGCAGGAAGCTAGAGCGAGTTCTGCTCCCTGTCCATCCAAGCATCACCTGTCTTGCCTCTGATGCTATTGTACATAACGTTCAAACAGGGTGTTCACATTTAATGTGCCACATGTGTGGGCTCAGAATGTGCAATAAATGTCCAATGTCTGACTACAGAACTCGAGCAAATGCACCCCATATTAGAACATCTATGTATGGATGTAAGGTGGCAATGGAGGCAAGGGCTGATGTGCCAAATGGGCAGGGAGGAAAGTGCATTCTTACTCTTCAGCACATGTGGGGGAATGAACTAGGTAAGAATACTGTCTGATCTGCCTTATGTAAAACATTCCCTCAAGGCCAAGGCACAACTTTCTTATTGAAATCACAATGGCTGGGTGACAAATGGACTGTATTACTTAGATACAAGTGACACCTTTGGGATTTACAAGTTCCCAGTAGATTGTTAATGGAAACTGACATGCAGAAAACTCTTACCTCATGAACCCCAAGAACATTATTAGGATGAGGCTGACAAGCCAACCAGCAGTGGCAAAGGCCTTTGGCATAGTCAGAGCTCCAGTCCCAACTATGAGATTGAACATGTAAACCAGGCCAACCTGCAATTAAAGAAATCATAAATGTTAAAATCATGTGACTTTTAGTTGTTAAAAAAGACTCTTTGGCTAGCAATCCCAAAATGGCCAGAAAGCAGCAGCCTCCATAGGCAATCCAAACCAACATGGCTACTATAATGGTGCAGTTTTATAGAAAATATTATCGTCTCAGTGGAGAAATGCTTTTTAGCTCATACTTACACAGTTAGGTAGTGTTTAATGTTTGGCCTTAGAAATATTAACAGTTGTGGTTTTTTTTAAAAAAAGAAAAAACACCTATGCAAACCACAACTTTCCAATAGCCCAATAGTTTATTTCTTGTTTTCCCAACCTAAGCCTTCAGGATGAGGGAGATTACAGATAAAATCTCCTTCTCCACATAGCAAGAGTTAAGCAGAAAGACCAGACATGCTGGTGAAAGGACATAGCCTCAAAACATCATGTGAGTTGTATCAGTGACTGTCCCTACCCTATGACACGAAGCCCTTTACTCAAGTCATGAAGTTCTCTCACTTGCCATGTTTCTAACTCCAAAGGAAAGATTCTCTGAAACTAAAGGTGTTGCAAAGAGGCTGAGGTTTTTTAATAGGGGGAAGGGTGGTACAGTTACTCAACTTCACCCATGAGGAGCCAATATAGGATGTGAGGTATTAAAGGAGCATTCCACAGCTTGCCAACTATTAGCCAAACAGGAGTCTGACAAGTAATTTTCCTCCCAAGTATATTTAGCAGTGAAGCAGATGGAAATTTTCCCTTATTGGGACACCAGAGGAATCTTGTTAACGAATGGGAATATCTGCATGACAAGCTTGTTGACAGTAAAATCAACCCTTAAGAAAAGCTATTCTGAATTAGTTCCTGCCTCAGTTCTTACTTTTAAATGGCAGGCTAAGACCAGGCATTATTCTTGTTTATCGAAGAACATTACATTAATAGTAACAGCAAAATAAATTTGCTCTTTTGTTTAGTAAAAACCTACTTGCCTTCCCACAGTACAAAGTGCTAAAATGGAACTACCTCAAGGGGCTCAGATTCCACAATTTCTATTTTTAATCTGCTTTATCCTGTAGGTTCAACACTGGCTCTATCGGCAGCAAAAACAAGAGTCATTACTATTTGTGGGGCAGTGCCCTCATAACTAAAACAGTTCTGTATTAAAATGTAGCATGAAGAACTCATGTATGAATAGATTTGGTAAGTCAGAACCACAATGGGTAATTAAGGTGGCAGCTCAGTGACAGATGACAATATCTGAATGTAAAAGACTCCAGATTCAAAACCTAGCATCTCCAAGTAGAGCTGGGAAAAATTTCTTCTTGAAACCCTGGAGAGCAACTACTAGCCAATTCAGACAACACCGAAGCAGATGAACTAATGGCCACACTCAGTATACAGCTGCTTCCTATGAGCCCTGGGCACTAGCAGGAAAATAATTTAAACTTATTAAAATCATGTGTCATCTAAGATACAGTATCCATTAGACTTGAAGTGCAAGAAAGTAGTGCAGGGAGGATGAGAGAAAGAGCACCACTGATGGCTACCTTCCCCTTATTAAAATTACTGGAATGCCCATTATCAGAAGACAACCATCTACCTGGAATTCATGTCCACTGTCAAACACACAATTTTTAAACCAAAAGTAACCATAAATAAAATTACCTTAAGAACAGGGAATGTATACAGTTTATAAACCAAATGCTCATGGCAGAAGTTCTGAACTACAAATGCATCCTTCAGAGACCTTTTATGCATAGCCATTCACTTCTCTTTGAGAGAACAAGGTCCTCCTGTACTTACTGGCATCTGAACAGCAAATGCATCTTTTGACTGCTTTCCCAGAGGATGAAACAGTAGATGTCAGTTTGCAAAGCGATTTTTTTAACTCGTTGGGCAGAACTGTCATTCCCTGCATACACCACCTCCTGGCTCTAGGCCGTAATTGGTTCTGTACACGAAGCCTTTGAGGACAGAAACCTTGGAGGTTTTCTTTGACTCTGATTAAAAAGAACAGTATAGGGAGGGAAGATTTATTTCAGATACTGGTAGAATCATATTTTGGGCCCTCCGAAAATGAGACAAGTACCATTTTTATGCTCAACAGCCTGAAGATTTCTGCAGTGCTATAATTTTCAATCTGTAAGGTACTTGGTAATTTAACATCTTGGGAGTCTATTTTTCCCCTTGAAGATTCAGATCAATCTTCCATGGACTAAATGTACCAGCAAGCATCACTATCCGATTAATGTATTCTCAAAAATCACTTGCAATCAGAAAACCACCACTCATGAGGATAGCTTTGACAGAGAGCTGTGATGGGTTATATATTAGGAAGGAGGACAGAGTCCACTGGTATGCCATAAAAGGGCATCATAGGATGCAGCTTCAGCAACTCTCAACTCTTGTGTATGTATGTGCACTGCTTTCAAAGCCTCTTTGATCATCTCAATTTTTATATTAAGAAAATACTTTCCTGATGTTTTAACCACTTGTTGCTGCAAGATGGCAGCAACAAGAATTCCAACTATGGAAACAGAACAGAGCCTATTGGGGCAAGCACAGCCCATCAGCTACACAAATTTTAAAAACCTTTGTCCCCTGTGTTGCAGAATGCCTCTGCACTGACTGATGTAAACATGCACCCAGGAATCTTTTGCACATTCTTTGTGCACATGTCTTTTTATTGTTACATGAAGCGGTCTAGACTGTAAGAGAATGTGTCACTGCCCTAAAGACTTCACAACCAGAAAAGTATAATCATGTATTTAGTATGCTTGCACACTGCTCTTCCCTGAAGAGCCTTTTACATATGGCTTCCAGATAGCCTTCCATTCAGTGAAATTACAGGACAACACCTGTTCAGCTTCACAGAAGAACAGCCTGGTGTAACTTTGCACAACTACATCACTAAATGGCACAAGTCTGAAAACTGCTTTGAAGGTGGCAAGTTGCAACCAATGCTGTCCTTCTTTACATGGAAGGTTCTTTGTTCCCATACAGGCATCTGCAGACAAAAAAGGGAGGTGATTTTTGCAAATTTCCCCTTTCTTCACCATACTGTGTCAGAGGATCCTCCAATTCCCTAGAAAAGATGGGGAGGGGGGTCCTCCCCCTCTTCTTCCCCCAACCTTATACTGTATACAACACTAATGTCTCATGTCAAATGTAACTAATCTGTAGAAAGGACTTTAGAACTTGAAAAAAGAAACAATGTGCGTACTTTTATAAACCAAGAAATTCTTTAATAAAAAATATTTTTTAAAAAAATAGATGGGGAGGGTATGAAGGTGATAGCAGCACAAAAGTGGAACTAATGAAAATCACCTCCAACTGTTCATGGAATCCTCTGCTGGATCAAAGAGACTTCCATGACTGGAAGGACAGCATGGGATAAAATTCGCCACATCTAATTTCTGGCTAGTCTATCCACTACCCAAATTACTTAGTTCCTCTTGCCTATGATATTTGGGATTCTTTTCCCTCTTGTTAGTATTATATCTATCATAATCTAACATATGTTGAAGCAACCTTATTCGCTGATGCAGCTTTAGTGCAATTACACACTTTGAATATTCACTAGAGACTCAATAGAGGGTATTTGGCAAGGTTTGCTAAGCATCAATGCATGTTTAAAAACGCAAGTCTGATAAGCTTTTAGAGCATGTGTGGGTGAAAAGAGCAAACAAGTCCTTGTATTAGAAAAGTTTCCTGAGTTTTTTCCAAATGTATTGTAACACAAGTATAAAATGCCTATCACAATTTAAAATCAAAACAAGAAGGGGGGGGGGGGACCATGAAGAAACAGGAGCAGGAAATACAGAGCATAACTGTGCTGCTTGTCTCCAGCAAGAGACTGTAGTAATGCTAAATACTCACGTAAGGTGAGTACAGCTCTCCTGTATCAGTAATGCCTCCAGCCATGTTGAAGCCGATGAGAGATGTCAGTTCCTTTTGATCCAACCACTGTTAACCTGAAAGAAATTTTATCAGCTGTTTACAGGAGTCAACAAAGCAAGCGGTAACTGCAGTTCATCACTGTGCATTAATGCAAGTCTAGTAGTATTGCTGCCTACCTTCTCTGGAAAGAAAAGTAAACAGATTCCCCCAAATCAGCTAGTTTGAATTTGAAATCAGAATTCTTCACTTGCATTGCAAATTGCATAATTCTCACTAAAGTCCATAATCCTTTTAGAGAATCTAGTGAAATACCAGCCACATCAAAAACAAGGATCAAAACTAAGGTTCTCCTGTCACTCTAAAAGTATATAATCTAGCCAGATGATATAGTAACACACTTTAAGGAATTCCATTTAGAATGAAAGGATTATAATCACTAAGGGGAAAATAGATTTAAGATCTTTTATTTAAATTAAGTCACTTACTTTACAATTTACACATCTCCTGAACAAGCATTCATGACAATTGGTTGCTAACAATTAAATATAATTGTTAGATGTTTTACTTGACGGCTACAGTTACAATCATATGCATAGTTATTTGAAAGTGCACCTGAACCAAGTGGGACTTAGTTGAAAGGAAGCCTGCTAAGTCTGGTGCCTTCCATAAATTTTGTACTGGGAGTTATGGCCTAAATATTTGGACAGCACCAGGTTGGTGAAAGCTGTGTTATAGGGGTTCAAAACTTTCTGGCAGCCTTATCCTCCATGAATTTGTTTAACCTTTTTTAAAGCCACCCAAGTTGGGGGCCATCAGTGCCTTCTGTGGGAGTGAATTCTATACTTCAACTATGTGCTGTGTAGAGAGTAACTTTCTTTTCTCTGTCCTGAATCCTCCAATATTCAGCTTCAGTAGATGTCCACAAATTCTAGTGTTAGAAGTATATAAAATTATGTATGACATGGAGAACTCCTATCATGTTGCCTCTTACCTTTGCTCTAAACTAAAAAGCCCTGAATGCTTCAACCTTTCTTCATACGAGAGGTGCGCCATCCCCTTCACCATTTTGGTTGCCCTTTTCTGAACCTTTTCATAGAATCATAGAATCATAGAGTTGGAAGAGACCACAAGGGCCATCGAGTCCAACCCCCTGCCAAGCAGGAAACACCATCAGAGCACTCCTGACATATGGTTGTCAAGCCTCTGCTTAAAGACCTCCAAAGAAGGAGACTCCACCACACTCCTTGGCAGCAAATTCCACTGTCGAACAGCTCTTACTGTCAGGAAGTTCTTCCTAATGTTTAGGTGGAATCTTCTTTCTTGTAGTTTGGATCCATTGCTCCGTGTCCGCTTCTCTGGAGCAGCAGAAAACAACCTTTCTCCCTCCTCTATGTGACATCCTTTTATATATTTGAACATGGCTATCATATCACCCCTTAACCTCCTCTTCTCCAGGCTAAACATGCCCAGCTCCCTTAGCCGTTCCTCATAAGGCATCGTTTCCAGGCCTTTGACCATTTTGGTTGCCCTCCTCTGGACACGTTCCAGTTTGTCAGTGTCCTTCTTGAACTGTGGTGCCCAGAACTGGACACAGTACTCCAGGTGAGGTCTGACCAGAGCAGAATACAGTGGCACTATTACTTCCCTTGATCTAGATGCTATACTCCTATTGATGCAGCCCAGAATTGCATTGGCTTTTTTAGCTGCCGCGTCACACTGTTGGCTCATGTCCAGTTTGTGGTCAACCAAGACTCCTAGATCCACAATATTGTTTAAGTGGTGAGGCAACCCAAACTGTACATGCTATTCCAGATGCAGCTGCAACAGAACTTGAAAGCTTACTTTTTGTGGCATTTTTATTGGCCCTAATAAAATCTCCACCCAAACAGAATTATAGTATGCTACTGGAGCAAGGCTTAAATAGGCAGGAAAGCCTCACAGTCTACACAGACCTTTTACAACAACGAGGAAAACACCATCCATAACATGCTACCCCACGTGATGAGTTTCTTCATGCAAGTGTGCGTGCTGGAAAATTTCTAAATGTTTACATGGGGGGGACCGACCCATACTGTATTGTATGAGTTGGCACTAAGATTCTTATCTAACACATTAGCAATTCCACTGAACCAAAAAGAGAACCAGAGAGCCAGAAAAAGTTACAGGCAAAGTGTAAGCACCATGGAAGGCACTGCATGTGCCTGAATACAAAAAGCAAGGATTTCCAAGGCCCTGCTTTCTTACCCCATATCATTTATTCACAAGTCCCCTTCTTTGGCTGAGGCTGGGCTCTTTGTTGAAGAAACCACTCTGTCCTGAATTTCCTAGCTCCTACTCCTGTTTGCATCTTAGTGCATGGAAGGAAAAGTTTTACCTGGACTTTCTATGGCTACTCAGATTGGATGTATGCAATTACTGCCGTGAACAGAAAATACGATAAAGAGGGCCTCTTATCAGAAGACACTCAGAATGTACTCCTAACCCTTTCAATCTCTGCTGCTGGAGGAAGAGGAGGATAAGGTAGAAGGGACCCTCCACCAGCTCCTGCCAGCCTCTGCTGCTATACCCTGAGAAATAGAAAGCTACCAACAGTGATTCTACCACTATAAGCCATTAGAGAGCTCTGAAATGAGGCATTTTGAGGCAGGGTCTGGCAGCTTGGAATCTTCTGGTTCCAAAGCCCTGCAGGTTTCAATTCTTGGGCACTCTGCTGAGCCTGCCTGGAGCTTTTATAGCCCCCCCAAGCCACCCACCACTTTTGATTCTAGTCACTATAAGCAGTAAAGCTTGGGATGCAGTGGTTGAGCTGCTGTGGATGGAGCAAGGGGTTAGGATTGCTCCATCAGTTATTTGAAGCACAAGACTACAAGGCGCAGACAAAGCAAATGTTAAGGAATGATATTTGGAGTCAGTGTCATGCCAGAAAGCCTGATTCAAATATAATGACAAAGTAAAATCCGCAGATGTAACTGTCCACTTAGATAGTTGGGGGGGGGGGTGGAATACCACTTGTATTTTTGCTCACTGGCCTAAAGGCCATAGGTGAGCAGAACCTCTATAAAGGCATGTGAATGGGTGGGGAAGGGGGATTGGTTTCCATACTAACAAAAGAGGAAGTAAGAATGTTTCCTTCACAATCAGCAAAGAAATGTAGCAAGTAAGCATAGTGGAGATGAATCACTCCATCCTTTCTTCACCATTCTGCATATTATTAGTCTGCTAATAGGAGGGGCTGCCCTTCCTCCACAGCCAGCCTGGAAAAGCAGCTCACTAGCCTCTTAGTAGGTTAATAAGAACATCTGCAGGTTAGTAATTTTTGTGGCCTTATTTACAAGGCTGTGTTTCATCCTAAAAAAAGACTGGAAACTACCAGCTTCCGCTTTACTTCAGAGGCTTCTTACTCCACCAGTACACTATGCAGCTGCCCCTCCCCCCATAAAGTAAAAAATAAAAATACTCTAAGTAGAAATTGTAGGGAGATTTTGACAGATTTTTTTCTGAGCACTTGGGGTCAAAAGAAAGCAATTTAAAGCAACGGTTGTTGGGACATTTCATTCCAAATCTGCTAGACAGAGCCAGCCAGCCAGAGGATGATGACAGGTGGGTGTCCTGCCACCCACCCCCACAACATAAATCCTGGCTACGCCCATGGAGAGAGATGCACCCACAAGCAATTGCATGGACATTTCCCTCTCCCCATATATGCGTCTGTGAATTCACACACGCACACGTGTACTGGGTCTCCGAGCAGATACAGACAACCGCGTGACCACCGCCTGCACCTGATAGGCAGCAGATCTTCCTCGCTGTTTGGGAAGATGCTCACGCCGAGCGGAGGAGGCACTTCTGTAGTCCTCTGCGCGGTCTCCTTCAGGGGGGAACAGCCCAGAGACAGGCAGAACAGTCACACACAGCCTGCGCCTATTTAAAAGCCTCCTCCGGAGAGCCGCGGGAGAAGAAGCGTCGTCGGGAGTGCCACGTCTTCCCCGCCAACCCTTTCCCCGACCCGCCTCAGGCCGCCAGCCCGCTTCCCCTTCTGTCGCCACACAGAACTTCGCTCCGCCGCCACCACCGGAGCCCGCTCTGCCACCCACTCAAAAAAACCTCCTCACAACAAGCCTCTTTACCCGCCACGCCGGCGCTCCTCGCTCGGCTCCAAGGCAACGTCCGGCCCAGCAACTCCCAACCGTCGTTTTTCCCTCATTACCGGCGCGAGCAAGGGGAACCCGCCGACGGCGCACGCGCGCAAGCGGAGTCGCTGAGGGAGGGTAGGCGGGGCAGTGGGGAGGGAGGGAAACAGCGCTTCGACGCCAAGCAAAAAGCCGCCAACCGCCGAGCTTTCCGCGCGCGTGACCACGACTTCTCGAATCGCTTTCTACGCCGATTGGTCCCTTCTCTTGAAGGCACGTGACCACGGGGGCGGGGTGTGTGGCTGTAAGCGTCGGTCGGTGGTTGGGAAAGACGCAGGTCGGATTGAGACTCGGCGGCTGCCGTAGCTCGACCGGGAAGGAGAGTTTGGCCACTGCGCGTGCGTGCGTGCGGCTTGTGTTGGGATGGTAGAGAAGCGAGGTAAATAGGCGCTTGCGTGGCTTTGGGTGGGTTTAAAGTGGAGCTTGTCTCTCTTTCTCTGGTTCAGGTGTAGATTGCGGCTAAATGACGCCTGTTTGGAGATTAGGAGTAGTATGTGGGGGAAGATCTCTTGCGAAAGTGGCTCCCTGATAGATGTCTCTTCAGTGTTCCCTCTGGAGAAGTTACGTGCAAAGTCTAATTCCTTTTTTTTGTAACCCGCTTTGAGGTTTGTTTGTTTTCTTCAAGTGGTGTACTGCATAAATGTTATGGAATAAATTCCATGCAGTGCGCAAGCAAAATTGTGGAATTTATTTCCAAGGAATGCTGTCAGTGTGGTTGCACCCCGACACTCAACCACCTCCACCTCCTCATCCTCCTGTTTTAACTTCTGCATCCTGGATGTCAATTATAAACTGCTGTAATTATCCTGTGTTTCAGTCACAGTGTAGCAAATGCTTTATAGCTCATGACTAAGTAGTCCGGACCTCCTTTGCAGTTGCTTCATAATTCTTATACTACCACTGTAGTTTTTTTCTTTGTTATTAAACATTGTACCATTTCTGTTGGGGTTGGGGCAAAGAGAAATATTAAATAAGTAGGGTTTTCTTGCAGTTCATCCGCTTCAAGATACTCTTAGCAATTATTTTGGTCAAATTACAGATTATATCTCTCACAAATGAACCATGGTAAACGACATTTTATGTACACAAATATATTGCAGCTGCCCTTTAAGTATCTTACACTTTATTGTATATACTTGGACCGATTGTATATTAAAATTGATATGTATGATTCCTCTGTATAGTATTGTTATATTTTGCTCTCATTTGTTGTTGTTCATTCTTATTTCAAAACTGAACCAATAACATTTATTTTGAAAAAGTGTATCACTAACATAATCTTGTTTGTTGCAGGCTTGGAGCTATGAGAATTAACCAGAATACTGTACTGCAGGGAAAGAGGGTGACCCTGGTGCCATATACCTCTGCTCATGTACCCAAGTATGAAACAGATACTTTGCCAAATCTCCAGTTTGGGGCGGGGGGGACATTGACTTTAGAGGTCTGGAATGTTAAGTCATCTTTACATATTTCTTTGCAAAAGATTTTTTTATATGTGTGTGTTTGTAATATGTGTTTGTTAATTTGCATTCCAAGTGGAACAAACAGATAAACTGCTTGAGCCATAAGCACTGAAGTTACCTGTAACTGCTCTGATCTGCAAGTACTGTATTAATGGATCAGTTTATTGATATTAATTGGGCATATATGCAAAAGTTGTGGGGGATTTTAACTTTCCTTTTTTAAAAAATTCAAATTTTCACATATGTTCATAGGAATATTTTTGATAACACCTCCTACATTTTGAGATAACAAAACTGCAGGTATGTCCAGGTCTGAAATATGCACAGGTGGGCAAAATCAATCATCTGTGCTTGGGGGCGGGGGGGAATGATGGTAATGGTAACCTCTTGTCTAGACTACCAAGAACTTATCACTGCTGTCTGGTGCGTGTTTACTGAGATGTACATTCCACTGAGTGTGGTGGAGCTTACTCCTAAACTAGTATGCATTAAGATTACAGCCTTAATTTTTAACTCTGCAGGTATTTGGAAACCTCATTTGTAAGCAGTAAGAACAACATATTTGGGAATTATTAGAAATGGACATATTTACTGCTTACTGGTAATATATCTGTCATTACTACATGAGAGATATGTGTATATGGAAGGCAGGGCCTGGGGCACCCTCTCAGTAAAGATCAGGAATAGAGGTTGTATTTTGTCCTAAATACATTATCTCCAGGTGCAGCTCCCATCCCCCATTCAATAGCAGCCTAAATACAAGTGGAATGAGAGTTAAACCTTGGTGAACCCAGCCATTAAGAATAATGTCTTCTGTCTGTGCGGTGCCTATTTCATGTTGTGAAGAAATAAAATAGAATGTTGGTATTAGTTTGCCTGGACCAGTCATTTCATGCCTCAAATGGGTTCATGGTGGAGATCTTGTTTACCATTCCAACAGAACATAGTAGGCAATGTTCTGAAGAGGAATATATTCCCTCTCTGGATTTTCTCACCAGGTACCATGAGTGGATGAAGTCTGAAGAGCTGCAGCGTCTGACTGCATCAGAGCCATTAAGCCTTGAGCAGGAATATGAGATGCAGCGCAGTTGGCGGGAAGATGCAGACAGTGAGATTTTTGAATATTTGTCAGGATTTGAAGATGGGGGTAGCGAGCACATATGTTTCCTAGTTTATTTAAAGGTCCATTCATATAAAAGTGATTCTTCCATGTTAAAACTTCAGCTGCTGATCAGTTCAACATGATAATAACTAATACTCATAATTTGGACTGTGTAGAAATAGATGGCAACTTTATTCTGAGCAAAATTAAATCTTGGAAGGTACTCAGGGCCAAAACCACAGAATACACAAGTACCCAAGAATCACATAGGTAAAGATAAAGGGACCCCTGACCATTAGGTCCAGTCGTGAGCGACTCTGGGGTTGCGACGCTCATCTCACTTTATTAGCCGAGGGAGCCAGCGTACAGCCAGCGTCATGTGGCCAGCATGACTAAGCTGCTTCTGGCAAACCAGAGCAGTGACGGAAATGCCGTTTACCTTCCTGCCGGAGTGGTACCTATTTATCTACTTGCACTTTGACGTGCTTTCGAACTGCTAGGTTGGCAGGAGCAGGGACCGAGCAACGGGAGCTCACCCCGTTGCGGGGATTCGAACCGCTGACCTTCTGATCGGCAAGCTCTAGGCTCTGTGGTTTAACCCACAGCGCCACCTGCGTCCCTATGAAGAATCACATACCAGCTACCTAAACATGGTATCTATAGTTATCCACACTTAGATAACTTTCCATGCAATGTCCTCTGGATGCTGTGGAAGTTCTGCTCTTTAGCCCAATACCTGTAGTTAGGTACACAAGAACTGAACTATAACACCCTTCTTACTTATGGCTACCACATAAAAATTCAGATGGGCCTTTTTTTATTTCCTGCGAAGGGGAGCGGAATAGGCCCACCAAACACTTGCCCATTTGGTTTGACCCAAATTGACATTAGGTGAGATTAAATTCTTCCCAGAGTTCTCTATTTTCCTAAGGGCTTGAGGGACAGGAAAAGAGTTGCATTGGCTTTTGCACCCAGCCTGAAGCAAGAGAGCTCTCATTCCAAGTCAAGGAGGAAGCTTTTTACAACGTGCTGGTTGCCATTAATTACTGCATTAGTTGACCCTGGTTTCATTTAAAATGGTTTTAAATGTTCTCCATTGGGCCTGCTTCTTTTTAAAAAAATTCCCCAGAATGCACATTCATAGTGCTTGACACAGATAAGTGGTCTAAGCAGACAACCACGGAGGAAGACTGCATGGTGGGCGATGTGAACTTGTTCCTCACAGACAGTGAAGATCCAACACTCGGAGAGATCGAAATCATGATTGCAGGTAACCTAACGCTTCTGGGCCCATCAATATTTCAGCCTTTAGCAAGTTACTTCAAAAGATTGTCTCTTCAGCAGAAGTGACCAAAGCCAACAAAAAATAAAATAGGTTATAAGCAAACATCCTGTGCACAAATGTCTGGCCCAACTATTGCAACCTGACCTAGCGTCATTCCTTGGTAAGTCAGTGGAAGCTGCCAGGGTTGTATTTTGTCAGTCATGAATTTTTCAGAAACGAAGCCTAAATCTTACTAAATGTGCAAGAAAGGAGCCTCATTCTTTTTTCTTCACCCATCCCTGTATCCCTTTAGCCTGATTGATCTTTCTGTAACAAAATAAATAATGCTGCATATATTGTACCTTCTGGTCTTAGAAAAGAGCCTAGAATTAGGAAGATTCTAGGATGCGTGAGAGATACCCATTCCAAATTCTAGACCCTCCTGTTGGCCAAATGTTCCCCACCTTTGTTCTAGATGAACCTGGAAACAGATACAGTTCTTAATTCTCCCCTGCTCCTCTCTTTCAGAGGCCAGCTATCGTGGCAGAGGATTTGGCAAGGAAGCCACTCTGATCATGATGTCCTATGGTAAGAGTGTCTGGCGTGAAGTTGGAAAGTGTTGGAGGTGCTGCATATGCATGGAGGAATAACTTCTGTGTACATCAATAGCGGTAGAAGATTTCCATTCAAAGACTTTGAAATTCTGCCATAGAGTTTTAAGATACCTTGCTAATGAGTTTACTTTTCTGCTTATACTTGGAACACAGAGCCTTCAATCACCTATAATAGTAGAAACATAGGAAGCTGCCTTATACCGAGTAAGCTCATCACTTCGTCTCACTTAGTATTATCAACACTTGCTAACCGTGGCTCTCAAGGGTTTCAGACATTTCCAACCTTACCTGGAGATGCCAGGGAGAGAAAATGGGACATACTGCATGCAGAACATGTGATCAACCTTCCCAAATGAAATTGACAAGAGTAGAGACAGTAGCTTATTTCTAACCTTCTATCCTGTAGGAATGACTCGCTTGGGACTAAACACCTTTGAAGCTAAAATTGGATTGGAAAATGAAGCCAGTATTGGCATGTTCAAAAAGATTCATTTCAAGGAGGTGCGCTAATAAGTATTCCTCATGTAGCAGAACCATCTTTAGTTGACTCTGTATTTGTGGCAGACCCTAAAGTTAACTTGGATTATTATCTTGTGCACTCTCTAGGTGGGAGTAAATGTCGTCTTCCACGAAGTAACACTCAGACTGATTGTGGATGAGCAAGAAAGGCAGTGGCTGCTTGAGCAAACCAGCCACGTGGAGGAACAATTTTACAATGTAACGAAGCTGCAGAATCGAGTTTGTGACAGCTAACGAGGCTTAGCTCTCTTTATATGGACTCCAGAAGCATGGGATCTCTGCCTCCAAACTGCATCATGGCCTGGATCTATGGTGTTAGGGACCAACCGCTGGAGTAGAAAATGCTGCAGGCTCTGTACTGGGTCAGCAGTCAACTTGACTTGCTGTTGCCCATCATACTTTTGTTTACCTTCTTTCACAAGAAAATCTAATGTCTACTGCAACTAGAATGAACTATCATCTTGGGGAAATGGTTGCTGTTGGTGAAAATGGCAAAGTGTGATGTATATAGAGTGAACTGAATGTGTTTGGACTGCAGTGCTACTAATGGACAGGAAAGTTAGGCTTGTCTCCTCTGTTACAAACTGACAGTCGCATCATAGGCTAATATTGCCTTACTAGGGCCTGTTTCTACCAAAAACATAAACTACAACCTACTGTTATTCTGAGGGTTAATCGGCAGCAGTCCTAGAAACAGGTGGTTAATGTTTGGTTGAACTGAAATGCTAAATGGGCTTCTCTCAAAGCATTGCAGGCTCCCATACAGCCTCTCAGTTATTCAGTGAGACAGCTGTTTTCTCACTGGCACACACCAGGAAGTTTGTCTGTTTCTCTTTACTAAGATGAAATGTGAAAACGTAAAACGTGTACACTCTTTTCTCTCACTGCCAGTTTCTTTTCTGGGTTCAGGTCTTGCTGTGTGTAAACCCCCCCCCCCCCATTTGCAGAAGTATAAGAGATGTAAACCTACGATGAAGGGTTCAATACCGGTGATGTGATTATCTCACGTATGTAAAACTAGTTACAGGAACTTGATGAAAAATGCTGATTGCATTGTGCTGTTACAAATGCTCCATCTGCACAAGCATATCCCCTTCCTCTATGCTGTTCTGGAAGTCCTCGCACCCAATGTCAAGGAGAGAAGGGGGGGGCGGCCCCTTTGTGCAAGGCTTCTGCTGGCTCCTGCCCTCAGAGGCTAATGAAGGACTTGGTAGTAAGCATAGTATGTTGGATGTATGTACTGTTTTAATACAGACATGACAAGATCTCAAAGGCTGTGATTACAGATGTATTTTTGCAGCGACTTCAAGAATGTAATGCTTAATGTAGCTAGCTAGAAGCTCTGCTCCCTTAGACTGTCCCATAGAATACTGACACACACACATCCTCTAACCAGACAAGCAAGAGGCATGAAAGAATGCATTTCACTCAGGGCCAGGGAGGGTGGAGAGTTGGTAAGGAAGACGTGGCTTGGAGAGAGTTTGAAAAGCCTGATAAAGAGGCCTGGAGGCTGCATTTGGGCCCTTGTCCTGAGGTTGCCCATGCCTGTCCTAAAGCCTTCCTTGTAGGTATTTCATTCCAGACAGTGGTACAAAAATACAGTAGGATTGCGTAAAGCTACTGTGCTAGATTGTAAATACACTACAAAGTGCTTTACATGCACCACTATAATTCTAATTTTATCTGTGCAGAAAACTTAAGGCATTCTAGGCAGAGTTCACCCAATTTGTAGTGCCCTGAAAGATAACAAAGGCAAGGAGGTTAATCTGGACCCTACTTTCCCAGTGAGTTGCATTATGTGAGTGAAGCACGAGGAGGGAAAACAAACTGGTACCAGCTCTTGTGCTCAGTTAAACCCACACAGAGGTTGTCTACATGTCACCTGTTCCTTCGGTCTGCCACGCTCTCCTCTTTAAAGGGATCTGTCTCTGAAGCACGTCGCAACATGGATATCCCTGCCCTTCCTCACTCCTGGGTCTCTTTTTGAACAAATGGGCCGGCCAGGGAAGAGTGCTTCGGAAGCCTGAAGCTGGAGGGTTGCCCACCAGAACCTTGTATCCTGTTGAGCTTTGCTGAGATACGGTATCCGCTGGGTGCTGCTTGCCCCCTTCAGTGGCACTGCAGCTGGAAATCCTGACATGGTGAACTCTGAGCCTGGCTAAGGCAGACTCTGAGAAGGTGCTGTAAGTTCTTGGCAGCCCTAAGCTGGTTCTTGAGGCGAGTGTTGCTACCTTTTCCATGGGATGGCTTTTCTGCCCCTTCTTCTTCTTGCAAATTCTCCTCTGAGTCTCCTCTAAGCTGGTCTCAAGATGGCACACATCCTCCATCAGCTTTAGGACCCTGTCAAAGCCGTCCAGGAGATCATTGACTGCAGATGGCAGGTGCTCCAGGTAAAAGTCTACATTGCAAGGATCAGGGATGGGGCTCTCGGGAAGCACCAGCTCTTCAGAGCTGAAGGAAGAAATGGTTGCAGTAGCACAGTGAAAGTTGGTGCCCGGAGAAGGAAGGCGAGAAGGTTTGGAGTTTCCAGAAGAGTGGGAAATCAGGGAGTCCATCCCTTCAAATTTCACCTTGTGGCGAAACTGAAAGGCAAAGAGGTCAAAATCTGTTGCAAACTCTCTTTCCTGTTGTCTGGGAAAACTAATTCAGCCATCATGGGGACAAGCTAGGCTGCCATTCTTTATATAGATTGTGGTGTGAGGTATAGAGAAAGGTCTCTCAAAACTGATTCTGAAATCAAGCTTACAGAGTTATCATACTCAAGTCTATTTAGAGGAGAACAGCTCATACAAAAGAGACATTCAGATGGTCATCACATTTATGTAAACAGCTGTTTACAGCTGGGAAGCTGCTATGCATTAATAGTTCAACCCTGTGAAGCTGCCTTCATGTGGCTTGTATTGCAAGTTACCACCACATCATGTGGTGATAGAGCAAGCATAGAATAGCACCACAGAGCAGCCACATTCTCACTTTCCATCTCTTCCCCTTGAGACAGGACTGTGCGGAAGAGTGCTGTATTCCCCATTCCCTTTTTCTTTCTTTTCTCCCCACCCACCACCTCTATTGCTTTGGGTGTTTTATCTCGCTTACCTCTTTGGTTTTGCTGAGTCCTAGCCACAGCTTCAACCTTTTCACCAAAAACTCAATCATCTCGTAATCCTGAGGCTCAATAGCTGGATGGTAGATCTCAGAATGGACAGTACGGTAACTGTTAAGGACAGAGGCACAAAGGAAGCTCTGCACCATCCAGAGCACGCCAGCTCCAAAGCTTAGGATGTATGTTGTCCCCAGGATAGGGGAAACTTGCATCAAAGACTGGAGGAAAGTGATCTTCCCACAGAGAGTGGAAAGCAGAGCTGAAAAGGCACAAGGGAGTGTCCTGAACTCTTCCACAGTTGAAGAGAAGGCCTGAACAATGAAGAAGAAAAGAAAAAGGTTGTGGAGAATATATATGGTAGGATCAGTGTTTCCCCTCCTCCCCCTATTTTGGGGTGGGCAGGAGAAACCTTAGAATAGCATGCATCATTTCCCCATGCACCGACTTCTCATTCTCATTCTCCCTCACCCCATTCTTTTTATAACCTACTAAACAGCCACACTTGGCACAGATGAGAAGGAAGAAGAGGAAGATGAGTTTGATAGCCACTAGCTCCCTCAAGGCATGCTGGAGGGTTTTCCCAAACACAGACCATTTCCGGACAAAGCGCAGCTGTTGCACCATCTAGAAAGAAAAAGAAGAAGAAGCTAGTTCAGAGACTTGCCTCTTTGAAGGGAAGAAGCTGTTGAGAACACTTTCTCTGTTCCCTTATCACAGGAAGAGAGCCAAGGAATATTATTGCAAGGCTACATCAAGATAACAAACAGCAGCCATCATCACAACCATAAGCATCGGTCAAGGGAAGCAGCTCTAATGCTTGGTGTCACAGTCCAATAAATGAGAACCTCAAAGGGAAGATTCTCAAAACTAGAGAAGCCGTTTTAGCTAATAAGGCCTGGCTGTTGGTTTGGAATATAAATGCTGAGTGTCACATCAGTGATAGGAGTGAAAATATTGTGGGTACAGCCACCTGAGTTTCTTGTCTATGTGAAGGGCCTAAGGAAGTTGGCTGCTTCAATTTAAGGACATAAAGGCTTCTTTTGGACAAACAGCAATACTGTTTGTTGGAAATTCCCACCCACGGAAATTCTCAGCTCCCCTGCTGTCTTTCCTGCTGACTTCACAGCCGAAGCTTTGGGCAGCCTTTATTTATCTGCTCTGTGTGTTCCTTCATTGTTCATTAAGGAAACAAGAGGCAGCAACAAAGCTCTAATTCGAATACATCCAAGCTTGGATGGAGCAGATGGGTCTCCCTGTGCAGATTCATTAGGCAGCACATGGAAAGGAATGGCACCAAGATTATCCCTCGGTAGCAGCTTCAATGACAATTATAAGGTCATTACAGCATCATTTAAGAGGCATGTTAACAAGAACCTATGCATCATTGTGATTGTTAATAGATCTGGCTCGGTGCTTTCCAAAACAGACATTTTGCTATGCACGAAGGGGACCATTTTAATAAATCTTCTCTTTTATAAGAGATGGAAGATGTATTCTGAAATTGTTAACCAAGTGGTTGTGGCCAAGAGGAGAGAAGGATGTGTCACAGTGAAGGGAAAATACATGGTCATGCTTGCTCAGGTGTCGAAATTCAAACAAAGGCTGCAATCAGTGGCACCGTTTGTGGGTGGCCTCTGGGGCCCAATTCTCAGCTCTCTGCAGTGAGTTTTATATCTCCTTTTCCCTTTCCCTGTTTTATTTATTTATTAATTAACAATATTTTTACTTTGCTTGCAGGGAGGCATCCATGCCTATAAATTGTTATGTGCTAATTTGTGTTGATCTGTATCTGAAATCTTTTAAGTACCTCGCAATTTTCCTGGCTACCAGCCTGGAAATAGTTATTTCTGGGATTGTCCTGCTGACTTAAAAAGGGACAACATTAGGCTCTACATTACAGGACTGCAGCCAGAGTTGCCAACCAGTCTGTCTGGTTTGGGGGAGAAAATTAACCATTTCGTCTATCTATATAAAGCCAACTCCCAACTTTCCATTTCGCATTATGAGGAAACAGAACCCAAAGTGGAGCTATGTAGTGAACGAGCAGATTCAATTCTCAATAAGCAGGGACAGCTTAATCCCCATATTAAAACCAGTTTGGGGGGGGTCCCTCCCACATATTTAGAAATAAAGAAATTGGTTGTATTTAGTTTTACAGTAGCAGGTCTGATAGAACAGTGTGTTGTTGCCTTAGATTGCTATTAACGGTTTGTGTATATGCACACTGTCTCTAAACTCTGGGAGAAATAAAGAGGACAGTCACGTCATAAAGATCATCTTCTTCACCAGCTTCACCAAATTCTGGTTCATTTCCAGGCTATGTTCAAAGTGCTGGTCATTAACCTTTGACTTTTGGTTAATGGGAACACATAACTGGGTTTCTCTATTGTCACATCTCAGCCATGGAACAGCCTGCCCTAGAATATCTATTGGCTTCCTCCCAAAGAACATTTCATTCCAAACTAAACTAACTTTAGGTTGGCTGGCTGTTTTATGGTGTTTTCTGCCTGACTTCCGCCTAAAAAAGTATTTTATTGATATTATTATCATTTATTAATGATAATAATAATATAAGATACATAAAACAAGCAAAAAATATACAGGCAACCCCCATTTGTGTGGGGATTGTGTTCCAAGTCATCGTGTGCAATGGAGGAATGCATACAAGCCAATCCCAGCTTCTGTTTGGATCCCAGAATGTCCTGTTATTGGCCTGGCCCTCTGGTGCAAGTTCAGAGTGCCGGACCAAAAGATGCTAGCTCTGGTACAAGTCAGCTCTGGCACGACCCTGCTGACAAGCACCAGAGCCCCTCCTGACATCCTGATTTGGGGGAAAAAAATGTTGGAGGGTATGCATTCATGTGTGTGCCGGATGGAGATGGCCTTGGGAAGATTTCTGTTCCCCCTCTGCTCTTCCTCACCTTCAGCATGGTGATCGTCAACAGCAGGGCGCAGAGGATGGCTTCTATGCGAGCCAGCACAGCCACTTCGTAAAAGCTGGTGAAAGCCTGACGGTGCTTCTGGGAATGCAGCAAGCGTGCCTTTGCTAAACGGTTGTTGGTAAAGTGCAAGGCAGCAACAGTGATGGAAATCAGGGCCAGGAGCAGCCGGAAGCGACTGTAGTTCTGCCACAGGCATGGCGCCTTTTCCGGAGGTGTGAAGGACAGCTTTGGTAGGACAAAAGCTCCACTGAAGAGAAGCAGGCATATCTGCAGCAGAGAAGGAAAAGCCACAGGTTTTTGTTTTTTTCTAAATTGTTGGATTCCTTGCCTCCAGATAAGCCGGAAGTTGCTGTCATGGCCCAAAGTGACTGGATCCAGTATAGTAATACATTGGTACCTCGGGTTACATATGCTTCAGGTTACATACGCTTCAGGTTACAGACTCCGCTAACCCAGAAATAGTGCTTCAGGTTAAGAACTTTGCTTCAGGATGAGAACAGAAATCGCATGGCGGCAGCAGGAGGCCCCATTAGCTAAAGTGGTGCTTCAGGTTAAGAACAGTTTCAGGTTAAGATCAGACCTCCAGAACGAATTAAGTTCTTAACCCGAGGTACTTTGAATCCTAACAAGGTTAGTGCCAGGCTATCTGAGATACCACCTCCTCCCATATGAGCCTACCCATAAGATTTTTATCTTCTTCTGAGATCCTTTTTTATGCCTAAAGTGACTGAGGAATCCAATTTTTTGCCATCTTAAAGAGAAGGTTGGTGTCAGTCAGGTATGATTTGTAGGACACCTATAGAATATATTAGGTATTTGTTTAGAACAGTTTCCCAAACCTGGAGCTCCAGCCGTTTTGGACTACAATTCCCACCACCCCTGACCACTGGTCCTGCTAGCTAGGGATGATGGGAGTTGTAGTCCAAAAACAGCTGGGGACCCAAGTTTGGGAAACACTAGTTTGGAAGGCATTGAAGGCCCGGTTCTATGAGTATGTGTGACATAGTAGTCAATGTGATATACTAGGATTGGGGAGATTTAAGTTCAAATCATTGCTCAGCTGTAAAGCTCACTAAGTGATCTCTCTCAACCTAACCTACCTCACAGGGTCATTGTGGGAGGAGGAAACCTAGTTGACTGCCCCGACCTCCCTGAAGGAAGGAGATAATATAAATGTAATAAATATATTAAAATAAATAAATAGCGACCCCAAGCCCACAGGAGAGGAAGATGTGATGTGTATGTACTTTTGCCACGCCACACTGCCTACTGAGTTCCCTTGCGCTATGAAGTAGCCCCAGAGTGCGCTTTTCAATGCAGGATACCTACCATCATGACAAGGCGAAGGTCCACATTGTCACCTGACTTTAACATTGGGAAGGGGAATATGGACACTGAAGCAGTTGCCGGCCTGTCTGACGGAAACTCAAACAGGAGCATCACAGTCACATGCAGATTGACATCAGCATTGTACTGAGTGAACTCGACAAGCAGAGCTTTAGTCCTGTCATGAAAAGGATGCAGAGGAGAGAGATCTATGAATATCAAGTTGAGGAACAAGCTATAGAGAAATAGTTTTTTTGCTAACAGGTAGAGATTGGATTTTGGAATATGGCGATATAAAACTGGTTAGATTCCCCTCCCCTGAAGGGTTTTGACAGACAAGGTCTGGAAACTGAGAGGGAGAGGTGCCTTTTCCCTGACCGCCACCATCCCAAAGGAAAGATGACAGTATAAACAGTAACATCAGGCATGCTACATATCCACTTTACTACATATCCACGTCCACTTTACTTACACGTCCACATGACACATTTGATCCAGTTTCAGACCTGGCTAAGTGTCACGGCTTTCAATTGAGTCCTGAGAACAAGCTAACAACCTCCTTCCCTTGCAAAGCAAGAGCAAAAGCCCCACAGGGAACTGATTTTGTTTCTACTGGAAGACTTGAGTTTCAAACAAAAACAAAAGTCTTGGGCAGCTTGCCTTTTGTGAACCCAGTTGCTTGCTTGTAGGTCCTGCAATATCCTCTGAGCTTCTGCAGAGGTGTTCCCAAGCTCCTTTGCGCAGCCACCATTCGCATGGTAAAATCCTGCATGACCCCAGATCCAAAACCTGCCAACAGAGCCACATTGAAGGAACATGAATTTAAGCGTGTCAGAATGCCTTGGGAGCAATGTAAACCTCCTCTTTTTTCCTGTAGCCTTTTCTAATTCCCTTTGGAACATCCTCAACCACATCCTTGCACTTGGAACAAACAGTCAATCCAAGCTAAAGTATAGTCAAACTTTAAAGCAATGATCTGACCACATGACAAAGTTAGTGTAATGGTGTGTTTTTTTTAAACATACCTTTGCAAGCAAAGCTTTGGTCATAACTGATGATTAATTATTTAATTTCAATACCACTTAATATATTAAAGAATGTCTCTAAGCAGTGTACAGGAAACTGAAGCAACAACGGACAACTTAAAAGATTGCAAAAACACACAGTTACATATCAAAATGTTACATTAATACAAAGTTGCAAATACATAAAAATCAATATCAAGTCATTTTCCTTCTGACGCACACACACACCCTCCCTCCCGCTCAGCCTCCAGGTTCTCAGTCCAAGAAACTCAGCTCACCCACAAAAGTCTCACAGTGAGAAGAATTCCTGGAAACAGTGGGCATTACCCTAGTCTCTCACTCTCGACTTGCTTTTCATGGGCAGGCCCAAGATGCATAGTACATCCTCAGGCTGTGTCCTATTCAGTTGCCCTCTCCACACCCAGGTCCAGGTCCAGCAGGTTTTGTTGTTTCCCTAGGCGTCCAAAGGATGGGAAAGGGGACACCCTCCACCCGCAGCTCTTTCTTCACCCTCTGCCTCTCCTCCTCCTCAATCCTCTTAGATGATGACTGCCCAATCCACAGAGACATCCACATGTGACATTGTCATTCATACAACTGGTTCAACCTGTGGCAGCCTGTCTGGGCGTCAGCACAGATAGACTGAAAGCTGCCATGTGCTGATAGGGGTTGCGTGGCGAGTTCCCGCCCCCCCCCCCCAGGATAAATAAAGACACAAGACACCAAATTTTAAGGTTAAATGGGCGAATTAGGCCACAACTTTATTGAATTCAGGAATGAGAGGCATTGGCTTAGGCATTGGTCCTATCGACTATCCGGCTCCAGCCCATTTGCTGGAGACACGGGAAGGGTTAACACCATAGAGGGGGAGTCTCCTGCTGAGGCATGTCAACTAGGAGCTCCCCCGGGTCCTCAGAAGAGAAATAAGAAGGAGCTACAAGGGAGAAACCTAGAGGTAAGCATCCCCACATCAATTCATACCTAATAGAAGTGTGCTCAGTTGCGTCAGGGCATGCGTTTTTATTTGTATCCCTAGGAGCTTCTGATCTGGACCCAGACAAGTGGCACAGAGGACAGGGGCGGCTGGCAGTACTGAAGTGGTATATCTGAGATGCAATTCCAGGCCGGGGAAGTCCTAGGAGGCACAGAAAAATGTACAGGCAAAGCTTTTTAATTATTATTTTAAAGAATCTCAGATGCCACTTGCTAGATATTATGCCTTTCAATATATACAAGTGATTTTGTACACGCTCACACTCTCCACATTGGTAAACCAACCTATATTCGCCCTATTTCTCATTTAAAAACCTCTGGCATATGTTTAGGGGTTACCTGAGGGGTTGGCAAGGTTTACCTTGCCTGGGCCAGTTCACTCCAGCGGAGATACCTCCATGGGCTGGATTGCGTGTGAGCGTAAGTGCGTGCGCCTGTGATTTCTGGGGTCTGTGCAGATGCAATTTCCAGTGTCTGCGCATGCGCAGATGCGATTTTTGGTGCCGTGGAAGCGAGTCCCTGCACTATGCTACGCTGGTTTAGCACAGCGTGTGGGGACTCACCAAGCGGGTGGCTCGGTTCGGGGGCGGCTTGTGGGCCAGTTAAACGGCCCCCATGGGCTGCTTGTGGCCCATGGGCCTTAGGTTGCCTATCCCTGGGTTACCTTATTGCAGTCCCACAAAAGTCCCTCCCACTAATTCAGGTTGAATGTACATGTCACCTTGGGGCTTCTCTCAGATTCCGGTTACATTTCCCCCCCCCCCCCCATCCCAGCTCACTTTCATTTTTGTAGGGCGAATGTTCCCAATTTCCTCTTTTCATTGTTTGTCAAATGTGTCCATTAAACCAAGCCTGACTATGTTAGCTCTTCTGAAGTCTCAACGCTGTCTGACATTTTAAAAAAGCAACTTCGTTCCTTTCTTTGTTCATTGTTTTCTTCTTTTGGCCAAACACAATCTCTTACTGCCTGTTTTGTCAATTTACCACCCAAGAGAAAAAGGTGAACACCTAGATCCATCATTTGGCTTGTGGTGGAGCTTTGTAGCTGCAGCTGAGGCACTCCTACTATTGTCAGCTTTGTGTTGCCATAAAGGTATTTCAGTAGCACTGTGTCAATCCATTCCAATGTGTCGGAGTAGCTACAAAATAAGCAAAAGGAGAGAAAAAGGACCAGTGCAGTTCTTCAACCAAGTGGCCTGTTTTTAAAGCAAATCACAGCAATCCTAGAATTCTCTGACAATGAAATCCATCCCTGCTACAAAAATGCGGGTGAGACGAAAAAAATTGCTTAATTGCAACTGAACACGTACTGGAAAGTTGTTATATGGGAACGAAAATTTCTTGCCACCCCTGTATGATGATTTCACCCATCAATGGACTAAGGAATCCATCTGTGGGTGCAGCCAGCCAGTTCCAGTTTGCCTTTACAAGGAGGTATCTGCCACAGGGATGTGGGTGGTGCTGTGGGTTAAACAACAGAGTCTAGGACTTGCCGATCAGAAGGTCGGTGGTTCGAATCCCCACAACGGGGTGAGCTCCCGTTGCTCAGTCCCTGCTCCTGCCAACCTAGCAGTTTGAAAGCACGTCAAAGTGCAAGTAGATAAATAGGTACCGCTCTGGCGGGAAGATAAATGGCATTTCCGTGCACTGCTCTGGTTTCACCAGAAGCAGTTTAGTCATGCTGGCCACATGACCCGGAAGCAGTACGGCAGCTCCCTCGGCCAATAAAGCGAGATGAGCGCCGCAACCCCAGAGTCGCCTGTGATTGGACCTAATGGTCAGTGGTCCCTTTACCTTTACCTATCTGCCACAGGACCCAGAGGAACACTGAGAGCAACCTGTGGACTCCCCTTAGCCTTCAACCATCAGGGATTTGAGGATGCTCTGGTCTCTGAAAGTCTTAACATGAACAAGGCTGAGGGTGAAATAACTAGGGCAGGAGTCACTTAATGAACACTGTCCATGGAAGCCATGTGCAAGGGAATGTCCCCCATGCCCCACAAAACTGGCCCAGGAGGGTGTCAGAAGAACCTCAAGAACAACACACAGCCGGGGTAGAGGGGTGATCATTCTGAAATGCTTGCATGGACAATGTTCAATACAGTGTGACATTAAATTTCCAGATGAATAATGAATGTTAGTTTTTGGGTGTCACACAATGGTTTTACTGCAACAGAACTAGTACAGCAACCTTCCAGTCAAGAATTCAGCGACCCTTCCTTGCTGGAGGCCTTCAAGCACTTGCTGGGTAGAAATCTCTCGGGGATCCTCTATCTTCCCAAACGGAGCAAGGTTTGGACTAGCCAGCCTGACAAGGCCACCTCAGCTCTTATGATCCTATGACTACAAGAAGATGGAAATGCTGCATTGTTTTTCTATTTTATCTCAGCTTGCAGGATGCATTTGCAGCAAGGGTTTGTGTGTGTGTGTGGGGGGGGTTAATAGCACTTTTACAATTTGAAGAACATTTTAAAAATGTAAGGTGCTTTGTGTTAGAATGCCTTCAAGCACTTTGGGGAAAAAACAGCACACACTACAGTACAACAACTGCTCTAGTGTGAATATACTCTATGTAGCATCTGGCAACAATGACTGACACAGACAGAAATCTGGCAAGATGGACAAGCAGTTGGGCCACGTCTGATTGTATTTGCAGCTTTGTTCAAAGACAACTTACTTGTCCTTTGACACATTTGACTATTTGGTCATGTGGCGTCTTCCTGAAATATAATTTTTATTATGTTTCTCTAGAGATGGTGAGCTGCCTCCTCTGTCCATATCCCCTCTCTCTGGAGAGCTCACCTGCGCACAGAAGTGAAGTTCAGTCCTTTGTCGTTTGTCACAGAGATGGCCTGTTTGACAGCAGCATGCAGGAGGTGGACGTTGTTGTCATGGAAGCATCTCTGGTAATTGATGGTCAGCACAACCAGAAAGAACAGCATATGAGTGAGGCAGTTCTGGAGAGGAGGAGGTGGGAGAAGAAAGCAACAAATGTGATGGAGCATGAACAGGGACGTCAAGTACTGCCAATAAGAGAGTGATCAAAAACCAGACTGCAAAGAGGCGAAACCCCCAGAAATCGCTAATGTGCATTTATTATTTAATTTAAACATAGAAAGATGTAATGCTTTCCTACCACCTAACACTACCATTGAGTGACAACAACAACAAAATTAAGGTTGCATTACTATTTATTATTATTATTTATTAAAAACACTTTTATGCCACCCTTAAATTCGATTTCCGTGTCGTTTAAAGTACAAAACAATATTGGTCAGATCAGTTCAAATCCAGCCAGGCAGAAATTATCCATAGAATGGAATATCCTATCCTATAAAACCAGTCCAGAACACCAGCAGGATAACTAACTTCACTGAAGCCCTGGTCCAGCCATATGAACTTGTCCCTGTGCAAGACAAGTCGCTAATGTTTAGGTCAATGCCACAGTCTTATTGGGCAAACGTTTTTCAAAGAGTTGAAGGTGCTACACATCAAAGCAGCCTTTGCCAGCCTGGTGCCCTCCAGATGTTTGCTGCTACAAACTCCCATCAGCCCTAACCAGCATCCCTGTGTAATGCCAGGGCTAGTGGGAGTTGTAGTTCAAAACATCTGGAGGGCTCCAGGCTATCAAAGGCCAAGTTACATCCAGTATTGCTCTTGAGATGGACAGTTATTTCTTTTGCCCTGTTATCATCTCTGGTCAAACTGGTTTGGCAGAGCTTAGGGGCACCACAAGAAATCTATATACCTGTTTGAATCACTGATGCACTGCCATCCTAACTTTCAACTTCAAATTATAATCGGTCTCCAACCTTAGCTGCCGTTATCAATAAAGTTGAAATTTAAATCTGTTCTGACACCTAGTGGTCAAAGAAAATCCTCACACTTGCAATCTCGTTTTTTCTAATTCACTGATCATCACCAGCTTGTGGGTCAGGGACCAGGCCCACTGTTTGGTTGTAGCCTGATGTAAACTGAGAACACAAAATACATAATAAACCAAAAACAAATCAATAACCTCCCCTCCCACAAACACACTCCTCTTACCTTGATTGCCACTACCTCTGGCCACTGAGAGAACAGGATACAGCACTAGATCTGATCTAGGAGGGGTCTTCCTGTGTCCTTAGGTATCTTCTTCCTCTAGCCATCTTTATTCATTGCTCCATTGCTTAGAGCGGCCTCGGTCCAGTATAGCGTATCCACCCCCATTGTTCTACCCGGACACTGAGGTCCAGCACCGAGGGCCTCCTGGCGGTTCCCTCGCTGTGAGAAGCCAAGTTACAGGGAACCAGGCAGAGGGCCTTCTCGGTGGTGGCACCCGCCCTGTGGAACACCCTCCCAGCAGATGTCAAAGAGAACAACAACTACCAGACTTTTAGAAGACATCTGAAGGCAGTTCTATTTAGGGAAGCTTTTAATGTTTGATGCATTACTGTATTTTAATATTTTGTTGGAAGCCGCCCAGAGTGGCTGGGGAAGCCCAGCCAGATGGGCGGGGTAAAAATAATAAATTATTATTATTATTATTATTATTATTAGAGCGTCATTGCTTAGAGCCTAACTGAATATTCTATCAATTGCACCATTCTTCTTTCCCACCTCCATCATTTGTGCGGTTCCTCAAGCCACCCATTCCAACATTTTGCACAAGGGAAGAAGTCACTTACCCACATCAATCCTTTGAGAGCTCGGACTTTCTTGGCCTCTTCCTTGGCCTGCAGCAGCCCATAACCACAGGGCACGCGCACCTTCCCAACTCGTTCGGGCATCTGCTTAACCAAGGGCTTCTCCACCAGCCCATCAGCTTCGCTCTCCACTGGCTTGCTGATGAGAGCGGCATGCAGAGCCCCAAAGAGCACCTGAGAAAGCAGGTATATTCTCAAAGGCATTGCTGGAGGGGCAGAGGAAACTGTCTTCTGCCAAGTCAGCCCATTTAGTTAAGCACTGTCAACACTAATTGGTGCCAGCTTGCCAGCGTTGCACCCCAAACCCCCACCTACCAAGAGTCTTTCAATCCCTGGAGATGCCAGGGAATCCTAGTACAGTGGTACCCTGGGTTACAGACACTTCAGGTTACAGACTCCGCTAACCCAGAAATAGTACCTCAGGTTAAGAACTTTGCTTCAGGATGAGAACAGAAATCGTGCTCCGGCGGCACAGCGGCAGCAGGAGGCCCCATTAGCTAAAGTGGTGCTTCAGGTTAAGAACAGTTTCAGGTTAAGATCAGACCTCCAGAACGAATTAAGTTCTTAACCCAAGGTACCACTGTACAGAAAGTGTTAATTCAATACACAAACCTGTTCTTTCAAGATTTCATTGGCCTTCTCTCTAGACTTATGAGTGGATATCATGGCACTTCTTGACTCTGACCAAGAATATACTTCACGGGCAGCCTTTCTGCTGATTTCTTTTTTAAAAATTCACTAGTTTTTCTTCCCAGCCTTTTATTAGCAGGCCAGTTGTACAAATAGCCCTTACTTTGGTTTAGAGGGAAACTACGCATTAAATTGAAAAGTCATTAGATTTCCCATAAGCAGGGGAGGGGATTTTGGTCAGGAACATATAGAATGGGAAAGAGACTGTTAAATGCACAGCCTTCCCAGTGCCACTGCTTAATCTAGGAACTATCTCATTAAAAAGAAAGCATTAAAACATCACAGATCTCCCACATCATGCATAGTTTGGCCAACTGTGTCTTAAAAGAACTTAAAGGCTTACAGGCTGATTACAGAGTTGTTTGCAATAACCCTTTTTTGGTTTAAACATTATCTATACAGTGGTACCTTGGTTCCCAAACACCGAAAACCTGGAAGTAAGTGTTCCAGTTTTTGAACGTCTTTCAGAAGCCGAACGTCCGATGTGACGGTCGGCTATTGTTTCCGGGGCACCTGCACCAATCAGAAGCTGTGCCTTGGTTTTTGAACATTTCGGAAGTCAAATGGACTTCCGGAATGGATTAAGTTTGGCGCTTTTGTTTTTGCTATTTATTTTGCGTTTTTGTTTTTGAGGCTTTTTAGGTTAATTTGTTTTTGTGACTGGGTGGTACCCAGTTCAGCTATTGATTGATTGATTGATTGTGTGACTGCAGAAATGGATAAAAGCCCCTCATCCAAACAATGACCATCATCAGTGCAGGTAAGATTTTTTTTAAAAAATTAATTTTTAATCATCTACTATACTGTCTTATTTATTTTACAGTACAGTACATTGATTATTGCTTTCATTTTATGGATCAATGGTCTCGTTAGATAGTAAAATTCATGTTAAGTTGCTGTTTTAGGGGTTGTTTTTAAAAGTCTGGAATGGATTAATCTGTTTTGCATTACTTTCTATGGGAAAGCATGCCTTGGTTTTGGAACACTTTGGCTTTGGAACAGACTTCCGGAATGGATTAAGTTTGAGAACCAAGGTACCACTGTATATATATATAGCAGGTGTGACCGTTGAGAAAATTCCAGCAGTGCCAATGAATTTTGTTATGCTATTACCTTCATTGGCTCCAAAAAGATGAAAGATGTGGCGAAAGCAAAGGCAGAGGAGATCAGCCACATCAAGGCAGTGTGGTCAAGGAAGGAGGAGCCATATAAGATATTGATGGAGAAACAGCCAGCAAGCAGCAAGAAGATGGCTATGTAGATAGCTGGGAGCATTCCAGCAGGGAAGAGCCATTCCTGAGGTCTTCGGGGCACCCCTAAAATGAAGACAACCAAGCACCTGGAGTTACATCCCTTTTATTTGGAAGAATCCCAGGATCCTCTTCCCAAGAGCTTTGATTTCATCTGTATGAAAGCAGCCATGAGCATTTCTATCTCTGTTAGGTGGACACGGCATTCATCTATTATATCAATCCATCAGGGCAGGGCAAAATTACCCTTGCTCCAAGTATCGCCTCCTCCTAACCAGAAAATGCACCTTGCCCAATTTAAGAAAGCAATCTCATCCTCAATGCCTCAAGGTCCATAAGGGGACATCACTCAAGTGAAACCATATTCATTCTGCATTTCCACTTTAAAGTGTCCAATTTATTTATTTTTTAAAAAGAAACAAATAATATTCCAAAACAATATATGTAGCATAAACACACAGTGTCCAACAGTATTAACGCCAGTGTGTTCCCAACAAAATAAATTCAAAACAATAAAATCATGTAAAATCACAAAAGAGAAAACAATAATATACTACTTTGGGAAAGCATATACAGTTGTACCTTGGTTGTCGAACTTAATCCGTTCTGGGAGTCCGTTCAACTCCTGGAACTGTTCGAAAACCAAAGCGTGGCTTCCGATTGGCTGCACTTGCTTCCTGCACTCAATTGGAAGCCACGTTGGACGTTCGGCTTCCGAAAAATGTATGCAAACCGGAACACTCACTTTCGGGTTTGCAGCTTTCGGGAGCCAAAACATTCAAGTACCAAGGCATTCGAGAACCAAGGTACGACTGTATGAATACAGAAACTCAAAGCAACCTCCTACAGCCATTTATCTGCTTTTTACTTTAACAGTATGCATAAATAAAATTGTTTTCGCTGAAAGATATTATGGAAAGGGGCAGATGATCTTCTCTGAGGAGAGTATTCCAAAGTCTAGATGCAACAACAGAAAGGGATAAGTTGTCAGGGGTAAAATTTGACCAGGATCAAACGCTGCAACATCCTATCCTTTGTCAGCCCTTGAGAGCGCCATGAAAGTGGCATGCCTTTTTGTTGCACAGGAGTCCAGGCATTATCTTCACCTGGTCAATGAATTATGTGAAAAGAAAAACAGACTCTGTTTCTTCCCCCCACCACCCCTGCATTAGTTAAAAGGTAAAGGGACCCCTGACCATTAGGTCCAGTCGTGCCCAACTCTGGGGTTGCAGCGCTCATCTCGCTTTATTGGCCGAGGGAGCCGGCGTACAGCTTCCAGGTCATGTGGCCAGCATGACTAAGCCGCTTCTGGCGAACCAGAGCAGCGCACGGAAACGCGGTTTACCTTCCCGCTGGAGCGGTACCTATTTATCTACTTGCATTTTGACGTGCTTTCAAACTGCTAGGTTGGTAGGAGCAGGGACCGAGCAACGGGCGCTCACCCTGTCGCGGGGATTCGAACCACCGACCTTCTGATCAGCAAGTCCTAGGCTCTGTCCTAGGCGCACCACCTGCGTCCCATCCTGCATTAGTTAATCCAGAATAATTACTATGTCCCAACTCAGAATAAAATTCTGATTCTGCCTTTAAACAACTGTGCAAAAGGTGGGAGAAGCAATTTAGCTGCCTTGATCATATGTCCAAAGGGAAATTAAAGTGTGCTAAGGGAAATCTAATCTATGTTACGTCATATTACAGGTGCCCCCTGTCCCAGCACTGAGGCTCCCATAATACAAGTCTATGAGGACATATCCCATTAGTGTTCACACATACCAATCCGGGTAGAAAGCGAGGAAACAGTAGCAGGAGGAAGTTCCAGGTCAGAAAAGAAAGCGCTGCCAATATTGGTCATAGCAGAGATGTAAGAGAACGACTTCCGTAGTAAGCCCCAGCTGCTTCCATGCTGCACAATCCCATCGGACCAGCCACTACTAGGACTTTCCATTCTGCCAGCCAAGGGAACAAAAGAAGAATGTGCCAGAATTAGAGGCAAAGGACGTGTCTCAGCCACCAAGGAAGGTACAACAACGCATAGGAGCCATTTCAGAAGGGGGGGGGGGGGGCTACAGGCAGCTCACAGCCCTGTCCAGGCTAGGCTGGCACAGACATGTCTAATTTTCAGGCTAATGCAGGCTTGCTGCTATTGCACCAGGATGAGGTTGGATGAGGCTTGCTGCTATTGCACTTGGGTTGAATAATATGTGTAATATAATATAATATAATATAATAATAATGATATATAGAGTTTTAATTCTATAAACGATCAGATCGTGAAGCTGAGGCTCCAATACTTTGGCCACCTCATGAGAAGAGAAGACTCCCTGGAAAGGACCCTGATGTTGGGAAAGATGGAGGGCACAAGGAGAAGGGGACGACAGAGGACGAGGTGGTTGGACAGTGTTCTGGAAGCTACCAGCATGAGTTTGACCAAACTGCGGGAGGCAGTGGAAGACAGGAGTGCCTGGTGTGCTCTGGTCCATGGGGTCACGAAGAGTCGGACACGACTAAATGACTAAACAACAACAATTCTATCAATGTTTCCCTGTTGTTTAATTATTATTTTCTGGTTTTGGTGGTTTTTATTTGGTGGTATAAATAAATATATAATAATACTTTAAATATATTATTTTTTAATAATAATAATAATCAGGCTTAGCTTGTTCAGACCTCACTTTGAGATACATTGTGCTGGGGGTGCAGATACACGCAATCTAAGTGTAGCAGAATCAGTTTGAACACAGCCTCTCTGCCTAGAAAAGCAATGCCTCAAACCACTTTCACCACATATCTGTCTGTTTTCATTAACCAAAATATGCTTTTTAAACTGAAAACAACCCAAATGGGAATGAATTACTGTATTTATGTGTATAACTCAATTGATTGAGATATTAATTATTACGAGTTTGGGCTGTCCATTCATTTACTGTCTTAAAGGCCTTGTTCCCTCCGCCCCTACGAGCCCCCATCTCTTGAGTAGAATGGCTGCTCAAGGCAGCAGCAGACCAGGCAACATACCCATCATAGATGAGATCTGCTTCAACTTGAGGTGAAAACCGGCCACTGTCAGATGTGACACAGTCAGAGATGTTCTCCTGAGTTCTGTCAACAACACAGTTGAGCAAACCTTCCGCTGTGGGGACAATAAGAAAAACCAAAGTTATAAAGTAGACCCTACTCCTAGGCCTTCATGCAGCTAAGCTTCCTTTTCACCTTCCCAACCCCATTTCTGAAGCCAATTCTCTCACCTATTTTGCAGCCCTGCTTTGCACCCCACTTTCCACCTTCATCCCTATGTCCATTCCTCCTACCGCACATTACAACTACTAAGCACCTTTTTCATTACAAATCCTCCAAAGGGGATCTGCGTGATGACAGCCTTACATTTTTATGTATATAGGAAGAAGTAACTCATTATGAGGAAGGCCAACTTTCAAAGTTCCTTTTCAGAATCAAAATAGCATAAAAAGCAAACAAACAAGTGTACCCTAAACCAGCTGGAAATTGCTTTCACTTATGATTGGCCCAAATTTATCAGTAAAAGGATGCAGTGCAATCCTAGACATGTTTACTCAACAGCGAACCCTGCTGTGTTCAGTGGGACCTACTCCCCTAGTGAGTATTATTTAGGATTGCAGCCTAGGTTGATTAATCTACCAAGTAAACCTTTGGTTCATTTTTTTACCACTGCCAAACTTTTACTCATAAACATGAGTGAATCTATGTGTGAGAGAGACTGAGTGCAAGGGAGACATAGTAGGAAAAATGTGGTAGGAGATTACCAGAGTGATGGCCACAGCTCGACCTCCTACTGTCCTCAGAATCTCTGAATGAAAAGGACAGGGGGTCATCATCAGAACTGGACATGGAGTCAATTCCCAACTTTGCAATTGCCTTCTTCCTCTTGAGAATCCGACTTCCATTCATCAGGGGGTCAGAGTTCAGAAGGTCAGGAATATCAAAGATGCTGTTGCATGAAGGCCATTGATTGGCAGCCCTGCAGATTTTTGAAAAGGCACCTGAATAAGGTCAGAACCTTGGCCAGTAGGAAGCTCACACCTTGTTTAACTAGTTGAGGATGCTTCAACTGTAGCTAGACAATCTGAAACAGACTTTCACATCCCTGACCATTGCCCCTTCTGGCTGGGGCTAATGAGAGAGCCAGCAACCAACATCATCGGTAGGAACTGGGTTAGGGAAGGCTGTTCTAGGGTGAGAAAATATTCTTGTGCCTCAAGAGTCTGCTCAGACAAACCTACCAAAGCCAGGATGCTACTGTAGCTAAGTGCTTGGATATGCCAGCAGAAATCCAAGGTTCCACTCAACTAAGAAGGTTGCTGGATAGCTGTAAGCAAAGTCATAATTTCTCAGGGTTGTTGTGTGGCTAACTCACCACTCTGAGGACCAAACTAAACATGAGATTTATTACATGCTTTGTCCCGATGCGTGCGCACCCGCCCACACGAGATGAAGCAGCATCATGGGAGAGCTGTTTCTAGGACCAAGATGAAACTGTCATGCTCCCTTGCTATTTTTGCTATTGCCACGCAGTGTTGTAACAATACCTGTCGTTGCCTATGAAGTCCTTCTGGTTGGAAACTGGCTTTCTACTAAAGAGGGATTCCTGTAAAAGACAAAATAAAACAAATAAAAATGGTCAAAAGGGAGGGAAATGCCAAGTATGGATGCCACATAAAACCAAGAAATGTAAACCTCAAAGGAACCTTCATCCCGATTACCATTCAGGGTATAGAAGTAAACTAATCTCTCTGCTACTATGTCATATTGAACGGAAGTCAAACTGAGGGTGACTAGATGAAATAGATGACAGGGCACCACCTTTTATAGTTGTGTAGAACATAAAATAAAGGTGGATACCGTTTTTCTTTACTCCTGCAAATGTATCACACGACCTGAAGAATTTATTCCAGCAAAGCAGCTCTTTTAAGATGGAAGTGGCTGACAAAGGCATCACAACAAAGAATTTTATTTTGTAAAAAAAAGAAGCAGCAGCAGCTTTGAAAATGCAATATGCCCTCTAGATGTCCTTGGTAGCCAAATCCCCTGCAGTGGGATGAGGAGGCAGGAGTTTAAACCAGGAAATCCAAACCTCTCCTCAACTACAAGCTCACTAGCTGGTCTTAGGTAAGCCACAGTTTCTCAGACTCAGCTCCTGCATTTGCAACATGGGGGTGATGATGATGTTGATGATGATGATAAGAAACAAGCAATCAAACTACCTCACAGGGTTCTTGTAAAGACAATCAAGATAATATATGTATAGCACTTTGAACATTATATATTGATATAAATGCTTTTTAAAACAATAGCTCAAGCCTGGGGAGGTTGCTGGTTGGTTACAGGATCTCATGCAAGTTCAGCATTTGGCTGTTCCATATAACACTGTGGAAATTCTTTCTATTGCCACTATGAGGCCCACAGAATAGCTCTACTCACACTGCCAACAGAACCCATATCCACAATGGACTCCATTCTTCCAGGGACAGATAAGAAGGAGGAGCTACCCAAGTTAGAGCAGTCAAGAGACACATCCATCTCCACAGTCTGGCAGTCCTGAGCAGGCGGGTCAGGATCTTCTATTACAATCTGTTGGACAGAGGGGACATGTTCACACACCCTAACCAAACATTCAGTGGGGTCCTTGTCCTGCTGCCACCCACTTGAGAGGCTGGTGTTCCACTCAGCACTTGCTTGGCAATTTCTAATTCATTTCACAATGTAAAGGAAACGATTCATGACTCAGCGGTCCCTTCCAGCTCTATGATTCTATAGCACTTGTATTCTTCCTATTCTTATCAGTTATGTCTGTTTTTGTGGCTTTCCTTCCTCGGTTCCTGGTTAGCTTTCTCTCCATGTCGCCTTTATGATTGAAGGAGGTACCTTACTGCGTGTTTTCCGGAAGAGAAAACTGAAGAGTAGTTGTATTGGGTAAACCATGACTGCTGCAGTTATTCCAACCACAATGCTCTCTGCAGTCACAGAAATCTGTCTTCCAACAGGATAGCTGCAGGGGGAAAAAATGTAGATTTAGCCATTTAGCCAAAGCCTAGAGTAAATGAGCAATGATCTGAATAGTGTCATATTTTATGTGGACTCCTTTCTGAGGGCACAGTTTTTAGACCACACACACAAACATAATATCCATGCATCAGATAGTCAGCGCTCGAAAGGAGCCATCTGATTATAGCCATACAGCTAAAGCATCTAACTCCCCTCTCCCCCAGGCATCCTGGGAACTGTAGTTTGTTAAGATGCTGGGAACTGTAGCTCTTCGAGCTCTTTGGCCAAAGGTCTAATAAATAATAATAATAATAATAATAATAATAATAATTTATTTATACCCTGCCCATCTGGCTGGATTTCCCCAGCCACTCTGGGTGGCTTCCAACAAAATACTAAAATATAATAATTCATCGAATAGTAAAAGCTTCCCTAAACAGGGCTGCCTTCAGATGTCTTCTAGAAGTCATATAGTTGTTAATTTCTTTGACATCTGGTGGGAGGGCGTTCCACAGGGCGGGTGCCACTACCGACAAGGCCCTCTGCCTGATTCCCTGTAACTTCGCTTCTTGCAATGAAGGAAGGCCCTCGGCGCTGGACCTCAGTGTCTGGGCAGAACGATGGGGGTGGAGACGCTCCTTCAGGTATTCTGGACCAAGGCCATCCCCCACCCCATGATTTGGGGGGAAGAGAGTGTCATGTGTTTTAAATGGATGGTGTGTCAGTAACATTCCACTGAGCTCATCCTTCCTTTCTGTTTGCACCTGTTGCGCATTCCATCCCTTGTTCCCAGATATGCTCACCTGTGGCCCTTAACTCCAACTGCACCATACCAGACGGCACACGTAGCTAGGAAGAGCTGAGCCATGAGCAGGCAGCAAGTGAGCCTCTGTACCCGGGTAAAGCGGCTGTTAGGAGGACGGCTCCAAACAGAAAGCCAGATGTGCCAGTCGGAAAACCCAAGGTGCATCTGCGCAGGGAAAATTCGGGAAAAGCATCTCAGTTCCTGTGGACCTGTAAACAATAACAGAAACCAAATTCACTGCCTCCTAGTTGCTGCCGACAGCATCTCTTCATGCTGAACCATCCTTATTTCCTCTAGCCAGCATCACCATTGTCATAATTATTTAACTACTGGACTTGTCACTAATTTTGGGCAGCAGTTACCTTGTCAGTGATGCACAAAACTTTTCATATATGAAAAAATTGAAGAATATCATGTGCAAAATGTCACAGTGTTTTTCACAGAAACATCCCCCCCAACCTTTTTCAATTACTCAGGCCTTTGGTAATTAAATGGGCCCCTATGGTGGTGCCCATCCTTTAATGGATTGGTTAGAACTTGCCCTTATTAATATGTTATTGGATGAGCATTTTGTGTGTTTTTGCATTCACTGTTTTAACTTTTCCAGTTTTAATTGTTTTATCTGCAGCATTTTATCCTGTTTCCCCCCTTTTGTATTAAGTGACCAACAAAATTACCGTATTTTTTGCTCTATAAGACTCACTTTTTCCCTCCTAAAAAGTAAGGGGAAATGTGTGTGCGTCTTATGGAGCAAATGCAGGCTGTGCAGCTATGCCAGAAGCCAGAACAGCAAGAGGGATTGCTGCTTTCACTGCACAGCAATCCCTCTTGCTGTTCTGGCTTCTGAGATTCAGAACATTTGTTTTCTTGTTTTCCTCCTCCAAAAACTAGGTGCGTCTTGTGGTCTGGTGTGTCTTATAGAGCGAAAAATACGGTAATAAACAATAAAAACACAAATAATAATAAAAACATTCCAGTTCCCCAAAACCCACATTTTTTATTTTATTTTGTGAGGGAAAGGAAAGTTTGGCTGGGATTAAAGCCCCCACCTCTAGGGACAAGAATGGCTTCTGAGGCAGGCTGAGGTCTAGTGATAAAGGGGCCACAAGTCACCATGTGATTGATAATTAGATGCAACAGACTGAGAAAGAGGAAGTAAAGCGAATGAGAAAGCGCTCAAAGAAAGTAGTTCAGAGAAAGAAGAAAATGAGTGTGTGCGTTAAAACAGATCTGGCTTTAAATCGGGGTGGGGGCAAGGTGCCCACATGGTTGGCTCCCATGATTGGTCTCTGCCCCGTTAGGCTTACCTGTTAGCAGTGGCAGACTCTGGGAATCCACCAACCATCTAAATTACCCACAGTGCCCCTGGAATGGTGCAATGATTCCCAGAACCAGCTGCAGTCAAGAGAGTGGGTGGACCAAAATGCCTACGACTTGGGTCCCAGCAGCTGCTCAAGGGTGCTGATGCTGGTCTTAATATTAAGAAACTGCCATGGACTATATGGAACTGGCGGAAATGACTGGCAGAATCCGAGACCAGGTAGAAGAGTCGGTGGAAGAAGATTGGAAGAAATTTAAGGACTATCTACAGAAATATTGTAAAATTAATGAATGTTAGAATGATGTTGGATAGAAATTAAGTGGTTTTCAGCTGTAATACTATAAGGGAATATGAAAAATGGATTATAAATAGGTAAAAATTTAACGTTACAATACTTTAAGATTAAGGACTAGGATAAACAAAGAGGGTAGGGATTTGCTGAACCAACAAACTGAGCTGGAATACAAAAAAGGGAGGTATGAGGAGGTCCGGGAAATAAGCTAATGAAAAACAAGTAATGGAAAGATTGAGTTGTTTTTAGCCATTTTTATTTTTTTATTTTTTTCTCTTTTTTGTTTTTGTTTTGTAATATTTTGAAAATCTTAATAAATATCTTTTAAAAAAAAAAATATTAAGAAACTGCCCAGTGTTCAAGGCAAGATGTAAGCTATGTCAACTCATCACTACTGTACAGTCATACCTTGGTTTTCGAACAGCTTAGTTCTCGAACGTTTTGGCTCCCAAACGTCGCAAACCTGGAAGTAAGGGTTCCGGTTTGTGAACTATTTTTGGAAGCTGAATGTTCAACGGGGCTTCCGATTGGCTACAGGAGCTTCCTACAGCCAATCAGAAGCCGCGCTTTGGTTTCTGAATGTTTTGGAAGTCGAATGGACTTCCAGAATGGATTCTGTTAGACTTCCAAGGTGCAACTATATAGTACTTTGCTCTGGAAGTGGCAACTGTTTTTGTAAACTGCTTTGAGGGTTCTTTTTTTACAATCAAGCGGTGTATAAATTTTATGAAATAAATAAACAAGGGCCAAGAAGGGTAGACTAATGTAGGATACCAGAGACTTGATATCCCATACTGGTTTCAACTACCCAGCCAATTTTCTAGTCCCGTGGTTACCAATACCTATGAAAACTGCAGTGGTCAGGACACTATTCCCACAGGCTATCAACTCACATGCTGCAAGGACCTCTTTTTCCACCATTCCCTCATTCTTTTCATTTTCCACAGACAGCCAGTCCTCCACTAGGAAGAAGTACATATTGTCTGTCTGCTTGTCCCATACAATAACGTGCTGCAGGTACCAAGAGGGGTCCAGACCTGGTCATAAAGAAAGATGGTGAAGCCAACATCCCCCAAACAACTAGTTGAATGACAACTGTTCAGGACTGTGGCAACAGGGGGCACCGGACCACTCAAATGGGTGGGTGCCCAGAGATGGGCTCCCAGAAACTTTGCTCCTGCCTGGTCCCTTTTGATTGTTTTTTTTTGGATTTAGTTTGCAGTTAAGGAGGAAAGAACTTAATCCCGAGTCCTGGTTCAGAAACCACACTAAGCCAAACTTTGGCATAGCACAGCGCAGCAGCTGAAGGGAACAGGGAAGAGCACAGCAATTGTGAGCTCCTCTCTGGGATCCTTTATGTTCACACAGCTTGGCTTAGCACAGTGGTTCTCAGACTTATTTCTCTGGGTCACACTTTAATAAAAATTTGCTTGTGCCACACTGAATTTTTTATTGATAAGAAATACATTTCAAAACACAGCTAGTATCCTCAGTATCACTTGACGCTCTTGCTCTCATTTTGAAGATATCTATCCATATTCTGCAAATAAATAAATAAAAATATTTGATACTACACTATACAGAAATGTTTAAATGTTTCTTTGATTGTCCTTGAATCTTCCTGCCACATTTGTGGTCTTCTCCCTTTGAGAACCACTGGGTTATAGTGTAATCAATTTACAACATTTGATGATGGAAATAAACTTAGCAAATTCATGGAAGGAAGATCTATTAAAGGCTATCAGGCTGCACAGACACCATTCATTTAAAGCACATGACTTCCTCCATAGAATCCTGTGAGTTTATTCCTCAAGGAGCTACAATTCCCAGCACTTTTAACAAACAAAATTCCCAGGATTCTTTGGGGGAAGTCATGTGCTTTAAATTTATGGTGTGCATGCAGTCTTATGCTGAATCGTTACATGAAGCAGAATGCCAGACTCAGGGACAACCAGGGAAAGCCAACACCATCACAACCTGCTTGTGAACACTCAAAGGTACCTGGCTACCTAGAAATTCTGCTGTCCATAGCAAATTCCAAGACTGGGCTTTCTGGACTGTGGGCACCTTGCTTTTTGCTCTGCAGTGTAATGTAGTGGTTAGATCATGGGTAGGCAAACTAAGGCCTGGGGGCTGGATCTGGCCCAAACACCTTCTAAATCTGGCCCGCAGACGGTCCGGGAATCAGCATGTTTTTACATGAGTAGAATGTACAGTGGTACCTCTGGCTGCAAACGGGATCCATCCCTGAGGCCCGTTCACAACTTGAAAAGAACACAACCCGCGTCTGCGCAAGCGCATGTCATTTTTGCGCATCTGTGCATACGCAAGCGGTGAAACCCGGAAGTAACAGTTTCCGGTACTTGCGGGTCGCCGCGGAATACAACCTGAAAACGTGCAACCTGAAGCAAATGTAACATGAGGTATGACTGTATTCTTTTATTTATAATGCATCTCTGGGTTATTTGTGGGGCCTGCCTGGTGTTTTTACATGAGTAGAATGTGTGCTTTTATTTAAAATGCACCTCTAGGTTATTTGTGGGGCATAGGAATTAGTTCATTTTTTTTCCAAAATATAGTCCGGCCCTGCTGAAAAAGATTGCTGACCCCTGGGTTAGAGTGTTGGACGAGAACTGGGGAGACCTATCCAGTATCTCTTAACCTAAGGGTGAAATGGGAGGCAGGGGAATCATGCACATTGCCCCTGAACTCCTACGAGGAAAGGTAGAACATAAATGTATTTTAAAAATTTAAAAGCACAAAAAGAGCATTGATTGTCAAGTCATACCCGTGTTATCATGCCAGACATGGATCTTCCAAATCTCTCCTAGGTTTGCATCCGTTTCTATTTGGAAAATATCCTGGCTGTTTCTCTGGAAGGCCCAGCCCTTGTCCAGGTGGCGAGAGCCGCTTTTGTTCAGCCCATATAATCGGATCCCTATATGGGCTGTGGTACCTTCAAAAGATGTGCAGCATAGCGGAAGGTAATGTTAAATTAAACTCCTGTGAATCATTAGCTCTTTACAACAAAGGGTCTCGTAGCACCTTAAAGACAAACAAATTTCTCAGGAGTGAGTGGAAGGTGCAAATACCAGGGGAAAGGGCGAGTACGGAAGCATGTTCAATGGTGAAACGGGCTGTCAGAACAATACCCTGTCTCTTCCCATCCCTACCTGAGCCTCTTTTCCAGCCGGTCTTCACTATCAGCCAGTACTTGTACCGTCCAGGCTGACCACACCGAGGGATGATCCCTACCCGAGTGATGTCAATGTCGTCCAGCTTGTGGGATATCAATGCTATCCCCAGGTAAATGGAGAAAAGGACGGTGCAAGTGATCAGTGCCAAGGGACTCTGCCAGGAATGCTTCCTCTGAAAAAAATTAAGCAGACTGGGATTGGCGTGCATAGCGGGGGAGGAGGGGAAGGCTCCAGGTTAACCAACCAGTGGAGAAACTGTGGTTCTCTGCTATACACACACACACAATTTCAACATATCAAAACATATCATATTCATTATTTTTTCCCTTCCCCCCACCTCCCCAACGAACCCTCCCTCCCTCCCAAGACTTCTCTCAGTTCCTCTCTCTGATTTCTCAACACATATTGTTCTCTGCATACTGTAATATTGTATAAATCCTTATATTATCTATCTACCATATTAACCATCAATAAATTTGTGTAGGTTTATTCAAAACCTGCCAAGGAGTCCAGTTCATTTTGTTGTCTTTTTAGATAGTTTCATTCTTCTTTGAAGTCACAGTTGTCCTTATCTCGAAGTTTGTATGTCAGTTTAGCCAGTTCTGCATAGACCTTTATTTATATATTTGGGCACTTAATATACCACTCACATTTAAACAAATCTCTACATGGTTTACACACCACGCAATTCAACAGGAGTGAAATGCACTGCACCATCCTGCCCCCCCCCCAAGCCATCCCTTGCTTTGCTGATCTCACATTAAAGCCAAGCAGATGATGCTTCTTACCCGTACTCTAAAGGAGACAAGGCTTTCTGTTTCCAAGTCATTGTGGACCATGCATTACAATATATCAGGCCACAAAATCTGCAACGTAACTGTTTGTTTTCTGCTACTCTAATAGGCTGCACATATGTTTGATCTTCCAAGCTCCACAATTATTATTATTATTATTATTATTATTATTATTATTAAATGTATCCTGCAGGTGTTTTATTTAATTCTTCCTTTGGATTAGTGTGCTTCATTGGTCATCCTAATGGATGTTACGTCACTTCATGCTTGACACCTGAAGTTTGTTGTGTTTTGGGAAAACTGATTAAACAGCTTGTGATGCGCACACAACTCATACCAGCCACAGGTGGTAGCTCACGGGTACCACAGGTAGTAGCACCACAGGTAGTACCACGAGTAAAGAATATATAAAATCCTGGGCATTTGGGCTTGCTTGCCTGGGACTGCCAAAACAGCATTTGGTGGGTCTTTCTATACATGGCTGGAGCCTGATATTCTGTGAGGAGGATCCCAAGTAGCGCAGGCTTGGAATATCCTCCCCATTAGGGCCATGCATATCTCAAGGAGATCAATGTTAACAAGATGTTGCCCACCGACTGATGGGAGCCTTGCCCACTCATCTTCCCTCTGCATGTCTAACTGAAAAGGAAGTTCTTACCGGTGGCAAGAAGACAACACTGTGAAGAGGCACAAAGAGGCTACCCCCAAAGACAGTGAGATGCTCCGTCAGGCAGACAATCTCCTTGGGGCTGGTGGCAGCTGTTGGGGTCACTCCATCTGCACTCCACTGCATGCTGGGAAAATGGAAGTACTGGCAAAGGCTGGCAAAAACAGAGACGCTGGCGCGGACGGGGGAATGCCAGAAGTGACTGGTGATGTTGATGTAGTATTCCTGATGAGTCGCATTGAGATGGTGACTGGATGGAAGAGGTCGACAGCCACAAAATTAGCACAAGTGCATAACAGTGAAGCATCTGTAGCTACCTCTGGATTAACTAACACTACAGGGAATGTAAATAATCTCTGCAGCTTTGATCCGATGGGCCAAGGAGCACTGCCCCAAGGAGAACATGCTTTCATGTCCTTTGAATGATCGATATGAGACAAGTATCTGCTCAGAAGCAGGACCGGATTTAGGTTTGATGAGGCCCTAACCTACTGAAGGTAATGGGGTCCTTTATATGTCCAGCTGTCCTTTGTCAACAACAAATTGTCACTGTTTTTTGTGTTGAATATATGCTATAGGGTAATTTATGGACCTAATAGGTATCTAAAGCCATTTGCACATAACAAAATATGTATTTTATCAAAGCAATTGTTGAACTGAAATACAATTACAGGATCAGGTTTAAGGTGCTGCTTTTAACCTTTAAAGCCCTAAACAGCCTAGGACCCTCGTACCTATGGGACCGCCTCTCCTGGTATTCCCCATGGAGGACCTTACGGTCTACAAATAACAACACCCTGAAGATTCCAAGCCCCAGGGAGATTAGACTGACCTCAACCAGAGCCAGGGCCTTTTCGGTCATGGCCCCAACCTGGTGGAATGCTCTCTCACAAGAGACCAGGGCCGCAAGGAGATTTGACATCTTTTTGCAGGGCCTGCAAGACACAACTGTTCCGCCAGGCCTTTGGCCAGGGTTCAGTCTGACTCATTTTCTCTTTGTATGAACAAGTACGAAGGAGGTTTCCCAGCCCGCTCACAGGTCCTTATAATATCAGTGGAAATAGTCGGTCCTGGCAAGTATTAACAGCTTTCAATTTTAACCTGAGGATGGCCATTTATACAGTCTAATTTTAATTTATTTGAATTAATTTTGGGATGCATTTTAATCGATTGTTTGTTTTTATGTATATTGTGTTTTATATGATGTTAGCCGCTCTGAACCCAGCTCCGGCAGGGGAGGGCGGGATACAAATAAAATTTATTATTATTATTATTAATTCAGAAGAAGTATATTAATAGTGAATTTTTTAGGGGCCCCCAAGAGACTGGGGCCCTAAGCTATAGCTTGTTTAGCTTATACATAAATCCAGCACTGCTCAGAAGTGATCTGACCCTTACAACCAGTGTCATCTGCCATTCTATGCTCAGCGAGCATCTATCTGCACTGGAGACATATTACCAGTGGCGTAGCGTGGGGGGTGCAGGGGGGGCCGGCCGCACCGGGCGCAACATCTGGGGGTTAGGGGGCGCAAATCCACGGGTTAGGGGGCGCAAATCCACGGGTTAGGGGGCGCAAATTACTTGCCTTGCCCTGGGTGCTGACAACCCACGCTATGCCACTGCATATTACGAGCGGCTAGTGATGGGCAGGCATTTACTAATGTAGACCAGGCACTCCCCACTTTGGCTCGAGGGCTCAACAGTAACAGCAGCTCAAGGAATTGGGAATGGGAACAGCCTCTAGGTCAGACATGCTAGGTCTTGACCTTTAAAGCCCTTTGTGGCTTAGGGCCCTCGTATCTACGGGACCGCCTCTCCTTGTATGCCCTGCAGAGGACCTTAAGGTCCATGGATAACCATAGTTTAGAGGTCCCGGGCCCTAAGGAAGTCACACTATCCACCACCAGGGGCAGGGCCTTTTCAGTGATGGCTCCGACCTGGTGGAATGCTCTGTCCTATGAGACTAGGGCCATTCAGGATTTAATCTCCTTCTGTCGGGCCTGTAAGACAGAGCTATTCTGCCTGGCCTTTAATTTGAATTCAGCCTGATCTTTTATTTCCCTTTTCTTCCCTCCCCCTCCCCTTTTATGAAGATCACCCGCTCTGAGACCCCACAGCTAATTTTCCCCTGACCTCCTTGCTGGCCCAAGTAGGACCAATTCAGCCAGCTAGCCCTGGGGATTATTTAATTGATTTTTATTGTTATTCATGTTTTTATACTGTATTTTATGCTGCTTTTATAATTAAGTGTTTTAAAGTGTTTTTAATTTGTTGTTAGCCGCCCTGAGCCTGGTTTTTGAACCAGGAAGGGTGGGGTATAAATAAAAATTTATTATTATTATTATTATTATTATTAGAGAATTTGAGAGAGAAAAGGGGTGTCTGGATAGGCAAACAACACTTACAGAGGAGAAATTAAGAGGGTGACGTCCCTGCTGCGGTTTTCCTCCAGGCCATTAGAAAAGGCAATTTCCTCCTTCAAGGTGTAGTGGAACTCATTGGGACATGGAGCATTATGTCCATAAAGATAAAGGGAAGGAACCTTCTCCTGGCTGAAACCAAAGCCTGGGAAGAAAGGATAGGATCGTTTCAGTCCACTTGCACGAGCTAGAGAAAATTAAGTATGAAAGGAGAGATAAAACAGGTTTGGAAGAGGAAGTGCCACATTGCCGCTCACCAATGGAGTATAAGGAAACTTAAAGAAACTCCTGAGTCTCATTACCTGAGCATTCTCCACTATTCCCCTCCCACTTTTCCCTGCCACACTTACCCTCCATCACTGTGAAACTGACATGGACATGTGTCCCTGTCATGTTGCTGCCTGATGCAACTTTCACAGTGAAGTTAACAGAGTCTCCTGGTAGGATGACCAATAGTGTTTGGGGCAAGTCTTGCAGCTTCTGCTGTCCAGCAGGTAACCGAAGGCTGATGGCTCTCTCCTTAGGCAGGTTGGCAACCGAGATCGGCGCTCCTGCTGGAGTGGTGAACTCCAGAAGCGCAAGGTGGGTGGAAATGGCAGAGTTGGTGTAGTAGTTGAAAGGGAAGGGGTTGATGGCAAGGTCCATGGTGACCTGCACCACCTCTTGGCTTTCTGCCAGCTGTTTGGCAAGCGTCGTGGGCACAGAGAAGAGGCACTCCGTCGAGGGGGTCGTGCACAGCAAATTGCTGGCATCCGCCCTTTTCCCCTGAACATGGATATCGGAGACGGAGAGTGACAGAGTCTCCTCATTCAGCACTCGGGACTTCATCAAGGACCTCATCAGAGCACGAGTGAGATTGAAAGCCGAGGAGACCCAATTCCTGAGGGTTGGTTCCTTCGACAGGCGGTTGTTCGCCACCATGTGCAGTCTCGTGTCTTCGGTAGTTAACATTATCCCTAGGAGCAACATGATAACATATCAGGAGACACAGTCCTTTATAGCCACTCACTCCCATACCTGTTTTCACAATCTCTCTTCAAGCGATTATGTTTGCTTAATGACCTGAGAGACGGGCCCACTCACAGTAGGTTTTCATTGTGTCTTGAAATATACTTGGAGTCGAGAGTGGATTTCATGCTCTTTATTCAGCTCATAGTGGTGAGGAAGAATGGAAGTTCCCCCAGAATGTCTGCTTTATATACATTATTTACACAGTGGGCCCCATGTGATTGGCTAATTCCAGGATTCTCCTGTAGGCCAATCAGGTTGCGGATTCACTTCCACCTGGAGCTGGATTGGGTGGCTCCTGTGGACCAATCAGACTGCTGCACTCTGAATCCTATTGTTCTAGGACCAATCAGACTGCTGCATTTTGGATCCTATTCAGCTCAGTACATAACAGTCTTCTCTGACAAGTCTGCCAGGAAAGGTAGCTTTTCCTTCATACCAACTGCACATAAAAAATAATAAAAAATAAGGAAAACAAAAAAGGCCAGAATTTTTTAAGTAGCTCCTAGAAATCCATGTGCATATGGTCTGAAAGAGACCTTTGCTTAGCATGGATGTCATAGCCATTGTTCACTGTTGCTATGTAATGTAATGATACGACTTAGGTATTTGACTTTTCGGAGTCAGCCCTTGGCATTGATAAGGAAAATAGATTCTTATCCTTTCTTTAAGGGGCAGCATGAGAACAAAGGCAAAGGATTAAAGGAAGCCATGGGAGAAATTTCTTATTAAGAGTTGGTAGGAGAATAGGTTGTTTATACGCAACAGGAATATAATTTGGGAATATTCTTGGAAAGAAGCTATGCCAGGAGGAAGTTCTGTCCATTTTTTTTCTTTCTGCACTGTTATGAACAATTTGATGAGTAGAGGGGAAGACAGGCCATGGGTATAATGTAGCTTGGCCTGAAGTTTTTTAACCTACAAAACCCACCCTAGTCCTTTAGGTTTGTGGTGCCATTTTAAAAATCTAAATAAAGGAAGCCAGTAAGTTGTTTTGCTTCTGTTGGCTGCAGGGGCTAGAAAGGGGAGGACCAGGGGCAGGAGTGGAGACAGAGATTGAATCACAGCTCCTGAACAGCCCAAGTGCTGCCCCTGTAGTTATGGCAGTCGTCTGCCCTTTGTTGCCTACCCAGGATTGCCAAGATGCTGTTGCCAGCGGAGGCAGGGGTTTCGTGACCTTCTTTTGTCTCGCTGTGGATAACTTGGATCATTCTCTTGGCAGCTTCCAGCATCTGGGTACGAGATCCAAGGCTGAGCTCTTCTGGGAATGCCTGGTGTTGCAGGGGGGAAAGAGGACTTATTCACTGCTTGCCCAAACACACAATTGCTCTCTTTGAAAGGACACATCAAGTGAGCCTCCCGCTCCCCCAGACCCCATTAGTTTCCTTCCATCACTCAGAATGATTTGTCTGTTTGTTGCATACTAAAATAAATAGATCAATAAGACTCTAGGAATCTTACAAACGGGGTTGTATCCCATGGGACTTCCCCTTCCTCTCTTTCTCTGCTCACGAAATCTGCTCTGGTCCCCCAGCTGAGTGCGTGTCAATGTGTGCAGGTGTGCAAGTGAGAGGAGAAGAGGGGAGAAGTTGCATTGCACAAGCAGAAGTCTGCTGCGTGAGCAGAATGGCAGCACTCGTGACAACCAAGAAAGATAAGATGCTGCGGGAGGCAGATGGTTGCTCTTACTCTGAGTGATAATTTTTTCTCTTCTGCTTAAGGAAAAAGAGAAAGCTCCTGAGATGGACAATGACATGTTAAAACTATCAGCTCAGCTTTAGCTAGCGAGGGAGGGAGGAGAAATTCAGCATTTAAAGCTGAATCCATCAAATCCACACTTTCTAGAACAATATGCAAACTGAAACACAAATATCCTAAATTCAGAGTTATCCAAATTTTGTGATGCACTTCTCCAAAGAGTGTTTACAAAAATGGATATCTATGGGGAAAGCGTACATAAACCTGAATATGTCTCTGAAAACAACATACGAAACTGCATTAAATTAGGGAATGCATCTTGCAAAAATGTGCACAGTCAAAACTACATATATAAATGTGTTTATTGGGAGAAATTAACACTAAGGGCTAATCCGGACTGCCTCTTGCCTTTCTGGAGAAATCCGCTCTTTAGCACTCAGCTGGAGCAAACAGCAATTGTCAGCTGGGATAGCTCAGTCAGTAAAGCATAAGACTCTCAAGGTTGTAGGTTTGGGCCCCACATTGGGCAAAAGATTCCAGGGACTAGGAGAGTCTGGTGGTCCCTTCCAACTCTACAATTCTATGACTCTATGTTCTAATTTAGAGCTAAAGATTGGGGTTTTCCTGGGAAATGAGTGGGTCAAGTGGAAAACCACTCGGCCTCATGCTTTCTAGGTATGGGGCAAGCAGAAGTGTGGCTGAGACCCTAAGATACAAGGGAATTATCACACATCACTTTCTGCAGGATTTGGGGATATATCCCAAAATGCTGCAGAATGTGAAAAACCTGAATTTAAGATTGGAAAACCAACAGATCCTTTTATATCACTAGCTCTAGCACAGATTTCTTGGGGAGGGGATTACTATGAAAGGACAGCAAATAGCTAGTCAGCTTATTGTTATATTTACTGCCATTTGGATTTTCTGCCGCAGGGTCCCAAATATTGTGGGCCATCATCACAACACCTTCTCTGACTCCAACAGAGCAATGACAAAACATCTACTGGAGGAATCCTACCACACAAGCCCTCAGTGCAGCGCTAAGCTGAGCAACATCCTTCACACTGGAGATATTCAGGGAGGCCAGAGCTGCTGTGACATTGCTGCGGATGGAGATGCGGTCCCTCAGCTCCTTCATGCTATACCCTCTTCCAAAGTCCTGGAAAAAAAACACATGTGGCCAAATCACCTCTGCTGGAACAGAATACTGCCAAAAAGAAAAAGAAAACCTGCCCAAATGGAGATGATACGTATTTTTTAAAGTGCTTTTTATTATTAATTATATTTGTGTATCACCTTTCCTCCCCAAAGGATATCAGGGCAAAGTAGAACATGGCCTGACAAAACTTGAATAATTCAATCGACAGTGAAGATACAAAAAACAACACACCAGCCAATTTCCATATCACAACCTCATTCACTGTCAGGCGCCAAGTTCACTCCATCGACCACCACCCCCAAGCTAGGGTGAGTGTGTCTTCGGCTGGCACCTAAGTGTTAACAAAGAAATGGGCAAGTGCAAACGGAGGGAATGCCACAACTGGGGTGTCACGGTGGAGAATACCCTTTTTCCTAATTCTGCACAACAGATCCTAGCTGTGGATGGGACCGTGACCTTGAGAATCTCAAGTTCCTGGGTGTGCAAGCATTGTTAACCTGTACGCAGATGTAAAGCGTTCTCCCCCCCCCCCCCCCAAGCAAGTGCTTACGTGATTCAGCAGGCTTATGAGAGCCAAGGAGTACGGAATCACCTCCTGTGGGTTTCCTTGCTGGACCACACCCCACAGCTCCAACTGGCTCTTCTTCTTCAACCAGCTGGTTACGGTGTTGAATCCTGAAGGGAGTTCAGGCATGGTGAGAGTCAGGGTTCTGAAAGGGAGAGAAGAAGAAAAAGAGTTTGGATTTGACATCCCGCTTTATCACTACCCGAAGGAGTCTCAAAGTGGCTAACATTCTCCTTTCCCTTCCTCCCCCACAACAAACACTCTGTGAGGTGAGTGAGGCTGAGAGACTTCAGAGAAGTGTGACTGGCCCAAGGTCACCCAGCAGCTGCATGTGGAGGAGCGGAGACGTGAACCCAGTTCCCCAGATTACGAGTCTACCACTCTTAACCACTAGACCACACTGGCTCTCAGGGAGAGCGGACACACTTTGCAAATACACTTTGTGAGTGCAAACACACTTTGCAAGCATCCCTCCCTCCTCCCTGCCCGTGCAAGCCACACTTAGAAAGGTTTTGCTACCATCCTCAAGTGCTGAATGCCATAGTAACCTCATAATCGGGAACAGAACTGTCCTCAAGGAAGTAACACAATGACTGCAGCTTTAATCTCTCTCCAGGTAGAAATAAGTCTTGCAAAAGCAACTCTGTCTGCCAGTGGCAGTGCTGTGCTGCCTCCCTCTTGACAGCAGCATCACTGCCATTTCCTAGAACAGTACAGGGGGCGGATGCTAGCAAGGTTAGGGCTGTGTGGGTGCGCTGGAGGGAGTGCCAGATTGGCTCTGCTTGTGCATCAACGCAGCCCAGGCCTTGCCACCCTCCCCCCATACTGTCCTGGCAAGTGGCAGTGATTCCACTGTTAGGACAGCAGCACAGTGCAGCACAGCACAGCACAGCACAGCATGCTGTCTTCTCCTGCCTGCTCTTTTTTTCTCTTCCTGAGTCTCTGGAAGAACAAGGCACAGAGATCTCCTGCCTGGCCCATCCCAAAGAGGTCCCACATTTACTGGTTCAATGCCAAGGTTTTTGCTCCCCGTGAATCCTCCAGCTCAACTAGGATGTTGACACTGGATTGGTTGCCAAGAGAGCCTGCGGGCAGGAAGATGCTGAAGGCAGACTTGACCCCTCGATACAGGCAGGAGTGCCAACAATGGCTGCTGTGAGGGGAGCACATTTCGGCAGTCAGGGTGTAGATCAGCTGCTGCTGCTGCTGCGTTGGGCTGCTGTCCTCATCCATCCAACCTGAAAGAGTCAGAGCAGGAGATGCAGAAGAATATCAGACGAAGGAGGTGTAAAGGTATACATCACTTCAGCTTGGTCACATGAGAATATGAATCAATCAGGCTCCAACACAGCTGTATATGCCTGAGCCATGAATGAATTCCATGCAATGCTAGTCTATGTCTATACTCACACACATAAGTTACTGTCTAGTGGTCTGGCGGGCAAAATTACACATGACCCAGGTACTTATGGAGCCTAAATGACAAGACTGCCCTCCCTGCCTGCAGCTTCCACAAAAGTGGAGCTCAAACAGCTTCCAAAGGACAGCTCCTTGAGATGCAGCTGTTCCAGTTCTTTAACGGCACTGAGATCCCCACTGGGGAAATCTTGTTGCGTTACTTACCCATGCACTCAAATCTAACTGGTGTCTCCAAGATGTAGATATTGTTTTCTGGTCTCAGAATGCAGAACCCTCCCCTGGGTGGGTGGTTTGGGGTGAGGGTGATGCTGGCTTCTCCCCAGAGCTGTCCTCTAGGCTGAGTGACCAAAACGGTGAAAGTGTAGTTCACTCCATCCTGCAGGACCCCCTGCCTGATCACCAGGTCCCGGTTGGAGTCCCCAGTGGAAGTGGTCACATTGTCCAAGGTCAAAGGCTGGCCATCAGAACTCCGAGCTCTCCAGCTATACTGCAAGGGCCAGACAGCACAGATCATGATACATCAGAATGGCGCCTCTTTTTAAGCGCAACTAAACCCCTGCTGCTCTATGGCCCTGGAATCAGAAGAGAGCATCTCACCAGCGTTCCATTGTCGCAGCTTTCGCACCGTCCAGACAGCGTGACATGGATGCTGCTGCTGACCTCATAGCTTGACAAAGCACTGCAGGAACGGCACTCCAGGGTCACAGGCAGGATCTGGCTAGATGTGATCGAAACCTGCCAGAGGACACCCGAGTCAATATTAAAGTCAGCCCCAAATCAAGACACAGCGGGCTAGTTGGTACAAATGGAGAAACGCGACCCTACAGAAGAGGAGCAAGATGTCCAGCAATGGACCTCTCCCAGGCAACGTAACAGAACTGTGGTGAAGGGTCCGTCAGAGTGTGGACAAAAGCCAGTAGTGTGTCTAGGGGGTTTGCCCATACTGCACTTGTCCCTGAGTGCTAAATCCTAACATTTGGTCTTGACTGGGCTTGCCAGCTTCATAGCAAGAATATGTGCATTTGAGCGTTATTCCAGGGCTCGGTACTTTCCTTGCCATTTGGCATCCCTACGTACATTGTGTTTCTTTGTCAAAGAGAAAAGAAGAGGTCATTCAGCATGGCAGTCTTTGATCTATGTCTTTGATACAAGAAGACAGGAACTAACTGTCCAAGTCAGCAGGGAGGAATCACTTCCCTTCAGGAACTCCCTTGTGCAGCTGAGGGGGCTGGATGGAGCGGCTTGCATTCAGACTGTGTTCTGTGGAAAGAAAGAAAAAGCTCTGTTTTTAAGCAGAACTCTTTCTTTCTTTCTTTCTTTCTTTCTTTCTTTCTTTCTTTCTTTCTAGAGGAAGTGTTTTGACTACAAGACACTTTTATGCAGAGGGTAAAATGTTTCACTTTTAAGAGCATTTTCCCCTCAGCCAACTCTTCAAAAAGACTCCCTATAAGCAACCACCAGTGACTGCCACATACTTGTCCTGCACTACATGTTCACTGTGTCCGTCTGTCTGTGTCCGTCTGTTTCTGTCAATTTATATGGGGGGAAGTCAGAGTGGCCACATGAGACTAGAGAATGTAATACAGTGGTACCTTGGGTTAAGAACTTAATTTGTTTTGGAGGTCTGTTCTTAACCTGAAACTGTTCTTAACCTGAGGTACCACTTTAGCTAATGGGGCCTCCTGCTGCTGCTGCACCACCGCCATACGATTTCTGTTCTTATCCTGAAGCAAAGTTTTTAACCCAAGGTACTATTTCTGGGTTAGCGAAGTCTGTAACTTGAAGCATCTGTAACCCGAGGTACTACTGTAAAGCCAAGCTCACCGTCTGTGTCACCCAAGCCGGATCTTTACCAGGCTTCCTCACAGTAAGGTTGAAGTGGTAAGTTGCTCCTGGATTCAGCACGGAGTGTGGGACAATCACTCTGTCCATGCCTGCCATAGCAGGGAAGCCACATAAAGTTGTGGACACATTAAGTGCCTGTGGCAGAGAGAAGTTCAGTTAAGAGCCTTTTGCATTAACTAATTTCTGCTCTGATGCTGAAATTGAGGCTGCAGGGGTGGGGAGGGGGAGTGTAAGGTGAAATCTTATGAAGAAACAGACTTTTGAAAGCTGGCATACAATTAAAGTAGAAATTTGTGAGAGCTGAGCCTGGCCTTATGTTCTGAAGCACCTGGAGGCTCTTCTTCCCAGGTTCTCTGCCCCAGTGCCATGGTCCTCTTCCTACCCTCCCAAAAAGTTAGGACAACACAACAGGCCCCTGTAAAGTGAGGCTCAGTCTTCTCTCTCATACAAAAGAAGTGAGAATGGACAAGGGGAATGCTCTCCTGGTATAACAGCTTTTAAAGGGCAGGAAAGCAAAGGAAATAAAACAGGTGCTAGGCAGGTAAAGCCATAGCTCCAAATGCAAAATGAACTGGGAGCATACTCAAAGTGCACTGTTGTTTCTTCATTTCCAGCTGCTGGAAATTTGGTGCCTTCTGAATTTGACATAGAGAAGCACCAAATTCACAAAGTGTTGAATTTAAGCCATGGCTGCAAAGTTTGAATCACCAAGCAATGTGTGATGGTAGGTGATTGACAGGTGGGTAACTCCTCCCACCTGACAAAGTGGCCTCTGGGGAACCGGTCACTTCTGGATTTGGCCCTCCAGCAGGATCCTGTTTCACCACCCCTGCATTAAAGCCTTCATATAAAGGAAAACCCACCTTTTCAGGTTATGCTTCTCATTAGTTAATCAGACCAGGATTTCCCAAACTTTTTGGACTACAACTCACATCATCCCTAGCTAGCAGGGTCAGGGATGGTGTAGTTCAAAAAGAGCTGGAGACCCTAGTTTGGGAAACCCTGGTCTAAACAATGTGTCTTCTTGCTGCCATTCTAGGTCCTCTTCTTACCTCCAGTTGACAGTCCCAGTGGTACGCCAGAGAGGAGTTTCCACCCTTCTCCACATCAGGGTCATATGACTTGCTTCCATCTAGAACCAGATCCATTTTGACTGTCCCTCTCCTCCAGGATCCTCCTTGGATGACTGGAACTAGCTTGCTGGAAAGCACTGTCAAGTCACTGCAAGCCATCTGGGCCAAGGGTGTGTTCTCCAGAGAGATAGTGAAAAGCAGACAGTGAGGACCAACGTCCAGAGAGAACTTGGGGAGCACAAGACGAGGGGTTAGCACATCTACATGCGGTAATGAGACTGCATTGGTCTTGGACGAAGCATCACAGCTGCAGCTGCGGAATATCTCCCACCGATACAACGCCCGGTAGGCTGTGCATTGTTTCAAGTCGACATCAGCCTCAAAGTAGGTGGTGTAAGATTTGGAGATCACAGAGAGAGGCTCAACCAGCTTCAGAGTAGGGCTTTCACAGAGCAGCTGCTCCACGGTTACTTTTGACTGGGCCAAGACAAAACTGACGTTGTTGTAGACTCTCACTTCTACCAAGAAATCACCAGCTTGGCGATATTTGTGAAATACTCTCTGATCTCCTTCACTGGCGAAGGTTTCGGGCGAGTCCCCAAAATTCCACTCCATGTGAAGGTTGCTGCCACCAACCGCCATTACATCAAATGTCACGGTTTGATTGACAAATGTCCTGGAGCCATTGCTGGACAGGTTAACAGTCACTACTGGCACCTCTAACATTCTTACCACCAGGAGAGTGTCTGCACAGAAAGCATTGGTGGCCTCAATCAGAATGGTTAAATTGTCTTTGCCAGAGGGGGTATACGTCACCTGCTGGCCTGTGACATTATAGTCGGGCAGCCCAGGGAGCCGAAATGCCCAGGAGAAAGCCATGTTCTCTCCAGCTTGCACGGCTGCTCGGAGTGTAAGTTCTTTGTTGGCTTCCAGAATGGGTGGACAATCATCTAAGAGGTGCAGCCCCTTCACCTTCTCCAAGACCTTCACCATGACAGTATCTGTCTGATTACTAACGTTGTTGTAAGCAGATGCCAGCACCTGGTGGTCACCTTTCACTGGAAAAGGAAAGTGGAAGTTCCCCGCAGGGTTATCCACATGAATCCCCAGCGAGGAGAAGTAGAGGGCAAAGGTCACTCGCGAGCCCTTCAACACACGCAGTGTAAAAGTAACCTCGTCATCTGTGCACACTGTCCTCTTGTCCACTGTCACAGCCAGTCCAGCCACAGGGTCTTGAACAGAGATGGCACCCAGAGCTGTACTCTCGCTAATGTCATTCCAGACCCGCAGAAACACTCCATAGTCTCCGAACTGCTCAAATCTGTGAGAGATGTTCTGCCCATGGGAGAGGATCAGCTTCTCCTCTTCCTCCCGCTGTAGCTGCCATTCCCATGCAAGGTCAGATCCTTCATCCACCATGCCCAGAAGCTCTACTGAGGTGCCTGACTTCAGGAGGAAAGGTCGCATAATTCCTGCCACGCTGAAATTTGCCCCAGAAACAGGTTCCTGCACTCTGAGTTCTGTGGAGCCATTGCTGGATCCCAGGGCATTGTAGACTGTGACAAAGACAAGCTTGGAGCCTAGGGTGTTATAGATGTGCGAAAGGGAAGGTGTGGTGGTAAGCAGCAGCTGTGCGTCCTCCTGCACCTTCCACTGATAAAGGAGATCTGTTCCTGACACCACAGAAATGTTCAGGTTCACTGGCTTTCCTACTGCAACATTATCAGCGGCCGATTGAACCTTCACACCATGAACTCTCTCCAAGACTTCCAGGGTAAGGCTGGTGGTGGCTTCACCCAGTGCATTCCCAGCTTTCACCTCCACCAGGAGTTCCCCACTTGTATTGGGGCAGAATAAGAACAACTGTCCTTCAGAAGTAAACAATGGATGCTTTCCTTTCAAAGCTGCCCAACGGAAGGTGACATTGGAGCCCTGAGCAACCTCACTGGAGAGAGAGAAGGCTTCCGCAACGGCCACATACTTGTCCTGCACTACATGTTCACTGTGGATTTGCACCCCTTGGACTCTTTCCTGGACCTCTACAGTGACGTTTGCCTTCTCTATGCTCACAGCATTCTCAGCTACGGCAAACACCACAAAGGTGCCAAGAGTGGGGAAAGTGTGAGTGAAAATGGCTGCTCCCTCTTGGAATCCAGTTGTTTCACCAACAGCCCAGCGATAGCGAACACGATCCCCTGCAGCTAAAGAAGATCTGAAGGTGACTTCCTGCCCAGCCTCGCTCACTGGTTGCTCAGCATGTAGAGTCAACAGCTTGACTGGAGTAAGCACCGTCATGGTGAGTGTTGCTGTCCTGTGACTGACCAGATTCTCACCCACAACCACGATGGTAAACTCTCCTGCTTTCTTATAGGTGTGGGGGGCTCTTTGACCCACCCGATGAGGTGAGGCATCTCCAAAGTCCCACTGAAATGCGGCTTTAGTGTCCCAGCTGACTTCAGCCACAAAGTCGTAGGGAGTGCCCACAGCTAGAAAGATACCCGTTTCACCACTATGGTGAATGGAGATGGTATTAATGGCCTGCTGAGCTGTGATATTTACCGAGGCGTTTTGTTGGCTGACCGTGTTCCACACAGTCACGGTTACCATGTACAACCCAGCCTCCAAGTACACAAATGTGATTTCTGGAGTTTTAGAAAGCACCGGGTCTTCACCAATGCCAAAATCCCAATGATACCTGTACTGGTGCTGAGGGTCGGGTCCTGGATCTACTTCAGCCAAGAAAGAAAGTGGTTCCTCTAAGGCTACAGCAGACATTGGAGCCAATAGCTTAACTGAGCTGATTTTGTCCTCTACACAAACGGCTAGTTGACGGGAAGCGCTGCTCATTGTTCCATAGACAGTCAGATTCACCTGGTAATTCCCAGCCGCCATGTAGCTGTGAAGGACCGTGGGGTCTCCATGACGAACAGTGGGAGGGCGGCCATCTTGGAAATCCCAGCAGAACATAACCCCTTTAACTGGCCCTGTCACAAAAGCTTGGAACCGGGTCAGCTCCCCACTGGAGAGACAACCAGGAGCCAGGATGCTGCTAATACGCAGTTTGTAAATGTTGGCTATGGTGGATGCCTCGGTATAGGCCGCAGCACTGTGAACTGTCACTGTTACTGTGTATTTTCCTTCAGCAGCAAAAATGTGAGAAACAACACCGTGTGACAGATTTCTGTAGATGGATCCATCTCCCATGTCGAAAGACCACCTGACATCTGTGCCAGAGGTAACTGTGGCATTGACAACTGTGACTGAACCGAGTTCACTGGGCCCACTGCACACTATGTGCAGGCCCATAATTCCTTCCCTGACAGACACCGATGCCCATGATGTTATGTCACTGAGATTGTTATTAACTCTTAGGGTCACATTATAAATCCCAGCCTTTTCAAAGGAATAGCGCACAGTAGAATTTGGTCCCTCCTGTACAGGTGACCCATCGCCAAAGTTCCAGGAATACCATATGCCATAGAGGGAAGGAGAAACCAAGGCCTCAAACTGAGTAACCTCTTTAACCAATGGAGAAGCTGGACTGGGCAGTATGGTCACCAGGGTTATGGGAATGACAGCACAGACTCTGGCCACTTGGTGAACTTGCTCATACTTGTTGAGGGCTTCAGCTCTAACAGTGTAGTCACCTACAGAAATAACAATGAGTACGTATCACTCAGGAGTGGTAATAATTTTAAATCTAACCCTAGAAAAACCACAAAAGCTGTTGAGGTAGATTGAAGTGATTGGCAGGTGACAGCCAATTTAGGTGCAGGGGCCTCAGGTTCCCCGCGGCTGCCACACAGCAGGAAAGCTCCTTCCTCACTTTACAGTGCACCTCATTAGCTTTGCTTCCCTTCCCATACGTGTGTTCCTGTCTTGGTCTCAATCTCCTATGATGCTTTTGCCTCACCTGTTCTCTTCTGGTTTCCTAGATTTCAACCTGCTGGTGGTTAGTCAGCCTGTTCTGGCACCTATTTTCCCCACATCATTTTTAACCTCTCTCCACATAACTCTCTCAGCTGCTATCTTCATATCCATCTATTCTCCCCCTCTTCATTTCAGGGAGAAAGGCGTGACTTGAAGCTCCTTGAGCTCCCTAAGTTATCTCCTAGTATCAAACCCATTTTCCCACCTGGCTGAATAAAGGCATGGGTCACCCTTGCTGACACTTGAACTCGTTCTGTCTGTGGATCTGGTCGTGGCAGCTGAGCATCGTAAGGAGGAGCCAGGGTGGTCTCTGCCTCTGGGCTGCCGTCGCCAAAATTCCACCTGCAAGCAGAAATACAGATCACAAATAATGTATTGGATATACTGCGGGCGTTCCGTGTGCTGCGCTGGCTCGCCAGATGCAGCTTGTCACGCTGGCCACGTGACCCGGAAGTGTCTGCGGACAGCGCTGGCTCCTGGCCTTTAGAGTGAGATGAGCGCACAACCCTAGAGTCTGGCAAGACTGGCCCGTACGGGCAGGGGTACCTTTACCTTTACCTTTACCTTTTTATACTGCGGGCAACCAGCAGAGGTCACAATGAGAGCGGCAGTGTTTCCTAAAGCGTCTGCACAAAGTGACAATTTGGCACAGAATTTCTACCAGTGATGCCTGTTGACCTGCCTGTCCGTGAACAAAGGAAATCTCAAGGGAGACTCCAGCATGAAACTCTCTGAATTACATTTCATCAGGAATTCAGTTCTATCATCTGTGACTTGAATCAAGATTTTTATCACACTATATGTGTTTGCTAACTTACCAAGGCCAGGAAGTTTCTGTTATCACCAACACAGCTATCCTAATTGCCACTTTAACTGTTTTATTGGATGTGACTATTACTCTCCATTCTTTTTGTGATTTGCTTCCCTTTGATCTCCACTCCCATCCACCCCCGTCCACAGGTGAAACAACACAGGGGAACCCATATATCCCCTGTTAATTAGGGATTGTACTTCTTGTTGCTGGTGAACTGGATTCTGGCCCATAAATCCATAGAAAATTTGTTAGTCGCCAAGGTGCCGCAAGACTCTTTTGTTGGTTTTGTTGATCTGGAGTACTGAAAACAAGACCCAGAAAGTTCACCCTATCTCTGCCTGAGATTGGACTGGACTGAGCAATGGCAATGATAAATTCCTTCCCAGAGTTTCTTCTGTGCCCCTTATCACATCACCCCCTCTGGTACATCTCCCACATTACTTATCACCACATTTAGCCCCTGCCAAAAATTCTGTTTTCCACAAGATGGATACAATGCTTGCTGCCAAAGGTCTGGAAGTCAAGCAATTTGCTAGTCCTGGTTGCACAATTTGTTATTTCAACACCCCAAATGTCTTTTCGCTATATTTATTCCTTTTCCAAAAGCCATCTCTGGCATGGTAGTTCTTGCTTGTGGGGTACACTAAAGTGGGGACATTACAGGTACCAACAGAGCAGGTAACTCCAGGGTACCTTGAGAGAGCAGGGTGTTGAATTAGAGTACAGTGGTACCTCGGATTAAGAACTTAATTCGTTCTGGAGGTCTGTTCTTAACCTGAAACTGTTCTTAACCTGAAGCACCACTTTAGCTAATGGGGCCTCCCACTGCCGCCGCGCCGCTGCTGCACAATTTCTGTTCTCATCCTGAAGCAAAGTTCTTAACCCGAGGTAATATTTCTGGGTTAGCGGAGTCTGTAACCTGAAGCATATGTAACCCGAGGATACCACTGTATCCTTTTTAAAAAATTTAAGTTCAGTGATTCTCCCAGGCACTGTCATGTTCTGACTCTGACTTATTGTTCGATCAGAAAGCAGCTTTCTCCAGAGCAGATGAACTGGTTGTTCTGATTTTTGTTTGTCTGCCTTCCCCTGAAATAGGTGACTTGTCTTGCTTACATTATTTTAAGCAATTTGCTTTGCTGGCCCCTGTAACACCCCCCCATTTTAGTGTACCCAATGGTGGTCTACTGTGATCTGAATTGGACTGTTGCCCTGCAACAGCCTGATTCTTGGGTATCTTCTATGCCTCGTGGTTCATTTTCTACCAAACCAGTGTGGCTTTCATGCGCAGGCAAAGTCACAGATGCAGTTTACTACACCTCCTGAACATCACTGAATGTGCCAGAAAAGAGGGAAGGGGGGAGTACTACGAATTGTCATATATTTAGGGGAAGATACCAGGTCAGACTGTTTGTGCATCTATGCATAGGATGAGACTGAGTTGGTGGCTACTAACTGAGCCATTACATGAGTTAGCGATTCTATACTAAAAGCTAAACTGGGATTAATTTAGCAGAAGTGTTTGTAAGTCAGCTCAAATGAGGGTTTTTTCTGCAGAAAACGATGGTGTGAATTGGCCTTGAGTAGATACATTGGCTGTTCCCAAAGAGCTCTTCCCTAAGATTGTGTGTTCCTTGCAACTTGGATTTCGGTGATGGACAATCACTTGAAAGCACCTATCCAGACTTCCTTGCCTTGCTTCTTACCTCACCATGACATCCACAGCAGTGTCTACTTCCACCCTGAATATCATAGTCTGGGGAACATTGACTTCCACAATTCCAGGGAGTCCCAGCAATTCAGGGTGAGCCAAGGGGTTCATGGGTTCAGCTATGAGCATCAGTTCCAAAGATTTGAAGCTCACCGGGTTCTTTGCTGTCAACTATGAACAAAGAGGAGAAAACCAAGAAACCTTTGATCCCAAACCAAATAAACCACCCAAATCCCATAAGTCACTGAAGCATCTTCTGATAATGCTCATAGCAGCTCAGCTATGCATTTGCTTCTGTAGAGAGAGACAAAAGAGAGTCAGGAAGTCCCTGGCTCAAAGGAACTCACAGAGAAGCTGCAGGCAAGCCACTCTCTCTGTTATGTTACAGTCTTTGTTTGTTTGTTTCCCTCATGTCCTCATCTTTCTAGTCTTGGTTCAGTTTGCTTACATCAGTTTGTAATTAAAAAAAAAAATCAATCCATGCAAGAGTGCACACTGTTTCATTACATATATTCATTTTTGTATGCAATTTTCACATTCTGACATGTAATTTCTCCTAATATACTGGACTACCTTATAGGGCTGTTGTATGAAATACTGAGATAACACATATAAATTGCTGTACAAATACTACTTATATTCCTTGAAATGCCCACGTGTGCAATGCTCTACTATGGGGTTGCTGTTATTGCTGCTGCTGCTGTTGTTGTTGTTGAATGGCTTTGGTTTCTCACCTTTAGCTTATATGTAGCAGGTCTCTTAAATGTGACACTGTAGCTCTGACCATTGTAGGCAAACATGTCCATGTTATCAATCACCCAGGTGTAAGAAACAGAGGACCCCTGGCTGATCTCAGCAGTAAATACCTGGTTAAAGCAAAGAAGTTGCATGATGAGAATAACCCATATATATTGGTTTGGCTATGCTGGCTGAACTTTGGGGTAAGCATTGGGGAGCAGTAAATGAGTCTGGGTCTGGGTAGGATACTTCAGTGACCTGGGACTGAGGGATCTGTGCACTGCTTAACACTCTAATAACTCAAGATCATGACTGCATTGTTTCCTAGTTCAGAGGTACAGCCCTCGTCAATTCTGCAAAGTCACAACGATCAGTATAGGGTATGCATCTATGTACAGAATATTTTTTTCATATAAGAATAGCTGGCCGTGCCCTGGGGTCACTCCAAAAACAATGACAATCAGTTCTTCTGTAGCTTACCCATTAGAAAGAAGCATCTTTCATTTGCAGTTTTCCCCGTTAAGATGCTGTTGCTGGGGACTGTTTGTTTTACTGGAATGGCCAGAGCATCAGAAGGTCCTTGGACCACTATCCTCAAAACATGACACCAGACATCCCTCACATAAAACAAAGAGTTAACTTTGGAAGGAACATCATAACCCACCTGTGACACATCCACTAGCATCCGGCATGGTCCAGGAGGCACCACCCTGAGTCCATCAATGGCATCATGTGACTGGATCTTCACAGACAACTTCTGGGCACTGACCTCATTGGAAACAAGGATGTCCAAGATCTCCTCCTCTCTTGGTTTATCCATGACAAGCTTCACCGAGGAGAACCAGGTGTCTGTGGTCTCTCTGTAGCAGGAGGGGACACGGAGCACAATCCCTGCTGGGCAAGCGGCCACAAACGGCACCCCAGCCATGTCCACCGGGGACATCCAGTTAGCCACAGCCTTGCAACCAGAGGTGATCTTGACGACCAGGAAAATCTCCTGCTTTGTGGGTATGTTGAGCTTCCCGCTGAGTGGTGTGGGGTAGATAAGCTGCAAATCACTGACTTTTGACTGCACTTGCACTGAGCAGCTGGCCTGTGAGCTGCTGACAGCATTTCTCACCGTGGCGGTGAAGGTGTAGGTACCAGACTCCAGCCTTTGGGCCAGCATTGGAGGGTTTGCCAAGCTCTTCATTGCTTGCGCAAAGGTCACTCGTAGGTCACAAAGCATGCTGTCCACCCAGGTGGGGTTGGGTGGCCCAGAGATACCTCCTTCCCACCAGCTCTCCTTCATGAGGCTGATGTAACTCTGTCGCCAAGGGGAATCCGTGTGGGGATGGCACTGCAGGAACGAGCCCCTATCAGCGCTGTGCTGTATCCCTATGATGTCACCCGGATGGACAAAGATCTCTTCTTCTGGCAGGAGAACCTGAAACGCACAGACAGCTGAAGCTAATCAGAATCATTGGGAGACAACCTCCATTTAAAGTACGCACACCTGGTCTTCACTCAACTCCTTCCTACAGTTGTGCACGAGAAGCAGAACAGTGTACCAGCAAGTAATGCTAATCCATATAAAACATCACAAGACCACCACAATGTGACCTTTTAACATATGTGGTGGAACTGTAATAAAAAAATTCTGGGAAAAGATATATAATGAATTTTAAAAACTGTTTAAAATAACGTTTGTTTTAAAAAAACCAGAATCCTTTTTGTTAGGAATTGTAGGTGTATAGGGAACAGAAAAGACTATTCATGTATACAACGACAGCCTCCAGGATGCTGGTAGGCCTGGAAAGAAGACAGCATCCCTACCAGACTGGAATGGCAGACCAAACTGTTGGACTATGCAGAAATGGCAAAAATGACCAGGAAAATCAGAAATCAGGAAGATCAAAATTTCAACAAAGAATGGGGGGGACCACTGTAAACATTTGAACTCTTTCGCGGGTTCAAAATAACTCTTGTAATGTAACAATGACTTTGGATACAATGGACAACTTTAAAAATTGGAGCGTCTTATGATGTGCAGTAGAAAAGTTTAAGTAAAGAACCCATGGAGAGGTAGAGGGAAGTCTAAAGATTTGGAAGAATCTTGCTTATTTGCTTTTATCTATGATTTTGAATGTAAACATTAATTTGTAAAAACCAAATAAAATTTTTAAAAGACCACCAAAATCTGAGCAGCACGTATCGGACGGAAAACAGAGGTGCCATGTAGCTCCTCCTTATGACTCATTTGTAAAAGCGGATCTGAAGAAAAACATTTTGCATGGCTGACGAAATAGCAAGGTGGGCCAGGCTAAAAAGAGGCTCCCAAGGTGAAGAGGTCCCATGACCTGGGAGCTATCACAGCAGGTGTTTCCCACGTGGAACCGCAGAACCACTTCCTGTACACCTAAGGCAAAACAAGGTATGTGAAGAACCTCAAAGCATAGAGCAAACATTGAACGAAAGACAAGGGTAAGGCTTGTTTACAACCCCAAGGCAACTCCTGAATACACTTACGTGAATGTGGGTGTTTTCATTGCTGGGGGCGAGCAATAAAGGAAGATCAGCCACTATGGAATAGAATGGCGAAGCCCCTTTGTACCGTGGAGGGTATGGGAATGGCTGGATGTGAGCAGTTGTGTTCTCAAAGGCATATGAGCTGCAAGGGCTGGAGATGTTCAGGCAACGATCCTTCAAAGGGCACCACTGTTGCCCACTTGGGCATTCACCCATGGCATTGCAGAGTGGCTCAGAGTGACAGCAGGCAAAAGGTGAATGAAGCCGTTTGCACCCTGAGGAACAAATAAAAGGGCACTGAATCGCACAAAAGATACAAAACCAAAAAGCCAGACGTCATTTCTATTTTAAGAGTGTGCATTAGCTCTGTAAGGTAAAGGTAAAGGGACCGCTGACCATTAGGTCTAGTCGTGGTCGACTCTGGGGTTGCGGCGCTCATCTCACTTTACTGGCCGAGGGAGCTGGCATACAGCTTCCGGGTCATGTGGCCAGCACAGAAACGCCATTTACCTTCCCGCCAGAGCAGTACCTATTTATCTACGTGCACTTTGATGTGCTTTCGAACTGCTAGGTTGGCAGGAGCAGGGACTGAGCAACAGGAGCTCACCCCGTCGCGGGGATTCGAACCAACGACCTTCTGATCGGCAAGTCCTAGGCTCTGTGGTTTAACCCACAGCGCCACCCGCATCCGTACGGGGGCTCAAATAACAAGGCAAATTAGGATGATTTGCAAATCTTTCCCCCTCCCAAGCTGATGTCCAAAAGTCGCATGTTACCCTATCACTCTGTTCTTTCTAAGCTTCTCTTTATCTTATAGCTCTAATTTTTCCTATATTTTTTGTTTCTCCAGGTCCGTGGACTTTACAATAAGCGAGGCTGCCCAAAATTTTTGCCTGTGGCACACTGAAGACCCTGAGTATTTTTTGCTAAAGCAGTTTTTTAAAAAAGTAGTTAAAAACTTCATTTAAGGGTTTTCTTTAAAATCCTATCTTGTTCTGCTTTAAAACAAAAGACAGAGCTCTCAGGCAGCTTTATAGATGGTCTCATGCTGTCAAGCCTATCAGAGGAAACAATCAGTCACTGGAAAGCAAAGACCAATGCAAAGCTGCAAAGTTTTTTGAAATGTGCAGGGGAGAATACACTTGGCCACATCTTAGTTATTTTAAAGAAAGAGCAAGAGGCAAACATGCGCCCTCCTCATTATGGGGGAAAGTGAATCACTTTTATTTACCCCACAAAAAGCCCCTGGACCAATCTGTCTACAATTTGGCAGGTTCACTGCACTCTGGAGGGACTACTCTGCCAGTAAATGTCATCTACCTTGGTGAGAAACAGGGGGAAGTTATAACATTTTATATTATCTATGGTAGCAGATGGGGTATACAGAGTTTTAATTTTTAAAGGGTAGTTCAGAACCTAAATTACAGATCGAAGCAGAGAGAGTACAGAATGACTTAGAAACAGATCAATATCGTTTTAAACCACGCAGATACAGATGCAAGGTGAATGTTTGGGCCCACGCACACACTCTTATCAAATTTATTACTGTGATCAGCATATGCAAAGGTTGTAATTTAAGTACCGCATTTTATAAGAAATGAGTGCGACTGGAAGGCAATTCCAATTACAAAAATGAATTAAATGGTGGAATTAACAAATGGAGGGGGAGAGAACTGTAAAAAATCTGCAGCAAAGCCATTTTCCTCAGCTGAAAACAAGATGTTGCTAGGGAGAAATGGCAACTTATTTTTTAATTAAACTGCTTTAAAGAATAAAGACAGAATCTGTTATTCTTTGACCTAAGGGATTGCAAGGAAGGGAGCAGAGGGGGTTTCTCCCTTACCTGGTGGAATCAAATGTTGACTGGGACTGCAATATGGGCGGAAAATCTGGAAACGGGCCTGGATTGGCTTATTTGTTGCTTGCATAGCAAAGTCTAGGGAGGCGACTGTTCCACTGTGGCTGAACCAGAGGCCTGGAAAGAGCATCAGCTGCAAGACAAAAGCAAGTCAAGGGTAGCTGGGGGGCAGTTTAAGATGGGTAGAGGGTTTAGGGCCTACAGTGAACATACTGAGCAACAATGGCGCCACAGTTGGTTTTTTTACATATGAGGTAAGCTACAAGAGACACATCAGATTTGGAAATCAGGGTTTCCCATGAACTTCTAATATTGGGCTTTCTGGGCAATTTTCTACTTACATAGATGTTGGATTGTATAATGCTGAGATCACTGTCAAAAAGCAGCAGATTTCTCAAGGTCCCTCAGCAACATCTTGTGGAATAGAATATGTATTTGAAGCATGAAAACAAATCAGCCCCGGAAATACATTACCTCCACTTTGTTGCCCCCTAAGAAAGGAGCTGCTTTTCTGGTGCTGACATTCTTCACTTCATAGATAGTGCTAAACCTTGGCATTCCCGTCAGGAAGAAGTTTGGGCTTGGAAGCGCAGCTGTAATCACAGAGCACATAAAAAGGAACTGACAATGCAGTCCTATAACATCAATAGCGAGGCAGGGTGAGGCTGTGTTGCTCTGCTGGCTTCCCAACACTGCCTGTTGCTGCTGCTTACCAAGACGGTGTGGGGAGCTCAGAATATAGCAATCAGGGTTAGAAGCTAGACTTGGCTGGCCTCTTGGCAGACCCTGCTTTCCGCTTCCTTTCAGCTCTCTCCTATTTCCTTTTTGTGTCCACCTTCTTCACCATTCAGCACTTCCTCATCAGCAGGAGCTCGCATTCAGTTTCATCATTCTTCCCACATCATGGACTAGAAGGCTCGTTTTCAACTCCTTGCAGGAGGAATTATTCTAGTCCATTACAGATGACCCATCAGTCTCTAGAGCAAGTTCACTGAGTTTTTTTTCAACACAACCTGCATCTGTCCTATACTCCGGGCTGTGTCTCCTAAGCTGCCCATCTTTCCCTATTTTCTGCTCCTTGGTTTCCTCCACCAAGTTACCAACTCTGTCATCCCATGACTGCAAAGTTTTCTTATCGACCTTCGAAAAGAGATTTCATCACAAGGATTTCGAAAGTCCAAGTCTCTAAGGCTAATGGGATTGCCCCTTACAATTTTGCTCCAAGCTTCCTGAACAGATTAGAACTACCTGGTTGTCTTTCTCAGCTTCCTTCTAATGAATCCTCCTCTTTTGAGAGGAGTGATCTCATTAGATGAATAATAAAGATCAGCCTATTCATGTTTGTTTCTGCATTTATTGTTTAATTTATATGCCACCTCACATCAAAATAGGCTTCTAATCTGTTTGCAAAGTACAAAAGCTGGTTACACAGACATTACAATATAGACACCCACAATGAAAATACACAGTAATACCACCCCATCAAAACATTTGCAAAAAACAACAACAACTCCATTAAAATAACAGAACACAAACTAGAATGCCTCCAGTACCTCCAATTGTCTTTTCACAGATGAATGGTGATTTCTCAGAGCATGGGTTACATCTCCAGTACCCTTTTGAATCCGCTAGAAGCATCTTCACGCACATTTCCTTCCCTCCCTCGGGTCGGCCTGAGGACATCCAGTTCTGGAATGTATCTGCGAGGCCCCCGTCAACCCAGCGCATCGACCCAGAGGAGCCAAGGTCATGCAATCCAATCCAAACGGTGCCAGCACTGCTGATAAGAAAGACAAGGAAAGGCTTGTAACACCACAGACTGGGCCAATATTTGGAGACAGAACAGGATGAAGCCAGTGGTTTTCAACCAGTGTGCCGTGGCACCCTAGGGTGGCTTGAATGATGGTCAGGGCAGGCAACACTGGCCTGTGTCCCTCTTTCCTTCCCTCCCTCCTCAGGGAAGGGAATGGACAAACAAGTCGCAGGCCCCTGTGGGGCAGTGTGATGAGGAACCTCTATTTGGGGCAGGAGGGGCAGCTCAGAGACCAGGGGTGGCAGCAGTGGCTGCCCAGAGGACTCCCAAGGAGAGGGGAGAGGAAGTTGAGGAAACACTCCACAAGGGAGGGTGTTTGAAAAAAGGTGAGAGGCTGCCAGTTCTTCAGGCAAGGGGTGACATAACTGGGCTCCTGAGCCCCACAGGGGTGCTGCAGAAAGAATATAGTTGGTCAAGGGAGCCGTGGACTCAAAAAGGTTGAAAACCTCTGGGATGACGCCATTGATCGTTGTCATGCTGCTTGACATTTCATTGTTTAGCTTGATTGCACTATACTTGCCTGATGCTAAGGCAGTCTGAGAATATTTTGAACAAACAAGAAACAAACAAGCTATGGCTGGTTTAAATAACCCTCATACTAACTGTATGGAAACAACTGAACCATGGCTCATTGCTAAGCAAAATGCAGTTTGATCAGCAAGCAGACAAGTGTATCGGCTTCAAGTAAAGAGGATCAGAAACAGGATTGATTAATCTGTCCCTTTTGGTTCTCTGTTTCTCATTTTTCCAATCAATTTCATGTCTTCACAGTACTGCATATATTTTTTTTGTTTTTTGTTTAAATACCCTCACAAAAGTTCTTCAGCATATTGGTGCATGTTTTTGTTAATAAACACATTTTTGTATGCAGTTTTGAAATACACATATTTTTGCAAGCAATTTTCTGTAATATACTGCATTTTTGCCTGTTACTTTCACTAATAATTGAATCTATAGGCACACTTTACCATAAAATACATTTTGGTACACGTAACATTGTTGGAGAATGGCACTGAAAAATTAGGAGAAAGGTGAATTTCACAGGATGGTTGTGTTCTGGTTGTGAATTAAGTAGGTTCACCTTTAAATATGAACTAAATCCAGTTGTCCTCAGTCCTTATGCACAACCCAACATGCTCATCCCTCAGGCCAGCTATGGCCACCACCTGTTTGTACCAGTGTCCATTCCTTGGCCTAGTAAACATACTTGGGAGGGAGGCAGCCACGCTCAGTCTGTGGAAAGCAGCTTCCGCAGTTGCCACCATCTTCATTTCCTGGAGTGGTACCATGGTGGCACAAGAGGGAGGACAGAGACCATCTTGCCCGGGGCCACCTCAAAACTTGGCATCAGCCCTGGCAGCTAATCTGAGCATTAGTTGCTGCTCACGGATGTACAATGGTATGTTGGACCTTCTGGACCAACTGAGCTTGTGCAGCAGCTGGGACGATGGAATAAAAACTTGCCTGCAATATCTTTGCTTATATTTATTTTAAGAAATAATCAAACAGCTGCAAAAACACCCTTCTCACCACTCCACACTCCCCCAGCAGAATACAAAGCATTTGGTCAGCTTAAATACAGTTTTCAAAATAATCAGTTACCCTGTCACATCGCTGCATTTGGTGCAGCAGGTAAACTCCACCTCTAATTAGTTACATTATTAAGATACAGGTGTGCTGAAATGTCGATAGCTCACAGGTGTGCTGCCATGCAAATCATTATTACAAACACATACCACTGAATAGCACTATTGACCACACCAATGTCAAGAAAAACCAACATGGTATGGTCTGTTGGACCATCTAATCTCCAGGTGAATGGTTTTAGAAAGTATTTCAGAGACCTGGATCATGCATGCCATATTACAATACAACAAACCTTCTGTCCCTGGGGCAGGGTAGTCTAAAAAAGGTAAAGGGACCCCTGACTGTTAGGTCCCGTCGCGGATGACTCTGGGGTTGCAGTGCTCATCTCGCTTTACTAGCTGAGGGAGCCAGCGTACAGCTTCAGGGTCATGTGGCCAGCATAACTCAGCTGCTTCTGGCGAAGCAGAGCAGCGCAGGGAAACGCCGTTTACCTTCCCGCCGGAGCCGTACCTATTTATCTACTTGCACTTTGACGTGCTTTTGAACTGCTATGTTGGCAGGAGCAGGGACCGAGCAATGGGAGCTCCCCCCGTCGCGGGGATTCGAACCGCCGAATTTCTGATCGGCAAGTCCTAGGCTCTGTGGTTTAGACCACAGCGCCACTCGTGTCCCTGGCAGGGTAGTCTATGCATTAAAAGAAAGAAAGAAAATCCTTATGATGCGTGGAGTTGGGAAACGTTTACAAATGAGGCACATGCTAAAGTTACTTACTTAGAAAAAGATTTCTGGAGGTAGCTCTGTACCTCCAGGGACCTCACCACCACCAGGTCTCCTCCAGGCACACCCTGGCAGAGCGTCCTGGCATCCTGCCATGTCTCCTTTGTCCCACCAAGCCAGTAACAGTTCAAGTTCTGCAAATTGATTTGTCCACCTCGTGGGCAAGAGGAAGTATCTGAATTAAAACAACAACAACAACCACTCAAGCTTAAGAGAACACCAGAACATGCTGTCTTGAACTGCAGAAGCCTCACGTGTTTTTAATGCTATAAGCATTTTTTTAAATAAAATAAAAAGTTGGGCTTTTTCTTTCTGTTGGTGAAGAACATCTAATATAGTATGACAAGGGTATTTGTTTTAATATTATATACAGTATTGGAATAGAGATTTCTAATGCGAGACCATATTGATAGCAAAACCTAGGCCCCCAAGACAGCTAAAGTAGGTTACAACTCAGCCGTTGAAAACAATAAAATAAATTAGTCATCTCTGATTTAAGACCCATTGCTACAAACACCATTTTGATTTTGGTAGGAGCAATTAATTCCATCCTACACAGGCGTTATAGATTCATAGAATTATAGAGTTGGAAAATGACCCTGAGGATCATCTAATCCAAGCTGAATATGCTGCAGTCTCATGCAGGGATCGAACCGGCAACCTTGGTGTTATCAGCACCACACTCTAACCAACTGAGCTATCCTTAAGCGGAAGCTATATCATGAGGTCCTTCAGAACGAAAGGAGCCCTTGACAGAGCCCATGTTTGGAATTGTAATCTGCAGAAAGCAGATCTGGCAACACCAAGCCTGAGCACCAATATCCCATCCCTAAGAATGCATGCAGGATTTTTAAAAAAAAAGTTTAAAGAAGAAGTTACAACCCTTCGTTAATAATTGTTTTTGTATAATGGACACACACTTTTCCTCACAAACCCAACTATCTTGGCAACAACAGGAGGCTAGTTGGCAGCCCGCTTGAAAAACTCGTTGTCGTGACAACCCTAAACAAAGTCTGATCCGTTGCTGACCCCATAAATCCTCCCAACTATACAAATCAATTTTTAAAGGCTCCCCACAGCTCTCCTTTAGGTGCTGGCATTCAGGTGTCCAGAGAAGGGCTTTGTTTGGGTCTTTCAGCCCTCCCAAATGCTGCCCAGTAAACTTTGTTACTGTTTCTATGGAGCCTGGCTTTCAGTTTCTGCCATCTTTTTCCAAACAAGAAGGGGAAGAGGGTGGTTTATAAACAGGTATTCTACGGTGGGTAGCTGTCTCAAGAGAAGAAGCATTAACAGTGCAGGCCTATGTGTGTCCACTCAGAAATAAGAGCTATTACGTTCAATGAGACCTACTCTCAGGTAAACATATTGGATTGGATGGTTGGGTGGGTTTTAAAAAAAGATTTGAAATCAGGGTTTGAAGTAAATTTACACGCCCTCCCTAAGGGGGAACCTGAATAGTGCTATTAATTGGGACCAGCATCAATGCTGATCTAACACTGAACCATGGTTAAGTCTGGGAAGAGGATGGAGCACACATGCACATGACCAACTCCCAATTGCTTAACCAGGGCGTTAAGAAACATGGCAGTGCTACTGCTGACCATGTCAAAGAAGCTTCTTAAAGGTACACACAGAAAGCAAAGTTTTGGGCCTGACAGACAAGGATGCTCAGCCTTTCCTTACATCTACAAGGAGCATCCACACAATGTCTTTTAATTGTGGCTAATTCATTCAGACTGATAATACCTCCTCACCCTCTTCTGACAAATACTAACAAAGATCAGCTTCAGAGTTCTGCTCTTTAGAGTATGATCTCTGAAATGTGTACAAAACAGCTGCATTAACCATGCCTTGTGTATTTTAAGGATGGATTCTCCACTCTTTTTAGTGCTTCTTGACGGGAATTAGTTTGAGCATGCGTGCATGAGTTTTGCATGAATCCTTCTCTTTTCTTTAAGAATAATTTGCCTGGAGCATTTTTCCATAGTCAAAATGGGTTGGTGATTGCTTTAAAGCGCAAAGTCCGCCATTCCTAACCAAAACGACCCCTTCTAACCATCCTGATCTAGTGAACAGAAGGGTGGTTAAATCATGCTGAAAATTGACTGACACATGCTAAGAGATCTAGCCTTGTCATCCCACTGCAGCTATGCTTTTCCAACACAGAACTCCCACTTTGTAGAAACACTGCTTCGCCTACCTGTGTCCCCTTTGCCCAGCAGCAGGAACAATAGCCACCATGGTCGAAATCCCTGGGATGCCATCCTCAGCAGCATCCCAGCTGCAGCTCTAGGTGAGGTTAGCAGCTGACTTCTCACCTTCTGTCCACCATCACAGCATCCAGGCTGAGACAATGGCAACCTTAAGAGTGACCCCTCTCACACTCATAGCATCAGACGGACCCGACAGTGCTGTGTGCCTTCTGAGATCAATGGCCGATATTGCTGGCTGCCTCGCGCTGCTTCCCTGGCTTCCTGCCTCTCTGGTCTTTTTATAAGGGCTCTGCTGCTCTACAACTCTCTCTCTCTCTCTCCCAGGGGGGAAAATGCCTTTTTTCTAGCTGCCCCCTAGTCTCCCTGGTTACACATCTGCTGTTCCCCTTCAGCCTTCTGCACACTGACAAGTTCGCTTTCTCTAGAGCCTCTGCTCTGCTGCCTTGTCCCTCTTCCTTCCACTTTCCTAATATCCTAACATGAAGTCCAGGTGTCCCCATCATGCTTGCAATAACCTCTCTTCCCGCAAGGTCAGTTTCTCTCACAGACATGCTTCAGATCCTGCGAGATTCCAGAGGTTTGGTGGAGCCACTTTAAGCCAGCTTTCATCTTCCACATCCCTTAACTCCAGCTCCTCCCTTATCCACACCTAAATAACCTTGATCCACTTCAGATTGTCTCCACCATAAATCCTGCACCTTTTGTTAGGGGCCATATACTACTTATTTGCTCTGATCTCCATTTTCGACAGCTTCCAACTTTGCATAACATTTAGGAGAACACTTCCCTTGAGGTTGGTACCAAAATTGTAATACCTTGGAAGCTTTATTCAAAAATACACCCTTGACAAACATACCATGGTCTTCCTCTTCCACAGGAGTAGGGAACCTTCAGCTTGCAGGCTTAGTTAGGCCTGACATAGGTCCCAGTTTGGCCCAGGAGGCCATTCCCACCCCCACCCCCAACCACACCCTCCTGCCCCACAATTGACATCAGATAGTGATGACAGGTGATTAACAAGTGGACAGGTCTCACCCTCCTGTCAAAAGAGCCCGCTGAAGGTGGGGTAAGCCAGAATCCGGCCCACCAGGATGGAGGAGATGGCATGCTACTTAAAGCATCCATGCTTAAGTCTACCTTTGACTCAAAATAATGGCCAGCTTCCCCACCCACCCAAGTGGGACACAGATAGACATCTCTCTGCAGCACCACTTATCTCACCAAGAAGTTCCTGGCCTCCTGGATCCTTCATTCTCCAGATGACAGACAGATCAGTACCTTCTTGGACATGGATCCAGATGTCTATGTTGTTCTGGTGTCTTACCACAACCTTTGGACACTTAAGGATTACTGCTTTCACGGGCAAGACCACATGAATAGTAGCTCTGTGGAACAGACTCTTTCCAGCAGTCAGGGCCTCAACCTTCACCATATAGGTACCAGGAAGATACACATGCAACACTCTTGGGTTTGTGGTGCTGAGACCTCCATCACCTCCATCTCCAAAGTCCCAGATGTACAGAATGCCAGGCAGTGAGCAATTAGCAACGAATCCAACAAGTTGCCCATGCTGTTGCCGTGTGGTGAATGAGAGTTTCACCTAAACAGAAAGAGCAGGTAGGAAGGTTTGGCTCAGGTTTAATTTCCCTTCCTCCAACCCAAAGCATAAATAGGATGCAGGTATAATTTCATGAGAAGGGGGTAATGTCCCTCACTCATTAATAACATCAGGTTATTCCTAATTCCTGCAGCTTGTACAGCACTCAGCTAGAGGCCGTGCAAATGATAACATTTTGGGTAGTATGAAGAGGAGATCCAGATCAAAAGGGTGCTGTGCATTAACTGTAACTGTTCTCATAGTACTGCAGCAACAAAAGGTACAGAAGTCCTGTTTTGGATGAAGCATATTTGTCAAATGTCTGCAGCAATTAAAGACTCAAAGACACTTTTGAAGACCAGGCATTCCAGAACACGCATGGACTGTTTATAGTCTTGCATGGCCTACTTAATTTTTCAAAAAAATTAAACTCCCAGTAATGATCCAGCAATGAGTTTTAAATTTACAAAGTGCAATATAATATAATAAAATAAAATATAATTAATAAATAAAAGAAACAATAAAAAACATGAGTATTTAATGTTCTGAATGAACCATCTCCCATCTTCAGCCACAAATCAGTACAAACACACTGTGGACCATCTGAACAAAGCACAATTTGGAAGCCCCTGCTCTAACCTCTAAAATCAGTGACTGGGTTTGGGAGAGACAAGGTGTCCAGCTTATGTTTATGGAGATCAAGGAAAAGGAGCTGTTTTAGAACTTGAGCTTGCACTGCCAGTTTTAAAGTGGCATTTGCCCCTCACCACTGGCTCTTATTATTTTCCATCACTGGCAGGGACGGCTTCCATTTCCCAGGACCCTTTACAAACCCTCTAGAAATTCCCTCACCATCTGGTGTGAATATGTGAAGTTGCTGAGTCAGAGACCACTAGCCCATCAAGCCTAGTTTTGTCATGTCTGATTGGCAGCAACTCAAGGTCACCAAGGTCCCATTTCTCTTGTCTGAGATGACAGGGATTGAACCTGTTGTAGACAAAGGATGTGCTCTGCCAAGAATCTGCTCATCATCAGCATCACTTAGTAAAGAAGGGGTAGCTAACCTGTGACCCTCCAGATGTTGCTGGACTACAGCTCCCATCATTTCCTGACCACTAGGCTATCCTGGAGTCCAACAACATCTGGAGGGACACAGATTCCCCATTCTTGTAGGGAAGTAATGAGCTGGATTTCCTAACCACAATTCCCAAACACAAAATTGGGCAGAAATGCTATTAGAACTGATTCCATTACCTGAATTGGGTATGCAGCATGGATGACTGTTTTATTACACACTTGGCTCTGGATTTCATTGGAGCACACCTTCCCACAGTCCACCTCTGCTTCGCTACCTAGAGATCCACATAGGCAACGATCCAAAAAGTCCATGGCGTAATAGGTGTACCCTTTGCTATAGCAGAGTTCAAGGCAGGACTTCTGGGTGTGGGTACCAGTTGAAAGGAAAGAATAGTGCAGGACTGCATCACTCCTGGTCAGGGTGTCCTTCACACAGGACATAAAATCAACAGCTGGGAAGGGAGGAAGAGAAAACTCACGGTAAACGTTTGAACCACTTATGGACAAATGCTTGAAAAACTCTGTTTCTGTTTCGGTTTGCACAGCTTTGTTTGTTTACACTTTACAAACTATTCCAGCAAAACAGGCAAGAAAGCTCTCCCCATTTTGCAGAGTGAACACTGAGATGGATGCAGACGCAAGCAGAGTCCTGCTGAATCAGTCCAGAAGCAACATTCTGTCCTTGCAGTAGCCCGTCAAATGCCTTTGGGAAGCCCAGAAGTGGGACCTGAGCACAAAAGCATGCTCCTGCTTGTGATTGCCAGCAATGGATATTGAGGCAAGCTGCTTTTGATATTAGCGTACTGTACTACTGAGCTAGGTTTTCTCCTGAAGTAGAAGGCCAGGAGTCCAACAGAGCTGTCCGCAACCTCAACCAGACTCCAGCTCCAGGATTCTTTGGGCAAAGTGATATGAAACTGATATAAATATGTAGTGTAGATAGAGCTGCCTTGAACAACAGTCATTTCCAGTTTGAGTCTCTGTAGTGGAACTGGGGAACCTCTGCCCTAACAGAGGCCGCTGAACGACAACGACAACTCCCATCATCCTTGCCCATTGGCCATTCTGTCTGAGGCTGATGGGAGTTTGAGTACAACAAGATTCAGAGGGCACCAGGTTCCTCACCAGGACCACAGCTTTTGTCAGTAGCTTGTTTTGTTTTGGTTTATTTTACAATGCAGATTTTGTGAGAGTAGGCAAACATCTGATAGACTAACAGTGCACGTCTAACCACGGTGTTGGCTTTTACAGAGGAGAGGAAGAAAGCTACTGACATGCAGGGCTTTGGATGAAACAAAACTCCCTTCACCAGCAGTCGGTGGGGTGGGAACTCCCAACAATCACATATTAGATGGATTCCTACCACAGCTACATCCATAAGGCACACCTGAGACGCTCAACAGGGCCCCGAGGTGAAAGAAGAAGAAAAAGCATTGAAGGTGACAACAAACGCTTCTATCTGGCTGGCCAAAAAGCTATTTTACTCACTGCGGGTCAGTGATAAGAGATCCAGTGGTTTGGCGCTGCCAGAAGTGGCTTCCGGGACGCATCGGAGCAATTCTGTGTTGCTTACGAGAACGTGCCTCTCTTGTGCCCACGTCATCAACCAGCGTAAGGAACAGTCATATGTGAAACTGTTGGAGATGAGGTTGCTGTCAGGAAGAAGGGGAAGGCATTTGGGCAAGAAAGTCAGTCACCTCTCTCAGGCTGTACGGAAAACCCGCTGCCACAAAACACACATACCCCCCCAAAGAGAGCGATGGCCAGCACATTAACTCTGCTCTTTAACTTCCACACCATTTCAACAGATCATTGTTTAAAGCAATCAGAAATTCTCTGTGTTTACTTTGTCTGTGTAAATAATTCAGTAGGTGAGATGCATTCAGTGACTGCTGTCTAAGGATAAATGATCATGTTCGTACCAAAGCCCCAAATCTTCAATAAGTCCACTCGCTTGTGGATTTCCGTTTAGTAGATCAGTTTGCCATTTGCTAATATTCCTTTTAACAATATCTAAATGTGGGGTGAGACCCAAGTGCCCCTGGTGGGCCTAGAGAAATCCTCTACCCTAAAATGGAAAAGAAAGCAAGATCTCCACCTTTGAACAGGGCACTACCAAGTCTCTGTTCAAAGCTTTTGAAACAATGGGCTATATCAAGATGAATATATGTTTGCTGTTCCGTAGGTACAAGTGACACCAGCAACAAAAAGCTGCAGCACATGGAATGCTACTGTTCAAAAGCGTTGCCCTTTTCCCAAAATACCCCATTCCATTTTTTGTACTTCTGCAGACCTTGGGCTTCCCCTGAGCCTGAAGATACCTTCCTCTTATGCGTGGCTAATGTTGTTAGACTGCAACTCCCTTCACCATGGACCACTGGCCCTGCTGGCTAGGAGTGATGGGACCGGTGTCCAACAATACCTGGATGACCACAAGCTCCTCACCACTGAGCTAAACCTATCAAGGCAACTACTAATAAGGGAACAAATCTCCTTGACATCTTTCTGTAATGACATCACCAGGGAACCAATAGCTTTCCAGATGTGGCTGGCTCCCATCATACCTGGTCATTGGCCATTATCTGGCAGGCCAAAGGGTTTCCGCATGCGGTTTTTAGGCAGGGTGTGAGGGGTATGTAAAGGGGGAAGATTCATAGAAGAGATCGTGCCAGATAATGGTACATACAGAGTCCTCAGTTTGCCCAGGTAGTGGAAGGCTCCCTCCTCAATGGTGTGGATGCAGTTGAAGCTCAGGTCCCTGCAGAATTGAGACCACAAAGAAATGTTGGAAGAAATTACAAGGTCCAAGGATAGTGTCCATCAGCAAGAAGCAACATGATGATAACGGAAGGGTAATCAGAAAACTTCAAGGCCTGTCTATTGGTGCAGTAAACTCCAAAAGAGAGTTACAGTGGTACTTCGGGTTAAGTACTTAATTCATTCCGGAAGTCCGTACTTAACCTGAAACTGTTCTTAACCTGAAGCACCACTTTAGCTAATGGGGCCTCCCGCTGTCACTGCGCCACCGGAGCACGATTTCTGTTCTCATCCTGAAGCAAAGTTCTTAACCTGAAGCACTATTTCTGGGTTAGCGGAGTCTGCAACCTGAAGCGTATGTAACCTGAAGCGTATGTAACCCGAGGTACCACTGTACTACGACTGCGTACACACAGTGCCTTTAAAGCACATTCCCCCCCCACCTCAAATAATTCTAGGCACTGTAGTTTGTCCTGCACAGAGTTACAATTCCCAGCAACCCTTAACAAACTACTAACAACCAGAATTTAGACATTCTGCTAGCCACCAGCTTTTGTAATTAAGACTAAATTGGAAAATCATTTCTATGATTGCAAACCTACCAAGTTCATTTCAAACTCTACAGTTTGGACTTTACTATTATAAGTAGGCGCGTGGAACCTGTAGCCCTCCAGGTATTACTGGACTTCTATCAGCCCCAGCAGGAGCCCCCAGAGGGAAGGGGTGTGGCAGTGGGGAGGTTGGCGTAGTGTGAATGAACCAGCACCTGCACTGAGCCAATCTCCCCACCAGCTGTTTCCCTGAGCCTCAGCCAGTGCGACCGATGTTCAGGGATAATAATCCAACAACATCTGGAAAGCAACAGCCTAGGCACCCTGGATTATAGAAGCTGAAAAGGAAAGTGGGTTTTTTGGTGCATATTGACATTTCTTGGGTATTTATAATCCCCATATTCACACAGTTGGAATGGGGACAGTAATCTTGGGATTTCACAAATAGGGATGGCGTGGCAAGTGATTTGCAGTACTATGCTGGAGGAGTTTTGTGCAGGAATTCACTTACAATGCTTGGATGTTGGGGTACCCAGCAAGCTCCTCTCTTCGGACTATGCTCAGGTGGTTATGTGAAAGATCACTGCATTCAAAACCAAGAGTGACATTTGTTAACAGCATCTCACAAGCCACGTCTGGCCAACAGCAGTTTGGTTCAATACGGTACCATGCCACATTGTTCTCCATGGTGATCAGTTCACAGTGCAAACTGGCTCCCTAATGCTGAGGCATTCCTTCCTATTCTTAACATAATATGAGCCCCAGGTGTTCCCTTAGATATGATAAAGAGAGACTGTCAGCTGTGCAGATGTATGAGAATCATCTTATTAGTATCATATAAAAGCTAGGAGGCTAGGCAGGACAAGCAGGACAAAGTGGAATTCGTGGAAGCAACATGGGCATGTGAAACAAGCCCCGCAATGTCAAGATATAGTCCTGCCAAAAGAGAACTTTAAACCAGGCCTCAGTCCTGTATACCTGAAGGATCATCTCCGCCCCCATCGTTCAGCCAGGACACTGAGATCCAGCGCTGAGGGCCTTCTGGCGTTCCCTCATTGTGAGAAGTGAGGTTACAGGGAACCAGACAGAGGGCCTTCTCGGCAGTGGTGCCTACCCTATGGAATGCCCTCCCATCAGATGTCAAGGAAATAAGCAGCTGAAGGCAGCCCTGTTTAGGGACGTTTTTAATATTTAATGCTGTATTGTTTTTAACACTTGATTGGGAGCTGCCCAGAGTGGCTGGGGAAACTCAGCCAGATGGGCGGGGTATAAATAATAACTTATTATATTATAAAATGCTGCGTGGATGTGATTGTGCTGGTAGCCCAAACTGTAAATCACACAGCATCCCAGATCATCACAACTGTACAGAAACCTTCCTTTGACTTTAATTCTGGCCCTGTACATGTGATTACAGACCTATAAATGAGAGGATGTGGGATTCCCTTGTGAGGTAGACATCAGAGCTTTGTACACCCTTTCAAGGGTGGTTGCTCGGTGGTAATTTGCCTCGAAAAAATAACGATGCCTGTTTTCTTCCCGGTCCCTTTCCCTGAGGGCTCTGTGCCTTGAGCCGAGGGGTCAGGAGCCAACACGTGCAGTCAGAGGAGCGAGCATTCTTTGGCAAGCTCCTAGGGTCAGCTCCATCTGACCCAAACATTCTCGCAGTGCTTACTCCCATGAGACGGCACCACTCAGCACCAGTGAACATGCTTCAACTCCCTCCCTGTGAGTCATCACAGGCTTGCAGGGAAAGGAGCATCTGCTACAATCTCTAAAGCATCCCTCCCACTCCCCCCCCCAAACACTGGATATCGCTGCGCAAAACCACCTCAGCAGCTTACTTACAGGATTGTTTTGTTCAGTGAGCAGGGATCTTCTGTCGGGATTTCCAGCAACCCCAGATGAGAGCAGTTCACCATTGTGACTGTGCAGGCACACTTTGCTGGGCACAGGATTGCTAGGGCCTCTTCCTTCTCTTGTTGGCATCTGGCTCTGATCAACAAGGTTGCCCTCTGCATTCCCCCAAGGCCCTCTGAAACCTGGTGCCTTTCCTTTTCCCTCAACCCCTGGCTTCGGCCTTTCCAAGGATCTACTACCTTGCATTTAGCAGAGCTCCATTGCTTGAGTGGCTTCGCCTTAGCTCCTGTTTCCCCTGCTGCTGATGTTGCAGCAGCAGTACTGTCCCCTGGAAACGTTGACATTTCACCTGTGCAGAGACTGCAAAGCAGTAGGGCCACACAGAGGAGGGCACTGGAATGGCAGAAGATAGCCCTGTGGTCAGGTGGCCTACTGGCTACTGTTTCTTTGGAAGGCCAGAGCTTATTTAGTGTGGTGAAGCAGTGCAAACCCATGGTGAGCAAAACCAAACAGTGCAGAAAGAACACAACACCCAGCATTTTTCAGATCTGCCCCACTGCTGCCAAGCTACTATTTCCAAAGTATTTCTGGCTTAATTCGCAATACAAACAAAAAACCTTGCTTCCTCAAACCAATGGTCTCTCTAGTTCCCTGCCCTGTTTCTCAGGTAGGGCGTTATATTGGATGGCACTGAGTTAACTAAGCAGAAGGAGGAAATCAAACAAAGGATCACTTTGCTGTAATTTGATTTCTCAGGAAATCCGTGTAGAGAAAGCTATTAGATTTACAGTAATTTTTACCTTCCTGTTGGCCAGAAATGTACTTTGCCACTTTGCTCTTTTCAAATTTCTGCCAGGTGGATTTTCTACAGCCCTCCGCTGCACAAATGTGTTTAATCTCGCTCTCTGCTTCAAATCATTTTTAACAGACGCAGGAGATAAGAGGCAGAGGAGGACGTCAAGCAAGTCGCAACGAGTTTACTATAAATACGACCAAGTTGTGCCCAAAGCATGGCAGGTGCCTCGGAATAGCCACTTCATCATATCCAGACCCATGTGGCTTCTTCTCATATACAAAAACGATGGCTGTGTTGGCATACATTCAGCAGTGCCACAAGTTGAACACTCCTTGCAAAGAGTCTTTTCACCACCTGGCATGCCACGTCACTGCCATCCAACAAGGAAGCGCCATCATGAAGGACTAATGTGGCAAATGGTATGTCACACATATGCACAAAGTGAATTAGCTGAGACTGTCTTCCAGCCTGTTGACCCTGTTCAGCTCACAAAAGCAACAAGAGAGGAAGCTGTGATCCAGCTTGACTACTCCATTTACTTCGAAAAAATGCGGAGAAATTGTTATCTCCCCCACAAAGAGGGGAGACAACTTCTAATGCTGTTTGTTGACTTTTCATCAGCTCAGGAGTTTAGATTAAGGGAGTCCTGCTTTGCACAGATGCTCACACCCACCAAGTTATACCTTGTAAATCCTTTTTCTTCCTCATCACCTCCCTTCCCCAGCTGCTGTCATCCGTTGTCCTCTGTTGACATGGCAGCACTATTGCCATCCTGCAGTTAAGCCCAGAAATTATATTGCATTCCTTCAATGCGTCGTCCTGGTGCTCTAGTTTAAAAGAAAAGAGCCTTCCAAGAATTAAAAGCACACTTTGAATCCTCCATCTAGACTTGGCTTGGCTACATAGTGGAGATGGCCTGGCTGCTTTGGGACTTGCAACAATTTCCAGGGAAGGTCAGCAAGTCCTGCAGGAGGTTGTTCCTGATGTGCCGGCTTTGGTGTCCAGGTTGGAGCTGTGCAGTGGCTGACGATGAGCCAAAAGCCTTTCCTCGCACAACTGCAGGCTGCTTTCTTTCCATCAGCGCTCCCTCTCTTTATCCACACCCCCCCCACACACACAGCAGGGACCTCTGAGAAACTCCTACATGCTTTGTCCAGCTACTTTCAGATCAGCCAGCGAGAGCTTCCAAGAGAAGTGTAGCAAATTCCCTCCCCTGCTTAGCATCTCGCCCTCCCTAACAAGCAGACAAGCAGTTTCCAACATGCAGAGCTGGCAGAGAGAGAAGAGGCAGGGGAATATGAAAAGATTCATTGCACGGAAAAAATGTCCTTGATGTGTTTGAGATTTGACCTTGCACTCGCTGGCCTGAGAATATCCCTGAAATCTAAGGAGCCTACATCTAAGCAGCAGGTGTGCAGAAGATTGCCCCACCGTCCTCTTAGCCGACAAGTTACTTTTACCTACAAAAGACAGAAGTTTAGGGCACGGATGGGGAGCCTCAGGCCAAGGAATGTGGCCCTCCAAACTTCCTTCAGTGTTTTTACCTAGCTAGAATGTGTCTTTGAACTCTGATCATGCCTCTCACTTGCCTTGATGGAATATAGAGGGGCTTGGTTGCGTGTGTGTGTGTCCAAACTAGCCTGCTGTATAAAGGTGAAATTTGTATTAATTACTCCACCCATTTTTGCCTCTGGTCTTGTCTACCTGTTGGCATGCAGCTCCCAGAAGATGGCCCCTGGGCTGCAAAAATGTTCCCCATCCCTGGGTTTAGGAAGGGCCATTTTTACAGTTGTGAATGAAGCCAAATGGTTCACAACCTCTCTTTGGCTGTGTACGTGCACATTGCCAGCTTAAATCACAGCTAAGATTCCCCCCCCCCTCAAATTGTGGAAAAACACATCAAAATGCAGTATTTCATAAGAAATAACAGGACAGGTACAGGAGAACTATGGATTGTGGCTAAGGTCATCCATAGGCCACTACCCAAACTAGCAGTGAGACCGCACTGGTTGCAGAGTAAACAGGAGTGTGTACACAGCCTCTAACAGTCCAAATGTGTGTGTGTGGACTTGAGATTCAGTGGGACTTACTCTCAAGTAAATATGAATAGCATAAAAATACTTCCACATGTAGGATTTATTGAGGGGTGTCAGGCACAACAATTCATTTTCCTAGCACCCGACACTTGCTGCCCTCACAAGGACCAGGCTGACCTGAGAACATTAGCATGATACACACAAGAATTTCTACAATACTTAAAATTGTTAGCAGGATTGGAATATCACTTGTAGTTTAAGGGTGAATTCTGGACACAGTGGAGATGTAAAAGATTTGGATCATCATAAAAGATGCAGGAGGGAATAATAGGACCCACAAAGGGGAGGATGGAAGTCCAGGAGATTCCTTGGAATCTTGTTTTTATGATTTATGTTTGATATATCTCTGTAAAATTTTAATTTGAAAAACCAAATAAATAAATTTATATAGAAAACAGAATTTCTACAGTCATGGGTTGTGTTGCAGAAGGAAATGATGTTAAAGCTCTGGGGTGTGCCTCCTCTTACTACTTACTGGCTATTTTTGCTTTTTAAGAAATGGGTGCTTGGAGACTTAGGGAACTTAAGCAGGAGAAAAATAATAATTTTACAACAAAATTGGTAAAACGAACGGTGTTGGGAAATAGAATTCTTTCAAGAAAGTGTGGTTGTTGTTGTTGTTGTTGTTGTTGTTGTTGTTGTTGTTGTGTGTTTTCACTCACTCACTCACTCACTCACTCAGTGGTTGTTACAGGCTTCCAATTCTGAACAAGATGTTAAAATAACAACTTAAGATTTTCTCCAGAAAATCTATCCCCCCCCCCCCCCGGCTGAATGGAGACCCAAGTAAATTGTTCCCTCACAACTCCACTTCTCCTGCCTCAAATTCAGCTTCCCAATTCTCACTTGTCTGTATACTATTAAAAGGCACTATCTTTCACTCTAAGCTCAGAGCTTCTTTCTCTGGCTGTAGATATTTCCTCAGGGTGAATGAC